CCTTATTAGGATAGCTAAGGGTGAAGAAGAGAAAATAGTATTTCGTACTTATTTTAGTTACTATAAGTATATAGTTATACTCTTTAGCTTGATTAACGCACTAGCTATATTTCAGTGTCTAATTAATAATATTTTACAGCCTTACTTAGACGTAATATATATATACTATTTAGACGATATATTAGTTTACTCTAAATTAGAGGAGTAATATATAAAGAATATTATAGCTATTCTCTAGAGGCTAGAGGACGCCTACTTATTACTTAAACTAGAGAAGTGTAACTTTCATATGGACGAGGTTGTTTTTCTAAGCTATATAATTACTACTATAAGATTAGCTATAGATCTTAAAAAGATTAAAGTAATTATTAAGTAGATAGGGCCTATGAATATTAAAGAAGTATAATTATTCCTTAGGTTTACTAACTTCTATAGGCGATTTATTAAGGACTACTTGAAAATCGCTAGGTTACTTATAGAGTTGACTTATAAGGATAAGGAATTCTACTAGTCTGATAGCGCACGAAAGGCGTTTAAGGCACTTAAAGCGACTTTTATCGCGGAACTAGTACTTACTTCCTTTACTTCTAATAAAGAAATATGTATAGAGATAGATTCTTCGGACTACGCTATTAGAGCTATACTTAGCTAGCTAGGCGAGAACAGAAGATAGTAACTAGTCGCTTACTATTCGCGGAAACTATTACTAGTAGAACTTAACTATAATATATATAATAAGGAGTTACTAGTAATTATAGACGTAGTACGCGAATAGAAGGTCTACCTTAAAAGCGCTACTTATAAGGTATAAATCCTAACGGACTATAAGAATCTTATTTACTTTATAACTACTAAGGAACTGAACTAATAGTAGGTTCGTTAGTATAAAATACTCTCTATTATTAAGCTTCGAATTTCTTATATTAAGGGAACAGAAAATACTTAAGCTAATACTCTGAGCTAGAAACTAGAGTACCTTATAAATAAAACCTATAAATCCTATACTATGCTGCGGAAGGATAGCGATTTATTAGTTATTAATAACCGATAGCTGGCTATGATAGGATAGTTAATCGTAGAGAAAATCTGGAAAGGCTATACTAATAACCCGGTTATAGCTAAATAGTAATACTAACTAGGCGAAGGGTTCTCCTTCTCCTTAGAAAGAACTCTCTTGTTCTAAGGATAAATATATATACTTACTCGGGATTAGGCCGAATTTATTAAGGATTTCCACGAGCTACTTACCTATAAATACCAAGGATTAGTAAAGACACTATCTAAGCTATCCAGGGAATACTACTTCCCTGGGATAAGGAAGGTAGTTAAAGACGTAGTAGCGTCATGCGATATATATATCCGGAACAAGGCGTTATACTATGCTTTATATAAGCTTATGAAGTCACTAATAATACTACCTCGCCTATAGAAATTAATCGCTTTAGATTTCATAGTTAAACTATTACTCTTAAAAGACCTAATTACAGGAATTGTATATAATTCGATCTGTATAATAACGGATAGGTTTATAAAGTATACGTATATAGTACTAGTACTTAGGATATAAGATACGCTTATAATAGTATAAGTATTTCTTAGGATAATCTTCGTAAGCTATAGAATACTAGATAAGATTATCTCGAATAGAGATAAGCTCTTTACCTTAAAGTTCTGGAAAACTCTTATTACGCTCTTAGGGATAAAATAGAAGATATTAACTGCGTTTTACTTGTAGACTAATATATAGATAGAACGAATTAACTAGATAATAGAGACTTATCTTCGGTATTATATGAACTATAAATAGGATAACTAGGTGTAGTTGCTCCCACTTGCTTAGTTTATATATAATAGCGCGAATCAAGAGACTATTAGAGTATCGCTATTCTATGTAAATTATAAGTATAATCCTATAGTATATAATCTACTAATAACTGGTTAGGGAACTGTATAGGAAGCTATACTATAGGCAGATAGGCTTAAGTAGCTCTATGAAGAATTGTTAGCTGATATTCTCTTTATCATGTAGAGATCTATAATCTATTATAATAGAAAGCGTAGTATAGGATTAACGCTTAAGGAGGGGGATAAAGTCTACTTACTTAGAAGGAATATTATAACTAAGTAACTAAGTTATAAATTAGATTATAAGAAGCTAGGACTATTTAGGATTACTAAAGTCAAGGGACTAGTTAATTATTAACTAGCTCTACTGAAGATAATAAATATCTACTTAGTATTCTATATATCTCTCTTTGAATTAGCACTGCTAGGAGCACTACCGGCTCCTGTTACTGAAATATAACTAATTAATTCGAACGCTGAATACGAGGTAGAGGCTATACTTGATTATTAGTATTTCTATAGTAAACTAAAATATTTAATTAAATAGAAAGGGTACTTATAATTAGAAAATACTTAGGAACCTAAATCTAACTTCCGCTACCTTAAGCTTCTATAAGGATTCTATTAAAGAAATCCAAGTTTACTTAGAAGGAAAGGGACCTAAAGTTAGGGGCCGGGCTCTTAAAGAAGGACGCTAAGTAGGTATTAGGCTTAAAAGCAGGGAACTAAGAAGTAGGATTATCCTTGACGGGCTTAGAGGGAGGCGTTAGAGGGCGAGTAGGAGTCACGGTTTTTCCTATCTTAAACTGATATATAGGTCGTTTAAGAGTGAATCTCTTAATATACCTTAAGGTGTTATAATTATAACGCTTTAAGCGAATATACTCGGAGTATTATTTTGAAATAGATAAATCTAAGAAGTAGGTATAAGAAAGGCTATAGTAGAAGGAATAAGGCTTTACGAGTTATATAGTACGCTTAATACGGAGCGCGAGCTAGATACTTTGTTTTTTCTTTATTTAAGTGATATTTGATTTCTTTATGATACTAGATATAATAGATAAGGAAGATAGTTGTTAGTAACTATCGATATTTCTTAAAGTTATACTTAAGCGTGGGGACTACGCTAAGCTAAGAGGGGGATAATATTACGGACCCCTTGGCGCTACGGTTTAGTTAGTACCTATATAATAATAAAACTATTAGTAGTACTATAGGGGTATTAGTACTAATAAGGGAGCGGTACTATTAATAGGGTAGTATTAGCTAGGGAATAATATAAGATAATCGAGTAATACTACTATACACTTACGCTTTAGTAGTAATAGTTACTTAGATCACGGTAGATAATAAGTTATATGATAGATCCCTGGATCCCTGGATCCCCTTATAGGAAAACGGATCTAAGGATCTAAGGATCTAGTCTCCTAAGGGATCTAAGGTGAATAAAGGTTTTATATAAGACTAGTACGTCTACTATTAGATAGGAGCTTCGTGCTTAACTTTAAATAGTATTCTAATACTTAGTAACTATCTTCCTATCTATATGATACACCTACCTCTCGATTATTAGAGATTAACTGCAGCCTTCTGTATTTATAGCGAGTAAATACCGGACTATTATAATATAATATTACCTCTTTGCTCCCTGCGTTCCTAGGTACCCTGTGATATAAACTAACTAAAGTTATATTCGTTAATTCCGAATCGTTAAAAAAGAGAGAGAATAACAGAGGCTTAGTCTATACTTAATTAGCAAAGGGAAGAGGCTAGAAAAGAACTAGCTTACTAACACTAGTTTTTCTATAGCCTAGAAGCTCTAGCAGGCCAGCTAGTACTATAATTACTTCTCCTTTTTTATTTATATAATACAGAATAACTATAACTACACTAATCTTATCCCGGAGTAATCCCTAGCTATTAAAAGATATAGAGACTTTTAATTAAGCTTCTATAATATCTTATATAATCTACAGCTCGAAGTACTTAAATCTCTAAGTTACTTAGATCTCTAAAGTTAAATAAGAAGTAAGTAACACGTTAAGAGCTTAAATATTTATAATTTTAATAATTTAATAAAGGTGTTTAAAGGAAGCTTTATAGTATTTAATATTATCTATTACTACCTACTTAATAAAGGCGTTCCTAAATTCTAGCTCTTAGAAAGGTATAATATACTTATAACTATCTCCTATAGGACTAGAGGCTTATACAAGTTAAATTATAGTTAAAGGAAGCTTTCTGATATCTCTATCTTAGTCTAATTAATACTCTAGAGCTATATAACGTACTACGTTCTTAAGAGAGTTACTATTAAAGACTATAGTCTTATTTTTAGTAAATTAAGGATCGTAGTAACCTAACTCTATTAGTATTTAAGGTACAGATAAAAGAAGTAGCTTATATAGTTTACACGCCTAAAAAAAGTATTTCTTACTTTTCCTAAGTTGTACTAGAGTATAGCTAACTTTCTAGAGCTATAATTAATTTAAAATACTTGTTATAAGTATAAGAATAAAGCCTTAAGGTAAAAGTAACATATTTACTAGCCTATTATTAAATAACAGTTCTCTAAAGGAATATAAAGAGTAATCTACTTTCAAATCATCTCTTAATAGCTTAAAAGAGTCGTAGTTATTATTATATACTACCTTAGGTTATCGGCAGTAGTCTTTAATTGCAAATAGAAGCTAAGTTATATTTACTAAAGGTTCTTTACCTGCACTTATTATACAAGCAAAGGGATCGATTAAAGCACTTATAGTACTCGCAGATAGAGATTTAAAAGCCTCTAAGGCTATATTCTTAATATTAAAAGGCGTAATCGATTAAGATATATTTATAGTATTAATTCAGATAGAATTAGAGAGTTACTATATAATATAGATAGCCTTAAGACGAGCTTTAATTATTCTGCTATACTAGACCGCCTAATCTAGCTAATCGGAAATAGTTTTCCCGCTCTAAGACTTCTATTTTCAGTAAGTATAGTATTAAATCGCTATACTAAGTGCTCAGAACCTCACTCTAAAATCGTTAAAAATATAAAAACCAGCTTATAAGCTAGCTTATAAGCTAGCTATATTCTAGCTGACTAGCTTATAAATATATTCGAGCTGACTAGCTGACGTTTTTTTCCCAGCTGACTAATTAGCTTAAAAGCCGGCTGACTGATCGGCCACTCTGATAGGTATTGGACCGGCGCCTGCTGCTGCTACCATGTTTGCCCAGAATGGCTGGCTGCATTCTGTCAGTCCGAGCTCTGTCGAGATAGCATGAAATACTCACTCCCCAAAGAATGGCACGATAGCTGTTGGACGGCCATTGACAAGCCCACATGCAGTAGTTCCTGCTCCTCCATGATGGATCACCGCAGTAACATGTTTGAACAGCCATTCTGAAGCAGTTAGCTTTGATTTTATAAACACTGAGGCGTTTGGACTCACCGTGAGGACAGTCGCCAATGAAAAGAATACCTGGATCAGCTTCTGCGCCTTTGCCGAGCTTACTCCAGCCTTCGGACACAATTGCTCTCACGCCACAGCTTTTCACTGCCCCAATGATGATTTTTGTCATCTTCTCCGCGTTATCCATGACAATGGATCCAAAGCCAATGTATATGGGAGGCGGGCCGATTCTGAGAAAAGCATCGAATTCGGGAAATGGAGTATAATCGGGAGCGTTTCGAAAGAAGAATCCGCAGACATCTAAATCCATCAGCTGAGAAACGTGACCAAGCGAAGATGTATACATACCAATATGCGAGGGCCAATCGAAGGGCTTGGGTATCAGTGCAGGCGACCAGCAGTATGTGAATGGAATTTTGAGATCGGCAGCGAGATTTGCGCCAACCATTGGGGGAAGTGTTTCTAGATTCAAAGTCTTCCTCCGAAAGTGATTAATGACATCTCCGAGCCTTCGAATCCTGCTGTCAGCACAATTCGTAAGACAAACGGCATAGAGAATCTTACCCCTGCCATGTCATCATATCCACCAGGCCATATGAGAGGAAATTCGTAGTAGTGGGGTCAGTGTCGCTAAGCTGCACATTCGCCAATGGGTGTGGAAATGCTCGAGTTGGGCTCCATGGCATAGTAAACATGAGATGGACTGGGATTCCCATCGCCTGAGCACAGTGCACATGTGCGAAACTAGGGGGATTTGCGATTACTGCTTCTGCGACAAACGGAATATTTGTCGATGGATCGGGTTCAAAACATGATTTCCAACATCCTCCTAGCATTTCTGATATCATCTTCCGCTTTTTTTGAATATCGCCAGCTCGTATTGACTCAAACTTGGGAATGATGCCAGGGTTTTTGACCATGTACTTGCAAACTTGTCAGCTTCTTCCAACTGAGATAGCGGGTCAACTCACAGCCATCAATTCAGTCGGATCACCTCCGATCGGGAAGAACTCAAGCTCGGCTTTATGAACGAATTCTTCAAAACAGTCATGTGTTGCCAGTCGAACTCGATGCCCCACCAGCTTCAACTCCTGGCCTAATGCTATGAATGACTGAACGTCGCCTTGAAAGTGTTAGCAGGCGCAAGAGGTGTGATCATTAGAGAAAGTACCTCGACTTCCAACAACTTGTATGACGATGTTGAGCAAAGGGAATGAGAATGCAGCTTGAGACCTTTGCCGCTCTACCTCTGGTTCGTACGTTGGAAGAGGAGGCAAAGCGGTGAACCTGTGAGTGCTGCTCTACCTCTGAACATCATAGAAACTCTCCCATTGTCTATAATCACATGTATATTAGTTTGATAGTTGAAAATAGATCAACATATGGCGAACTGCGAAGAAATATATTAAATACCAAGAACTGCAGTCGATATGCTCTGCCGCTCGTTTCCAAAAGACTGTTCATAAGCAGGCGGTGGTGCGTCCCAATCCATTCCGTCATCTCTAGTTATCTCAGCTTGCTCAATAACAGGTGGTGTCGGGGAATGGGGATTCATGTTGTCCGAAAGGACATGGTTCTTTTCGCTTCTCCCCTCCAGCATCGCTAATGTCTCCCTCTCTACACTGGATTTTTCATTCGCTGAGGATACCGGCATTGGAACCCTTCTTATCAGCATTCTTGACTTCTCGCTATGTTTCTGCTCTTGTTCTTGCATTGATTGGGCCTGCAGCAATTCGGCCATCTCCCGGTCTTCTCTGGACATGGGAGCTTCCACAAGCGAAACCTCCCTCGTAAAGCCTCGAGGAGGGGGAAGATAACTACGCTGTTCTTGATCCATCTTGAAGTCGACAATAGGAAACAGAGAGAGAAAATTTGCAGACACAGAATAGATTGAGAAATCTAGATGATTGACAGATGTTAATCCCCTCAAAGAAATGGAGAAGAACCACGATACATAAGCATTGCAACATCATGCCTAAAATATTCTTGTCGCGAGGATGACGCAGACGAGGCTGATGCGTCCCGATCTGGCTCCATGTAAAGTCAGGGTGTTATCCATAAGTGCCATTTTGTTTAAATCCTCCAAGAAGCTTCTTTGGAAGTCAAAATGCTATTGTCTGCCAATCATCTGTTGACTTCGGACCCGTACTCGGATCCTCGTACCTCGTACGAGCTCGCATCCGTTCAGACGGTACATCCCATCCAACCTTGCCTGAAACAGAGCCAACAAGATACGGACTTATTTAGACTTCTCGACCGATCTGATGGTGGGGTTTCCTTTCTTCAACAAAGGCAACACATGCTTGCAAGTACACAGAGATAGACCCCGGTTTTAGCTTCATAGCCAAAATGCATCTCCGTGTACTTAGGAGACTGAGATATCCTTGAATCCCAACGCCCGCGTCGGTAGTTGGCAATAGACCGAAATGCTAGCTTGTGATTGCCTCCAGCGTGTGGCCGCCTTCTGCTGACAAGATCCTCCTGCTGGAGGATGAAGAGTCCCGCGTGGATGCAGCTGAGCGTAAAATCTTCAAGCAACAGGAAGCTCTGACCAGAATCTCATTAGCTCCTTCGGACTCGAAAGAACATTAGTATCCAGGACAGCGGAGTACGAATTTCACAGAACATATGCCTGAATGAAGGTACAATCAGATCGATGATGGCGGCCGTATATGCGATTCTCGAAATGCCTATCATTCCTTCCTTTCTCACTTTCGCAGTTCAAGCTGGATTCCTCGACTTTGGAGCAACCACTGAACCAATCCAAAATGACGTACAAGGAGGATCATCGGAATTCCAGAATGAAGAGACAACTGAAAAAACTTATGATGAGGTTCACTAGAGCAGTCACATCTCATAAGTCATGCTTTTGTTGCTGAACGTTCTCAGATTCCACATTGTACCAATAAGTTACAAATGTCTTGTCCTTTCAAAGATCCGTCCAGACAACGCATCTTCAATCCAGCCTTTCCCAACCTCTATCCAACCATGCTTATGTTCAACACACATGATCAACTTTTCAATATCTCGAATCTAGAAACCTTGTTTCTCGACTTGGTCGGCAGCCTTTTGAATGGTGGCTGCAGCGTTGGGGTCGACGAATCCGCAACCGTTCTTGCCGGCTTGGAAAGCGGCGGCCTCACTTGAAAATTGTTAGTTGTATTCATGAATGAGAAGAGGAGCCACGAAAAGTGTCGTCTCAATGGAGCTAGATGAAGATTGAACGTACGCAGAACAGATACCGACACCGCTGAGATCAGCACAGCATGCAGACGAGCAGTCTGAGTCGTCAATGCAGCCACCGGTGATGAACTGAGAAGCGTCACCAGCACCGACGTTCTTGGCGCCAGCATTGTTGGGAGACAAAGCAAAGGCGGTCATGGCGACTAAAGATATTCATCAGTTAAAAGCTTCCTAAAAAAGTAATAGGCATGCTTGGGAGCATGGGATGAACTTACAAGCGACAACAACGGTGAAAGTAATGCGAACCATTTTGAATGAAGGTTTGGTTTTTTGAAAGAACGTTTCAAGTATTAAATAGAGTGAGTGTAGAAAATAAGACGACGCCGGGTCGTTTGGAAGAGACAGAAAGTATGAAAGGCGAATTGGATTGTGATGAAAGATGTTTGGTCTCTTACGTGCTCGCAGCGCACTCATATATATACCTACAGCCTCTCTCCTCTATTACTTCAGCTCCAACACGTTCATCCAAAATAAATCCAGCGGTGCCTCGCTCGTTCCATCCCCGATTCATCGACCATATTATCAAACGCTTATTCCTGCATCCCATATAGGCGACACGCTCGTCCCAACGCTCGAACTGACAGGTCTTGGAAAAACATCAGACAAGTCGTGCAAGGCGATGCTGGGCCTTGGGAGCCGTCATCTCATGTCTCGGAACTCGGTTAAGATGGGTTGATGCGGGAAGTGTTTGATCTTCTCCTGAATCGCATTTTGCCGATGAAGACCTGCGACATCCTGGTGCACTCGGCAACTTTGAGCATAATTTGATCGGCGGCTTCGGCTCCAGACTTTCATCGTCGGTTATCTTTCCGGAGAGTGCTGATTGGCCAGAATGAGTTTCATGACAACAATGGATGTTGCAGGAACTGGTACGCCGCACCGTCCGAACTCATGCATAATAACGGCGCTTGACTTTGGGGGAGTTCATGACGAGTGATCAGGTTATTTGACAGGTGGCAATGTCTTTCGATGTAACATTCGCTGAGATCGCTGTCTTTGACTCGAGAGATCGACGAAGGTCAAGCCAGGGGAAGTGACACGACTTGCTTCAGATATTCTAAGACAGCAAGGACTTTCTCATCCTCGAACCTCCTTCCAACCAGCTGCAGTGAGATGGGAAGACCATTGCATTCCTTCGAATCGTCTTTCACTAGTCAATAGTAGTTTTTTTGTGTGGGACATAACAGAGGCAACTTACAGAGCTTCCAGTGTTCGCTGTCGACACCAGTCATGGGCTTGAACGTTCTTTTTGCAACATCTTTCTCTCCTTGGACCTGACTGACAGGAAAAGTTGCAGCAGGACAATCCAGCAAATTCCACTGACTAGTGTATCTCCAATACTTCGCCGTGTTCTGTTTAGGAGCAACACCAGGACCAACAGGACAGAGGATCACATCAACCATGCCTGTATTCTCCTTCACCATATCCGCACTAGACGCGGTATCCGTCCACACTTTCGCATATTCCTTTCGATAAGCTTCCCGCTCTTCCTGCCAGTAGTACAGTTTCTGCGGAGATAGCTTCTTGACAAATGGATTCTGCTTCATGATCCATTCAGTGAGAGGCAGCCACGGTTCCCCTGATTCAGCAATGGTTGCAGCGTTCTCGGCACCTGCATCTGTGAAATACAGACTTGAGATTATGGCCCAGGCTTCATCGTGAAGATACGGCTTCCAGTCTACAATCTCAATAGTCGGGACTTTCCGCAGATGATAGACAAGATCGGTCATGGCTCGAGTGATGGGTGGATGCGGAGTAATTACACCATCATGCCACATAACTCCAATTTTGAGCGGCTGAGTTTGAAACATTCGAACAGACGAATTCCAAGGTATTGGGATGAGTGCTGGCTCCAACAGCCATGGCTGAGAATCTATCACGACTTGCATAAAGAGTTTGATACCTTCGAGGGTAGCGCTCATCGGTCCAATGACTCCAGGAATGGGATCAGCACCTGCCATAGTTGAACACCAACCATCAGTTGGGATTCGGAACACAGTAGGCTTGAATCCATATATGCCGCAGTTGGCGGCAGGACTTCTCATACTACCTGGCAGGTGTCAAAGAGTGGCCATCAAGTGATGTCTGACCTTACCGCCAATATCGCTGCCGATCCCCAGACAACTACCTCTCATCCCCATCAAAGCTCCTTCTCCCCCACTACTTCCACCAGAAGAGAGAAAATTATTATAAGGGTTGACTGTCACACCATAGAGATTGCTGTTCGTCTCCAAATGCATCATAGTCTGTGGCTGGGTCGTTCTAGCGAAGAAGACGGCCCCGGCATTCCACAGAATCTGTAGTACATGAGCATCTTCATCAGCTTTCTTCCCCCACCAAGCAACATAGCCAGCGTTGAGGCCAAGATCTTTGATCCCGATCATTTCCTTCACACTGATGGGAAGTCCATGAAGTGGACCAATTGGTTTCTCGTGGCGAGAGGAGTATTCATCGAGATCTTTGGCTCGGCTGAGAGCTCGCTTGGGGAGGAGCTCGGTGATGCAATTGGTCTGTTGGATATCAGAACCCTGGAAACTACCACAAAATCATTTGGCTTCTCTCACAAGTCTCTGAGCAACCACTGCTCTCCTCAGAAAAGCCAATGTAACCGCAGTAGCTGATACCTGACCCCTTGCAAGCAGTGTTATCAGCTTCTCCGGCAAAGACTCAGTGATCTGGATATCTGCCTGGTTCAGAACAAGCCCAGGAATTACCATCACGTCCTTTGGAAGCTCGTTCGAGAATAAATCATGTGCGAATACCTCAGTGATGCCTGGAACTCGAGCAATACTTGCGTCTCTGGTATCCCGCGCCTCTTTGGCAACTTCTTCCCATGTCCTCTTCGGCTTCGACTTACTAGATTTGGCCATATCGTCTTAAGTCAAAGTACATGTCTCTCTGCCCATAACTACATTCCCAAGCCTCGAGGATGGCTGCCTTAGGATTCATTGAGCGCGATGATTGGTTACCGACCACATCCAAACCAACATCAGCAATCTGACAGGTACTGTCAGTCAACCACTCACCATCCAGAATTCAACGTTTCACTCTATCCTCGTAATTATTTTGTTGCACATCGCAACTTTACTTTTTTCTTTGATCTCCCCAGTTCAGCGGTTCAATTCCTTAAAGAAGAATATCCTCCGCCTCGTATACAGACTTGGATGGCTACGGTCCGAACGATGATACGACGGAATACGATCCTCGGCTAATGCCTGCGAGTTTACCCCTGAGCGAGGAGTACTGTAGCACGTGCGATAAGGATTTCTGTCTCGGCTCAAGATAAGAAAGGTTGCTTGACTCAGGTTCGAACTTCCTCTTTAGTGGAACGCCTTCTCCGTGTCGTCTTTACCCCGCCATTCAAGATGCTTTGGGGGAGAACCAGTCCTGTGGTGCGTGGGGTCTCGAGAAGCTTTTCCCGTGAGTCAATAAAAGTCCAGCCTCAAAGCCTTGACTGACATTATCCAGTCTCGAGACCCTATCCGAACTTCAGATACCCTCCTCCAAGCTCGAGCTGTCCTTCCAAACATTCACCCCGATCCTTCCATCAATATCCAATTAAGATGTCCTCAGAAAACAAAAGCAATGGCACATCAAAGCCTACAGCTTGGTCCGGTCCAGGGCAAGCAGCATTTGACTTCAGAAGTCAGTTAATTATATCTTTATATCCCATGCCACCTTCCTCTAATGCAAGGCAATCTAACACAACAACCATGAAGGCGACGTAGTCACAACGCCGACTGCTTCGATGCTCCTCGCCATCCAAAACACCACACTCCTCGATGACGTCTTTGCCGAAGACACCACAACCCTCGATCTCGAATCGCATATCGCAGCCCTCACCTGCCATAAAAGCGCGCTCTTCGTCCTCTCCGGCACAATGGGCAACCAACTCGCGCTTCGCACACACCTCACTCAGCCTCCTCACTCCGTCCTCTGCGATCACAGAGCGCATATCATAGAATGGGAAGCTGGCGGCGTGGCTTCACTGTGCGGAGCTTTAGTCAAAGGCGTAGTGCCAAAAAATGGTGTATATTTGACACTGGAAGATGTGAAGAAGAATGTTGTTTTGGGGGATGAGATACATTCGTGTCCAACGAAGATTATTAGTTTGGAGAATACACTTGGAGGGACGATTATGCCGTTAGAGGAAGTGAAAAGGATATCAGCGTTTGCAAGAGAACATGGGATTAAGATGCATTTGGATGGAGCGAGGATATGGGAAGCTGTTGTTGCGGGAGCGGGATCTTTGCCAGACTATACGAAGGAATTTGACAGTGCGAGTCTATGCTTTTCGAAGGGATTGGGTGCGCCAATTGGGAGTATACTTGTTGGAAAGGAGAAGTTTATTAAGCATGCGCGGTGGGTGAGGAAGAGTATTGGTGGAGGACTTAGACAATCTGGTGTCGTTACTGCGGCGGCGAGGATAGCTGTTGACGAGACTTTTGGGAAAGGTCCAAATGGTGAAGGAGGCTTGTTGAAAGGGAGTCACGTCATGGCGAAGAGGATTGCCGATATATGGACTGGAATGGGAGGGAAGCTTACTCAACCTACCGAGACCAATATGGTGTGGTTTGATCTTGACGATGCCGGAATTTCAGACGATGAATTTGTCGAGCTAGGAAGTAAACATGGGTTGAGATTCTTAGGTCCGAGATTGGTGGTGCATTATCAGATAGGTGAGGAGGCTGTTCAGAGACTTGGAGAGGTCTTGAAGGAAGTTATTGAGAGGAAGCAGGCCGGCGGAGTAAAGAAAGAAGGGAAAGTTGGTGAGAAAGCATATGGCACTTGAGATTATGAAGAGATGGAAATGAAGAGACAAACCATTTAGGAAATAGATACCACGAAACATATAAAGATAACATACGCCTTAGATGCAGAGCCAATTGCCCTGGGTTTTGACAATACCCTCTAGCAGTCTTCCAAAAGCCTTCGGCACTTAGTTCATCTCCTCAGCTACCCCTGCAGTTCCCACGAGCCTCAAACTCTCGTCTCCACAATCTCCAACCCACATTTTCAACACACAATTGGAAGACCCGAGGCCGGCCCATGCAAAACCCACTCTCTCCTCCTCGAACCAATCACCCAGCCCTCCACCTCAAAACAATTCTCCCCAATTCCCTCCAAATGACTATCACCTTCACTTACCCAAATAAGCAGAAAGTCAGCATATCACAACCCCCAAAAAAGCGGCTTTAGCTCACTTGGGAGAGCGCCAGACTGAAGCCCACTTCAGATCAAATCATGAATATCTGGAGGCACTGTGTTCGATCCACAGAAGCCGCATCTTTATCTATCTGCGAACTTGGGAATACCCGGGTTAGAATTCGAACCAATTTTTTTTTCTTTTTCACTTTGAAATCTTGCTTTTGCTTGGTATTGAAAGTATGATTTTGGAGGCAAGAGAGAAGGATAAATATTTCTGTATGGTATGGTATGAATGTTTTCTTTTGTCTCTTTCTTTCCCTCGTCCTTTTTGTAAGTCTTGCTGTTTTTGTGGGTGGCTGACTCGGCCCGGACTTGGTGGCTTGAGTTTAGCGAGGCTTCAGACCGTGTAGGAAGCGGTAGGGAAGGACGAGGCTCTTCCATCCTCACGATGGAACTCAGGAGGTGACGAAGAATTTATATATTCAGGAAAGTTTGTTAAGTTTTGTCCTTAAATGTGTACCCTGATGACTTGATCCTTTTTTATGTATACCTATACACTGTGAAACTGGCTACATCCTATCTTACAACACTGCCAATCATCTGCATAAGTCCACGCACAGAGACGACATACCCCCAGGAACCTCGTACATTGATTGAGCTCCACCTCGATGACTCAAGAGCTTGCTACAGCTGCATCTCCAGCGTCCCACCTCTTACTAGCCCGATACGCTTGACCTTCCTCTAATTTCCCTGGAAACACATACTGGCTGGCCGGCTCACTGATATCTGTGCCAGTGTACTTCTCGTATAGAGTTCGGTACTTGCTTCTGAACACATCCGTATCGATGTATGTTCCTTTCAACCACCTCTCTCCGTTGCCTGCATCGAATTGGCGCCGACCGTGAAGAACTCGTCTGTTGTTGAAGATCACACACTCGCCTTCTTTCAACTTATACTCGAACAAGGCGTTGGGTGCTTCGACGCGATGAGCAAAGGTCCGCAGCGCCTTGGCGATCTTGGGGAACACAGGCCCCTGCGCACTTTTGGTAATTGGGAACGGCGCTTGAAATGGTGGTGAGTAGTTTACGAAACTGAGAGGTGTATTGTCGGTTTTGAGGGCTATGGGCGCATTGAACTCTAACACAGGACGTTCGTAGTAGTAGTGTTCTCCGGCATTACGATAATGATAAGCCAAGTCTGTAGTAGATAGGACCTTGATATCCCAGGGCGACAAGCTCTTGACGGCAAAAAAGGTGTCACTGAACAAGGAAGCGCCGCCTTGGCAAGTATTCTTCAAGCAGTGCAAGAATTGAAACCCCGGAGGATTCGTCATATACAAAAGGTCCATATGGAGTCCAAGGAACTGGTGGGTGTACGCCACATTTTTGGCTTCTGCGACCGACTTTACATCCCAAGTTCGTCCATAGAAGGTGTCTCGAATGGTTCCGATACGACCTGCAATCTCTGCAACAGACTCTTCGGATTTGGGGACGTTGCGAAGAAGGAGAAGCCCGCGAGTCTGCAATTGGAACAGAGCTCGGAAAAGTTGCTTATCATCTTCCATATAGTCGGTGAAGTTAAAGAATTGAAGCTCTTCCTCAATTCGACGTTTGCTCCATGGACGAGGGTAAACGTGATCAGAGCGGTCCCGTGCTCTGGCACTTCTGGTGTCGCATGTTTTGAAGAACTTGGATGTATAGGTAGAAAGATGGTCTGGTCCAAATCCAGGGATATCGTTCTCCCACGTGATTGCGAAATCCCCATTGTCCTGTTCCCTGACAGACGTTGCTCTGATAGTCCTAGGAATTTCGGTGGTTTGGAATTTCTTCTGTGTTGATGATGGATCGACACATCTGGGGCAAGTACAAGCATCGCGCAGGAAGACTGGATGGAAGGCTCCGTCGGTATCGCCAATCTTGACATACTCGAGGTTCATGTCAGGGATACCATCAGGACTTTCCCTAGTCAGCCATTCTTCTCTTGTGGTACTGCGAGGTCCACGAAGGACACCAGAAGCAGCCGATGAGTCTCTAGACGGCGAAGAGTCCTGGGACACAGCTTCCTCAGTTGATTGGTATCGTACTTGCGATGCAATATCCCGAGACCCTCTCGGCAATGCAGTCGGCCGTTGAGTGAGACGTGTTTGCCCTTCACAACGGTGGCGTTGACAAGCCGAGACCGAGAAGGTTCTGATTGTCTTATTGGTGTGCTTGGATGATAGACGGGCAAGAGACAAGAGTCGTGTGCTGCGGCAAATGCCCTCCATCTGGAGCGGTGGTCTACTGGACCACGTGAAAGCTCTGATCGATGGACGGAGCTGGGGCCCAGAAATGAGATGAGATGAGATCTGACAGAGCAGGTAGGTGATGCAGCAGTGGGAGGCCTACTGACCAGCGTCAGAGACAAGAGTGCTGTTGTGCGAGGTCGGGGTGCGCCGGGTAGAGTAGTTGACCAGAACCAAGGGGGCTTTTATGAGCGGGAATGGAGGAAAGGAGAAAGTTGTCTGTTGATGCCGCAGAAAGTCGAGCCGAACCGAGCTTAAGGTAAGGTAAAGAAAGGTTGGCAGGCAGTCCAGCCACATGTGGCTGCGATTCACACCAGCCACAAGGAGGGGCCGGGGCCGGGCCTTCAGCCTCGAGGTCCCGACTCCCGAGGTGCCGTCACAAACCAAAGTCGCCGATCGAGTCAATCATAGCTTTGCAATTAAGGTAATCAATCCCTAGAGGATCATGAACCACTTGCACATCTCAGCTTCATTGAACAGTGCAGAGTCAAGATGAGCAACCCTCTTTATACCGCCTCAATACCACCCCCAGGTTTATTGATCCGGTGAAAGATCTCCCGTGATACTTGCCCGAGCAAATTGGAAGATGCCTTCCACCGACCGGCATAACGCTCGCCAAATTCGGACGGATGGAAAGTCGTACAGGCGACCCTTCTTCGAGGGAAGTCACCGGACAGGGCTCACAAACAGCCTCTGCTGTCACTTTCGTTTTCTCTTTTCTCCTACATCACCACTCGATCACATTTCATCAGGTTCTTTTCTGCTCTCGCGACTTTTTTGCTCAGTGTAGCCCGGATCTTCTATCGTGCTGCTGCTTACATCTCCATCTTCTCCCATTGTTGACATCCTCATTGGTGTGCAGAATTGGCATGTGATCGCGAGCCCCATCTTCAACCACAACATCTCTCCACACGATGCAAGCACCAATCTTGCCTCCACGAACAGAGCAAGTCCTCGCACCGCTTCTGGCTTCCCTCCCAGCAGCAACAATCTCGCCGTCACCACCAACAGCCCTGCTCCCAATCCTGTCTCCGATCCTACGCCAAAGGGTACAAATACTTTCCTCGACTGCCTCCGAGCCCTGGCTCCCACTCCTTTGCTACGACAGCGCCAACGCCTCGAAACTCGAGTCAGTCGTCAAGCACGAAGCTTTCGAACCACATCCTGTGTCTGGAGAGGTAGAGCTCGACTGGGACAGCGTGCTGTCAAGATATCAGCGTATCGACGAGGAGACACTACAATGTCTAATCTCAATACCGGATATCGAGCTGGGCGTCAAGCTGATATGGTGTGTGAATGACGAGATGGGTGGCGGAGACGGCTGGAGGATTGGAGAAGTTAGTGTTCTGGACAACGAGAGTAGAGAGAGATGGGGACAGAGTAGCATTCCAGACGCCGAGCGCGCATTTGAGAGTACGCAGAAACAGAACCACTCTCAAAGTACGAATGGTACAAACAGCCTCCTTACACCCGAAGCGGAAGAAGAGGAGGATGATGACGACTACTGGGCTCAATACGACAACACTCCCGCGCAAACACCAGCGCCTAAACACTCACCCGCTCCACACACCATGGCTGTAGACGGGCAGGCTGGAGAGCCACAGTCGGCAGAAGAAGAAGCGTCGTATTACGCACAATATGCCTCAGTTCAACCTGCAATGGATAACCACGATCCAGACGAAGCAGAGCAGAATGGCGCTATTGAGTCCTCATTAGGCAAAGACGAGATCACAACAGAGCTACAACAACAGCTTTCACACCAGCACACACATCCAGAACTACACGACACATCAGCCGCATGGTCGGAAGGCCACCCTGACGACCCAGCATTCTACCACAACAGAAATGCCTCACAATCCCCCCACGAAATCGAGGGTCTCGCTCACCCCAGACCAGGAAGTAGTACCGGCAGCAGCGGCAGCGACACGGTAGCCAAACTCGAGAAGAGAGCTTTGGACCATGCGGTGAGAGAGCAAAGCGAGGTGGGCATCAAGCAGCATATTGGAACCAGTATCAAGAGTCTGTACCGCCTGGCGAGGGTAGCGGGGATTGAGAGAGGGGAGTTTGAGAGGATCGTTAAGACCGAGCTGGAGTGTTTAGCTCTGATGGACGAGGACGATGACTAGGTGCAATTTGATCTGACAGTCGGAGAGAGAGCAAATTTCAGTCCGGGAATTGCATAAGTCCACATCCCAGAGGTCAGCCCTGGGGAAGAAGTGGGTAGTCCAGAGGAAATTCGAAGCGGAATACAAGGAGGTATGTACAGTCAAAGCAGCATTTTTCCGGTCTGCATAGTCTTGAATGGGCGAGGTATTTCAAGATAAGGAAACTAGGCTTTTCTGCTGGACATACAGGGTATGTCGCATGCATGAATGCATGCATTTCAATCATCAAGTCTAGTCTAGATAGGTCAGTCTAGTGAGTTAACCACTGTACACCAAAATAATTAAAAGTCACATAAAAACTTGATCTACGCCTTTTGTCCACTGCTTATAATTTCTGCATTATCCATATTGTTTTACAGTAACAACTTTATGTGTGCTGTCTAAATGGAGTGAGGTATTGATAGATTGAGTTAAAAAAGGACATGCTGTTGATTTTGTGCTGGTCACTTACTTGGACTAAACTAACTTGAGGGTCCAATATTGTGGCAAGGCATTGGATGGTGCTGGAGCTCTGCTTTGTTTAGGTTTGGCAATAGCCAACACGTTGAGATAAGCGAGGTCTTGTTCGTCAATCAAAACATGCACACCTAAGAACCCTCTGTTCAACGGGCAACGCTATCAACATCCTGCTACTTAATTACAAAACTAATCGCTAATCCGCTATGAGAAACTGTAAAGCTCAAAAGAACCTATTCAATCAGAATCGACGTCCTGGTGTTGCTCCCCGAAAACCCGCTTGAGTAGTCTTTTACCGACGACAGACCAACCATCATGGCTCTCCGGTTTCAGAGGGCAATTGCGATAAGGTTTGCATCCGGGAACAACACAACGCATCTTCAGGTAATTGTAGTGATGGCGATGCCAGCGCCTACGGAGAGTGAATGGGTCAATGTGTCCCTCAATGGGAGCAGCTTCGCTGCCACGCAAAAGGCAGGCTCTAATGTGCACTCCATACTTCCGAAAGAAATCCATGAAAACTTCGACATGAGCAACATCTATGTCCTCATAGCTTTTCCGTAGAATGATTCGTCGAGGGCGGCATGGGCCTGTGCCTAATGCTGGAGCATTGATAGGGTCGGTTTCTCCTGCCCGTACAGGTAGCCTGAGTTCCTCCAAGACGCGCACCAGGCGGGTATCGAAATGCCATCCTGAAGGCATATTAGGACACAGGGGATCCGAATCTCTGGATGGAGGTGGTGGACGCCATAGACGGAGTAATGGGTGATCCAAAGGCCATTCAAGCTGATCTATAATGATCTAATTGGGGATCAGAAATGCCGGAAACCTATTTGTCACTTGTGAGGGCGACTCACCTCCGCTCTTGGGTCATCCTCTCTCCCACCCTGGCAATCCATCTCTACCACTTGGAGTTTTCTTGCCCTTTCTGCCGTTTCACCTCTTTCTAGTGGTGGGTGATCTTGGCAGACAGAGAGAAAATCCACAATGTCTCGAACGTCGGTCATGTTAATGCCTCCTGAGTTCGGCCCGGCGTCGAAGATCAAGTTCCCTCGCCATGAGCGCCTGGTCATCCTGTCAGCATCATCTATCTCTGAAGATACAAATTGGATGCTGTAGATGCTTGTCATCGCTTACGGAAATCTTGGGAAAAGTTCCACGGGCGGAACTCCAATCTCTAAATCTAGGTCAAGCCACTTCTCACAGTGATTCAGAGTCGCGATCACACATTCATTCTCTGGATAGGTTTGGAGCCTGGTGGTATATGCGTACATATTCCGCATCGGTCGATTCCGAACTATTCACATGCTCAGTTTGCAGAACGCAGCGAAATCTCTGAATAACCATAGAATAATGGTCTAGCTTAGAGATGAAGCTAAGATTGCATGAAAATAAAACGCACCCGGATTGAGAACTATGCCTCTTCCATCGTTGATAGCTGCGTGCGACCAAGGAAAATTAGGGAAGAGGTCCAACCGAGTGTGCTGCTCAGGACCTCCTGTCGGTTCGACCATTACCGTTCTTCTCGATGGATCTCTCCCACGCCTGAACCAGACAAAATCAGGTCTCCGTCTGTCACAAGCAAAGCGTAGACCTCGCCGGGCATCTGGTGGTACCTCGCAAGTGAACGAATGACAAAGGATATTATGGATCTTCTTATCGGTTTCCTTGCATGGAGCACTACAGTAGGAAGCATGGCATGTCTAGAAGTGTCGCCATTGAGTTACTTAAAATGTCACCGAGTAGAGCCAGGAGAATACTCTGAGCAGATCTTGAACCTACTGGGCACGATGCGATTGCCGCTCTCTGACCCACACAATCCCCTCCACAAAGAGTGCATTTATCGGGATTCGACCTATGCATGTTCTCGCTCGACAACATGGTTAAATATATCTAAGAATTTGATTCTCGTAATGAACGACTTATATTTTGAAAGCGAATGACACGGTCTAGGTAGCGAATGTATGTAGCGAATGTTGAATAAGATTTCTGGCTGAGGAAGAAAATTCACTCAAGGAGATGGGAAGAGAAAAGGTTATGCATAATACTTGTGATGAGGCAGGAACATCTTCAACAGCGTGATCAAAACGATTCTTTGGGTCCCTGAGCAGGTACCAGTCAAGTCTGTAGAGGGAAGCTGCGTTTGACAAGAATCTATCAAGTTCTCGGCACGCCGCCGCAGCCTAATTGTGAGTTTGGAGCAAATGTTTGGTTTCATCCTAGATGATCACACCCTGCATTGTAAAGAGGACGTTGAAACGCGTTTCAATGCGTCCATGGAACAGTGAGTGCGATTCCATTGTCTTGCGTCAGAATTCTGGTCCACTTGACCACCCAGATCAGACGGTACGATCTTGTAGAGAAATGGATTGCCAATTGCAAAAGTCCAATAAGTACTAAGAGGGCTTTCTACATGAAAATTTGAGAGATATTTCTTGGTGTTATGATCGGCAACGCATCCAAGCGACATCGCTCCAATCGGGACAATTCCGCCCGAGTAAAAGGCCACCCCAACTTTGACAGACTTTCTGTTAAATTAATTTCATACAAAGACAGAAAATTCAATAATATCAGTAACAAAAAGGAAAATGGCAAAGATTAAAACAGTTGAATACTTTCGTTTGCCACCAAGATGGCTCTTTGTTAAGATAACAGATGAAGATGGCGGGGTAGGGTGGGGTGAGGGGTCATTGGAGGGACATACTGAGGTACCTTCTCTTCATTATACATTTAGGAGGATAAAGTGTATTGACCAGAAGGCTAGGCAGTTGAAGGTTGTCTCGATGCCTACACGACTCGCATTGTGGGTATGGAAGCTGAGTTAGTATCTCACTACCGAGGAAAGGGATATGGCTAATTGGACTAAGTGACATTGAGCATATCTGGCAATTGCTTTATCGATTCGGGTTCTATCGTGGAGGGCCGGTAATGATGAGTGCCTTGTCTGGTGTTAGTTCAATCTGGTATTGATTCCGAGACAATGCTGATGCCGCGGTGTAGATTGACATTGCTTTGTGGGATCTGAAGGCCAGGAAGCTAGGAGTGCCAATCCATCAACTTCTTGGCGGCAATCTTAGGAGTAAATTGAAGGTGTATGCTTGGATTGGAGGCGACCGTCCAGATGATGTCGAGATCCAGGCGTGGGCGTACTCGTCTCCCATAAACTCCGGGGCTGACAAAACACAGCAAAGGCAGACAAGACCAAGGCTTCCTGGCGGTAAAAATGAATGCTACGGAAGATGTGGGATGGATGGACACACCGTCTGCTCTAGATTCTTGCGTAGAGCGATTGAAAGCCGTGAAGAGCCTAGGTATGGATGCTGGTATCGATTTCCATGGCCGGATCCACAAACCGATGGCGAAGCAGTTAGCCAAACTCTTAGAGCCTCACCGGCCGATGTTCATCGAAGAGCCACTCTTGTCCGAGAACATTGAGGGTATCAAGAACCTCTCACAGCACACCTCAACTCCCATCGCCCTAGGCGAGAGACTCCACAGCCGCTGGGACGTAAAGCCATATCTCGAATCTGGCGCAGTAGATATCCTGCAGCCAGATGTTTGTCATGTGGGTGGCATATCAGAGCTTAGACGAATTGCAACAATGTGCGAAACGTATGATGTTGCGTTGGCTCCGCACTGCCCACTAGGGCCTATTGCTCTTGCTGCTTGTGTCCAGGTTGATGCTTGCAGTGCCAACTTCGCCATCCAGGAGATGAGTCTCGGTATACACTATAACGCAGGGACACAGGATTTGACCAGTTACACAAAGAATCCCGAGGTTTGGAATGTGAAGAATGGGTATATTGAATTGCTGACTGGACCTGGATTGGGAATCGAGATTGACGAAGAACAAGTTCGACGATTATCAGCTGGAACTGAGCCATGGGTGTCTCCTGGGTTCTTTGGTCCTGGAGGAGAAGTAAGAGAATGGTAGTACCTAGAAGTAACATCAAATAATGTAGTTGCCAAATGGATGTCAGGCTCCATGACATGACTTCAATTCAAGGCAGCGCCACACACTCGATTTCAATATCCACACCCTTAGGTAGCTGCTTGACAGCAACACAACTCCTTGCTGGCTTGTGCTTAATCCACTTCTCATACTCTCCATTCATCTCTCCAAAGTCTCTCATATCCGTGAGAAAGATCTGCACTTTGACAATGCGATCAATCGAAGATCCGGCCTCTGTAAGGACAGCCGAGAGAGCTTTCAGACACGCGGCCGTTCTATCTCCCATGGTACCCTCAACTAGATTTCCTTGAGAATCTGCTGGAAGTTGGCCAGAGCAGTAGATTGCATGTGGTGTTTTAATGGCTTGTGACTACTGGATGTCAATTTTGGCCTGACTAATGACTACAACCTTGGAACGAATGCTCACATATGGTCCAACAGCTAAATTTCTGGATTAGTAAGTTCCAATGAAGCAGCCAGATGTAGAACACTGACGAGGCATAGCATTTTTGGTCAAAATTGGAGAGATATCTGACAACCTCTTTGACGAGGTTCGTAGAGCTCTTGATTGAAAAGCTATGGATCGGCTCATTGGAAGACTCAGGCTATTTGAAAGCCGAGGTGCGATCCTTCGAATCGTCGACATGTTGAGCCTGGAACGATATTTTGGGATCACTCGAAACCTTTGAAGTTGGGATGGATAACAAACAAGAACCACGCATGCAGAGTACCTCTTGGCACATGCACTCCACGTGACGCGATACTTTCTATTAAAGGCAGAAGCCCGTGAGACACTTCTGAAGTTAATTTTGAAGTAGTTTTACAGAATCGAAAAATATAACGGTAGTGTTGAAAACAAAGTGAAAACAACTGTAAGTGCTCACTTAGAAGATCGGAATGTGGCAGTTTACCCCTTTCCTCCACATCTGACGAGGGACGCTAAGGGAGTTGGGAAGGACACATTAGCCTTCGCGGCAGCAACACCTTGCCAATATATTTTGGTCAAGGAGCTCGTCTCTTCCAACAACGCGTTACTCACGACCACGACCACGAATCTGCCTCTTGATCGCATTCGGTCAATGCTCTTTTCTTACGCTCATTGACTCCAGCTGAGGACTGCTTCTTTTCTTGTGAGTGCCCGGCGGCGACCTCCGTCCCGAGCTTCCAGGTCGAGAGCTATCCTTTTCCACCAGAGCTTCTGCTGACACTATACTCGGACCAGTTTTTAGACTTTGATTCGACCTACCCTTCGCGATGTCTGGCCAACAAGGCTCGGTGCGGAAACGGAAAGATGTTACTGCTATACCAAAAGCAAAGGATGCCTTCTCGACTGGCATAGCTGCCCCTCGAGATGCCGAGCTTGATGCTCTGGTGAAGGCTAAGCTCGAGATCAAGGGACCAGGTGCTGAGTGGGATTATCGGATTGCAATCACAATTATCACAATTCTGGCCTTCATAACCAGATTTTGGGGCATCAGCCATCCAAATGAGGTCGTATTTGACGAGGTCCATTTTGGCAAGGTATATCTATCGAGGAAGCTCTAAATTGCCCAGACGTGGCTAATATTTTGTTTCTAGTTTGCCTCTTACTATCTCGAGCGAACGTACTTCTTCGATGTTCATCCTCCCCTCGGAAAGCTACTTTTTGCCCTTATGGGTTGGTTTGTTGGATATGACGGACATTTCCACTTTGAAAACATTGGCGATTCATATATCGATAACAAGGTCCCATACGTAGCATTCCGTGCTATGCCTGCCTTTCTCGGAGCTCTTACGGTTCCCGTGGTATTTGACATAATGTGGGAATCTGGCTACACTCTGCCAGCTTGTATTCTCTCAGCAGGCTTGGTTCTCTTTGATAACGCCCACATTGGACAGACCAGACTGATCCTTCTCGATGCCGGACTTATCTTCGCAATGGCCTGCAGTTTGTTGTGCTACGTCAAATTCTATAAGCTTAGACATGAGCCGTTCGGTCGAAAGTGGTGGAAATGGCTCCTCCTCACTGGCTTTTCTCTCAGCTGCATCATGTCGATCAAGTACATTGGTACATTTTCCTTCGTCACTATCGGAGCGGCGGTTGCGATTGATCTTTGGGATCTGTTGGACTCGAAGCGCCGCCAGGGTGCTCTGACCCTACCCGAGTTCGGAAAGCATTTCGTTGCCCGAGCATTTGCTCTGATCATCGCGCCGTTCTTCTTCTACCTTTTCTGGTTCCAGGTTCATTTTGCGATTCTCAGCCGATCAGGTCCTGGAGATGATTTCATGTCCCCCGAATTCCAGGAGACACTGAGCGACAACGTGATGCTTGCCAATGCTGTTACTATCAACTACTATGACAACATTCAGATCAAGCACAAGGAGACATCTAGCTTCCTCCACAGTCACCCAGACAAGTATCCTCTTAGATACGACGATGGCAGAGTCTCCAGTCAAGGTCAGCAAGTCACTGGATATCCATTTGCTGATGCCAACAACCACTGGCAAATCCTCCCACTTAACAGCAATGAGGTTTTGGGACAGCCAGTGAAGAACAACGAGCTTGTCAGACTCCGACATGTTGTTACCAACACCATGCTCCTGTCTCACGATGTTGCATCTCCATACTACCCAACCAACCAGGAATTCACTACCGTCCCAATGGAGGAGGCTGTGACTGAGCGTTATAACGACACCCTTTTCGAGATCCGCATCGAGAATGGCAAGTCAAATCAAGAGTTCAAGAGTCTTTCTGGTCAATTCAAGCTTATCCACAACCCAAGCAAAGTTGCCATGTGGACTCACACTACTCCTCTTCCAGACTGGGCATACAAGCAGCAAGAGATCAACGGCAACAAGAACCTTGCCCAGAGCTCCAACGTTTGGTATGTCGACTCGATCCCATCCATCCCGGCCGACAGCGAGCGTTTGATCAAGAAGGAGCGTAAAGTCAAGAGTGTTCCATTCCTCAAGAAGTGGTTCGAACTCCAGAGAGCTATGTTCTATCATAACAATGCCTTGACCAGCAGTCATCCCTATGCCAGCGAGCCATTCATGTGGCCATTCTTGTTGCGTGGTGTCAGTTTCTGGACTCACAACGATACCCGTCAGCAAATCTATTTCCTTGGAAACCCTCTTGGATGGTGGTTGGCTAGCAGTCTTTTGGCTGTCTATGTTGGCATTATCGCCGCTGATCAGTTGTCTCTGCGCCGTGGAGTCGATGCGCTTGATACCCGTAAGTCTTCACCGGATCCATTCTCATTCCATACTGACATATTTAGGCACCCGATCTCGTCTTTACAACTCTACTGGTTTCTTTTTCATTGCATGGGCCACTCATTACCTTCCTTTCTACGTCATGGGTCGTCAATTGTTCCTTCACCACTATCTTCCAGCACATCTCGCATCAGCATTGGTCACCGGAGCACTACTCGAGTTCATCTTCAACGTCGAGCCAGTCATCGACGATGTTCCCGCCAACAAGAAGATTGGCGCACCCGTCAAGAAGCACCTCCCAGCTCGTGAGAAGCTCGTCGGACAGAACCTCATGGCATCATGGGCCGCAGTCGTTGTCATCCTCACAATCGTTATTGGAGGATGGTACTATTTCCTACCTCTGACCTACGGGTTCCCAGGTCTTGATGTTGCTCAAGTCAACGCCAGAAAGTGGCTAGGCTACGATCTTCACTTTGCGAAATAGAGGATAATTGGAGATAAGGGCGATGTAACGTTAGTTGGGATGTGTAAAAATCGGCGTCGGATTCAAGAATAGCCAGATGTGTCTTGACTTAGCGACTGCATATGTAAAATGTATTTCGTTGTTTGAGAATCTCTATGAAAGATATCGTGATTCTCTTCTTGCATTCCAGATCGAGAGGCTTCATGCCGATATGATTTCGTATCTCAGGATAGAGTTGGTGAGCAGCACCTAGACCTAAGAGGATGCTATGAAAGCTGAGTTGCCTCTTCAGCACTGAGATTGACAAAACACCACAACCGTCTCACAGCTGCGAAATTGCTTGAGTGCGTAAGACATGTTACTGAAGGCGTTCGGAACTTTGCATTGATGAGACTTTGCAACAAGCTACACATGTGATGAGCGACAAGAGCAGTAGACATCAGTGCAGAGTGCTTCCAGTTGTGCTTACCAAGGGCTATCAGTCTCCAAGGCTCGAAGCCAGATGTTGAGAGCAAGGAGATCTGTGATGGACTATCTGCTCGAAGAACAGCCACGAACGAGCAATGAGATCCTAAAACAACTTGATTCTTCAAAGAAAGATTCCCCAAATCGTCTGAGTTAGAGGAGGCCCGGAAGGCACTATGATGTATGCATGGATGTCTCCTGACGGCAAAGACGATACCTTCGAGGCCAGCAAGTAAAGTCCATAGGGCAGATGCTTCGTGCTTGAAATGGCATTCTTTGAATAGAACACCCACTGGATTGATTTCAAGTCGATTCACCACTGGCTTGACGACAACCACACCATCTTGATGCGAACCACCTTCATGCCAGCACCTGAATTACCACTTATCCCCGTGAAGGACGGGTACCTTTCATAGATGTTGTTCCCATGCACTGCAGGTATTGGCAGCACGGGTGAGCCGAGCGAAAGACGAATCAATGTGTTGTTCTTTGAACAAGCTCTACGTCTTTCTCGAAATCCTTGGGGTCCTCGTCTTCAGCTTCGTCTTTGATCATGACCACAGCATCTGATAGCTTCCAGCGCTTGCTCATTCTACACCTCGTTCAAAAGCTTGCGGCTTGATCGAAGATCTCTTGACGAAAAGAGAATCCTACCTTGGAGTTCCAGACCTCTCTCGGATCCGGCATCAGCTACTAGGAGCAGCCGGGAGCATTTGTAGATATTCGGCACGCGCTAGCATATGGAGGAGCTCGACCGCATCAAACATGTGATGAGTCCAATCACCCTTGACAGTGCCTGAAAATGTCAAAAAATGTTCCACTATATGTATCTTTGATCAGTGCCAAACAGAGATGCTTGGGTCTGGTGGACACTACAATCAACGTATGTTAGACCGTAGAAAAGCATCATTTGTCGATTTTGGTCCTTCATCGAATATCATGGCTGAGAGTGCAACACAAGTTACCCTGAATTTTGGATATTTTGGCTCTTGGATCCACTGTACATGATACCACCATTTGCGGCTTGTCCCAATATCATCCCAGGAAAGGATACATGATTGCAAGCATCAGACTTATTGTCGGAGCAGCTCCATGTTCTAGGTGAGATGTACAAGCCTTCAACCATACCGGCAATCTTTGCTCATCTCCTCAACCACCCCTCCAGTACTCTGAGCTTCTCATGTAGATTTGTTTTTACAACATCGCAACACCCACAGCAACTAAGACGATGGTCGACAAGAGTCCATTTCCAGCATTCAAGAAGCTTGCACCGCTTGTAGACTTGGAAGTCGATGTAGCAGCGGCAGACGAAGATGATGCAGAGGCAGCAGCCTTTTGAGAATCTTTAACAGTGTTAATAATTTCTTAATCCATGCTTCAAGTGTGCGAGAACGTACCACCAGCCTTTGATGCCTCCTTCGCGGAAGTGATAGCAGTGCAGGCATCCATCAATGTAGTGTTAGACATCATTGTGTCAAGCTCAGTCTGGGCAGCAGTGGCCTTCTCTTTAAATGAAGCAATTTTCGTGGCATTGTTCTTAGTCTTCTCTACAAGCTTTGTTTCGTTACCGGCGGTTGTGATGAGTTTTTGCAGCCTGGAGTACAGATTAGTTGCGATCAAAGTTTATCTTTCCAAGAAACCTACTTAGACATGGTCTTGCATTCATCCTTGGTTGCCTCAGCAGCTGAGATAACAGCGCAGGTAGACACAAGAGTGGCGTTTGACTCCATAGTGGAAAGCATAGTGGCGGCTTCAGAAGCTTTAGCTTTGATTGAAGCTATTTCTGTGGCATTATTATTGGTTTTCTCCGCCAGCTTGGTCTCATTTGAAGCCAATGATACGAGCCTCGTCATTTGCGCCATGTCTTTGCAGATGCTCTTGTCGGTGATGGCCTTGGTCTTGTTACCACCCCCGGCAACGACAGCTGTGGAGAGGAGTAAGGAGACGAAAAGCCTGCAGAGCTGCATTCTGGCGAGTTCGAAGTCGAGGAAGAAGAGTTGCAGAAACAAAATGTTGAAGGAAGAAGAAGCAAAAGGAAAAACGGGTCGGCCGAAGAGTCAAGGATAGAATATTGATGAGAAGATCAGATAGTGATACCAAATTACTATCTGAGAGAGGAGATGGCGAAGCCTTATATACTCCACGGCATGTCCCTACAGCAGAGAAGTCTGAAATTGCCCATTGACGAAGCCTTTCGTCTCTATCTCCATAATTTCGGAAGCGCAGCCAAGGATAGCACAAGTCAGAGCATCAGTCAAACGTCTACGTCCTCTGGATTGTTTGGGATGAGGGAGTATCAAGCCTCAATGCCAATGTTTTGTGGTTAAAGATAGCTTTGGGATTAAACAGAGCAATGAGAGACCACGGATCGGGTTGATCGCCAAGTTTAAAACGCGACATCGTAATCCCAGCTTCCTTCAGATCTTGCTACGGCACTTCTGCTAAGAAACCCATACCTCACATCATTATAACTGACCATTTGGACGCTCATCATACAGAAAATACCACATAGTTTCGCTTACGACTTCTCATAATCCATCTTGGGAGTCAGTGGAGGACTGTGATTGGCTGGCTGATGATGATTTTCGAAACTTTGTGTGTCGGGAAATACAAAGCGGATCGTCAGCCACATGAAAATCGAAACAAGCTGACTACACGAGATAGTGACCATCCAGAACAATTATTCTGCCCATATGAAGATTAGGGAAGTGCCACCAATCGCTTGTCAGGTATGCTTCAGCAAAAACCGTGTGCAATATCTTCCACTTCACTCTACGGGAGAACCCCATGGCAACAACATTGAACTTCTAATACACCATCAGTACGCCCCAGCCTGTCTCACATATGGTCTGCGATCAGGCTCATCAAACTCGAATTGAGGCTTACCACTCCATAAGGGAAACTCCTCCCACAAGATCCACTCTTTTACGCATGTCATTCCACACTCAAAACGTTAGCGAAATCCACGACCAGGATCTTCGAAACCTTATAGACTTTCCTGGGAAAATTCTCACAACATTTTGACCATTTATCCTATTGCCCACCCAGCAACGGCATAGAGAATGAGTTGAGCTTGAAGGAAGATTCTTTATAGGCTTGTAAAGTCTAGCAACGGTGTCGAAGTAAGCTTTCCAAGACGTTCCAAGCTTTTGCTAAAACAACTCTCCAATTATACGCTCTCTGAGATCTTTTGAATCGATCAAAGGTCGGGATATCGGCACATGTCAGAGCAGAGAAGAGTAATGCTTGAGATGGCGATTCTGATTGTCAAAACCCAAGCTTCTCTGTGTTGGATGACGAGGGCCACTGGGCTTGCTTCATTTCCAGGAGGATTTTTTGTATTCCTATTATGTCTTTGACATATGTCCAATCTTAGCATAATGATAGCCACCTGCCCGGGTTAGAGTTTCAAGGACCGTTATTTGGAAAGCATATGATGCCAAGATCTGCCCCTAACGTTGTAAGCGAGAGTCAACAAAGGAAAGTAACAGGCAGGTCTGCATCTGGTAAACCCAAAAACCTAAACTAAGACAGATCAAGTAGTTTCAGTAACACAAATCAACCACTGAAGCAGACTGCTTCACGGGGCAGGCTAGCCTTTTGCAAGTGATATGCAAGTGGCGTTCTTAGCAGACCTGTCGGTCAGCACTAAAGCTCGCGCGGAATCTCAGCCGCTTCAGGTGAAAAGACTACACACCGCTTTCCAGGCTCGGCTTCCAGAAATCTAGGGCTTTTACATTCGTATCAATATCGAATAGAATACTAGCCCTGGATTTACCAACGCTTGGTGCATGTATTGTGGCTTCCTCCCGAAGGCCCTATCCCGAACGTCTCGGTCATTCAAATACCGGAGGAGTTTTCCATACATGTAGGCGTGTACACTTTCAAGCAACCTATCTAAGTTCAGTCATAATTTCCAACATAGAGACCATACAGCCCACGATGTCAGACCCGAAACCACATATCGTCCTCATCCCCGGCCTCTGGGTTGGCCCCAAAGTCTATTCTGACGTCTCCTCCAATCTCCAATCTCAGAACTACACAACCACCACCATCCCACTGCGCAGTACAGGCTGCCGATCTCCCGGAAACCCAAGCATGCACGATGACGAAGAATTCATCCGCAGCAAACTTGTACAGCTTATCGAGACCGAGCAGAAGGACATTGTCATGGTGATGCATTCCGCAGGTGGGTTTTTAGGAACAGCTGCCGTCAAGGACTTGAGTAAGAAAACGAGATCTGAGAGAGGAATGAAGGGTGGTGTTGTGGGGTATGTGTTCTTGAGCGCAGCGTTTGTGGAGGTTGGTTATGAGCATGTGGATCCGCCGTTTTTTGTTGTGAATGTAAGTGGGCATGTACTCATATCCAAGATTTGAGGAGATCATTGAAAGATTTGATCTAACCGACGCAGAATGATACGGGAGAAACGCACTGCATTGATCCTAAAAGCACTCTATTCAATGATATGGATGAGGAGAGTACGGCGAAGTGGATAAAGGAACTACGATGCCAACCTGCCAAAGGTTGGGGTTTGACTACTGAGTATGCGGGGTTCCGGGATGCACCAAGTGTGTATCTGATCTGTGAGAAGGATGAGTGTGTTCCATTCGAGTGGCAGGTAGCAGTTTCTCGATATTTCCCTAGAAAAATCGCGCAGTATTACAACCCGGATGCAAAGGCTCAAGTTCTTCAGTCGAAGCTTAGTGTCCCAATCCGACCTTCAGACTTTGAAGCGAATCCATGCTAACGTGAAGAAAACCAGACAAAACTTGCAACATTGGCAGGATCTAGGATGGAGAGATGTGCTGCTGGACACATGCCTATGCTGAGCATGCCGGAAAAGGTTGTAGAAGTTATCATTGGTGCTGCGAAGGAGTTTGGTCTATCACCATCAGCCTAGCAGCCGGACTACGGATTTTGTGTCCTACAGGCGTTCTTGGGTATCTGGTTGTGATGAGAAGTAAGAGAGATTCTAATCTTACTCGACTCCACTACCTTCAATGAAACTTGTCTTTGGCTAATAGGTCTTCTCTGTACGGGATTGAGGTCACGAATCGAATCATGTGTCCTGGTGTAATCTTAGATGTACTGTCCCATACGCGGACGCAACTTTCGTGTACGGAGGCATATCGGACTGGATGTTATGCACGCCTCGGCCGCTTCTCAGCTAAGCTTTATCCTCTCTTGTATCCATCCATTTACACAACAGGCAGATCGATTTCCTAAGCCTAAGGTGTATACTCCCAGTCCTTCTACCTGTGCTCTTTCTGCACAGTATTAGCAAACAATCCGTCCCCATGCTAGTAGTCAGATCTCCCTTGATTTATCCCCCATTGCGCCACGAGACACACTGAACTCATCACTGTCCTCAGGAAATAGCTTTAAATTGAACCAAGCTGCTTTTGATTCTCTTTAATAGCGCAATTGGCTATAATTCTCGAGGTTGCCAATGAAATTTATTTGTGCCAGAGATTTGCTTCGGAACTGGAGAGCAGACGGTGCTGGGCAGCAATCTTCGATCGTATTGGAGTTGACATTCTGTTTATATTCCGCTGACGGATCTATAGCTTCGGTCCAGGGCCTTCGAATAGATTTGTGAACGCGACGTAAACTTCATCTGTCAGGTCACTTGCTTGCAAACTCCTACCCTTCTTCGCAAATGCTAGCCGTGAGGATTCCTGTACTGTGTCAGCAGAGGTATTGTGCAGGATGGGGCACGCATACCCTTGTGATAGAGCTTCCCCCGAAGGCAGCCAAAGCCAGCAGTTCTGCAGCGTCCAGGTCCCCATCGTGGTCCCATAGCCTGTCCAGGTATGCCTTTCTCCACCCTAGAAAAGTCGCCAGGCTTCCCGTTAAGGTATCCCCCTGCCCACCACTCCGTTTCAAGCCTCCCTCAATATCGCTAATAAACGTCTGCTCACCATTCGAAATATAATCCTTTGCGCCCTTCTGTATGATCGTAACGCCGCCGAATGCCTTGGACAGCTTCTCTGCTCCCTTTCCACCTTCTAAGTCAGATGTGTCGATCCCTTTACTCTTACAAAGTCGCCCGAATTCCACAACATTTGGGGTCAATATGCATTCCCGATAGCCTTGTACTAACTCTGGTCTGGTTTGTGCCAAGTTCAGCCCATCAGCATCCAACACAAAGGGCATATTCTCTTTTCGTGCAGCTTCAAGGACTTTGGCACACGTATCCTGCATCAGTTGATCTCGTCCTAGCCCAGGCCCAATAACCAGAACGTGGAGGCGGGGTAGCATATCGATTATGCCCTTTGCGATTGAGGAAGCAGAGTCGGAGCTGCTAGCGTGCGTCGATTGCCGCATCAATGGATGTACCATCAGGTTCGGGGAATAAGTTTTAATCACTTGTCCGGCTTGAGGTTCGCATATTACATGACTCTGCCAATGTCTGTTAGTAGGGTCCATGGCGGGGTAATTACGAGCATAGGTCTGCTCACCATATCTGCACCCAGTCGTGCGCTGGCCATGGCAGAGAAGTATGGTGCGCCGGTGTAGTCCTCACTGCCTCCTATTACTGCTACTCTCCCCATCTGTCCTTTGTGCTGTCAGACTCGGTCGAGTACTGCAGCGTTCACAGCAGAATACCTCGTACCTTTGTGGAACTTTTCGAGCATTGGCGGAACCATTTTCCTGACCCTCAACAGGATATCCTTGGTCGATTGTGTCATCTTGGGCGTTTCTTCGGGCATTGGAACGGGCTGTATTGGACGTGGAGTAGTTGAGGCATTGAGAGGCTTTCGCGATGTAGTAGTGCCTTCCAGCTTGGTGACATCACGACACTGAAGCACATGCCAAGACTCTGCTTGCCGAACCCCTTTTCTCGTGTGGTCGTGGTTTCTCCCCACTCTCAATACCAGATCCGATATCCATCAACTCGTACGTGACTATTCGTACATAAGTGGCTGCCGATTCTTGATCGCCTTCCGAATACCCATGATCGTTGGAAATGGATTTCGCTGCGTCTAAATCGTATGCCGAAACAGTCCTCTCCCAAAATCGGTGACTGAGATCTCCTCGTTTTCCCACATCAATTGATATTATGCGGTCAATCTTTGTTACTCATTCTTTGGAGATCTATTCATCTGTGGATTCTCTCTCATTTGTGTTTATATTAATCTTCAGCACACGGCATTCTGGCACTCTATCTTCAATTCCATTTGCAAAAAGTGCTGGGAGATGGAGGTTACCTCTGCTTATCGTTCAGTCTGTTGTGTTCCTGACATTGCTCTCAACTGGCACTCTCGAGGAAAAGATTTACTGTGGCTGTAAGTACACTATAGTACAGTTTTGCACAGAAATTGCGATCTCCAACGAGTTACTACAGGAGCACAAAGTGGAGGTCAGCATAGGCTGAATACCAGTCTTGCTGTTTCTGAGGATAATCGTAGGAGCTGCAATGTTATGTCCACATCAAAGTCCATATCAATCGTATTCCAATATCAATAATGTTGTTTTATGGCAGATTTTGGCAGCCCGTTATTTTCAGAACTTGGCGTGTCCAGCCATCGGATCCTGCAATATTTCTAGCTCCACAGACCTCCGTTCTTTCAAATGAATACGGATCGTCCTATCAGTACTACATTTTGTTCCATGCCGAAGGGACGATCATTTCGTATTCTCTTGTCTGTAGCAGACACAGGAACTTGTTGGCATACTATAAATACCTCTGTCCTTTTCGCAAGCAGACTCAATATCCTCATCATTATATTCAATTTAAAGTCACCAGTAACTCTCAGAACTTCTACGAAATGCAGTATTCAATCCTCCTCAAGGTAGCTTCGGTCTTGGCAATGTCCAGTTCCATCTTCGCCTCCAACCTCCACTGCGGATGCTATTACAAGGGCGCGAACCACCCCCGGATCACGAACAGGTGCTGCGAGCTGTAAAAAGCCCTTCTTGATATGGATTACTTCGCTAAAGCGGCGGAGGTACGTCCTGGTCGCTCTCGTTCTTTCTCGCGTACTGAACTGACCATGACAGTGCTCGAAAGATGGTTCAAACTTCGACACTGGAGCTTACGTGGCATGTTGCGAGAAATTTCATTATACTGGTTATTGCTGGACTGTGGATTAGGATTGATCTGGAACTGAAGCGATCGATACATACGCTATATTGGTCTAGCAGACAGGGTAGCTGCTTGTCAAGCATGTGGTCCAAATATGAAGTAAATTGATGGTTGAAATTTGACCCACGTGATTTTTCTCTCTTCGTCTGTGTTGCTGGAGTAGACAAAGAGAAAGCTGATGAAGCTTATTTTGATAATAATTTGACCTGCCTGATTTCTGCTGAGAGCATATCCTGTCTACAATATCATTTATAACTGTCCATAATGCCCACACCAGATATGGCTCTGTTATATCACGTATCTTCATAACCATCTATTCAACCTCAGCCAAGGGTTGTACCTTCAGAAGTTCCTCACCGCTGTTGGTTCTACCACACATATTGCGCAATCCTCAGCCACTGAAATCCTTCCAGCACTGTACGAGTGTTGGATTCTCAAACAACTCTCGCTGAAAACCTTGGAGCGGGCAAGTTTCCTGAACTGTGGGAACTCTTGCAAAGTACGCTCACCAGCAGTATGGCAATAATACCTCGTAACCACCCTATCAGTCATAGGAACAGGAGGAGGAGGCTCTTCAGTAGCGCCTGCTCGTTCTCCCACGACCGTCTTTTCGTCCTTGCCAGCCATAATCTGAGACGCTCCTGCTTCTTCGTGATCAAAGTTTTGATTAGAGGCTGACGCTGATTCTTGTAGAGACATGCTGTTACTCGGAACTACCACATCTCCAGCGATCTTGTCGGAAGTGGTCTCCAAACTCAATTGCGATAGTGGTATGAGATCATTGGAGATGACCGAGTTGCTTCTTGCGGAAGAATTTTTAGCTGCACATCTAGCACACATCTCTCCATGGTGCTTTGCCGTCTCTGCTGCATATCTAAGGCCGAATTCAGCACGCTTGGCAATCAAGATCTCTGGCGCTGCAGCCATCTTCGTATACAACTCATGCACACCCAGCGCAACTTCGAAAGCCCAGCCAGACACATTTTCTGATGAGTATAGAACTTCCCAGGTATCTGCTGCCCACGTCTTCACTGCTTCCTCGGATGGTTTGCTTGGAGGCCGGAATATTCGTCGCTCATATACCTTACGTAACAGGTCGATGTTGGTCGGGACTGGGCCGAATTGCTCACGTCGTGTTTCACATAATGTAACTGGTGGTGGTTGATATGAGATATATGAGGGCGGGCCTTGGATGGAGGATAGGAGAATGGATTTCAGCTCAGCGATCTCCGCAGTCCCATCAAGATCATCGACCACCGCTTCCGTCGGGTCGGAGATTTTGTCCCTTTCACGGACTTCCAACGATTCCTTTCCTGCGGATAGATCAGTATCAGTGAAATGAGACCATATTGAAGCGGAGTACCTGGAGGAGGGAATGCAGCTTCCAGCTTCATCTGAATTGGAACTGGTATCTTGCCCCTTTTGCTGTTCGCCATTGCAAAGTCGGTACATTCCTTCAAACTAGCACCATTCTCTAGCATTTTATCGATTTCGATTCCGAATTTTTCGTAGATGAGGTGTTTCTTCTCCTTCTTGTTCATCTTCTTCTCTTTCTTACCGATCTTGGCGGCCCATTTGGTAGTATCAGGATCTCTGCTGGCAACGACAAGAGCAAGTTCTTGTTCCAAAACATGTTGATGCTCCTGATCTTCCTTAACAAGTCGAATCGCTCTGTCTGCACGATGAACCATAAACGCCTTCATTAAGATATTCGGTGAGCAGTCGTCGTAGTACCCCATGGTTGCGATAAAGGTCGAGGATGAGCTTTAGTTGATACTTTTGGTGAGATATGTAATGACAGGATAGCAGATCTACTCTCGATAAGAGTGAAGTTATAACAAAGTCTATGAAGTCGAGAAATATTCTCGCCGGGAGAAGTTCCTCGTCGACCTTCAGCCTCATTGGGTGGCGCTAAAACGTTCTAGACGAGAAGCGGGGCGAATTCTCGAGTGAGCAGCACGCATCGCACAATCACTATTCTAATTGATGACTGTCAGAAGAGTGAATTACTATCAAGAAAAATAATAAAATCGAGGATATACATCAAGTTTTGGCCTCCATTGCCCATAATCAGCACGAACAGTCCAGAGCGAAACCGAATGTTGACAAGAACAATTAAGCGAGCTGACGTGGGCACCAATCGTTCAGCGCAGAAGGGAAACCTATCTCCAGTGCAGCTCAATTGCCTCCAGTTCTAACGACCAGTGACCAAATCATTCCATCGACCAGGCTTTGCGAAGGCTACTGGGTATGCATCTGTGAGCATTCAATCTCTTGTCACGCACAAGTTGCCATTCACCCCAGCTGACTCGAGCCCTCGAAACATTGATGCCGTGCTTTCTCATCTCAGAGACTTCTTTTCCATTGAGAGGCTGAAGTACAAGATGTGTCACCTCGAATGCGACGAATGGTGTTCTTCGCTGCTCCAGATATCGGCCATAGCTAAATGGGTACCTAACGTGACAGCCAATCATGGGTGGTGGTTGTTCGACAGCCCCCGCGCCATCCAAGTAGCGAAAGTATTGCTGGTCTATATGTGCATAGAGGCCTTTCGTCCAAGAGGAGAATCTTGTTGTCATGGATGGTTAGCTAAAGTAAGTTTGAGTAAGTTCACATAAACCCACCTGTAGTTGGGTTTTATCGCTCCCCTGAGGTCACCAGAGTTGTCTTCTGTCTCTACCGCGAGCTCAGCAGCAGTATTGCTATCGGAATACTCCATATCATACATAGGGTCTTCTTCAAGCCTGAATTTCTTTTCATGGGTGACATCGACCGAGATATCATCCTCTGCTTCGATGGACTCAGAGCTGTCGGCAGTGGGGTTGTCGCTTCCAAAAGCGAATGCTTCCACGAGAGCCTCGGGGATTGGTGATTGGCGGTCTGATTTTCTATAAGGATATGGATTTTTGGAGAACGCTGAATCGGGATCAGGATATTCGCTGGTATTTAGCCTTGAAAAGTCCATGCTATCGACATGGGCTGACTTGGTTGCTTCAGAGAAATCATCGGCAAAGCCGGATGAGCCAGGACGGTTGGTTGCCATTGTACTGTTATCGTTGTAATACTTCTGAGATTGTGTGTCAGAAAGATGGATTAATTATCATGAAGAACAATTGACAGGAAAATTGAAAAATCCTGTGCACTCGATTCGCTTCTGGACTGAGGGCCACAGATTTGGTGGTCCATGAAGCTAGATTCTGGGTGGGCCACACTAATGAGGGCGGACTATTTGCTTCGGTCCAGAATAAAATTTCGCGCTTATGAAATTATATGAGAAAGAAAAGAAATGGCATGCTCTTAAAGCTGGTTCAATACGTCCCAGCTTGCATGTATGTAAATGAAATAATGGAGTTGGAATCACTTCACGTCTCAAAGGTAAGACATTCGCGCAACGAGGGTATTCCATTCCTATTCCAAATAACCCAGTATGATGAATATGACGCCGAAACATCCATCGATGACTTCCGTTCTGCACATCCAACTTTCCATCATGATCCGCCCTACGTTGTTCCATTGCGTCAGCTTGCTTTAATTCGTGTCTTTTGCAAATTTCGAACAGGTGATGTTTGTCGAGCTTGGAAACCAATTCAATCGGTGTAGTAGTCGTCGATGGTCCAGGAGACACGAAGACCGCTGACAGTCTTGACTCGGTATCTGCCAAACCTAGGGTGCCTTTCAAGATTCCATTCCGCAAAAGACACTTCGACTTCCTCTCGTCGGATCCCGTCTTCATCCACCTCACCTTCCTCGAACCAGTCATCCAAGTCATCTGGAACGTCTTCAAACTGTGCTTCGGCCTTCATCGGATTGTCTTTCGAAAAGTAAGAAGACTTGTTGACTTTCAGTGGAGCGGGAAGATCATTAGGATCAACTTCAGCGAGTGGTTGACCTCTGAATGACTCGCCTTCGAATGGTGTAATTGGTCGATCTGGTGCATCAAGCGGCCCAAGGTCGTCAGGATTTTCCTCCTCGATCTCCAACAACTCCTCTAAGCCAACGTCGTCAAGACCGACCATATGCATACTCTCCATGCTTCCCACACCATCTAAATCACTCTCGGCCATCTCTAAGTCTTGTATATCGTCCGTTCTGTCAACGTCTCTTCCCTTGTTGATGATCGTGCTTGTCGTGCCTCTCGAGTTTGAGCTTGGACTTTGGTCGATCTGGTTGTTGCCAGAAGCAGGACTGACTTCCACAAATCCATCGGTCTTCTCAAAGTCTCCTGTCTCACACCTGTTTTGTCGAGGATTGTCTGGTTGCTCAGTAAGTGCCTTGGGGGCAATGTTCTCTTTGTTACTGGCGCTGCGACGCATATTTGCTCTTCGAATTCAGCGGTTATCAAGAGGTGTCGCTGACGCTGAGGATATTCAGAAATTCGAAGATGTGGCAATTTATACTCTTTGGTGAATTTCAAGGACATGTTGGCCTGATTTTCACATCATAGTAAGACGCTCACTTTTGCCAGTCTTTGTGTGGATTGAATTTCACGGGAGATTCAGGCTACAATATGGGTAATCGTCCGACCTTGTTCAGATACGTCCAGGTACTGTCGCTGGTACAGCTGGACGAGAAATTTAGTGGTGTTGCGCTTGGTTTCTGGGCTGACCTATATATTGTTTCTGTATCTCTGTATGGCTTCTTGTTTCATTAACAAGCACAGCTGGGGAGGAGTCAGATGAAAAAGCGGTCTTGAAGTATTTGGAGAGTTCCTGATTTTCATGGGCATTCAGAATACTTTGAATCCAGTCACAGGTTTAAGACTTTGTAGCCAGTTGGCAGAGAAATGGCAAGTCCTACCAAACATCCGTGCATGCCTTCACCTCGGATGCATAAGGGCCTCGCAGCAGGTCGCCACGACCTGGCCCCCTTCACTTGGTACAGTACAGTTCCGAGATTTCACAGTTGTTGAACCAGCTTTCAGGAAAGGAACTCTGCAATGCTGGCTTTCAAAACACCACCACCACCAAATGAATGCCCTGGCCCTAACCCCGAGTCAGCGGTCAATGGCCGGGACGGTCACGTGGCACACTGACGATGTCCTCGCGTTCGCAGCTTCCAAAATTAAGCGAGGGTTTGAATATTTGAGACGCTAAAACGGCGGGCTTAGAGAGTGACGCACACCAGCTATTCCCGAAATTCCGTCAATTTGGCATAAAAAATTCGGTGAACATTCAAGTATATCTTCAACGTTTGCATTCTCTCTTGCTTTAATGCAGCTTCGAGCAGTGTTAGGCAGATGGGCTTTGTTGACATTGTCGACAAGGAAGTATATTGGGAAGTTAAGAGACCAAAAGACTTGTCAAGGCACTTTAAGAACATGGTGGAACTTCGAGTTATACAAATGATCAATCTGAAGTTCATTAAACCAGAAGCCTTCATCCAGTAACACATTTCCAATAAATCATTACTTCGACGCCTTCTCGTTCTGTGGTCCCAAGTGTGGCGTACATCATATAATCCTCATTCCCGAGGAAAGATGAATACAGGATCGTACAGGAAAGCAGTACGAAACCTTTTTGAACCTGCCAAGCTTAGATGCGGTCCTTGAGAGAGGGTATATCGACGATATAATCGATCCACTTCTGGATGTCGTCCTCCTTTGATTGTGGTACAAATCCTGCCACAATGAGGTCGATTTGACCTTGGATATCTCCCTAGTCAATGTGTCAGCAATGCTTTGTTGAACATGATAACTACCACACCCGTACCTTTTCTTGGCACTCAGCCCATCGACTGTCTGCTTGTGGGAGCTTGTTGTCCTGTTCTGTTAGCTTTGAGTGGTTCGTGAAGTCGATGGGTACTTACGACTTCCTTCTCCTTGGCTTGAATCAGTGGATTGGGAGGTGTGACTCTCATCACGAAGGCAGGAGCGGTCGGGTTAAGTCCGCGTGGTGGCAGGAGCGATGCTTGATTAGCAGCAGCGCTAGCCCTCAACATTGCCGTCAGTCTCTCGTAGTCGGGGTTGGCTGGTGCGATAGTGGTGCACAGTGAAGATGAATTCGAGCAGTCATCTCCAATCTGTGGCTCTGGAGAAGATTCGTCTCTCGCAGGCTCACGGGAAGGCAATGGTTCATCCATGTCCTTGATTCTGCCTTCCACGACGTCTTCTTCGTAGTCGGCCCAGTCGGGTATCTTGCCCATGGCAGCGGGTGGGCATTCGCACTCTGCCTTCTTGCTGATGCTGGTAGAGACAGACATCTCGAGAACGGTGAGGCTCAGAAGTTAAAGTTGTTGATTGATGTATGTCTGGTGTGGGTTTGGAGGAAGTGAAAGTGGATGTGGAGATGTGAGACAAGAGTGAGGATATATGGTTAACTGAGGTAGAATAGTATATGGGAGTGAGAAGTGGTTGCTCGAAGAAGAAAGACAGTTGAAGGAACCAGCCAAGCTTTTATAAAATTGTACATGATATGTGATGCTACTAAATTAGCCCTGTCGACGTAACAATAGCCTAGAATTGTTATTTGAACTGGAAGGTAGGAGTTTGGTTCAACAACGCGCCAATATAGCGGCAATCGAAAAAAGGTACCAAAATTGGACAACGTTGACGCAAAATACATGTGACACGAATTGGAAGATGATGGGTTCACCGTATTCAGCTTGCATTGAGGAACTATCCTAGTTCGTACAAAGTTCTTACCCAACCAACTCGGCTCTCGCTCGCTCCTCACGAACGGTCAATGACCATCTAAGGCGCGATGGCTGAAAGCACGAAACAGCCTTGACGGATGGCTTTTCTCTGTAGCATATCTCGTCCCATCCAATCTCTGCATGTTGCTGCTCGATTCCAAAGTCCTCCCAACTCTCCCCTTCCGTGTCATCGTTCCAAGTCCACTCTTTGACCTCCTTCGTTCCAAACTCCGCCCTAATAACAATATCTCTGTTCTTCAACGTACCCCTTGGCTTGTCCCGCTTCATCATCATCTTTGAAAGCCATTTGCTGGCGGCAATGCTCATTGTCTCTGCGACCGGTCGAACCTTGTAAGGGATTGGCTTGGGCTTTGGCTCGATTCTCGATAGGTTGGCTCGCGAGACTTTGATGGTACGGATGAGGTTTTGGAATTCATCGGTGGTGGTGCTCTCCGCCACGTAGACTCGTTCGAGTTCTTTCGCAGCATTCTCCGCAGTGGCATATACCTCATCGTCGATTTCGTTCCAGCGGACCTCGATGAGGTGCTTTGCCTTCAACACCGCGCGGACCTTCTCTCCAACCCATTTTGCTGCAGCATCGGCACGTCGGAAAGGTATCTTCTTGCATCGCTTGGTGGAATCCGAGTCGGTCGTGCTTGCCGCAAAAATCTGGGGTTTTCTCGCAACACGGAGCTGTGAATGGTTAGGATTGGTATTGAAATGAGGGAAAGGTTTGTTCTTCCCTGAAGTATGGAACCTTTGTTAGGGATGAGCTTGGTGACTGAGAGAATTTTGGTTGACATGATGGCTGTAAGTTTTGTTGATGTGTGCTTGGTTGCAAAGGGTTGGTTGTAACTAGGATTCAGGAAACCAATTGCTTGTGAGATAAATATAATCAAGGTTAATCAAGGCTAATCAAGGTTATATTGAGTTAACAACTGTTGATTGAGAATAATAACAAGAAAGAAGAGGCTTGGAGGCCGATATGGGGGTTGTGGGTTGCGATCTCGGGAAGGTGAATTGAGGTGAACGGATGCCAAAGCGGCTGGGCTTAGGTGAGCTGTCCCGCGAGGACACGCCCTAGGATTGAGCGATACTAATGTAGTTGAAGGGATAGCCTTGCTGAAATCAGACTTAATAGTATACTTCTTGCATATTATTAGCAATGATAATAGTTGTTTGGGGTAGATCTTCCGTGTGATCTCTGAAGACGTGGATGATTGAGCTTCCTGGTAACGCGAAAGAAACCAGGCTTGAGCAGATTCATGAAGTTGGGGAAGTTTTTAATGGCCAAATACTCAAAACCCAAGCTACTGTATTTTTCTGGTTAGATTTATGCATGTAGGTTTTGAGAAAGTAGTATAGAAAGAGATGGTTGAAATTGATATGTTATGTTCAGCCAGCCAGCTTCACCCACAAATGGTCCACTTCTAATTTCAAAGTCAGACTAGCCATGGAGCATACCCAAGTTCCCCTACTTAATCATTTAGGTCTTTAAGATAGTGGTATAGGAGGTGACTGGACACAGAATTGTGTTGTATGCCACCAAACATAGCTGGTCAAGACCCTAGTCGGAAAGTAAACAAGCACACTTTGTGCACTCATCACTTGCTTCTACCTGGGTCGCATCGCCCAAGTTACAAGAGCAATTAGACAAAGAGCAAGAAAACGACACATTGAAGACATTGTCAATTGTCAAGAACTTCACACCAACTGTATTTTATATTCTCCGGAAATGGAAGTCATTTCATTTCTTCGGAAGAGCGGGGCAGCGGCTCTCGCTTAACTCTCCAAGTCAGAAGGACTCCAGCATTGCCCTTTTTACGAGGGTCGTGCTTTTGAGCAGACCCTCAAAAATCTCAAGGCTGCTGGTTGGGAACACCATGGCGCTGAAGCTCGACGATATCTGTGACAAGTGACTTGAACGGATAATCATGAATGAGGATGGCCATACTCTGGAGGTCGTGTCTGATCTCTAAATTCCTCCCTCGGACATCAGCAGTCAGCACTCCAATATAAGTTGCGACAGCTTCGCATTTATCGAAGTCACCGGCCAGGCAGTAAAAAGGGCATTGGCAACTACCAATGGAACTGATGATCAATGGCTTAAAGAGTATGAAAAGAGCTTGAAAGTGGTACAAAATTGGGGGGCGCCTTGAAACGAAAGTAGCAAAAATGATTTCCCACTCGGACCCAACACTTTCCAAGCCAAAATAATCTCCACAACAGTTCCCCCATATTACATCTAAACTCAAGTAAAAACAATCCTCCCCTCAAGTAAAAATAATCCCCCCATCAATAACCAGCGTCTGCCCCGTCATATAATCACTATCCGGACTCGCCAAGTAACTGACCGTCTTCGCCACATCCTCGGGTACGCTCGTTCTCCCCAGAGCAATCAAATCCTCCGAATACTTCTTAATCGTATCACCCTTCTTGACACCTGATTTCTTGCCCAGCTCCTCATCAATCAGATCCCACATGGCTGTGCCGACGATACCTGGCGCGTAGCCATTGACAGTGATTTTGTGCTCGGCCATCTCCATGGCGAAGGCTTGGGTGAAGCCGCGGACGGCGAACTTGGATGCGGAGTAGTGGGAGAGCATGGCGAAGGGTTTGAATGCTACGATACTGTGGGGGAGTCAGAACCATTTGGACCAGAACTCGAAAAGAAATGGCCGGGTTTTCCCAAGATGGAACGGGAGGACAGAATAATACCAAACTGGACCTTACCTCGCAGCACCCACAATCTTACCTCCACCACCCTGCTTAATCATCTGCTTTGCTGCCGCACTATAGCAATTAAACACGCCAAACACATTAACCTCAAACATCCTCCTCACATCATCCTCGCTCAAATCCAGCAGTGCTTTCACCTGCGCGATACCCGCGTTGGCGATCATGACGTTGAGCGGGCCGAGGTTCTTGACGGAAGCTGCGATCAGGGCTTCGACTTCAGAAAGTTTGGAGACGTCCGCGACGTGTCCGTAGGAGGAGCGGCCGAGGGACTGGATTTTTTTGACGGTCTTAGAGGAGGAAGAGGTTAGTCTGCTGGTTTCGAAGAATACTCTTGGAGATTTGGGATAAGTGGGTGAGGGAGGAAGTACTTCTTCAATCCCGGCCTTATTTGCTGCAATGTCGTTTATGCAGACGTCGAAGCCATCTTCAGCTAGTCTGATTGCAATTGCCTTTCCACTGTTTGGAAATGATCAGCTGATATTCGAGAGATCTCGTTTGTGAAACCAGGTGAGAATATCATACATTCCCCGTGCAGATCCCGTAACAATTGCTGTTCGTTTGCCGTAATCTTTGGTCACGGCTGTGCTCTTCCCTTTGCTTGCCATTGCAGATCGTGAAGCTTGATTGGATTTGACTGTTGCGGTGCTGTGAGTGTAGCTGAAGGAGAAGAAATGGGAAGGAGTCTGAAGAAAGCGGAAGTGAAGAAAGTTGCGATTGAAAAGGAGGAATAATTGAGGAAAGACCACCCATTTCTCACCAGGAGCAACCTCCTCTTATTTAAGCCCCCTCGTCTTGCCCCTCCTCCATTCCAAGCTTACATGATGAGGGGTTGTTGGACCAAAGGAACATATGCAGTGACCAGCAAGTAAAGAAGCTCGACAGTAGACGGAGGTTGTTAGATGCGGGGGAGTTCCGCAATTACCCCCGCGTTGCATGATTGGATGGACGGCCATCCCACAGGCCCCAGTTTGTCGCGATACCTTCCTTCATTTGTAGTACATGTTGTTGGATTGACTTGTTGATTCAATTAGAAGCCGTTGTTTCCGTATTCCGAGTCAGTGAGGGGGTGGTGGTGGTGGCGGATGTGGCTGCCGGAAATAAGGAAGCAGTGACGGGAACGTTGCCGGTGGTTCTCTGACCCTATCTACTGACATGACGTGTTATCTTGGTGTAACCAACTTGAATGCTGGTGGTTTTAAATGGATGATGTATTATCAATATCTTGTGTAAATTATAATTCTTGCAGTCATGTCTATATTCCATCCCCCCCTTCTCATAAATCATTAAACATCATTATCTCGTCACTTGAACTCAAGCTCAAGCAACAAGCTGGGTACACCCTCGAATCCCACTGGCATGGTGTATGTGAAGTTCCAGAATTCAAAATCACTGCTTAGCATTAGCAGTAATTCTTCCCCATTCCATCAGGGCTTTGCTGAGCGAGGACTTACTTGACTGGCTTATAAGCACCACCGTAACTTCCAGCCCATCCAACAGCATAAGTGGAATTAACATTCCCGGAGACATGGACAGAGAGACCTTGAACATCCTCCCAAGTCGAAACATCTGTCTTCTCCTTAAAAGCCGAGACCACGAATGAGAATACTGAAGATGCGTTTCCGAGTGGGTAGGTGATATTCAAGGTGTAGGGTGTGGCTACAGCTGTGACATAGGACTCGGTGGCTCGGAGCTATTTCATGTCAGTAAAGCTATCTGATTACTGCGTTAGGTGAGCTTACATTGATGAATCCAATCTCACTGCCAGTGTTCCACTGGATAACTGCGGGGTTGAAGGTATTAGGGTTGATAGCTGGTCCACCAATAACAGTTTCATTGAACGTCTCGGCTCCGATACTGATATTGGGTGCTAACCAAGAAGTGATATTTCTTGGGTAGATATCGAAAGGAGGCGAGAAAGCTGAAGAGGTAAAGGTGTGCTCGCCGCTGAACTTGGTGAGTCTCTCAACGACGTCCTCAGGGATGATGGAGTTTTGAAACTCGGCCAGAATGGCGAAGAGGGGTCCCCAACCGAAATCAGCAACGTGGGAAAGGGTAGGAACCTAAATTATTAGTTACTCGATCAAAAAACCGAGGGGAGAATGCCTTACCTTTTCAATCAAAGATGAATTTTCCTTGCCGATAATGCTCCAGAAATGCAAAGCCATTAAACTCAAATATCTGTTCATGTCGAATCCATACGAACGATCCCAAGGTCCAGCGATGTTCTTCAAATCCGGATGCCACAGCTCACCGACAGCTTCCCAAGTCTTCTTCATCATGCGAGCACCATTTTGCTTCATGACGGAGTCATCTGGGAGGTACTTTGCCCACAAACTAAGAGCCCAGAGTGAGACTCCAGTGTAAGTTCCACTGTTGAACTCGGACAGTGTGTCGGCGCGGTTAAACAGGTCGAGGATCTCGTTGGCGTAGTTCTCGCCGGAAATGGTCATGTTGGATTCATTGAGGCGACGACCTGTCCATCCAGCTGCGAAGGCACGCATGATAGACTATAGAAATGTTAGCTGGTATTTGCGAGCTGGGGGAGGAACCACTTACTGGGTTGGTGTAAGCCGGGTAAAGATTATCGGAATCAACCCCACCAACTCGGTACTCGTCACCCTTCGTAGCATTGTAAAGAGACTCCAGGAGCAAAGTCGTCACATTTGGAGTTATCAGGTGACCGAATTCCTCAAGTCCAACGATGAACGCAGTGCTAATAAAGCCTCTCCAATTTGGATCCCACGAATTGTAGATTTTCGCAGGGTAGACCGATGTCCCAACTGTTGGCTCTTCTGGCTCTTGCTGATAATTTCCGTACCTGGTCTTGTTAGTCTTGACCCTGCCACTAAAAGCGAGGGGAAAACACACCATTGATCTTTTGGATCCTTGAATTGCCCAGCAATGACATTGGTGATAATATCCATCGCATACTCAACGTCCTTTCCCTCATTTCTCGCCAGGAGTCCAACTGCATACCAGGCAGAACTCCTCGTCTCATGTCGCAACGCGGAAGCAGAACCGATATCAAACAAATACCCCGCCGAAGGATCATAATACCCATCTAGCCAATCCATCGACTCCGTCATTAGACTCTGAGCATACTTTGGAAGACTTTTGATATAACTAGAGTTACTGGAGTGGTGGCCATGGCTAGGATGGCAAGCTGCTGGAATGGCGAGCAACGAAGCCAATTGAATGGTTCTCACAAGGGAAAACATGATGGGAGCTGTGCAGGTTATTGTCTTTGCAAGGAGCTCGGGAGATCATTGGATTCCAATCTACTTTGAGGGAAAAGTCCTAACCTTTAAATACTCGCGGAGGTACCCACGACCAGTTCATACCGCCCGTTCAACCCCTCATCCTCGCTATCTTGGAAGGCAAATAGGTAAGTAAATTGCCCCCACCTTTCCTGTCTTTGTAGCTTTCCGCACAACAATCGGGGCAATCTGCCATTCTCGGACCATGGACTAGACAGGCTATTCGTCCATGTCGCTTACCTTACTCGTGCAGTGTTACCGGCGCTGATCTGCCAAGACGTCAAAATTCCAGCATGCTGGGAAAGCCTGGAGAGCGCTGAAAGTTTGTAGGGCCGGGTATCGTGAGCGGTCACCACCGGCAATGGTTGGAGATGTCGGGCTGGCAGGGGATTCCATGATTCTTTCAAGTCACGGCTCCGTATCGCAAAGAGGAAGATCGCCGAGAGCTTCACCGAGATGTCCGACTGCGGGGAAAAGTGGGATAGAAAGCTGCCACGGTACCTGCCAAGAGCCCTGGGTCATGGTTTGTTACATGGCGCCGGAGGAATTGATTGTTCGTTGTGCAATTGACCAATCGGTTCGTTGTCCAGCCTCTTTGATATCGGGGTACGAATCATGCGAGGATGAAGATAATGATTGAAGTGGATAAAAAGTTGAAGTGACGAGAAAGAGGCTGGGCACGGGATACAGACCGAGGCATGTGAGGTGAACATGGGGGTGATGCGGGGAACGCCCTTGGCATGGTAGGTAGCGTAACCTTTAGACCCTGCTGAAAAGATAGAGGCAGAGGGACACGGAAAAGCCGATATGATAGATTAGCAACTGTTACTGAGCATTTACTCTGTACCGCTTGCTCATTGCTTATCGAGTAGTTATGACTGCTGCACATTTTGTCCATAATGCTACTCAATTCTTCACATCAAACTTCAATATATGGATGTTAATATCGATGACATGTCTCCTTGTGGTTCTCGTTGGCGTTCTCCTTAGCCGAATTAGAATGACCGAACACCGCCCTTTGGAAAGTCCCATTCTCAAAATTGAAAGTCCAATACGTTAATACCTTCTGTTGAAAACAAAATGGCGGATCAAAGTCGTTTCTACACAGCTGGCCCTGAGCAGCCTGCACAGCATCTCAAGGGAAGATGATCCGTTTTCGCATTTCAGTACTGTTGTTGATAGAGGAGTAGCGGGACTGGTTTGGTACTTCACCATTACTTGATTCTGCCACCTCTCTGGCATAGATTTGGTCTTATGTGCTGGTCAAGTGGCGGCCGACTCGTGCTAGGTGGAGTGTTCCTGTATGACAGATCAGTGGAGCGCTGGAGAACTGTCTAGATAGCTTTTGGATATCACACAGCTGCTGGCATGCTCAATCGATGGCGATGCGGCACAATGACGACCTGGATGAAGAGGATGTACCACTACGATGCATCATATAGACATTCGTGAACAACTTTGGGACGATACACTTATCTGGAATCAAAGTTCTCGATATCTCAGCAGCTGTCCCAGGCAGTTGAGCCAGGCAGTTGAGTTCACTGGTCACACTCGGAGCTGGGATGTGGTCAATGCTGTACACGACTTCAGCCGACGCCATTTTGGCTGGTGCGGAAGTCATGGCTACGCATGGGGATATGCATGGCAAGTCCGACCAATGCAGGAAGATATCGTTCAGTTGACGATGTATGAAGTATTCCAAGAAATAAATATCACAGCAGCTCCATCTTTTTCAAACTCTCAACATCCTGCAAGAAAAGTCGTCACTTCCTAAATCAGTCTCTCAACGAAGCCGTCCACATCTTTCCCTCTACCCATCGGCCTTATTTTCACATGCCCCGAAGACAGAACAAAGCAAATAAGATGGAAACGTATATCTTCCAAGATCTTCGAGTACAAATTGCTTATCGAGCAGACTTCACTTCAGCGCCCACCAGGGATATCACAAATTGCAGCCTGGGGCCACCTCGAAGCCCACGTCATGTGACCTGAAGTACAAGTCATAGGTATATTCTCTGCCTCCTAGACTCCTAGACCCCAAATATCGTTGTGAAACAAGTTGAGTCAGCTTAGTATGTGATAGCACAATGCTGTATCTGTTCGTGGTCCGGCGGCTTGAATAAGAAGCCTTGTGCGGAAATGTATGGTCTGTTTACTCCTCGCTTAAGGACTTGGCAGCGACCTGATGGCGCGTTTATATTGTTAATCGATCGCATTGTCGATGAACCGTACTGTCAACCAACTCACATCTAGAGTATATCTCGACAGCACACAATCTTCACTGTGATACTTAAGCAAGTAAATTCTCTGCATCTGCAACCGATCTTTGCAAGAAACCCACCAAGAACAAGCATTGCATCTTCAATAGTTCAAGTCCTCATCGAAGCACCAAAGACATCGACGCGCACCGCATCATCCATTCTCATCCTCTTCTCAACAAAACCCTTCCAAATCTACTGAGTGAAACACATACCATCATATGGAACACAAATTGAGTCCCGAGCAAGCCCGTAAGTACTTCCTTTCTCAGACCTCATGCATCACGTGTGAACACTAATAGCCTCAAAGAGTCTGTCTTCGAGACTGTGACCCACCTTCTGTCGAACAAAACAGAATTAGGCAGAGCCACAATGGCTGTTGAAGACTATCCCACCATCCTCATCGCCGGAAGCACCTCCGACGATGCACTCCCAGATCTCACGATACTGCACAAAGTCGAGCTAGACTGGTGCTACAGACATCGATGGGAAACCAAGAAATCGATCGACCGCAGTACCATCAAAGGCCGCGAACAATGGAGCTGGATTATGGATAGCTTCTGCTCCATGTACAGCGGAGCTGACTTGAACGTTAACCGGATCTTCACAATGTTCCAAATTCACATGGCCTTCACTGATCGGAACGAGAATGACTCAAAAATGATCTTCAAGTTCGGGGTCCTGGATGCGTACTGCGAGTTGACTACCAAAAACAAGGGACTATCCAAGAAGAAGCAAGACTGGACGCTCGACCTCGAAGCTCTCCAATGCTGGGTTGCCTGTGAGACGAGGAATCTCGATGCGAAACCTCTATCAACGGCTGCGGAGATTGTCAAGAAGGTAATGGAAAACCTTCATGATGACAAACAGCCGAAAGAAGCTTGTAGAGAGTCGCGCCAGAACATCAGCCGCAACAGCCGGAAGCGTCAGAGAGAGGAAGCCCAAGGAGACTTAAAAGACGAGAGGGACTTAGAGGAGAAGGAAGACTCAGGTGCTGCTCGCAAGAAGCGAAAGGTTAAGGCCCCTTCTACGAGGAAGTCGGCCAGAGAGGTCGCGGAGCCGAAGCCCAAGATAGGAACTCGCAGTAAGCGTGCCAAGACGAGCAGGAAATGAGAGAAGTTTGGTCGTTATTTTTTCAAAGCACGGAAGCCCAATGTAGATAGATCAGGGAGGAGTGGGCATGACCGATAGGCTGGTTCCAAGATCCTGAGTTGTTGAAAACTGATGTTTTGAAGGCACATTCTTGTATTTGCAGGAGTTTGGCGATGTTCTAGTGGTCAAACATTCAAAAGTTATTTTGGGCAAATCAAGCTTTTCACTCTTGTCAAGTGAGATAACTGATTACAGTCTAAATGAAGCATCTGTACGTTAAAATTCCAAAGTGAAATGTCATGCCTAACTACTACAGCTTTTTTTGGTGGATAGATGAGATTGGCGGTGGGTCCGACAGAATCCGATCTCCAACAAACTTCTTGCATGGAAACCTGACAAGAGATGAGAGCCTACTGTGGCTAGTATACTGAACATTATTGGAAAACTCATGCCTAACTGCAAGTTTTCGAAGGACTGAAAGTTGTGCCTGAAATACCCATTCTCCCGTTTTGGGCCACAACCCTATCGGAGTGACCACTTGCCTTCATTTCCATTCTTTTGCACTTGATTACAGATCAACAACTTTCTGCCAAAGACAAACAGTGTGGTTGGTCGATCCTAAGGTGTTTCTAGCCATGGATGACCAGCCATCACAGACAACAAAGATTGCTCGCCGATCTACCATCTCAAGCCTACCAGATGCATCTTCAACAACTCCAGAAGCCTGCACGGAAGCCTCATCCGAAGTTGTCGAGAACGTTTCGGTCGCATATGAGTCTCAAGAGACTATTCCCTCCCATCCAGTCACTTATTCTGTGCCATCTGCCGAAGCTCCAAGCCTTGAGAGTACTCAAGGCCTTCCATTCACCTCTGCAGGGCACTTCCATCCAGTCGATCTATCAGCTACACTCGCCAGCGATGATTACATATCTGGGGATAAAACTGTCAACAGTGAGGGTAGATTCACTTCGTCGAATCAGAGAGAGTCAGAAACGGGAACACCCATAGATCAGTCATGCTCTATCCACCCTGAGACTGGAAATCCATCATCCGCCTTGTCCCAACCAACGAAAAACTCTTCCGTTGGATTTCAGAGTCATTGCTTCGATACAAAAGCTCAAATTATGTCGCCTGATCCGAAAGCAGCTGATCCTATTCCTGCTGGAAACCTCACTCAAAGTCATTCAAAGTCAACCTTCGCTCGTAACCCAGCACAACCAGCTGCCGCAAACAACAACCGCCAGCTGATTCCACTACCTCGTAAACACGAAAATCACAAGATGTTCACAGCCGGATATAACCACAGGATATTCATCGAGGCTACCAAAATTATGCCTGATGAGGCGCTTGACGAGTTCTTCGACTTCGAGGGATACACGGACGAGAGAAATGGAAACACAGAAATGGTTGGCGTCATACAAGAGTCCGCTGTCAGGAGCGATCTCCAATTTGATGGCCATGAAGTACCAAGGGACAGCACTGAGCCGGATGGTGGAAATGGGGTCAAGAAGGATGTTGATGATAGTGGAGGCAATGTTTCTGCAGCTCAGACCGAGAGAGTAGTCAACTTCGAGGCTTCAACTGAGGACACAGTAATGGCAGATGATGATAAGGAAGACGATTTAACAGCAGCCTTGCCAGAAGTCGATAGCCCAACCTCACACCACAACCAGACATCTTCTGAGCAAGGAAAGGAAGAATCGGATATCATTGATGCAGACAACGAAATGGAATGTCTGGATGAGGTTGATCAGCTCTGAGATTCATCCATCGAGTATTGGGTTCGAATTTCTGGACGCCTCTTGCATTCAGGGCTGTATTCAGGGTGCATTGGGAAGCTGCGAGAGAACCATAATTTAGGTTGTATGCAGTCAATGAAATATCTCTGCCGTCAGCTTGAACATGCGAACTTTAGCCCGGGGAAAAAAACGTGTGAAATCACAAAGGTGACTTCTTAGTTATACACATATATCTACAGGTAAGTATGTGCCGTCAATTTTTCAAATGCCGCTGAGTCGTAAGCGGGCAGACGCCTCGCGTCGGCTGAGCCAGCATCTTCCAATAGTAACAAGCAGCTGCAGTTCTCGACAGTCGCGCATCAAGAATTCGAGAGAAGTCTCATACCATATAGGGTTAAAGTCACAGTCCAAACCAGCGCAAAATCGGCTGTATACATGGGAGTCCATTCATTGCTGCTATTATGGACGTTAGAGAAGCTCATGGATAATTATCGCTTGAAACCCCGAACTGAAACCAAAAAGAATCCCTACACTGCAATGAACTCTCGTGGAGATTTCGCATTCTATCCAGCGTTTATGACAGAAGGGAGACAGCAATTGCTCTGAGGTGACAAGTAGTGTGAACGCGCTGCTGGGAGCTTCTAAGGAATTCCAACTACATCACTTGTGAAACTCTTTGTGATGACCCGACAACCTTTTTACATAAAGCTCCAAGATGAAAAGATACCAACTGCACTTAGTATCATCCACAACCTATTCACTACTGTTCAGACGCAGACGGTATGACGCACACCGAAAATTGTGTCGCATATCACGTGATGTTTACTTGAAGAGTGAAGCGAGGAGAATGTCGCACCTCGATCGAAACCCCTTACACTAGCGCCATCCGTATCGAGCTAGCCCGCCAGAAGAGATCGATATCCTCATCAGAGTCTGTTTATCTCCGACTCACTTAGCTAGACTTTTGTAGCGCGCCTGGACGATTTCTGCAAACCGCAATTGATCCAAGCAGTCTTTGCCAAGCAAAAAGCCTTCCGCAACGCGTCTTTCGGCACACTATCTCACTCCACAGTGACGAAAGCTCTATAATCAGGATGTACGCTAAGAAATTCATTGGCGCCATGAGGGCATGTGTTCAACGCATGAGTACTTCATTCCCTCCTGTCCAAGTAAGTTTCATGACTTGATGCTTACATATCTTCCAATGCTCTGAATTACTCTTTGGCATGTCTGTTGTGCATATAGCACTGAGTGCTAACAAGTATTAGCCCAATGGCGACCTCCTACTCCACCCAAATGTTGCACTCTACCAGAATATTAACACACAATTCTGCTCCACCCAATCAGAAATCGAAGTTCTTTGGCAGACCATAACCGCGTCTATCAAATCTTCGTCCAGCCCTGACCAAGTCCCGAGGGAGAATGCCCGTGAGCAAGTTCTCGAATCCAATATCTCATCATCTTCCAATGACACAGATTCTGAAGTCAACCAGGCAGCTGCTTCTTCAGAACCACTACATTGCCCAGCACACGACACCGCCGGAGCGCTTGGCCGTCTTGAGCGCTCGAACGTAGCTGGTGGCAAAATCTCCTCGGGTCTCCACAGCACTACGGACCATACCACAACCAATTCAAAGGATAGTGGCAAGTTTGTCCAAGCTGTGCCATCTGAAAAGGCCCGCACAGAAACAAGGTTGCACGATATGGTCGAGGCGTCCATATCGCTGAACAAGGTTCCCAAAGACTTGTGCAAATCCACCGCAAACTCAGGAGGCACGTTTGCAGACCCAGTAGCAACATCGTTCAAGAAACGAAAGATCGATGACCACCATGATATACTAGCTGTGAAGAAGCAGCGTACTGACCCGAGACGCTCTGGGGTTGAGAAGACATTGCCACCACCTCCCTCTCCCGAACCCAAGGCAACCACAACGCAGAAGAGGAGCAAAGAGGATGATGAACAGCCAGAACCAAGCCGAAAGAGACAATGCACTTCATCCTCCAGAGATGTTGGAAAGCTTGGTAGATTTGATGCTGCACTTCTGGATCCAGCCCTGTTCGCTTCATTTCCATCGTCGGAACTGTCTTCGATTATGCCTGTTAATCCAGCCCCAGCGGAGGAGATCACGCTCAATCCTCCATATCCTGACAACCTTGACTCAATATCGCCGACTCCTGACCATCAGCTACCCGTCACTCAGCAGACAGATATTTTTGCACATATACCAGGTCTGGGTCGCCTACCCAAGGTCCAAGACCAGACGCAAGCTGTGCCAACTAGCTTGGCAACTATACAGAACGACAAGCCGCAAGATTTTGATGAATATCTATTGCCCCTCTTCGAACAACAGTATCACTTTGACAGTGATTTCGGCTGCACGGAACCCGTACAGGGATTAACTGCAGAGTATTTTGATGAGGGTGTCTCAGCATTCGCAGCTTTCCCAGAAGTCTACCCCGTTTCCAGCCCTGATCTGGAAGCAGCTTCGCATCAGACGGACTATCTAGGAATATATCCATCACCTCCTCCAATGGTCCACCAAGCCGCTGACCACTTTACTTATCTAGAGCCAGAGCCGAGCCTGTATCAGGAGCAGGCATCAAACTATCCAGTAGCACCTGTTGCTGCGCTATATCGGGGAAACCGCCGTGTTGGAAGCGAGTATCACTGCCACAATCCAGATGCTTCGCCTACAATCGACCCTCAGTTACTCAACGGCAGTAGCCCCAGTGAGAGTCAATCTAAAAACCTTTCTTTTTCCCAGTCTCCTCTATGTGGCGAAGCCTCTCTATTGTCGTATCTTCAAGCTCCCAGCACCAGAAAAGGCCACTCAGCAAAGTCTGCCGGAAGAAAGTCAGGTCTTCCAAGATACGCGACATTATTTGAGCCGGTATCTTCTATCCGATTAGGAAATAAACTGGCAATACCTCGCATCTTAAAAGACCAAGTCTCACCCTTATCGCCGATATCCTCCCGCACACCAAGATCTCCTATAGATGATGATTTTGATGAAGACGACTTCCGCACATCTACCACTGATATCAGCCCGGGAGAGATGCGATTAATGAAAGATAAGGTACTTGGAAAGTATCGAGTCAGCAGTAACAAGAAATGTCCTCCTTCTTCGAGACTCAGAAAATGCGTGACAGTCATTCCTGAGCAGGAGAAGTGGTTCATGCAGGAGCTTGAGCATGACCTTGAGCAAGGATTGAAGGCAGAGAATGAGAAGCAGTCTCATAGTGAGATGAATCGTAAGAGATACTGTGATGATGACGAAGATAAGCGTTCTGCCAGGCGGAGCAGATTGTTCCGAGGAGTTTGATGCAGAAAGACGAAGCAGTGGAGCTGAAGTTGCGATCGTCTCTGTTGGTAGTGCGTATTTTTCTTCCTGGTTTTCTCTTGCATAGAGTACTTTTCTTTTGTTAGCTTTGAGAATGATGCCATGAATATGGTTTCCTATTTCTTTGCGGCACCAGGTTATTTTTGGCTTTATTCGAGTTCAGCAATGAGCGTCCGAGGAATTAAGGGGGTTTACCTCTTGAGTCCACAACGTTTCATTCTGCTCATAGAGGCTCATATAATTATGTTTTTAGTTGGCAATATGCAATTTGAGGAAATGAAACTGGTATGAAAGCGATAATGTACTTCTGGCAAGTTTGCGCATCCGACCGTGATCATTGGTCTACAAGATGTAAATCAGCGATACATCACGCTGTGGGATAGGTGCGGAATCAGGTATCAGCCGAGTAGCCCGCCAGACAATAGGCAGCGTCCACACTTTGTGAATCGATCACCAAGCATGAGGAGTGAAATCAAACCAGTCCATACGGGGAATGAGCATGGGATCAATGTTCTGACAGCAAGATCTGCATCTCATTCACACAACCGCCATTTAACAAGCACGGGCTCGCGGATCCATGGTAGTCGTGACCGGGGAGCATGGACTCAGAAGGTAGAAGCTCACTTTCGTCGCGAAACTATTAGGATGGCAGCGGCTCGATATTCTCCAGCGGTCGTCGAGAACTTCTTCTTCTCATTACTTCCCAAAGCGAGAGTTCAATCTCCTATAGATCGCCATATGAGGATCACTCTTTGCCAAAATCTAAGCCATCACACCAAGATTCAACTTCGGCACCCGAAGCCACGGCAAATTGTTCGCCCAGTTTGCCTGGAAGTGCGCTTCTAGCACCTGAAGCCAACAAATTCCATTTTGGATAAAACAATTAAATAAGAAATAGTACGGAGCTCCTATCATGGTATTAAATCTGCCAAACCCGACCAGTTCGAGCCCTAGAAAGCGGGGGACAGACGACAGTGAAGATGCACAGTCCAGGAGAAAGCGCACCAAGACATGAAGAGGATGGCAAGACAGATCAGAGGCGGCTGAAGCCAACAAAGATAAAAGTTTGTCTTCAGAGTGTAATTGTATAACGCATTTCCTCGAAGAGTCTGCGGCGTGAAGCAGATTGTGCTTCTAGTTTTCCCTGATGATGATACTTATCCGAATGTGGAATACTAAGCGAGGTCAACATCCACCTGCCAAGTCATTACCAAATAACCATCCAGCATGCCAGCACCGATATCTGGAGTTGAGTCTTGAACTCAGCTTGATATGCTTAAGTAGCAGTACTTTCGAAGCGCTTTTAGATTTCATTCTTCGGGTGCTGGCCTGTGCCTCGAATCTGGATCGCCGTGGCACGAATGCCACCAGCCTCAAGGAGTCCATTGACAGGAATAATTATATAGATATGGAGACTTACATGTCACTATATAGACAGCATAATTGACAGAAAGATACTTTATCTGGTTTGCTTTTTGTCGTATCCGGTAAGCCAGGGATTCACCATCGAAGGCATGCGATCCAGGCACGTGGTAATTGGCTCATTGAGCAGGCATTCCTCCCAGTGACCTTAAAATCAGCCTCGTCATTAACAAGTACCTCCAAATCTCGAATATTAACCTTAAATACCGAGATACAAAACCAAGATCTGTACAAGAACACCACGCTCTAGCAACTTCGAAAACAAGAAATGTCTTCCAACGATCATATCATGCGGGCTCCGAAGAAACCTCTGAACGATGAGCAATACTTGGCGAAATACAAGAAGCCCCGCAAGTGCTTGCACTGCACGAATTCGAAACGGCTTTGTACTGGCGGGAGACCCTGCGATGGATGTGAGAAGAACGGACGGGTGTGTATCAATGTCATGACCAGGCTTCCATTCGCCACACCAGGCACTTCCCAAGCGGAAGAGAACCAAGTTGCGGCGCACAACAATGGAGCGCAAGTAGGTTTCGACGAAACCAACAAAACCAGCGAAGATGACAGACCGGTAGAAGATCCTCTTAGACAGGAGGACGGTCAAGAGCCTGGAGGCTACTCGGAGGAGGATCTTGCCGCTATGCTTGGACATGATATACCACAGTTCCATCACTATCCCCCCCTTCTCGAACCGGCTCGTAAGTGATCCACAAGCCGTGGGGAAGAACCTTTGACACTATATGCTGACTTTGAGTAGCAGCATACTTGCAGCCCACTCATTCGAGAGCCGAAGACGAGATGCGCCATATTCGAGCTCGTGACAGAGGCGGTCTCATTCTTCAGCCACAATTCCCACGAGCTACCCCACAGAGAGTGAATATCTCCGAAGCTATCGAGCTCCCTGAGGGCTGGAATTGGTATCCACAAGACACTTTCCGGTACGTTCATGGGCCTGGTCTCTACAACTCTGCCAACGACTTCGACGGACTCGGGAGAGCCCCGGTCTACATGTGACTCCGATGAACAGGCCTGAAGACTACGGAAGTTCGAGAGATCAACCACGACGACCAATTCACTTAATATGATCATCTGAGAAGAACTGACTCAAGTTTGTCCTGAAGGGGGCATTTATCGGGCGTTGAAGGTGTGGCTGCTGAGAGTATGCCATTATAGCCATATTTCGTTGGAGCAATCGCACGAATGTTCCTCTTTCTCTTGATCGTCCTGGAGAACTGAAATGCGTTCATGGTAGGCTTTTGAAGCCTGTGTTGTTATATTTCTATTTCCTACTCGTTGTGTTTGTTTGGCCAAAATGGTCATAGTCAGCGTTCCCATGTCATTGGTGGTTAGCGGCTCGTCGGATTCAATGCCAGCAGCGTCATTGACTTATTCTCAGCAGTAGCTTTAATCTACATTAAGTCCCTTACTGCCCTTGATGATTACTTGAAATACAAAGACATTTCAATAGCCCCAACCTGCCGACCGCCAAGCGCATGTCTGCACAAGAAGACACCTGATTGATGTGACGTGGCTACTTACCTATACATGTAGACTATGATGTAAAGCATAATAAAATAAGATTTGCTGCTATTCCTGGCGAAATAACCTATAAAGATATAACGACATGAATAATACTTCCAATACCGCCTGAAGCCATTCCCCCAAAAGAACATCAAGAAGTCACTCCATGTGATGGAAGACAAGAGGAGCCGTTTTCTGAGGTGTAATGTTTTGGACACCTTCGACTTTCCGCTGAGAAATCCACCCGTGGTCCGTGATTGACCGTCCTCAAAAGGGACAACACAGAAACGAAAGCAGAAAGCAGCCCCCCAAAAAGCTCCATACAACGCACAAGAAGGTACGCACTCCAAAAACCCGTTCATTGATACCACAAAAATCGCAGGCTTGCTAGCCGAATACTTGTCCCTGTCATATCGTTTGAAGTAAAAATTGCTGACATCCTCTCCTTTTCAGCTTTGAGCAAAGATACGATCAACAACTCTTCAAACATTCCACCATCGACGAGAACTCCGAGAATTTTGTATCTTCTGCGAAACACACCAGCTCTCCATTGCAAAGATGATTGTATGTTTGCTATATTTCTCAATCGTCAAGCTGTCTACAGCTTCCCTCCTCCATCCCGCTCCCTCATAGACCTCCACACAAGTACATGTTGAGTATCGGGGACCTAGGCAAGTTGCAACTCAAGCAGACTACAGAGTAGATCCTACTTGATATGATCCTGCGACGTTGTCAAAATCTACTGTAGGAAGTGCATGAAATAACTGCCTGGTGCTTTTAATTTGGTTACTTTGCTCCACCTATCTTCTTCAAGCCGCATTCATTCTTGCCAGAAAGTATTGACTTCAAACTGTGCAGACACTACCCATACCACAGCCAATTTGACTGCATACAAATCCGAACCGGCTAAGTACTTCGCCTTCCAACTACATTTCACTCTTCCTGCTTCTGCAACATCAACGGACAATTTCCAATTGCCGCAATCTGTTTTCTTCCTCCCCTCCAGTACTTCAGAATTCATTGGTACTGCTTTTTTCCATCGAGTCATCGGCTGTTGATAAGCGGCCTAGCCTCTCTGTATCGAACCTTGGCCTCCCATAAATTCTCCCGAACAGCTATTCTCTTCCTTGTCCCACCACAATCTCGAACGCCAAACACAGCCCACAAACATAGCTAATTTGATCAGAAGAGCATCATCAGAAACCACCACACGCAACTTGAGCAATAGTATCTGTTCTCATCTGAGATCTCAAATCTTTCTCTTGTGGCAACCCCTCCCACTTCAAAGCCTGCCGATACCAGTCCCGACGTACAACACTTCTATCGGGCTGCAGCACAATTACCTCGCCACAAGCCGTAAGTATAGTCGCCCTCTTCACACCTTGATTATACTCTTTGTACTTTTTCAAAGTACTGGTTTCTCAAATTCGGCCGTCTAATCATCCCGTTCCTCAACTTCCTGCCGATTCACCCACATTCTGTCACTAGAGACTGATGCTTCGCTCAACAGATTCATCCGGCTGCAAATCTATCGACATCTGCTGCAGATTCTTATCAAAGTCTCTCCGACTCTGGTGCTCGCAATCGCACAGCAAATTCGTTCCTCGAAGCCCTCAATCAAAATCATCCACACGACATACCTACCAGACACCTGTGTCCAAAATGAACAGTCTCGCCCGCCAACAAAAGCAGGCTGCGTTTTTAGCTTCCACCCCTGCCCAGCAACAACGCACCGTTGACTGGGACTACATTCACCGATGCGAAAGATGCAGCGCTTTACACAAGGTTTGCACAGGTGGCAAGCCATGTCATAGGTGTAATACAGCAAGGGTGGAGTGCATTGGCTTCCGATCGGGACACATGTTCCCTGATTCCCTTTCTGAGAGTGAAGGAGATGATAAGTATGGTAATGATGACGACGGGGATGATACAGGCGATGCAGGCGATGGAGCTGACCAAAGCGATGGAGATGACGGAGGAGATGACGGCGATGCTGGCAGCGGAGGAGAGATTGACGAGGAGTTGGAGCAACAGACTGAAAGTGGCGAAGAAGATGGCGAGCAAGAAGCTAATCACAGCATTGAGGAAGAAAATGGAGAGACTGGCCAGATAGACGTCGAAGAGGAAGCACCAGAGGTCGTGGACGACTATCCGTATGGGACAATTGGATGGTACCGACATGAGCAAACATCCTTGGCAAGGTATATTCGGAGTCTCTGGGACAGAATGCCGGAAGACCAGCGACGAGAGCGGGTCAATTCTGCATGCTTGGAATTCCGTCCATGAGTGGTATTAACTACCACGTTCGACGCTTTGAGAGACCTTCTTGAGCAGCTGATCGAGTGTAAAGGCGGATTCCACGTTTCAAGCATGTTTCGTCCAACAATCACCCGCAGCCACCCTGACTGTGGTAATTGGGAGACTCTTCGATAAACACCTTCAAATTCATGCTAGCTTGTCTCTCGATCACAACTTTTGATGTCAGCTGATCTTCGTTCCTCAGAGGATTCCACAAACCTTCCACCTTGTTCACCATCCAGAATGTCAACAACGTGAGTGCTCAAAACCGGATCAAGTTTGTGATTCAAACGACTGGCTTGGAGGGATATCGGCTGTGTTTGCTGCGGAGAATGACAAAGTACCAGAGGCTGTGGAGGTTTTAATGATGAAGGCTATGCGGCTGCGTCAGGGTAGTGCTTGGAGGACGGTGATCTTGGATAGTACATTCTGGTCTAACCACTGTAACATCTTCGTTTGGATGCCTAATGGGAATTTGAAAGCTACCTTATACATACTTTACTCGTCTTGATGGTTCATAGTCTCCCGAGCTCTGTCATAGAACTGGTACAGAAACGTTTCTTGGTAAACCTAAGGTGCTTGTTGAGTAACAGATGTGATTTGCGATACTTTTGAAGATGTTCTAGATGGCGCAAGACCTGCAACTGTGATCGATAGCACCATAAAAGTCCCCATGTATTCCGATCAATCAGCTGAGGGACAGGCTCCAGGTTCCTGTATCTGGTTCGAAAGCCGACCGACTTATCTTAGCTTCTGCCATTCGCCTTGTTTCTCCTCAACTATATATATTGGAGTGATTTAGTCTGCTTTGTATACTCTCGAAAGGCTGATTTTGGCTCTAGATGGTATGCTGCAACTGCAAACTTGACCGACTGCCGAGCTCTGTGGGCAGCCAAGTTCATCAGCACAGAATTCGGGGAAGAACTTGAGTTGCCGCTGTGCACATCCTCCTTTGAAATTTCCTATTTGACTTGTTTCACATCCTTAGAACGTAATCGTAACCAAAAGCCGTATTCGGCAACATTTTCTGCATAGTCCGCCTTCCAGGCCAACTTGATCTGTTTCTTCCGACTCCCCTTCGATGTGCCGCACTAGTTGCACCACTTGGCAATCTTCCACACTCGCAAACCACCCGTCCAAACCCAGCAATGGTCCGAAGAGACACAAGGCTGAGGATGACTAAGGAAACCTCGATTGATATTCGAGTAACCGTCTCGGCGAGGCACTGCCCACATCCCGCTCATTCACCAATCACCACGACAGACTGAGATGTCCGTTGTCTCGACAAAGCGACCTCGACCCAAACACCGCCACAAGAACCTCGATTTCGAGACTCAAACAGACAAGTCTCACCCCCACCCATCATCAGTGCATCCCCGAAGCTCCAAAACATTGTAAGTACTCGTTCTTGCTATTGCGCAAGCGCATCACTTGACTGCTCCTGAGAGGCCGGAGATCCAAGTTCCCGGTGTGGATTTCCTATCGAACTTAAGAGCACCTGGAGTGATGAACTCAACTAATACCTTCCGTCACAGGCAATCGTTCGCGACGAATCTTTCGAATTCAATTCCCGGCAGAGACTTTCAAAGTCATTCCACAAAGCCACAAGCAGCACATTGAAGATCCAGGATCTCGAGAAAGAGGTTCCCTCTTAAATACGGACCCAAGACTGTTTGCTTTGCCTGGTGGATCTCAGCGTCGTGTCACAGCCATTTGACCTGTGGCCAGCAGCTTCGGCGTCCTTCCTCCTCCGAATAGACGAAGCGCTCCCAAAAAGGCACCACGACCAGCCACGGACTACAGCCTGGCAGTCGATGGCCAAGGAGACTCCTCTGAAGGTTCGAGCGCAGACCAAGAACAGAGTGATTTCCCCGGCAGGGCGCCCAGTAATAGTACAGCTGGTACATATACGGTCAGCGGCTCTAGTGGATATCCTGCCGTGAATGAAGGAATGAGGGATGGAATGGGCACGAACTATAGCCTTGGTACCGGCAGACAGGGAGCATACGCGCAAGCACTAGGGGGAAATTCGATTCAATACGACCAAAGGGAATCCTCGAGCTATGCAGCTGCATTCAATGACTTGGGTGCAGCGTATTCCCCGCCCATATCACAAGGTATGAACATAGCCATGGCTCCTGGTGCTACTCGTGGTACGCAAGTGCCCCAAGTCACAACTAGCTTCATACCCAGTCCAGTTGACGCTAGTAGTCCACACGACAGCGCAGCCATGTCTTCAAACCGTGAAGTGAGATCTAGCAGCGATCTTCTGCCTGCGGAGAAAGCACGCATCGACTCCAGCTGCGTGTCTCTGGTAACTCCTGCTGCAGCGACAAAGAGTAATTCCAGAGTTGCGAGAATGAAGTAAGAGTACGTGTTGAAAGCACAAGAGAGATACCGCAGAGAAATGGCCGGAGAAAATTACCAAGGAGCAGTGGTGATTGCCGCAAATCAGAGGCAGCCATTCAGCATCCCCTCATATAATTCCGACCCCGACGTCAACGCCAACCCGTCACCCTCTCCTTCAAGATCCCAGAACTTATATAGCAACAATAAACCCACAGATTCGTCCCCTCAATCATTGAACTTCGACAAAACTATCGACCGCCTCTCCGCTGCAAGACGTATCACGGACAAGAAGGCCGAACAAACCAAGTCGTTGAGAGAGAGAGAGATCTCGGTGGAGAGATCATGAACACCATGGGCAGACTGCGAGCCATGAATGAAGAGTTTCAAAAAGACCAGATTGAAGCAGAGAAGTCAGCTCATTTCATACGGGCGAAGGCGACTCGATGTGAAGGAAGAGTCCCACCCAGCCAGGTCGATGCCGGCTATGCAGCGCAGGATGAGGATTCGGGGAGTGAGTACGACCCTGAATCTTAGCTGGACGCAGTTTCCGACTGGCTAGAAGGCCCAATATTCCTCCCAAATTAGTACCAAAGTGTCGTTGATGCTGAGTGCTTCTGCTTGCCGACTGCCTTGTTTTGTTTGTTGTTGTTGAGAGAAGCGAGAAAAGCTTACCGAGCTCACGTGATCTGATCACCGTACTCTCGTGGGCACTTCGTGTTCAACGGAAAATTACAGCCTCAACGAGCTGGTTTACTTATTTCGCTCTGATTTATTGACAGTTTTGGATTGGGTTAGGTTAGTGGCTTCTTGGGTTTATCTGGCTCGGGCTCTTTCTATGTGCTTTTGAGCATTTCATTATTGCCGCAATTCCTGGTATTTGGAAGTTCCTCTCATCGTTGGAGCCTGATGGGAGCGAGTGCAGTTATTAGAGCTAATACCGTCTTGGATATCCTCCACGTCTTGGATATCCTCCACTTAGCAGGTGAAGGTGAAAGGCAAGAATGCTTCAGTTGTGCTGATTAGGTTCTCATCTTGGGCATGTTTGGGTTCCCTAGGTCACAGACCTTCCTCTGGTTCGCGATTCCTCTATTTATCTTGATGTACTATCCAGTCCGTCCCCATATGTACTGAAGTATCTTGGCGACACAAGGTATGGAACCTGCAGGTAATTTTGGCAACGAGCGTTAGAGCTGGATTTTCCTGTTGTAGGCGGGTGCTTTCTGTTCTATTTGAGTGCTTTTATGGCCATGGAACCTTTTGGCAGATCTCTGGAGTTTCGGGATTCGGGAGGACACGACGTGGCAGAGACTTGGTTGCTGGTCAGAGGTCTTTGGTCCGATTTTAAATAGCATCAAATGCCGGTATTCTCAATCAGAGTGCGATCCATAGACGTAGGCGTGCCAGGGGTCGATTTGAAGTTCAGTGCTCGCGGCAGTGGAGACTGGCGGTAGCTCTTCAAGGTGCGGTTTGTTAATCGATTCGAGGACTGCGGGATACACAGGGTCAGCGCGAATCCCCTTTTAAAATATCAGTTGACTTACTGCAAGACTTCAATAACATTCCAGTCAACGATGCCAAAGATGTCTTGCTCTCGGTCTCGGAAAGACAGACACTCTGCGTTTCAATGGAAACTGTCGACTCCAAATACATTCCAGAGGTATGTTGAAGTTGCCTCCTGCGCTGAGGCTCGATTCTAGGGTGTGTCGAAATCTATATACTTCATGACAGACGAGAAGTCGCTTGATCCAAATGGTAGTGGGCTAATACTTCAGACTGGGGGCGCCCGCCGACGAAATCGAGAACATCCTATCCAAGACAACTAATGGTATCCGGAATTGCGACAGTGAGTTGCACATTACATCAAATGCTGTTGCTCTTCACAACTCACCCGTTATGAGAAGCATGCAACCTGCTTTTGAGTGAAGGCATCCTTCACCAAGGATATGGCGCCCGACTGATCCGCTTCGCAGCCATGGTTACGCGCTTAAATCTTCCATCAGTAACAAACTCCCCATATCAGCTCTGACTTGCTGCATGTTGGACAGGCAAATTGTGAGTGCAGTGCAGGAGTATGAGAAGAAGAATGAAGATTATCGGAACTTATCCTGGCATTCTGAGCTTTTCAGATAGAGTCAGCCATCTGCGCTCGAATGATGTCGCACATCCAGCGCCAAGAAGACATCGTCCCCAGACTCCCTCAAGGCAATGATCCAATGGACGTCTACGCCCTTGTTCTGCTGCCCTCAGAGTATCCGCGAGCATACATCAGCATGCGCAGGTGTGCAGGAAGGGAAGGAGGAGGAGGAAGAAGAAGGAAAATCGGTCGACGCATTGTCGCATTGTGTGGTATTTGATTTATTAAACATTGTTTGGATTTCAAGACAGTTCGAGGAGATTGGATCCATAAAGCAGTAAGTCGAAAAGGAAAGAATCCGAAAGCTGTGCTGATGTTTGAGGATTAGAATTGGTGATCTCGAGGGCGACTTCGAGGTGTTGAACTTACAAGAAAATCCCTCGCGCACAGAGATACTGCCGACGACCCCGCCATACACCGGCCAGTCGGAATTACCGACAAACCAATGCCCCCAACAATGCCCAGATTTTGGATGGTAAAGAAAGAAAAGAAAAAGTGGGTATCAAAGGCTGTAAGAAAGGAAACATTACAGGATTCAAGCCTTCTGGATTATGGTCAGAGCTGAGCTGTTGGCATTTTTCGGGAGTTACTTACACCCCACTCTCCCCCAAAAGGCTCCATCCCCCCCCCCCCCAAAAAAAACGCAGCGAAAGATTCTGCAGCAAACACCCCAAGAGTACATCTACATAATTCCCCCCGGGGGATCAAAAGAAGTATTTTTCACCACATTCTCCCCCGAGCCTACTGGAGCAATCTTTCGTAGCATAAACATTGGCTTCTTCCCCATCTTGTCAAGCTGTTTGAATAAGATCAAAGGCTTCTCCTCCATCCCTAAACAACGCTCCTTATCTTCATATACTATATATAGTGCATACTGCTCCCAGGGAGCGTTGATGTTATACTTCTTCAAGGCCGCAGGGAGGACTTTCCAACATGGATCCTCCATACTGACGCGGAAAGACTTGAAAATCTCGGCCGAGGTATTGCTAAACCTGGAAGCTGGAATGTCTTCTTCATGCTTAGTTGTGGGGGTAAGAAGTGTAGCACAGTGGCTGAAGCGTGATGAAAGAGGTGGTCTCGAGAAGTTCGGTGCTGCTGCTGGCACATGGGCAAGGGTCCTCCGCTGGGTGGCTCGGTATTTTAGAAGTGGTGGGGGAGCATTTGGGGGAAGAACGCATCCGTATCGTCGTGTCGTTGCATCCCGAGGGATCGAGAATGGATCTGTCTGGTGTGATGCTGGTTCAAGCTCGGGGATTGCTTGTAACCAAAGATGTGGGAAACGTCGTTCAAGTTCAAAGACTAGGTCCATGGTCAAATCCCGGAAACGGTATGGAGGAAGCTGTGAGATCTTCTCGCGCGCCTGGTTCCGTTTCGGTTGGTATGAGGGGTTCGCTGGAAGGAAAGATGGAGCTGAGTCTCCTTTTTCTCGGCGGTACAGTTCGTCGCAGACATCGACTCTCAATTCGTATAACTGGTTATTCGTAAGTTTACGTAGCTTCTCTTGCGTTCTTGCCCGTCTCGCTTCTTCGTTTTGCGATGTCCGTCCTGCATGTCGTTTTAAGTTCTCGTAGTGTTTTGGAAGCTCCCGTTCTTGCCGTGCTGTTGATATCCGTCGCCGATCTGAGTCTGAGGCGACTGCTGGTGCTGTATCATTTACTCGCTGACCTAGTGGTGGGGTAAAACAGTAGGGAGGTGGATGTTCCAGGGAAGATATGGTAAGGGGCCGAGTCCGCGCAGGCTGTCGACTGATTCCAGCTGCCTTTGATACATCCTCCAAACCATCAATCAACCCTTTCAGTCTTTTCACTCGGCCATCGAATTTCTTTGCGTCGCAAATTGTCCATTTTGTGATTGCTAGGAACGACTTTTGTTTTTGGTTGTCTTTCATTCGCTGTCGTAATGAAGCTACGGCGGTAAGGCCGGAAAGCTTGCCGAGTGATTTTGACATACGGATCGACTTCTCCAAGGAAGGACTGTTGACTGAAACTGGCTCAAGTGGTGGTCGGAGTTCATATTTCCGCCGAATTGTTTCAATCTCTGATAGAATGAATGCGATGCTGTTCACACAGGACGTAATTGTTGCCTCGATATCATGTCTGTTCGATAGGGTCTCTTCAAGGCAGCCGTTTGTATCAAAATGGAGACCAACCTAGACCAGATGAGTTTCTGCTCAATATCAGTTGGGTCTGTCTAGTGACATACCGACTCTCCCCACAATTGCACTCTAAGCCATTGCACGGAAAGTTCAGTACAGAGTAGCTCGTATTCAGTTCCGAACTCCTGCGATGTCAGAATTGATTTGAAGCTCTCCAGACACGATCGCAAAAGTGCACCAGGTGAGGCCATGGCGATAACCACAGTGAGAGATGTTTTGTTCAGTTGACCTGACGAGGGACGCGACCCATGCTACTTAAAAGATAGAGCTAAGTTCGTGGACACGACTGAACGTACGATCGATTGCATAGTGTGTAGCGGGGAACTGCATGGTGGCAGTCTGGGACGGAAAACAGTGGGACGCTTGAGAGCTGCAGCAGTCAGTGGCACCAATGAACACAAGAAGATGATCCAGGTGAGGCTCAAAGGGAGATAGGAAGCTGGCCTGTCAGTGGACGCCCAGGCCATCCTTCAAAGGTGACTGGACAGAGCTGCAGCTGAGCTGCGTCAAGGGCTGAGAGGGGAAGAAACAACGCCAACCGTATCACAACCCTGAAACCTGCCAGGCAAGCCACCATCCTGTGTGTCGTGGTATCGCCATCACCGAAAAACATGTATATCCGAACCAATAGTAATTCGCTTACTGGTGGGAGGGTAGCTTTCGCAACGAAGTAAAGGCTGAGGATTGAGGTCTTGGTTTGGGTATTCAGGTGTGGTGGTCCGACGCTGTTTGTGGTTGGTGGCGCACGGTTTGGTTCTGGGGATGTCCGGACTGGCTGACGTGCATAAAAACTTTCGAGTGAAGCAAGGAAAAGTATCGAGGTCGGCGACATGAATTCGTCCAGCCTTGAGTTCATATTGCTTTGAGTTCTAGTCTTTATTAGCATTCGATGGTGGGAGTCGTAATGAACAAGACATATCAACCTGCTAGATTTAAACTCTGCCTTGTCGTAGGTTGTTAGCGAGTTGTATCGTGAACAAGGCGGGAGAGAACTGTCGCTTCTGTGGTAATATCCAGAGAGCTCTCTATTTAACCTCTCTTTATTATGATAGTGAAACATATTGTTCTATTCAAGGCAATATCCTACGAATACCTTGACTGTAACATAAAAGAAACTGTTTGCAATGCCGCAGCTAGTTTTAATGTGGAGCGAGCCAATGGATATTACCCCACGCCACGCTCTTCGGATATTCCCAAAACTCACTGACTCCACAGGACTCGAGTTCCTTCTCTAAGCATGCGATCAAGCAAGAAGACCGTGAAGAATATGGTTCACAGAACAAAAGTTTATTTCCCTCTAGTCTAGATATCTTTCAAGTCTCACGCTGCCAGGTCCTGCACCTTGCCCTCACCAACAGTGCCCAGCGTCAAGTCAACTTGCCTACTTCTTCGGAACTCAGCTACATTTTTCAAGTGGCAAGTTTTTGGAGGAAGAGAGAATAGTAGAATCAAGTCCCCACACATTACAGCAGCTATTCACAACCCAAGATATCATATCACTTGTATCATTGACTCGCATTCTGCTGTACCAAATTCGCCAAAGTCAACGCCCACATCGCGCCGCGAACGAAAATCTTATCTTCGAGCTAACAAATAAGCGAGGAGGGGGTGGGCTAGTAATTTACGAGTATTGACATGCAGATATACTCTTACTAGTCGTCTGGATGGGAGGGGGAATGGGAGCAGGGGTGGGGATGAATTCCTAGTCACATATGCAAAAGTCAATTTGTTGCTCGATCTATCATGCAATCTTCAAGAAGCATATATGGAACTTAGAGTGCGAGGGTTGAAATCGAGAAACGCCCATCGACTCCGTAACGTTGAAGATGATCCGAATTCGTATGCCGATTCGAGAACGACTTCACTCGAGCGAGGCCTGGGCAGGTGGCCTCGGGTACAAGCCTATCAATGACGAAACAGCGCTGAATTTTGGCCAGCAACAAATTACTCTTCGTCTTCTGGCAAGCAGTCGGTGTACGACCTTCTTTCGACTCCCTCCGACATGTGACTGCTTCCACATCTTCTCGAACCTTGGACTAGGCTGGTCAGTGTGTAAGAGGTGGGCCATGTCCTGGCTTACCACCAACCTTGAGACTTCCTTCTCTGAGTTCCATCTCTACGAAATGGGATGGGCATACAGGTTCCGATGATTTCGACTATTGACTATATCGGTATTGACTCAAGGAGGACTGGATGATAGAATGGAAATCTGGGGCAAGTCTACGATGTGCAGATTCTTCTCTTGCTGTGACCCGAAGATTTGAGTTCATCATGATTTTACTTTTATAGATTGTCTCGATTGTGTTCGGTTGTCGGTTGTGTCTTTTGGGTCTTGCGAATGCAGAATTCTAGCCGAGATATTCAGGGGTAAATAAAATCAGCCAGCCAAGTGATGAAGACTACGCTCAGTGATTAGTGGCGTCTCTCATCACTCGTGGCGGATTCCGATGACTGCTAACTTGAAGACTGCTATCACTCTCTTACAAACTTGTGTTCTGGCAAATATTTTGTTACTTGCGGTGATGATGCTTGGCCTCATCCTATGTTCACCAGAGGAGCGGAGCTTTGGAGATACTTGTGATGAAAAATACACGAAGCTGCAGGGCACGGCTATTATTATCTGATCACCGTCCATCCCGCTGCCACCCTGCAAGTGTGAAACGGCCTCTCGCTCAGTTGACTCGCCACTATTGCCCTTACTGGATGGCTAGTCTTCTTTTAACCACTCCAAACATGAACTAAACCCCATCGCGTAAGGGGGGCACTCGCTGGATGTCAATAAACAAGCCCTGGCTGGATTGAGAGCCCAAAGCAACGAACCCCACCACAGCTTCTCATGAGCGTGCCCCTTGGGAGTACATCGTATCAGATGAATTCTTAAGATTCTCAATATTCCTCACCAACCGGCAAATATTGACCTGAACTTGCTTCTTGTATCGCCTCAAAAGCAATATCAGGTTCTCGTAGCGACGCGTTGCCCACGAATCAGACACGTCCCACAAGGCAAGGAAGTCGCGACAACCGCATTCCCGCAGCAACGTCCATGCTTGCTGGCTCCTTTGTTTCCCCCTTCCGAGCAAACAATTTCCAGTTCCCCCTTCGAGACAGCTGTCATTTCTAGTCATCACTCCTCCACAATACAATCACCACATTTTGGCCGCATCTGCGACATCCTGCACCTTCAGCGACTGATCGCGCAAAAGAAGAAGAAGCAATCCTCGACGATCCGACTGACTGATCCATAATGGCTCTTCAAGCCGCCTACCAGCAGTTTCTCGCTGCGCCAAAGGAGTCCGCGCTGGCCAGCAACGCGTCTCTCCACTATATTACCACACTTGTCACTCTGAACGGCCCTTCTGCGATCATCAAGCACCTCGGCAAGCAAAGCAATGAGCTCAAGAAGAAGGAAGAGAAGTTGCTGGACGCCGTTGAGTCTGCAGATGCTCTCGCGGTAGAGGTGCACACAACATTGGAATTCGTAACAGGAGGTGGTTCCTACCTACCCGGACTGGATGACAATTTCCTCGCGGATCGTGTTGTAACATTCCCAATTGTCAGTATTGCCCTGCTAGCCATTAAGGAACCCCGCTGATATTCGCAGATCCACATCGTCTCCTTCACTCCCGACGGAAAGATCCAACAAATCCGACAAAACTGGGACCAAGGTTCGCTCCTCAAGTTGATCGATGTTATTGGCAAGACTGGGCGCAATTGGCCTATTCGTGATGGCAAGGACCAGATAAAGTTGATAACCTCGAGTATCAAGTTGACTGGAAAGGTCGACCCCAGCGATGCACAGCCCACAACTCGATCAAGAGAAAACTCCACAAACGTAACTCGCGATCCTCACGCATCCCTCTCGCTTTTCCAACCTCGCGACCAGAGCTACAATGATTCCCTCCCAGCTGTTGTCGCTACTCGGTCGTCTGCTAAGCCAGCACCACGCAACTACCACGACCTGTTTGTAGGACAAGAGGGCTCCCCAACCGTCTCAACACACCCAGAACTCCCACGTGAAGCATCCGACTCATCAAGTATCGCACCAAAGGGCGGTGCAGGGAAGAATTACCATCCATCTCGCCTGTTTGACCTCGAAGATGAGGATGTTGCATCACCAGCCAAGAAGAGCAACCCTACCAAATACCAACATTTCAACCTTGGCGAAGTCAGTGAAGATCGTGCAGAGAAGAGACCGCCACTCAAGGAAGTGAACAGCAGCAAGCACTCCAGTCAATGGAACTTTGATGACTTCAACACACCCCAGCGAGTTGTCCCATCCAAGGTTCTCCGTACAAATGATGTTCGCCACTGGGGTACCAGCGACGACGAAGTTACAGACAGCCCGGTCAAGATCAAGAAGGTTGACAAGCCACGGAAGGATGCCGAGACACATTTCGAATTCCAAGATGACGGAACTCCAGATGGACCTAGATTGATTGGCCGACCACGCGGAGCAGGCACAAACAACGGCATGGGCATTTACAAGAACAATATGTTTGACGAGGAGGAAGCGACTGCTGCTGGCCCTGAGCCAGTCAAGACAACACTTGCCAATGTCAAGGAGAGAAGCAAGGATTTCAACCCACAATTTGCCATGACCGATGACTCTCCATCCGCAAAGCCAGGGCCTCAACGAATCCCAGAGGATAGAGCCAAGGTTTTGAAGAACATGGATGCAAACTGGGCTGCATACGATCAATCACCAAACCAAAAGGAGAATGGTATCAGGTCGCCTACTGGTCCCCGACCAAATTCCAGCAAGGGTCCTCTTGCCGAGAACACCAACTCCTCCAGCAACAGAGTTGAGCAACACAAGGGTATCACAATTGCTGGAGATGGAATGGGTGGTCGCAAAGGTGCCGGCAAACTTGACAGCAGCTCCAAGGGCATAACTGTCGGTGGCGACGGAATGGGAGGAAAGAAGGGTGCCGGTCGACAGTGGGGATTCGGTGACGAGAGCGACGGTGAAGAGGTTGGTGGTGTCAACACCCAATCTAAATACAGAACCGGCAAGACTCAAGGCAAAGCCCAAGCAACTGGCGGCGATTTCTGGGACTTCTAAAGGGAGAAATCAAAGCTACATTGTCCACTGGTAGAGAAAATTGGAGGATCAGAAACACTCACGGCTGTGAATAATGCCTAATGCGGTACGATGGTTTACGATCAGCATCAACACAAATTGCATTTCTTATTGTTGCACACAAGAATATGGATGGCTGACGGCTAACGCGACGATGGTTTTCCTTGCTACTTTCCTACTTGTCCTTTGCTATGCTGCATTTTCTTTGTTGTTTCTTTACCTTGTTTCGAGTACGATATCCGGTTGGTTGAATGGTTGGATGGGTGGAGCTAGAACAAGCGAGCGAGCGCTTTGTGGATATGGACTGGAATGGTATATGCGGAGTATCGTTGGAATGCGGAGCACCGAATGTGCGGTGAAGTCGCTGCATATCATGGTTGGATTGAGGCTGGAGGTATCATTGTCTGTATGTTAGCGCGTGCTGTTTATGATATCAACAATAAGGCAGGAATTAAAGCTGGAATCTTCATGATGTCTTATCCTGCTTGCAACCTTGAATTGCTCCTTGAGCCTCTTCCTTGAGGTCTTCATTATGGATTCAATGAGGTATTTAAGCAACCACTTTGCCGGCACAATTTCCTTCGCTGGCTATCGTCAACTCATCGCGATTCTTTACGAACCGTTCTGAATCAGCATCACATATACTCATTTCAAACCAGAACCGAGATGGCCTCCCAAACTGCTGTGGAATCATCTATCTAGAATAGCTACCCAATAGATGTCTACATTTACGGACTCGAGTCTGACCTTTGCTTTTTGAAAACAAGGATACGGATTAGGAGAAAGCAAGTAATGCTACATTCATCTGAGCTTCAACAAGGGAGATCCGCCGCCTCCTGGTCGAATTAAACTCGGACACAATTGAGACGGATCTCAGTTCTGGCTTAGGAGTGATGGAGGTGCATGGTTCTGGTTAGGAGATTGTAAGATTGTATGGAGGAAAGGAGAATTCGTGGAAACGAGACTTTTCAGGCAGATTTAAAACGGGGATAATGTATTGGTGAATGTGAGACTAGAAGTTGGGGTGGGAAGAGATAATCAAAAGATTTGTGGAAGATCGGAATCGGTCAGCGGGACGTTTGACAGGGACGCTCACACAACGGGCATTCTCATTTACTTCATGAGTACCTATCTCCTCAACTGGTAAAAACACACTTTTGGAGGGTACAGCGCTGAAGCGAGGCGCTAAGGCTGCCTGGACGGGCAACGCAATATTCAAGTTCCAGCGTTCATCGCTCAATTGCAGGTACTCGCTACAGGCTATGCACTCCCTGTAAAACGTATATCTTATGCGGCAATTAAAGGGATACTTACAGCGCAGCTACAAAAATAATCAGCCAATGGAAGACGGCTTCTTGGATGAACTGCTACACTGAAACACAGAATATGGCATATTATTTTAGAGGTGGCATACCTCGGATTTCAACGCATCTGCTCTCATTCCAAAAGCCATTTCATATCCCAGAACTTGACCAGCATTTCCAAGCCCTTGACGCCTCTCCAAACCCTCTCATACTCTTCCTCACTACGCCAAATCATTGATCCGCCACCTACACCTCCTGAAAAAAGTCTGAAAGCTGTGCGTCGATTCTGCGTTGCAAACTCCTACGCTCCGCACGCAACTGTAAATACTCGTCCCTCGATGGGTAATGGGCTTCGATCCTCCGTTGCTCCCACGGCCTCAACTTCATATCTAATTCATCCGCGAACACTTCATCCACGGAGTTTATTCTAGAGATGTTCAACAAAAGTCTGTCGATCATGGACTCGCCGGGATGGACGTGAGGACCATCCACTTCCGTCGCGTGTGCTCCTTTGGACAAGGGGTGGAAGGAGATGTCGAAGGCTATTGACTGGATCTGAGATGTGAGGGTGTCTTTAGGGTTAGAGGTAGAGGCGGATGCCGGCGTAGATGGCAGACCAGTGAACAGCCAGCGCGTAAGGTGGAATAAGCCAAATATGTTCGGTTTATCCAGTGGTGTGCTGAGGTGACGGATCTGGTCGAAACCGCTGAAACGAGCCAATGTTTTCAGGCTCGGTGGGCTCTGTAAGATGTCTGACAGCGAAAACAAGGAATGCAAGTCGATGAATATTGTGTCTTTGTCGGGGTTGAAACGGATCTTTTGTGCGCCTGCGTTGGCTGAGTTGGCTCCTTTGTTTGTTGAGCTAGCTGGGTCGTGGAGATCAGGTAGAAGGTCGAGAATCACGGGATAACGACGTTGGTACTCGTTGTACACTTCGCGGTTGGTATGTGGTGGAGGAAGAGGTGCTAAGGGAGCACTGAGTCTGTAGGTGTAGTAAATTCGAGCGGGAACCACTGTGGACGTGGTATAGAGTAGGTGGATTGTTCGGTCGATTTGGATCGGAACTGTGACAGAAGAGGTGGAGAGGACCGGGAATGCAGCTTCCCACTATATATTATGTTAGCTCATCTGTTTGGACTTTTATCAGAGAAAGATCTCCGTTCTAAAGTTTTGATTTCGAGGATTTTAACGACATAATGAAAATGGGATGGCTTACAATGCGGAGGCGCAGCTCAAACGCAAGCTGTGGGAAGAGTGTAAAGGCGGGTTGAGACTTCATTGTATATGTATGACTTAGGTTGTGATGAAAAAATGGAGAGTCTGGTAACTTCTTGGTATCTGAAGATGTGTTCTGAGATTATGTTTGGAGAATCTAGAAACTGGCAGGCTGAGGATTCAAATAGGATGGCTAGCCAAAGCAACGAAAAGGGGCTCGAGCATCATTGTTCAAGCACAAAGATTGTCTGAAAGAGTATATGAGTCAAAGGTATGCTCATTGGTGAGCTGCTCGAGTTGTGACTCGCCAAGTAGAATACTTGTCTCTCCAGACACACTGAGTAGTCTGGCGAAGGCTCAGGTAGTTATTTTGCTTGATCACGGCTTTCACGTCTTTGTTGGAAAACTCTCTGGCAATGGACTCACATCCCTGGTCTACTAAGTAAGCTCTGTGCGTCGTTCTGGGACAGACACTTTCATACAAATTCGGATAGATTCGCTCAAATTACCCGAGATCTGTCTCGGCTATTGTAGTGAAGTGGTCTCTTGCTTGGACCAACGACACTACTCTGCTGAGTGTCTCAAATTTCCCAAGAAGATATGAGGACAGTGCAAAGTGAAGCGCAGATTACCAGTTTACAGCGAAATGACTAGGCAACCGACGTTTCGGACAGAATGCTGTCTTGCTCAACAACTCTTATATCTATAGCGTGCCTTTTCCTTCGACATACACTCCCACATTCGGTCAGGCTCCAAGCCAACAAGTTGTTGTCCACGCTATGCCATCAGAATCATCCAACAAAGACATCTTTGGTGCATTGCCCAACAGGGCCATTGTTCTTTTTGATATTGAAAGACACCCATTAATAGGTCTTTCAAGAGATGGATTCTCAGGTTGTGTCTCAGGGGGAAACTTTTCTAGTCACTTCGAGGTATGCCACGTTGAAACTTGCACTCTCTACTTCCCGTACTTACAAAGAAATTATCCCTCAAGAACAGGATTCATAACTGTATAAGAGGCATATAAGTCAGGGAGTAATGGGCGATACGTACGTGTCCGGCGCCTCGCACTAGCATCCATTGTCTCTCTCCGTACCTATTCGAGATCAACGTCATTACCATCCAAACAATTTTCCAAGATGTCAGGCACGCCACTTATCCAATATACCTGGATCTATCAGTGTCGTAGGTGTGAGAAGTCTCTCACCAAGCACCACTCGTCAAACGACCGTCTCCTAGCAATTGACCCAAACGTCCCGAGAGGGCCATGCAGCTGCATTTCGCTTGATGAGAAACAGCGAACTTGCAGTAAGGAAAAGCTCCTCGATGAGCCTGACGATAGCCCTAACTGGGTCTATCTCTGCGACTGTGTCAGAGAATGGACGGAGCAGCGTAGTCCTGGGCAATCTCAGATATCCGGAGAGGTATGCACCACCTGCTATCCGCAAGGAATGTGGGAGCTGAAGCGATTTTTCAATAGTATAAACCCAGGCATGGCCAGGGTATCAAATTTTCAGCAAGATTTGTCACAGCCTGAAGTAGCAGCCAGTAAAATCCCATCCGAATGGGTACTGGACAATCAACTAGCCCAGCGGCAAGACTGCAAACCTTCTGGCAAGTCTAGTATCTTCCGATGCTTGAGCAACTTGAAGCAAAGAATCACTCATTCTGATAAGCAAGAAGGCGATGATTCAAATACCTCAAGCTCCAGAGTTCTCCGCCGCCCCTCTTTAGCACACAGCTTGATGGACATCGAAATCCCATCTCATCAAATAAAGGTGTTGATTTCCCACCTCGACCCAGATGACGAGGATGAAGACTTGGAGGAAGCAAGAGGCTTTGCCGCGGAAGGCGAGGATGACAGTTCCTCTGATGATGATGATGATGATGATGAGGTTCTTGCATCACTTCTCACAGAAGTCATCGAACGTGACGATGAAAGTTCATTATTTCATTCTGAAGGTGTCACTCTTGTTCTCGAGAATGTTCCCACAGATAGCAATGAGGAAAATGACAGCAGCCTGCATATCCTCAGCCAAGCCAGAACAAATTGCCGACGAGTCAACATCTGGTCACCTGAAGAGGGCGACATACGGCTTGACGTGAATCCAAGAGCTGTCAACTCTTCTAATCTGAGACTGGTGGATACTCCCTCCGCAGACTCGGGAATGCAAGCTTCTCCTTCCTCTACAGAGTCTCGTCGGCCAGACAATGCTGCACGCATTCAAGAAGTCCGAAACTTCTTCTCAATTCCGGAGTCTGTACCTACGAGTTCAATCCCATACTTCATCAGAGGTCATTCGCGAGTAGGAATGAGCTTGGAATATGGTATCGTCCTAACTTGTGGGGGGCTCACGTTCCGACACCGCCATCCTCACATCTGGCTGCGGAGCACTCAACCAGGACGACTCGCCGAGTTCAACGAAGTTTTGAACTCGGACGATATCGTATGGGAAGACGATATAAGAAGAGAGGTGAGTGACTCTGACATCGTAAGATATGATGCGCGAATTGCGAATACAGCTTCAGGATCGGTGACTTTAGATTCGAGATTCGATTTCACCCGCCTTGACGGTGATGATGAGACAGAGTTCTGGTCTGCTGTTGGTGTTTCGGAAGGTGAACGCTCGAGATTGGTTGCAGAAGAACAAGAGCCACGACTACACACTGATCCAGACTCTGCATGCGCAGCCTGGGAGGCAAGTGATCTCATCTTAGAAATCAACGTGCAGCCTCATGAGCTTCACGAGCGTGTGCCGATTTTTGAGGATGAGAGGGACGATATTGAGGAGGACCTTTCCTTCTGATTTCACCCAACTAGTGCCCCCACAAATTCCATGTGTTGTCAAGAGATGAATCATGATTTCCTTGTAAGTTTCCCTCTGGGATTTCTGGAAATTACGAGTAGGCCTCTCCTGTAACACTAGGAAGCAGTAGCCTCTACCTTCACAAAGTTGTCCGTCCGTAGTTAAACATGGTCTTTATTCTTATCAATTTCCAAGTGATATATGTAAATCAAATCTGGTTTCGGAAACCTGAGCCCTAATATTATCAATGACCATAAAATACTGGCCAAACAGAGGGACAAGGCAACTAGCCCAGCTTCCTACTCATTCCAGCGCAACTGTGAGGGGTTCTCGCTTAATTTGGTGATTTCTTCGAGCACTCTCGTACAACGCCGATTCCGCTGTTCAAGACGATCACAAACATCAATTGAGGATGGTTTGCTTCCAGATCTGTGAAGGATTTTAGATTTCTGGTTTCCAGGATCTAGGATTTTTTCCGGGACAACAAAGTGACGATGAGCTGAGCTCGAGTCTGGCCACCTTCAGGCTCGAGGTTAAGCTCCGAAGGACATTGTGCAAATGTATTCACGGGGTCTTGCTGGCTGTAACGTGCTGTCCAATGACTTTTACTTGACCATGATACCCTTGAAACGGCCCTTGTTGAAAACAGAATCAATTATGAAAGTCCTGCGACCTGCTCGGACGAGGCGCATGGTCCTTGGCGAAGCTTGTATGAAGGCTGAAGTCACTGCCGAATCAGGGAATTAAGCAGCCTGATAGTATATCTAATCTTGATAGCTCCTCTCAATTGGACGCCATCAATAAACACACGAGTCGCTAAACAAACATAAGTAAGTGCTGATTGGAGCGAAAACCTCTACGACAGCCGCCCACCCCTCATTGCAAGCAGAAGGATTCTCACCTCAAGGCACGTCCCGTTTCCGTACAACAACAATTCATCAAAACAAGCTTTAAAGTACAACGCATCCCGTCTCCAAATTCCGATAGGCCACCGCTCAAAATAGCGACAAGCTTTTCTTGCCCAGCTCCCGATACCCCAGAGAGGCTCTCGGTTGGATGCAGGTGCGTGCTTGGCAGCCTTTCAGCTCCTCGTCGAAGGATTCAGCATAAATGCTTGCAATTCCACAAATGCGGGTGGAGACATAACACCGTAAGATGGATAGATTGTTGTGCCGCATTTTGAGATTTGCGGGAGAGAGGTCGTACAAACCCCGCGTTTGGGTGGTGGATGAGTGGTTGTGAATGGTGAGCAGGAGGAATCGGGGGGTTCTTTTGTACGCCTACGTAGGTATTTTAATCTATTTACTCAACCGAGCTGAACATCTGGAATTGGCCTTAGTGATTTTGGTGAGGCTCTGGAGTTGCCATGTCTATATAAGTGGCGACGAAGTCCTAAGCAGAGGAGAAAGCTCAACAGGAAGATCACGAACTTTCAACATTCGCGGCACATCAAACATCACCCTCGTAAATTTTACCATAAGACCCTCCAAGTCACAGTCACAATGAAGTACCTCGCACTCACCCTCAGCACCCTCCTGACCCTCACTGTCTCTGTGTCTCTCCCAAAAGAAATGACCGAAAATCCCGCCTACGTCCTCCGCAAACGACAAGAAACCGGTTTCCAAACACACTCCTGCGCCATCGTCGGTGATGGCAATGCCTTCTGCCGTACCTGTGACAAGAAGAGCTGTAAATCAGTCAAGACTCTGACACATGGGAAGAAATATAACTTCGATTGCGTGTGTCGAAGTGGAGAGTGTGTAGATGGACTTTGGTAAGTCGATGGAGGTGATGTTAGTTGAAGAAAAAAGAAATGCTGATGATTTTATATAGTGGATGGGATTACGCTTATGAGTATGACTGCTGGGTTTGGGCTGGACGGTGAGTTTGCTTGAGGCGGGATTGATCCTGTTACTGATTGTTGATAGAACTGATGACAACTGCCCCACGGCCGGTGCTCGTAAGTTCCAGTCTTCCTCCTCGAGCATGATCGAAAACTTCTTGCTAATATGATATGTGTAAAGATGGTTTGACAGAGTGTGCATACTGCAAGAGATGAGCAGCCCTGAAACGCAATTTTGAAAGGTTGAGGCTGGTCTGCCGCACTTGCTTAAAGACAGCTGATCATTTGTTCTCGTGCTTGGGAACTGCGGGGTTTGTTACAGTAAAACATAACGTAACGTGTATAAGAAAACTACATTGCTACGGACTGAATGTCTGCATATTTCCTTCCCGTGCAGCGCCTGGAACAGCTGCCGGCAATGCCACTAAGGGAATTCGCTTAAATTCCTCAGAGAAAGTGAAGAAAGCTTCTCTGCCTCTCCCAAAAAATAAAATGCCATGATAACCGAGACATGACTTGATTTTCAGCAAGTTGGCTCAATAGTGGAAGACCATCCAAGCAGAGGAGCCTGATTTCCTGCTCGGTTCAGCGAGCAGCAGGATGAATTGGGTTATCCCAGAAAATGTTCATTAATTTCTACTTGGGCCCTTTGAATCCGTAGGAGAGCCTGTTAATACCAGCAGCAGCTTGTCCGGTCCAAACCGGTGGACCGGGGATTTTGTAAATCTAAACGCATCAGCAAAGCCAGCCCTATCCTAAGATCTCCACCCAGGTTTTAAGACTTACGGTTGCATCCCCAATATCATCCGTATAAATATCAAGATTGATCTCCGGCTCTGCCATCAGTCAGCAAGCCAAACCATAACCACAAAACCCTCATGGCCAGCCAACTCACGACTCATATCCCAAACCCCTGGGATCCTCGTCAAGTACTCCTCACCAGGTACCTCCTCACCCCCACCGCCAACAACAAGATGCGCACACTGCGGATAGAACTGCGGCTTATGCGCAATATGCAACGCAATAATCTCATGTCTGATCAAATAATTTCCCCTCCTCAACCCTCTCGGAATCATCTCCGTCCACAAATCCGGCATCCCATCCCAATGCTGGAAATCCCTCTGTCCCCACATTCCCTCTCTCACAGTCCCACTCAGAAGTCCTCGTTCTGCAATCTTGAACCATTTCCCTTCATTAGGGTTAAAGGTTTCGCATGAGGCGCCGCAGTCGGCCATCATGACGGTCATGGGTCCGACGGTGTGTAGCCAGTAGTTGTAGACGGCGGTGATGTTGTCGCCGGGAAGGATTGGGATGAAGGAGACGGCGGGGGTGCCGGGGAAGTTGCAGGCGAGGGAAGTGTTAGTGGTTTCGAAGATAGGATCGATCGTTATCCATTTGCGTTGGACGAGCCAGGGTTGGCCATCTTGCTCGGATGGTGGAATGCTTGGGTCGTAACTGTGAAGTGTTAGGAGAGTTCATTGACTGATGGGAGAAGTGGCGAGATACCCGGCATAGTCAATACCGTTGACGGTGTAGTTTGATGTTCCTCCATGTGCGACAACAACATCCAGCAGGTACGCGATGAGAATGAGTACACAGCCCATACTTTCGAGGCACCTTGACTCTGCTGAGCATCTCAATCACGATTGAGGAGAAAAATTCTCCAAGGCATACATCTCAAGCTTCTCAAGATATCTCCTAACGACATATCCAGGTATCGGCAGGATTCAAGATCTCCATCCACTTTATCCTTCCCACATCACCCGTCAATCATACGCGGAGCACCGTGGAGCACCTGACCCCAAAACTCTTCCCACAATCCCAATGTAGCCGTCCATTCCAATTAATGTTTCACAGCCCTCAAGCAATAAAGGTGTTCCTGCGGGGAATTCATTTGCTTATTGCAGACTCATCCGCAACTGTGGAGTTGAATGGCTGCCCAGATTCGGCTATTTTGGATGAGCCTGTGGGGAAAAGCTTGACTCCGGCACTTTCTAATCAGCCTGACGGTATTCGTCTAAGAGTATGACTGCGAGACATAGAATCGTGTGGGGCTCGGGAGGTTCAATGGAATACAAAATGGAAACGTTTCGCTCGAGATTGGTGCTTGGCCGTTTCTTGGGCGGTAAATACTGGGAACATCTCCAATTCTGAAGTCCAAGATGCATTTCTCTAGATTTTTTGCTGTTGTAGCACTGGCTTGCTCGAGTGTTTATGGCGCAGCCTTAACGCAAGTGAGTAATTATGGAGGGAAAGCGACCTCCAAAGCTCAGATGTGAGACTCACCTTCTTCACTTGCTCCAATACTCACAGAAACACAGGTGGGTGTACGTCCCAGACAATGTCAAACCAAACCCCTCGCTTGTGGTAGCGATCCACTCTTGCGAGTCTTCAGCACAGAAATACTTCCAGAATAGTAAGATTCCTCGGAAACAAGGATCAGATGCCAAGGGTTACATCAGTATCTGGCCAAGCGCTCCGCAAAGCTGTTGGGATGTTTCGAGCAAGTCGACACTTGTGAGGAGTGGCGGCGGTGATTCGAATGCTATTGCGAACATGATCATTTACGCGATGGACAAATATAAGGTCAATGCGACTCAGGTATTCGTCACTGGAGGATCTTCTGGAGGTATGACGCCTTCATTCTTGCTCCCGATTGTAAATGTGCTGACTTTGATCCAGCCATGATGGGAAACGTGATGGCTGCGGCGTATCCAGACTTGATGTCTGCAGTTTCAGTCTATTCAGGAGTAGCAGCAGGATGCTACGTCGGAGCAGGAGTGGCTCAATGGAACAACGCATGTGCCAACGGCCAGAGTACCAAAACTGCACAAGCCTGGGGTGACATAGCACGAGCCATGTACCCAGGATACAATGGCACTCGCCCAAGGATGCAAATCTGGCACGGCTCGGCAGACGGGACGATTGCGCCGCAGAACTATCAGGAAGAGTTGAAGCAATGGACGAACATCTTCGGTGTGAGCATGACGGCGACAGACTCAAAAGACAATACCCCGGAGAAAAATTACAAAACAAGTAACTATGGGCAGAATGTGCAAGGGATTTACGCCACTGGTGTTGGGCATTCGTGTCCGGCTCACTTGGCGGAGTCCGAGGCTTGGTTCGGATTGAAGTGAGGATCGAGATGGCAAAAGTTATGAGAAATACAATGTACATAATGAAGAATGGTGGTGGATAAGAATGTGACATTGAAATTCGCTGCTCCACTTCCAAACAATCAAAATAGCGGATATTTCTGGATCAGAAGTAATAGGAAGGTCATGTTGGGACGCAGTGCAACCGCTACCCCAGCTTAGCGAAAGGCAGGGACATCTGAATCATGACAAAGGCCACCCTCTAATTTTAAGATTTCGAAGAGTGAAAGCTCAGTTACTCACGCTATGATCCAAATAAAGTTCGGACCATACAAAGACATTATCATATCCTCTGACCCCACGCCACTAGCGAAAATAACCACAAAGAACGGGCAGAAGCGAAACCTAGAAAACAACAAGGAAAACAACAAGGAAAACAATAAGGTCGATTGTTCCTCTCTTTACCTCATCATTGAAGTACAGATATAAAAATAAAGAACAGATAAAGCACAAAGAATGAACAGAAAGTGTCCATAACGTATAAATCCACTCCACAATGCACATTGTTTACACCCTACACATTCTCCCATTTTCCATTTCACTATACCCAGCTTCTCTTATAGATACCCAGACACTTCCTGGGAAACTCCATTACTATCTGAACACACAAAGAAAGACCCTATACTTGAAGCGAAACAGCAAAGAAGCAACCAGAACCATAACCCAAAGCAAACGGGAAAAGAGCATCCCAACACAACAAAACACAGAAAGATATAGCACATCACATCGACTATGTGCCAACTAATCTCAATTTGCAAGTGTGGTGACTTCATCCGCGATACCAAACATCAGTGCGAAGAGTATCGACGGCGCTACAAGCAAGCAAAGAGGCAACGAAGCCTCGGCTTTTTCAGCTGTTTCTTCCCCTCCTCTCCAATCGAAATCCAGTGTCACGAACGAGCAGAAATCCGTACCGGACAGGCCGGAGAGTTCTGCCATAACTGCAAACTCGAAAAACCTCGCGCTGACAGAGCGAGGATACGGCAAGCACAGGAGGACCAGGACTGGAATGCAATAAGAGCAGACCAGATTGCCAAGGCTGAACGCGAGAAGTTTCTGTGCTCCAGATGTACCAAGGAAGGAAGGATGCCGGACATCATGATTAGGGAAGCGAATGGCGGACTCTGTTGTGCGAACGGGTTGGTGGAGTATGGTGAGCCGCAGAAGACTCGAATTCCACGACCAGATGCTGGATCTTCACGGAGGCTAGTTCGGAGGGAGCAGGGAAAGCAGGAGAGGATTCCTCAGCCGCGGGTCGGCGTTTCGAGGTTACCAGAGCATATGCAACAGATGAGAGCAGCACAGAAGCCTATTTCTCAACCGCAGGCTGGACTTGTGAGGGGAGTAGTACAGAGGGAACAAAAGAGAGGAATGTCGAAGCCACTTCCTCAACCACCAGCTGGACAATGCCGGAAGCCAGCTGCGACAGGACAGATGAAGAACAGGCGGGTTGATCAAGTGCAAGCTCCTCCTCTACCGTTGGCTCCTCGAATGCAGAGTCAGGGTGACCACCTCCGAAAACCCATACCGATGGCGCAGAAGGAGGCACGTCGGCCTGGATTGCGGCGTGTGAATAGACAGGAGTCGTTGCGGGCGGATACGAGAAAGGCTGCACAAATATATGGCCAAGATCGTCAGCGAAGAGACTCATTCTTGGAGCCAGAGCTCAACAAGCAGTGCATTATGACTCCTGGTGGTGGTGATCCGCGGACCTTTGGAATGGGTCATCCGATTCACGAGCCGCTCTACAAGGAGCCTCCGATTGATTGGAATAGGTGGTCCGAAGCGATACAGGGCTCCCATGGTCGACTACCACCCGAGCATAAGGCACCGCTACCTATCCGGCCCTTGAATATTGGACAAGCGCAGAATGGCCAGTCGATCGCTCGAAAACCAGTCCCAATCACGAAGCCAGATCGATTACCGAGAGAGCGGAGTATGGAACATGGTTCGCCGTGTGTGTCACCAATGTCATCAAACGCATCACTCAGGGTAGAGGACATGATGTCTGATGTCGGTGGCCAGGTAAATGCTGCCATGGGCGACTGGAATCGACAATATGTATCACGATATGTATCACCTATGTCGTCACCTATAGCACCCCCACCGCCTGTAGTCTGCTGGCCCCAGCAGCGGTCGATCGGGTAAGCAGATAGACCAGTGGCAGTTGTAAATCGCAATATATTGAGTCATTGTACATGAAGTACGACACAAAAGAGACATTCGTTCCCCAAAATTGCCTTTGTGACTTATTCGTCAAATCATTACAACCAAACTCCCAACTCGAGCGTGCTCGTTCTAGTCGCCAAAAGCTAACGCATGGCATGCAAAGTAAAATCGACGGAACGCAAGCAAGTGAAGAAATGAAACGGTTTCTCACTGCATACTTCTTCTCTTCTACCACTTTTCGTATCCTGGTCAATTCTTTCCCCTCTCATACGCCTGGCCCATTGCTCCTGGCCGAGCCTTCCCCCAAATCTTCTCACTCTCAATTCGATATGGGCTTATTTCTGCCGCAGCGATTATCGCCAGTTCAATTTGTGGGCTTCTTGCCTATTCATTCTGGTCAGGTTGTGTCGGAGAAGTTCCTAGTTCGCCTTTCCATTCTTGGCATTGCCGTTTCCATTCTGTGCCTTCTCGGTCTTGAACTTCTCGATCTCCTTCTCCACAGCGTCGCCGACTCGCTTCTGCAACTCTGGTCTGTAGCCGAACTTGAATAGTCCTTCCATGAAGACAAAGAATGGAGCAAGAACCAATGCCTGTACCAAGTTGTCCAGCAGGGCAGGGGCCCGGCCCTCATATACTCCATGTCCAACAAATTGTGCGATCCAGGATACGATAAAGACGCCAATGCTAGCTTGATTGGCGAGAGTGCTCGATGCGGAGGCTGTGAGGTGGTTCGCAAATGCAGTCCATCCAATGATGATGGGTAGGAGTATACTACCTGCGACTGGCTCGAGGAGGATGTAAAATCCGCCGTAAAGAATGGCTCCTATTGTACCGATGTTTAGGGGCAGGTTGGGAATTGTAAGCCATGTTGGGAGAGGGATGATGGTCGGACTGTTCGTTGCCTGTAATATTCCTCAGCATCGAAGACCCCATATAGCATAAGTCAGGGGCGTACCAGTAGTAACGAAGTCGCTAGGATCAGAGGGACACATATCATATGTATTCCAATGTTGGTGGGATTGTGGTGATATGCTCCGTACTGCCTTTGGATTAGCAAATGCCCCTGGAGCTTCGTACATCTACTTACGAAGCAGAGCTGCTTCTCAAGGTTGAGAGACATTCTGGCAACAGGTGATGGAGTTGCCAAAGAAGTGTTGAACAGTTGGGAAAGTTGAGAAGGCGGGGGCTTCGGAGGATATGTGGACAGTGAGGGTCAAGGATGACTTCGAATTACCACCAAACCATTACCACTCTTGGAATGGCGTGACGCGACAGGACAGAGCAGGTGGGGAAGATGACTGTGGTCAACTTTCCCTTTGTTGTGGCTCCGTGTCTGTGAATAGATGTTGTAGGAGAGAAATATATAATGTATGATGTTGAGGTGTTTCTGTTTCTGGTGGCTTAATTCTAATGACAGCATGCGCAGAGCAGCCAGAAGACCGTGAACAACGGCCCGGATCATTGTGCATGTGGATCGGAACCCTTTGCGCTGGCTGGCTGCAGCCCGCCCGGCCTGGCACATACCGGGTTCCATGACTACCCGTTTGCGGCGAATACTTGGTCCTTAACTAACAATGAAGACTGCAGATCCTTGGCGCATATCAATCGACAACAACATCATTCTGTGCTGGTCCTGACATCGAAAGTTGACGACGACGACGGCAACGACCCAGTCCACCGTCCCTCTCTCGAGACCAAGACTCCGCACAGACTCGGACGAGTACCTGCGCGATCTCTGAAAACCTCCAGAGCAGTGCCGGAGCGTCAAGTGGTTGCGAATCCATTCTTTTGAGCAGTGTATGTTCTGCCAGCTAACCCAGCACTCTGCTGCGCATCGGACTAATGCCCCCAGACTCCTCAAGACATCGAGCGCATACTACCTGCAGGCTTAGAGCAACTTTTGCGATCACGGGGAACATATTGATGGGCGTATAGGAGCGCATTCGAAAGTGCAGCGCGTCGCATTTGTCTTCGGGCATCCTCAATAAGAATTCACCTTTGCCTCATCAGCTCCGTTTTACCGCCTTATAAGCCCTTCTAAGCGCGTCCCTCGAGGTCGCAGTCCTCTTCGAGTATCCCTTGCCAGCAACTCGCTCTCTTTCTTGTTCTCATCACCCACCATGTTCTTCCTTTACAACCTCGAGCGGCAGGTAACTCTGCATCCCTCCTACTTCGGCCGAAATATGCACGAGCTGGTTACGGGAAAGCTTTTGAAGGATGTTGAGGGAACTTGCACTGGTCGTTATTACATCATCACAATCATGGACACGTTTAACATCTCTGAGGGCCGCATTCTCCCAGGCAGTGGGCTCGCTGAATTTACGGTTGGTTATCGTGCAGTTGTTTGGAGACCCTTCAAAGGCGAAACTGTGAGGAAATCATACACAAAGTTGGATTTTCGCTGGGCTAGGCTCACGTATTTGACAGGTTGATGCAGTCGTTTCATCCGTCAACCAGGTCGGCTTCTTTGCTTTTGCTGGACCACTCTCCGTCTTCATATCCTCCCATGTTAGTAAATTATGCTTCGGAACACCGAGGAGCATGCTAATAATGAGCAGCTCATTCCCTCAGACATCAAATTTGATGCAAATGCTACACCCCCTCAGTATACTAACAATGAAGATTCGGTCATCGAGATTGGTACTCATGTGCGCGTGAAGATCGTTGGTACGAGAGCGGAAGTTGGGCAAATGTTCGCAATTGCCAGTATCAAGGAGGATTTCCTCGGGTTAGTTGCTACTGAATACCTGTGCGGTAGAGTTGGGTGTTTGACTAATCATTGGGCAGATGTCTTCAAGGCTCATGATCTATCAGCTAGACTAGAAGCTTCCTTTGGGCTGGTGGCTACAACCAAATGTCCCAAGAGTCCGTCACTATGACTACATCTGGACTGGACCCGACACATTCTACTTGCCATGTTCGGTTCTCGGCTCTACCCGAACATAATCACTCGTGGAGATCTCTCAACCTCGAGACACGCGACGCAAAAGCCACAGACCGGCCTCCAAAATGACTTGAGCATCTAGAAGCTCTTTCAGAAAATGAATTTGGTTTTGTCCCCCCCCTCGCTGGCTTTTTCTTTGGATGTGATTCTGCGCGTGTTCAATTTTTCTTTCCCGCTTTCAAGTCTGGTTGCAGTTAAGTCTAGCTGTGCCGAACTTACAACCCTATGGAAGTTACGGTACGGGTCCGCACCATCCATCACAATTTTGCTTCAAGCAGTTAATCGCTCTCATATTTTCACGCCAATTCCTCATGGGCGCTATGTCCGTCTCTGATGATGCTTACTTGACCATTTGACGGGCATCATTGTGAAGTCATCAAGTCGGAGCTACCCAAAGAAGTCTCCATGCTAAACCATAACCCACGGTCTAAGGTTTAAATCTGAACTGAACCACGACCGACCTGGACTGAAGCCAAGGTACACAAAATTCGTGCCCTCTCCGTCCCCTCTCCCTTCTTCCTTCCCACAAACTCTTTTCTTCTACGATCCACTCTGTCATTATATCCACACATCTACGCCCACTTCGCTGGACATCAATCGACACCACTAAATCGCCAGATCCGCAACCGTCTCACCAACCCCAACTCCACGAACAACTGAAAACCGTCCATTCGGCGCAAGTCGCACTTGGAACACTCACCAGGTGGAGGTTCCAGTCACTGAACCGTCTTCGAAGTGAACATCTCGGGTCCTCCAACGTCACTTCATGCACAGCGTCAAGATGTGTCAATCCAGCAACTACGGATCCTCCCCAGACGCCCAAAAGGTTCAGAAGACCGACGACATCTGTAACATGGCCAAGCAAATCATCCACGACGCAAAAATGGACCTTCAGAGAATTCTCAACAATGCTACATCAACAACGACATCAGAACCCACTGCCGGGAAGCGAGCAGGAAAGTTGACCTCACGTGACACAGAACATCTGACCATCAAGCAAAAGTTAATCAACGGCTTTGCTAAAATCATCAGCGTGGCAGAATCAATCACAGGTATCAGGAGAGTCACCCAAGAACCAAATACTGTTTTCTTCTTGAAAAAGCAATCGCCTACAGCACATCTTTCAATATTAAGAAATCCGACACGAGCCTACGAGCGTGCGACACCCGCTTTCTCTCCAGCATTGGGTCACGCATCCGACGCATATATTCGCTTAAACCAGCGCCAATACCAACAAGATAGAATAACGGTTGAGAACGGCGACTACATGGAAACCATAAAGAATACGGCTCACCGAATGGCTCAAGTAAAGAGATATAAGCAGGCGAAGAAATCCCTGAGCCAGATTCAACAAGATCATGATGCGTGGGTTTATGACAAACACACAGTGGACGTGTTATGCGAAAAGATACATAAGGATGCTTTGTTTTGGAGATCTTGCCATGAGGACACAATTACGGTTGTGAACCAGGACGGGACGAAGGAAGAGCAATGGTACCAAAACGACCAAGATCGGTGTCTTGGAAGTTCCATCGAGGATCAAATGCAAATGCAAGGTCGGAGCATCAAGGAATGGGCCGGACTCAGAAAGGCGGTCGAAGATTTGGAGCAAGAGGCGAGACACGAAAGAATGGTCAAGCATCGAGAGCAATGGCGGCAAACCAAATACGTCCCAGAAGAGTATAATTCGGATACCGATGACTCAGATATGGAAGAGGATGACGACGAGGATTACGGTCACCTATACGACGATGTCGATGTCGCGCAGGTTAGAATAAGCGAGGTCGTTGCCAAGGACGAAGCTATAACGACTTCGCCAGCCTCATCAAGTGGTATCCCACAGATAAAATCTGCGAATCTCGAGGAACATCTTGAAATTCTCGACTACCATACACCCACACTCAAAACACATCTCGACAACATAGTCGAAACAAAAACCACTCAAACCAATTTCACAACAAACCAAGCATCTAGTGAAATGGCTTTGACCACAACAAAGACCACCAAGGAGGTCGTCACCGAGACCGACGCGGTCATCTCCCTTGTGGACACTCTCCTTTCTGATCTCAAAGACCGCTATGAGTTCTACTACACCTCATCTAACGTCCACATGAACAACGTGCTTGAGGCCATGCGACCTAGAACCCTCGGTTACAAGTGCAGTTGGACAGTCCGCCCCATGGCAATGACCGAGAAGAACCTCACACCACCACCAGTCAACCAACCCCCCGCAATCCGCCTCACCAATCCTTCGGGAGTAACCTGCGAGCTCATTGAAGGTTTCCAGGATCTATCGGACCCGTGGTTCGAAGACTATGTCGCGTGGCGTGAGGAAGAGCAAGACGACCTCATCCAGGCGGTACAGGAGTGGAGAGAAAAGGAGGAGACGTTTGATGAGTATGACCGTCGTCTAGTTTGCGAGGAGTTCTGGGATAAATGCTTGGAGAAGGATCTGAAGCGCATCATGCAGGAGAGAAAGAAGTGGGAGGATATGGACGTCGTCTTCGAGGACGATTCCGAAGATTCTGATGACGACGACGATGATTGGGATGAGTATTCCTGCTCACGATCCCGCTCGTCATCAAGCACGACATTGGTCCCAGACCAGGAGGAGACCGGCGTTGAGACCGGCGCTCAAGAGGAAGAGGACGAGGACGAGGACGAAGACGAGGAGGAGGAGCCCGAGACCAACACCGAGACGGAGATACTCACCGCTCTCGAAGTAGCACGCACAAACCTGGCCGAATACAACACCAGCCTCGCCAACTCGGTCGTTATCGCCAAAACCAAAGCCATCAACTACCACCTAGAACGCGTGCACGATAGCCCCCAACACAACAAAGCAACCGAAGACGCCCAAGCCGTCAAGGACTCCTACACTCACAACCTCTCCTACTCCATCATCCGTCTCCGTCTCCGAATGGCACAGGACGGTCTCATCCCTTCCGACAAGTCCAACTTCGTCTACACGCCCACCAAGCCCACCGGACCAGGAACAATCACATTCACCGGCCGGATCAGAGAATTCCTCAAAATCAACAAAGATGTTCATGACCGTGCGTTTAGCGTCCTCAGAGAGGATATCCGTGTCCAGGCTATTCACAAGATGGATTTCTTCAAGGAGGTTAAGGTCTCGATGGCTCATGTGGCGGATCTGTATCGAGATGTTAAGAATGCGAAGGTTTTTAGAAAGGAGGTTAAGCGAGCGAATAAGCAGATGGAAGTGCAGAGTACGGTGGTGAGCGCGTTGGTACATGAGGGAGTTGCGGAGGCGGAGAAGTGGGAGAAGGAGGAGAAGGAGGAGAAGGAGAAGGAGAAGGAGAAGAAGATGGCTGGTGAGGTGGTGAAGAAAGGAAGAGCGAGACCGGTGGAGAAGGAGGATTTGTTAGTTGTGTTAGGGACGATGGGAGATATGATGGGTGTTGAGGTTGGTGGGAAGAAGGCTGGGGCGAAGGCTGGGAAGTCTGGGGACAAGGGAAAGGGCAAGGGCAAGGATAAGGGCAAGGGTAAGGGCAAGGGTAAGGGCAAGGGAAATGGAAAGGGAAAGGGAAAGGGCAGACGGAAGGGAAAAGGCAAATGGAGGAAGTAAATATAAATTGTCAGGGAATCGGAGGATGGGAGAGATGTTGGAGTGAGTGAGGGGAGGTAGATTGGAGTACAGTTTGGATTTTGGTAACGAGCAACCGAGTGTAGGTGAAAAGTGAAAAGCCACGGCAGCACGAGGGACTGAGAGAACGAGACAACGAAGCGTTGATTTTCCATCCACACTGTCCAAGAATAGCGCCCCAACTTGATTCTTCGCGTGACCTTACGCATACCCTATCTCACTTCTCTGCACCCGACAATCCATCCAGTTCCATCTTCCCTTGCATCTCCATCACCATCCATGTCACTCACAATAACCATTCCCCATCCAACCCTTCATCCCCACTCACCTTATTCAAACCTATCTCACTTCTCACAAGCCAAATACCCACCCGCATCCTCATCGTACCCAGATTGACAAGACATGCCTTTGCAGCAGTCGCTATCTTGACGACATCCATCTAGCAAGCAAGGAAATTAGATCAGCATAGTTACTATACATTCTGGGAGTGATAAAACTGAAGTCTTGTATCATTCAGACATCGTCTTGGAGAGGGATAGATTGAGTCAACCGATCTTGGAGACTTGATTTCTGGGTGCTGGTTTGGAAAGAGGACAGGGAAGGAAGACGTACAGTGCAGAGCCGAGCATTATTGCTCACTCCCTACCTCTACATTGAGAGGAAAGTTATGCTGGTGATTCTGGGATTCCGTCATCTATGCGTCAGACTTGGGAACACGTTCTCTTTAATGTACGGAAAGAAAAGGGAGGAAGAACGAACGGGCACAGCGATTGTGACTTTCAGATCCACATTTGGAGAGGGGCTTGGTAGGGCAGATGTGAGGGTGGCGATGCTTAGAAGGGCGAGTGGGAGGGAGTGCTGGAAGTACATGATAGATGAGACAGGGGTTTTTGAGGGGAGAGAATTGTCAGGTTTAAAATGGTGCTGTAACTGCTGAAGTCTAAGCCTCTAAGACAAAATTCAAGTGGGAATGTATAGTTAATGAACTTCACAAGAGGCAAAAATGTCCTTCCGCATCAATGTGTGAACTGGAAGTGTACAACCAGTTATACAAAGTATTGGGTGTAGTTGATTTCTTACCTTGAGGGACTGTCCTTTGTCCTCTGTCGTAAAGGACGTAATGTATCCACAACTTCCTGGACCCTGATGCCGATCTCCATGTAGCTCTTGATGTACAGATCGACAATGCATATCTAGTACCTGAGCATATCTTTCCTTTGGAGGTAAAGATTTGCGTACATTGGTGGTGGGACAATTATAAGTGTTCCAGCATTGTGGTACGGGTCCCCTAGTCCCGTCGATCGATGTGCAGTCATGTATCAGAGCCAACAACAATCATGAATTGGACTATCAATCTGTAGTACTTGGCCTGTACACACCTTGAAAGTAAAGGTCCTAATCACACTAATTACAATCTCCGCCTAGAAACGAGATCAATCGATCTCCTCCCATAATAACCAACTTTACTTCTTCTCCGGCGTCGTCTCCTCCACATGTCCTACAATATCAACACCCTTCTCCCCACCATCCCTATAATCTCCACCCTCATGATGAATCGTCTTCTCGACCGCCATAACAGCCTTCTCAGCAACCGCCTCATCTTCAAACAAGAACGCCAGTTCTTCCAAAGTACGACCTTGCGTCTCAGGGTAGAAGAAGTAGATTGTGCAGATCTCGAGCAGGATCATCACGATGTACATGATGAGATATTTCCAGCCCGCGTTGTCCATGCCAATGGGATTGACGAAGGTTGTGAAGAAGCCGGCACCTCGGACGAAGAATTGCTCAACGGCGATACCGCGAGAACGCTCGGCGTAGGGGAAGAGTTCGACCATGTAAGCTGGCAAGAGGTTAGTATGAGCACGAAATGATGGAAGCAAGTGACTTACTGTATGCGAGTGCATTATTTCCGATGTTGTACCACGGTGAATAGAAGTAGATAAAGAAAAGGACCGCGATACCAGCAGCTTTGTTGGGCTTGTTCCCTGGCTCCAGACCCTTCATGGTTTGTTGCATGCCGATTGTCCATGAGACGTACACAGCCAGCATACCAATAGCTCCAGTGAGGAACATAGTTCGGCGCTTGAAGCGCGGTGAGATAAGGGCAATGGCTGTACCGTTGACGAAACTCCATGCTGTGTTGCCGAGGTTGATCATTGTCTTGGTGTGTGTATCCGTGTAGCCGATCATGACGAGAATCTTGCCCAAGTAAAATGAGATGAGGGTGTTTCCGGACCATTGAGTGAAGAGTCCCATGGCAGCAGCGAGAGATGTTCTGCGCCTCATTCCAGGAGTTGCGACCATGTCCCACCAGGATTGCTTAGCTACTTCGGCTTCCAGTTGGATGGTAGTCTCGATTTGTACCATCTCTGCCTTGACGAAAATTGATTCGCGGTCTCCTTCTGCGTGATACTTGACGAGAATCTCAAAGGCTTCGTCTCTTCTGTCTTTGCTAATCAGGTAACGAGGAGATTCAGGGATGAAGCTTTGCTCGTCAGCAACCGCCAAATTAATTAGTTCGGCTTCAGAGAACTTACAAGATGAGAACAATCTGTACGAGCGAGGGAACACATTGCAGCAGTGATGGGATTCTCCAGCCCCAGTCGTTTGAAATCTTGGCAGTTTCGACCACAATTCCCGAGGCGATGAGAGATCCGACGAACCAAGAAGCGTTGAACATGGATGTCATGAATGGACGTTCCTTGGGATATGAAAGCTCTCCCAACATGGATGAGCCAGATACAAGACAGAAGACGATGCCGAACCCAAGGATCATGCGAGCAACAATATACATGCCCACTTGAAGAACGTCAGTATCAGATATGTTTGGTAGGAGTGGATTGACTAACCATGCTGTGAGAATCCTTGGATAACTGCACCAACACACTGAAATACCGAGCCGATGAAGATGGACCAACGTCTACCAACCTTTTGTGCAACCCAAGGGACAACAGGAACTGCGAAGATGGCGCCAAGGTTATAGGATGCAGAGATCATGCCGAGCAAAGGACCTGCGATTGCCCAAACATCTTTGCCTGTTGCATCAACAGAATGCTCGCCGAAGTCTATATACATGTTAGTACAATGCTGCAGGGCCTACGATTAGGAGGACTGACATTTGTTCCAGGTGGGGATGAATTGAAGTCCATTGATCATCTGAGAGTCGAATCCACTGGTGATCTCGATACCCATGCAAGTGGGGTACAAGAGGAAGTAAAGATAGCGCAGATTCTTCTTCTTCCACCTAGAATCTCGCAATCAGCAGTTTATTGGGTAAGATTAATGCATATTTGGACAGTTTCTCAATGGTGCATAAAGTCGGAAAATACCCACCATCTGACCTTATCTTCATCGACAACCCGAGTCAATACGGGATCGGCTTCATGACCAAGATCGAGGATAGGCATGATTGCGGATCAAATTCGATGTTGATGATTAGAATGACGACGGACACCGAAGAAAGCCCAACTCAAAGAAACGTGGGCCATGGATATCTTATAGTGTCCGGAGTGGATATTGTATCAACATGTTCCCCAGTCCGGGGTAGTGATACCCCGCGCCTCGTTAAACTTCCGGCCATGTTCGTGACTGGGTCTTGGGCCCCGGATAAACAGAGAAGCATAGTGACAGCTTGGCAAGAATCTGACATGCCTACGAATGATTCAGAACAACGCGTCTGGTTGGATAGACAAGACTGAAAAGATGCCAAGCAGAAGATCAGCGTTGCAGCCAAGTAGCTATCTCACCGAAACGTGGTGCTTCCTCGATCTTGGGTCGGTAGCTGTAGCTCGAATTGGATGTGATGGGATGCGGAGGGACTGGCTCCGCATGAGGCGAACGACCGAAAAGGGGAACAGGCGAGAGCTCAGATATGGTCGATAGCCGTCAGCAGCCGGAAAACTGTGCCTGTACCTTGTTCAGGTCGGAAATATGATCTTTATTCGCGCGTTATCTACATACGAGTCAAGAAAGGGTATTGGCCAAGTCGGGCTCATGTCCTGAGATGTTCACAACCCCGGATTTTGAGTAGCCGGAGGCCAATCAAAACATGCTGCCGGCTACCATACGGCTTCTGAAAAGAACGGCAGAGCGGTATTTTCGGGTCGTGAAGTCGAAAGTTTGTGTAAGAATCAATACGAATGTCTTTGAAGCGCATGGATTTGCTGCTTCAAGATCAGAAATACGGGGGGAGTTGAGAGTTGAGTGCCAGTTCCTCGGACTAGAAAGAAGCGAGGTTTGGTGCCTTGTGCTGTAAAATACTTAGGTCTTGAAGAACCTGCGAAGTATTCAGAACGCACATGCAGCTCATTCCCCATGGAAGCTAGATGTCGAACTCCATCAACAACATCCTTCACACAGTGTCAGGTCCGTTACTCTGGATGGACGGCGAAGCCCCCATGCATTTTAAATATCCTCGGAATATCTTCGAAAGATGTGGAATGTGCCTCTTCCTACGTACACTCATTCAAGCTTCAACCCAGGATCGCGTCATCGATATTATCGCAGCTAGGCTCGTGTGACAATTTTGATTATTTATTGCAAGGGGAATCTACGCCTTTCGGACTCAACAGATATACGAACAAGTTGTTGCAGTCGGTATCGAGCCATAGGATTGCCTTGGCCAAGGCTCATTGAAGGACAGTGATATCAAGGCAATCCTATGGCAAAGGCTCATTGAAGGACGCGATATCAAGACCTTAAATATGCGGTCACCCAGCCTCAGTCGCCAGGGTGATACAAATTCAACGTCAAAATGTCATCGTAGTCTGATCTTATTCCGGAATATTACCGTTGTATTCACCTGACTCCCAGCGCAGATACAGTGTTGATGCCTGGTCATTCCAAGTTCCGCTGGGCGGTTGCGAATTCCCTTGGACAAGTCAAGAAATTGTCGGAAACGCCACGAGACTTGTTGATACATCATCCATTATTTTGTTCTCTTTTCGACTTGCTTTATGTTACTTATTTTCGACTTTCACCATTCTTTCCCTTCCTGATTATACTGAGATTGAGCTTTTGGCGGAGTTATCTCATCTCGCCTTTGAACGAGGAAATGTGAGGGTGGAAAGCTTCAACCCCAACCTCGATTGTTCCAAGGAACTTTTAGAAGGGATGCTGCTTACAAAATGTGTCATCGTGGGTCTTCTTCTCTACGATTGTCGCCCTGCTCTCAGCTTCGCATGGGTAGGAGCTGAGGGTAGGAGAGGCGCGGACATGCTCATTTTCTCTTCTCTTTTGTCAATCTGACGATTCGCACCAGGTGATCAAGATCTCGTCAGACAAGGTTCCTTCATAGGGAACGAGCTCGTCTGAATAGCATCTCATCTGACTGAATCGTTGCAGAATGTACTTTTGGTATTCTGAAAAGACTGATTGGCTGATGTGAGATGTGGCACTGGTCTCTCAGCCTCACAGCGATTCTGACCACGCCTTCCTTACCTCGGAACTGCAAGGCTCTTAACTTTCAAATTTGGTCGTTTACTCTTTGTAACACGACCAACCAAACTTCCTGGGCCGTAAGAATCTCAGCGCTATGATGTGCATGGCGGGTACCTACGGCGGGCACCAGAGCTGCAACTGCACAGCCTTCAATAATAATAGACATATAAAAGTCTTCTTATCCATAGCTTGAAAGACGAATAGCTCAATCTATACACAAGGATCCAATCTCCAGCACCTCTTCAAGAATAGTTCTGGTCAATACAACTCATCTTCTTTTCCAAGTTTACCTTCACTCAAAAATGTCCAATTTCAACTTGACAGGAACGGCGATAATAATCGGCTCTGGTGAGTATTCTCTCCCAGTTCAAATTACCAATATCGATCGTGCTGATTGCCTGAAGCCAGTGGTATGGGAAGAGCAACCGCACTCGCTTTCGCCCGCGCCGGTGTTCAAGGATTAGCATTGGGAGATCTCAACACTCCAGGAGTCAAAGAAACAGCGAAACAAGCCGAACAAGTTGCCACAAACCCCAAGTTCGCTGTCACAGCATCTCACGTTGATGTACGGAGCTGGGAAAGTGTTGACGACTTCTTCCAAGCTGCCGTTACCAGATTCAGAAGGATCGACTACAGCGTTACTACCGCTGGGGTGAGATATCCGTCTTCTCTCAAAACGTATGCATATACTTACACGAGATATCCAGATTTATTCCCTCCTCGGCAACATTGCCGACAATGACCTAGAAGCATACGACAATATCCAAAACACCAACGCGAGAGGCGTCTTGTACCACACAAAAGCTGCCCTCCAAGTCATGCTCAAACAAAATGTCATCGTCGTCCAAGGAACCACCAGATCTCGTACACTCGGTCGTGGATCTATCGTGAATGTTTGTTCTATCGCTGGGATTATTCCACCCCAAGGCTCAGTCGAGTACAATGCATCAAAATTCGCTGCTCTCGGTATCACAAAGACTGCAGGTTCGTCTCCTTATCTTTAAGCCCCTCGCGAAGCCCCGTACTGATCTTCCTCCTCGCAGCCAATGAATATGGAGGCTCTTTGATCCGCATAAACGCCGTCTGTCCAGGACCTATCGACACACCATTGCTCGAACGAGCTGTCTCCGGAAACCCGGAGGCCAGGAATGCTGCCACTGACAGCACAGCTTTCAAGCGAATTGGTGACGTTGACGAGGTTGCGGATTCAATTTTGTTTTTGGTCAGTCCGGCTGCGAGTTATGTACATGGCACTTCTTTCGTTGTTGATGGAGGGTATGTGAATATGGCTTGATAGGTGTGATCGGGATGTACCCTAGCTTTGAAAGCTTTCATTAGGTGCCTAGGTATTTGCCTTCTTCCATAGTCATAAAGTTAAAACAGTTGGATCTTAAGATAAATCTCCTATGTATTATTGCCTGAATAAGATTTGGCGGAAGATGCCGAAAACCATGGTTCAACGGACCTAGGGAGCAGTCTGAAGACCTCATTGAATATTTGAAGATAAGAGGTAAAAGGAATATTGTTCTCATACAAAATGATTGCCGAGGAAGGGTGTGCGTACTGAGGATGAGACTATCAATCTTGAATTACTTAGGAGGGAGCGCCTTCAAAGCACTCGATAACTGCCTGGAGACCTAAGCTGTGGCCCAGTCAGACGAACTCGGTTAGGAAATCTTGCCCCACGCACTCCTTGGCGCGGTCTCTAGTTCTGTGAATTCGGAGGTAAAAAACAATCAAAGAGAGGCCAGATGAATGAACCCCAGAACACATATAATACTTCTTCTTCTTCTTTAAGAGTCGGTGTGATCGCAAGAGTAAATATATTCCTCAAGAAAAAATAGTGAACTGTTGCTTACCTTGTGCTTCTGGTACATACCTAGAATAGGAGGATTGATTGGCCAGAGCAAAAAAAGACAAAAAAATAACACATCAAGGCTCTTCTGCCCACTACCAGATTCGAACTAGCGACCTCATCATTACAAGTGATGCGCTCTACCCCTGAGCTAAGCGGGCCTTGTCATGTGTGATGATGTCGAAAATGCTGTTATTCTGCTACTTTTCAGAATGAAAACCTATCCGCTCTAGCGTACTTGCCAAGGAGGAGAGTGGGGGTTCCATGCCAGAGAGCGTCAATGGTTTGGCTGGAACCCCTTCAGGACTTCCTACTACTCTTTTCAACATGAGACGCAGTGAAAGGGTTTCCATTCTGACTGGAAGATTGATGGGTCTTTTATGTTACTGCTGCTATCATTCAGAAACGGTAAGTCTCAAATCACATGACCACAAGTCGTGGCTTGGAGAGATCTCGGGGAAAGATTCCAAAAAGCATGTCCCTAGACAGGTAAAATCCTCAGAAAGGGCTTCGGTCTTAATCGTATTTTTTGATTTGATCTCACTGTTACTTTAAAAACTTAATCTATCTTGCTTTCTTACAATATGAGAATGCGAACTGGCATCATAAGCCTTGCTCAACATCAACCTATACCAACTGGTAAGGTCTTGAACCAGATTGCGTCCGCAATTTAGAAGACTGTCTACACTTCGCCTCTGTGACGGTAAATGATACCAATAATGTATGCATAGAACTTCTTATCGTTGTTTGAGGCGATGACTTCGCCCGATGAGGCAAGTTTCACACCACCTAAGCACTGTACGAGAGCTTTGTTGTTTCCCCTGTGGCTACATGTAATCATTTTGAAGGACAATCAATCAAATAGATCCGGCAGGTCGGATATTCCCTATCGAAGTGTTAACAAATGTCAAAAGTTTCGTAGCCTTGAGCCACGCACCCTCAAAGCCGACCCAACCCCAATCATTCTCGGCACCCTTACACGAATGTCCACGTCAATACCAGCTTCCTCGAACAGAATCTTAATTGGGCCTGGCGCATCCCATTTCTCCAGATCGAAATTCATGGGTCGACCAGGGTTGTAATGGGTTTCATTCATAAAAATATAGCGAAGTGATGGCAGAAAAGTTGCAAGTTCCAATATCCATTCGTAGGAAGATGCGTCCATGTCGCCATTAACAAAGCGGTCTCGTTCAGGTGATCCCTGGCCAGGATTTGGATAGAAGATCTCTGTTTCGTTTGGGAAGTGCATCTGCATACCAAAAATTTAGCAAAATCTTTGACGGCTGAAAGGGCTACCTAACCTGCAATGCTTCAAGAGATTGTGGCAGCAGTTTGTACAAGCCGTTCCGAGAGGGGTGATCTGTTAAAACACCCCTACCACCATTCAGTACTAAGAAGAAATACAAAGCAGATATTTTGAGCTCCTTGAGTGCGGTCATTCCACTAAGATCAATCCTCGCAGGATCTGGAACAAGACGGCCCCTTCGATACAGTATGCTGAGATCCAGTCTTGTCAACGTCTTTGAGGCTTTCAACAGGGCTAGTTCAACTCGATTTGGGAATATAAGATGATTGGCGTTCATTTGTGCAGCAGTGGCCGTCGCCTGTCGTTCAACGCTGCGTGGAAGGCGGTAGCGGATTGTGTGAACAGCGGGCAGACGGCGAAGGATTATGCCAAGTACATAATCCTCTATTCTTGATTTCCGAAGATCAAGATACGTCAGACCAGACTGTGGGTGAGTTTCACGGGGAGGTTCAAGGACTTCCATAATGTTCAAGTGTGCAGCCTCGAGATGGCGAAATTGGTGCCGTGACAGGAGGTCCACCAGTTCTGTGAAATTCATCTGGGGATCAGCCAACTTGAGCTTTCTCAAAGTCGTCCACAGAGTTAGACTCGTAGAAAGAACGAATCTCGCTACTCCAGGCATGTAGAACTCATTCAGGTGTAAGTCCCTTATAGCGGGAGTACTGAGCAGGAATGTCTCGATAGCTTCGCGGGTCTCAGTCTCATCGACGCTGCCACGCCGATTGTCTCGTTGGAGTGTGGCTGATCGTACTCCATGACCATAAGATGGGTCTTCATCGATAGATCTTTGTAGAAGGGATAACCGGCTTGAAGGCAGTTTAAGGTCTACAATACTTGGGATGGCAGGTCGGACCACAACGGACAAAAAGCGGCATGAGAGAGCCAGACCACACAGATCAAGTGGCTTGCCTGACAGGCCCAGAAAGTGAACTATGAGGTTAATAATTTCTGGAGAAAGATCGATGAGTAGCATTGCTCAGTTCTGCAAATCTGTTTGAGCTTTTAGAAGTTGGGTTTGAAGGGTCTGTTGGACAAGAGGTGGCGAGGCCAGTATTTGATAGGTATTTTAGGCAGGCAATGTGACCTGCATGAACGTCTCATTGAGCTCGCTTCGAGCTGTACGTTGAAAAATACATGATAGAATACCCACTCACAACTCCAGGTTGCTTGCTTCCTTCTATTTATCAGCCTATTCCGCTATGCTCAACCTTGACTTGTTGTAGGACAGGCTCCAAATTGGAGGTACCCGCTTTGCAGCTTGAAGATAGATTCCCATGTGAAGAGGAGCTCAAGGTACTCGAGAGATAGGACTCCAAGAGTAAGGTAGCATGGCAAACCAAAAAAACGGCACTGAACTTGGACAGCATTTTGATTGAAGACCTGTTTACCAGAGAGCCTGGCGTTCATGCCCTGGTCGTGATGGGATATACCATGTTTTCAACAGGAGGTCGAGTAGACCTTCAGGAAGAGATAATTAACATGGAGTGTGCTCTACAACTTTTAGAAGAGAACATTCTTCTCTCCTTTAGTATCTGTGGTGGACAACTCTTGGTTCAATTCGATGGCTACGTGCTAGCCTTGCTGTTGGACCCAGTGTGCTTCTAAGTCGCGGCCCGAAGGTCACGAAGGCTAAATCAGCTCGATGTCCCTCAATGATGTTCCAAAGGTAGTTAGGTAGTTAGCAGTGTAGTCTAACCTTCCTAACAAGCGCAGAGACTGTGTGTTTTGTAATTACAAGTTGACTCGATAGAAGGATTCATTGGACGGAAAGGAAGCGATTTGGCTGGGATAAATTTAGACTTCGACTTCGGCTGATTCGCGCCAAGCCAACCAACAAAGACAACACCTCTCTTGTGATACCTCAACTGGCTCTCAATAGCTTCATTGGTCAACGAATACCCCCCGATCTCTCTTTCTTCTGTGCCATGGGTAACAAAGGACCTTGAAAGACTGCACATGTTGCCACGGATCTATTTGCTCTGACAGCTCGAACGGGAGCTGAAACTCTTATCGGTGATCATGGCTGGGCACCACCACGAAGACACAGCAGACCTCATTCCGCTCGAAACTGGTCGCAGGTCTGAAGACTCCATCTCCTCTGCATCGACGACAAGTCTGGTATTCGAGCGCATTGGCCAAAGAGTGAAGGCAGACGACGAGAAGGCACTGAATGGGAAAAGTATGGTGACCCCCAAATTCCCTCCTCCGAGGAGCGAGTCGAGAGGCTACGCAGACAATGAGCATGGGACAAGCTCCCACGATGACGAAGAGAAGGACGATTATGATCTCGAAACTGGGCCTTTTTTGAAAAACGCGACTGGGAAGACGGTGGATAGAAAGTTTAGACGCTTACTGTGGATTGTTGGAGGAGTGTTCATTGGCGCATGGCTGCTGGCCTTGGTTATGTTTCTGGGAAAACAATCCTATCGACATGTCTCCTCGAAGCCTCACGATCCGACTGCAACTGCGACTACAGGTACAGGGAAGAAGGTCACATTGGACCAGGTCATGGGCGGGTCATGGCGAGCCACAAAACATGGGATAAGCTGGATTGAGGGCGCGAATGGAGAGGATGGACTGCTCCTGGAACAAAATGCTGCTGGAAAGGAGTACCTGGTGGTCGAGGATGTCAGAGGCACCAGTGCAGAGGCAGGCGCGCAAGGAACAAAGACATTGATGAAGAGTGGCCGATTCAATGTCGGGGATCGGTCACTTTTCCCCAGCAGAGTGTTTCCCAGCAAGGACTTGAAAAAAGTCCTCATTGCGACCGACTACCAGTCTAACTGGAGACACTCTTTCTACGCAAAATACTGGATATTCGATGTTGAGACTCAATCTGCGGAAGCTTTGGACCCCGAGAATCTCGATGGCCGGGTACAATTGGCTAGCTGGAGTCCTCAGAGTGATGCTGTGGTATTCACAAGAGATAACAATCTCTTTCTTCGAAAACTATCCGATAAAAAGGTTGCTCAATTAACGACGGACGGCGGCCCAAATCTGTTCTACGGCATTCCTGACTGGGTTTATGAGGAAGAGGTCTTCCAAGGGAACAGTGCAACATGGTGGGCTGAAGATGGAAAGTACGTCGCATTCCTACGAACCAACGAATCCGAAGTCCCAGAATATCCAATTCAATACTTTGTTTCCCGACCTAGTGGAGTTCAACCAGTTCCAGGCGAGGAGAACTATCCAGAAGTCAGGGAGATCAAATATCCGAAAGCTGGTGCCCCAAATCCAACTGTTGACCTTCAATTCTACGATGTTGCCAAGGGCGATGTCTTCGAAGTCAAAGTCGCCGGATCCTTTGCGCCAGATGACTTGCTCATCACTGAAGTGGTCTGGGCTGGATCAACTGGGAAAGCACTGATTCGAGAAACAAACCGAGAGAGTGATGTTCTTCGTGTGGTCCTTGTCGATGTTGCTACTCGAGCCGGGTCAACTGTACGGACTGAAGATGTTCAGAAGCTTGATGGCGGATGGTTTGAGGTATCCCAGAAAACCAAGTATGTTCCAGCGGATCCAGCGAATGGCCGCCCCTTGGATGGCTACATTGACACCGTGATTCACGAGAATTACGATCATATTGGATACTTTACACCTCTGGATAATCCAACTCCAGTTCTACTCACATCGGGCAGCTGGGAGGTAGTTGATGCTCCTTCAGCTGTTGACCTGAAGAAGAACTTGGTCTATTTTGTTGCGACAAAGGAGTCGCCTATCCAGCGCCACGTTTACAGTGTATTTCTCAATGGTACAGATCTCAAGCCTCTAACAGATACGTCGAAAGAAGGGCATTACGGCGTCTCATTCTCCAGCGGTGCAGCTTATGCTCTACTGGATTATGACGGTCCCAACATACCCTGGCAAGAAGTTATCAGCACGCCAAGTAATTCCGATCATTACACGCAAGTGATTGAGGAGAACCTAGGGCTCGCTGACATGGCCAAGAAATACGAACTGCCTCACAAGATCTTTTCAACCGTGAATATTGATGGCTTTGAGCTTCAAGTTGTCGAGAGAAGGCCACCCCATTTCAACGAGAAGAAGAAATACCCGGTACTATTCTATCTCTACGGCGGGCCTGGATCTCAGACAGTGACCAAAACTTTCAGTGTTGACTTTCAAGCGTATGTGGCGGCTAATCTGGGTTATATTGTCGTCACTGTGGACGGCCGAGGCACCGGATTTATTGGACGAAAGGCTCGCACCATCATCCGTGGCAATCTTGGATACTACGAAGCTCGCGATCAGATTGAAACGGCCAAAATCTGGGCGAAGAAAAAGTATGTCGATGCATCGCGAATGGCTATCTGGGGCTGGTCATATGGGGGTTTCATGACTCTGAAGACTCTCGAGCAGGATGCTGGACAGACATTCTCGTATGGAATGGCCGTTGCACCTGTCACGGATTGGAGATTTTACGACTCTATTTACACCGAACGATATATGCATACACCTCAACACAATCCCGGTGGATATGACAATTCGACCATTAGTAACATGACTGCTCTGCACCAGAATGTGAGGTTCTTGATCATGCACGGTATTGCAGACGACAATGTGCACATGCAAAATACCCTCACCTTGTTGGACCGCCTGGATCTGTCTGGGGTTGAGAATTATGATGTGCATGTATTCCCTGATAGCGACCACGGGATCTACTTCCACAACGCCAACCGAATCGTATATGATAGTAAGCTACCCGCGAGGAATGTGGGGCCAGTGCTAACTACTTTCTAGAACTTAATAATTGGCTCATAAATGCATTCAACGGTGAATGGTTGAGAACAAGCGACGCTGTACCACTACAACTCGAGGCAACAGCCGAGAAGGATAGATAAATTTGAAGTATGTCACAATAGGGAGTTAGGAGTATGGGTAGCAGGGTCTTAATATCCAATGTATTAATTTCAGATCGAACTCCCGACGCACTAGGTGCTCTAAAAATGGATGGCAAACAAACATTGGAAGTCGATCAGGTTAGTTGACGCTTGCACAGGTTGCAAGACCAGATATTCGCTTTTCCTCCTCTTGAGATTTCGAAGCACTGCCGCCAGGCCAGCGCGATCGAAATCCATGACGCCTCTAATGAAATGATGTGCCACTATCCTTGTCTTACGAGTTTCGAAGGGCTGTCCCCAAGACTATACGTTGAAACTCATTGCCGACAAATGGATTGACATCTACTGGTTCTCTCCCCACGCTCGTCCCTGGCAGTTAAGCGACTACGCATGGCGCAGGTTCTACTAGATCCCAGCGGTCGTAAATACCGACTGTGGTCAACCGCGCAGACATCTTACATTCCTGTGTCAGAATTGTCATGGGCACCTGCGCCTCAAGCTCGATCAGTGTTCCGTCATATGGCGCTACGGCCAATTTAAGATTTTCTGAGAGCTCTGAGATGCTCCTTCCCTTTCCGTTTCCCTGGCTGATTGTGGTGGACGTGTTTCTGTTTGAGTTAGCACTGACGAAGCCACTCGATGCTTGGCGACTTGCTGTAGGAGTCATTTTGTACGTTGTCAGAAGTTTTGACTGGCTGTCCTCAGTTGTGAAGAATCTACTTCTTCTTGGTGTGGAAGGCATGCACTCATCTGGCACATAGTGTGGTTGGACTCGCGAGGTGTATTTGGACTTGAGTACGGTATTCAAAGTCGCGATATCTCTGTAGTTGGGAGCAGCGGGTTGGTTGCGACTGTCGAGCCCCACGGTCATTGTGCGACGAGCCTGGTGGGCAGCATAGGACATCAGCGGGTTTTCTGGAGTGCTTTTTGTTTTTGGAGCTGCGCCAAGGTATGCGGTGTAGGTTTTGTTCGCAGGGCTATCACCACGGTGCGACAGCTCGTCGCCTGTCACGCTGAAACGGTTGAACGTTGTTGAGATTCGGGTGAGACTTTTCTTCCCCTGTGGTGCTGGAGGCGTCAGAGAGGAGGGCAGCCCACCTTGGCTCAGTGTGCCTTCCTTCATTGATGCCCCTATTGATACCTCCAGGAAGAGCTCCTCTTGTGTTGTTGGTGATCTCGGGCTCCACTCAGCCTGTAGTCGCTGCCACGCCTCGTCCACTTCCCTTCTCGGCTCCGCCACCTGCGAGGGGAGTGTCATATAGGCGGGGACTACATAATTTGGCAGAACCTTTCGCCCAAAGTTTGGCGGCGACACAGCTGGGATGTGAAATACCTTGGTACCATCGAAGGCTGCTCTCATTATATTCAAAGTCTCCCAGGACTGTAGTCGATGAATCGTGAGCTCGATCTCTGGTGCGTCTATCGCCGTATCTTGCGATACAGAGGTGACAGGAGGCACAGGGTGAGGTCTGAGTGGGTGTCTGGATTCTTCGCTCAACTGGAGGGGATTTCTTACAGTGTTCTGTGGCATGCTGGTCTTCAGGGCAGAAGGAGCACTCACCTTCGGCTGCGGTATCGACACTATTTTATGAGGAGGAGCGTATCTCGTCACGTACGCAGTGGTAGCGACTGCGAGACTACCGTGCACGCTGGATGTTGACATTACAGGTTCACTCGAAGTCTCCCAGTTGGGAATTCTCACTGCCTTTATTGGGTACGGCTGACTAGGAAGCGGCTTTCCCACACCGACCTTCCAACCTCTCTCCTCTCTCACAATTGGACTCGAGTTCTCTGGGATCGGCGGGAGTGGCTTGTTCAGAAGTACCCTTCTACGTGACTTTCTGGTGAACTTTTGCTTGATATTCGGAGATGCCGCGAGGCGAGATGGCGAAATCATTGTTTGTTCCCGTGCTATGCGAGTTGCCCGGTGGAAATCAACACTTGGTCTCCTCGCAACTTGTTCAAGGTATTCCTGTCGACAATCGGTACACTTGCCCTTTAGAGCATAGAGTGTTGGATTGCAGAAATTGGACTTGGGGCCAGGCTTATTACAGCCTGTCTTGTCGATTTCTCTGTGTCCACATACAGAATAGTTGAAGATCTGGCACATATCCTAGACTTGGTATATCAATCGGTAATCTGTGTCTCCAAGTCAGAACGCTATATAGTGAAGGCGGGAAAACGAAATCACAACTTAGGAATGACACAAGGAACCAGTGATGAACTTGGGGATTGAGAGTGGCTGAGATAATTCCCGGGGTATATTGCGTTGATATACGAGGTTCGCAAAGCTGTTCAAGTTGAGACGCTCAGTCCAAGTGAAATAGATGATCAGGTAGTCATTCAGAACTGGAGTCTTACATTCACATATAGACATGCCATTGTGTTGTTCCATGGAGAAAGTTACCCTTTGCAGTCCTCTTGTTCTGTTCTTTGTGCTATTTTTGGCTGCTCATTTCTTTGTGCATTTTCTTTCACGCCGAGATGACAATGCGTTTATCACCATCGTCAACAATGGGCCCTTTATTTCGAGGCCCAACAAAGATCTGCCTATATATCGAGTGTACTGTCCTGATCACAGAATAATCCCTTGATTGTACAACTCCAGTTCTCGGCTCCCTGTTCTCACTCACTACACTCACTCGACTTTCCTTCCTCTTCCACGTCCATTCTCCAGTTTACTGGCGCCGGCGTCAAAAACTATCACTTCACGCTCACTTGTTACTGTGATTAGTCGCCTCGTTCTCTTCGGAATATTCCGTTGTTCGAAACGAATTATCACGATGTTTACATCTCCATCTGGCAGCTGTAATGGCCCCTCGTCGCCTTGCTCTACATTCATAGATCCAAGGCTCTCCACCTTGCGAGCTTTTCACCCAGCTCGCCTCGTCTTGAGTGCAACGGCTACAGACGCAATTGAACTTCGCGAGCAAACATTCAAAGCATTCAACTACCGTATACCCAAGAGTCCGGTGCCCGAACTTGACATGCATTACGAGGATCACCTCACAGCCAGCTCGAGACAACCGAAACAGCTCTCAGCTCCAGTAGTGGAGCAGCCGCAGCCACAACCTCAACAACTTACAATGGAGGTCGAGTTCCTGAAATGGATCATCATCTTCATCACCATGCTTTTCACCTTGTGGTGCTTGGGGCTGATGGTGTCTAGCATGGATTCAGAAGTCACGCTGGTCGTGACTGTGATGATTTCAAGTTTCATTGTGGACTGGATGAGGAATTGGTTGAAGAAGGAAGAGGAATTCGAACTGTAAATGTTGATTTTAATATATCAGATTCTTGAAACATAAACAGCGCTATTTTCGGCCCCACATTATCTTGTGGTGACTTCATTTCTAATTTTGCCGATGACCTGTTGTTGTTTTCTTCTCGCTAAGAGATCATGTGTCCTTACCTGTCGCTAAAAAGAGGGAGTCGATAGTCCGCGTGAGGAAAACAGCCACGGCTGATCCCGGAGAAATTCTTCCTATTTTTCCCCCAAAGTTCATCTCATCTCATACCATGTCGCAACCCAATTCTCCACTCGGCGTCTCGGCTTTGGCTGCCCAGCAGATCGACCAGATCGTTAAAATCCCGGCACGCGGGGTCTTCTTTACCTTTCCCCTCAATTTGCAACATCGCCAAGAAAATATGTTTCCCAGCAAATCCGCCAATGGGAAGATCTTCCCTGGTGAACTCAGATCTTGCTTCAGAAATTTATATTAATATTTAATTTCCTCGACTGATGACTTGTATATTTTAGTTTGCAGTTTGTATTTCATATTTCATCGCAAAGAAATTCAATTGCAAACTCGTATTCAAAAGTCCGGCCCACGTTCATCTTTTGTACATAGTCTCGACCTTCCGCTCAGAATTTCGAGTCGCTTACCACGTTCAGTTCTTTCCGTGTTTGTAATCTTACCTTTTTGAATACATTTATATCCCTCGGACATTCTTTACCCTTAGCAAAAATGCATTTCTCCCTCTTATGCCAGATCGGCCTTGCCGCCCTCGCAACAGCATCGCCCATTTCCATAGTCAAGAAGCAGTCCAAACCACCTGCGTTCTTCTTAGCCGGAGATTCAACTACCGCCTCAGGCGGCGGATGGGGGAATGGGTTCTTGACAACACTTACCGGCGGTGCCATCGGCACAAATTTTGGGCACAACGGAGCTACCACTGAGAGTTTTGTTTCGGGAGGTGACTGGGCCAAAGTGATTGCTGCAGTCAAGAAGAACAAGGGATCGTACAGTCCTTATGTCACTATCCAGGTATGTTGCGGAATGTCTTTGTCTGCTCTTTCAAAACCAATATCATGCAATGCACATTCACAAGCGGGCGACCAAGCTCCTTAACAAAGAAATTCAACAAACTGACCAATAAAACCCCAGTTCGGCCACAACGACCAAAAGCCAGAGAAGAACATCAGCGTCGCGAAGTTCACAGCCAATCTCAAAGCACTAGCCAAAGAAGTCACTGCAGCAGGCGGAACCCCCATCCTGGTCACCTCGCTTTCCAGACGCCACTTCTCCTCGGGAACCATCACGAACAATCTCGTGGATCAAGTGAAAGCCGCCTTGGCAGCAGCATCCGACATTGGCTCGGCTGTCATCGACCTGAACGCTGCTTCGGTGAAGTACTTGAATAGCATTGGAGAGGCGAATGCGAGGACTTATGATTTGGCGGCGGGAGATTCGACGCATTTGACTCCGGCGGCGGGAGTGGTGTTTGGGAATATGGTTGCCGGGTTGATCTCGCAGAGTAAGATTGGGCCTGCGGTGAGGAGCTATTTGAAAGAGGATGCGGCTATTAAGTCTGCTATTGCGGCGGGAAAGTACATTTTCCCAAAGGTCTGAAGCAAGATTGAAAAGGTGGAGTGTGTGTCTGCATAGCGTGCTTGGATCTTTCATGAAAGAATCTTTGGATCAGTTCACATTTTCATAGCAATGAAAGCCCTAGAATTCTTAGGTTTCAACTTTTTGGAGAATCTGGTGAAGGGAGTTCCGGAAGTATATACTGACCCTCACATCTGCCCAGAATTCTCAGGCAGGTCAAGGTGTTTGGTAGTCGGGCGGCGAGTCAACTACAGCACTTTATGGCAGGGCATGAAGGCTTCCTGACATTCTTTGGTTTTTGATCTTCCGCACATTGAGAGCTGAGTGGGTTTTGTTCGCAACTCATCTGTAGACTGGCCAGAAGATTGACGGTACTTCGAACAGGCATCATAGTGTGGCTATGTAATCCAACTGTATCTAATTAGCGAATAAATTTGGCATGGACGTGTTCAACATACCAACCATTGAGGGTCTTCCCCGTTCCGTTCTTCGAAACTCGGCGTTGTCTTCCTCGTCATGTTCTCCGAAACCATCTAATAGCGGTCTGATGTACTGAGAGTCTCGCGGATCTTCGAAGAATTCGCCCCCACATCTTTCTATCGCTCTACAACGTTCCTCCATTGTCGTTGCGTTGTGAATGATCGCTGTGTACATTTGCTCTGTTGGAGTTCCTCTTCGGACGACTTGTGGATACTTGTTTTCGAATCGTAACAGCCACACCCCTCCAGTTTCCGGCCATCCTATGTGAAGTACTTCTTTCTCAGTTGGGGACATACGACGCAAAGATATTTGGGTCGCCCAGCCCCAGTCGTCATAGCTCTTCCACCACTTTCCGCCGGTTCTTCGCAGTTGTCGGCAGAAGTTATCTTCCTCCGTGGAATTGTAGGATCTTTGGTTTATTTCAAGCTTGTCCAGGTCCAAGTACTGAAACTCCACGCTGGAAATGTAGTCAACGATGATCATGCCACCAACGCTGGGCCAGCACATGATTGTACTTCTGGGACTGCCGAGAATGTCCAAAGCGATGCGAGTTGTTGGGTCTGGCTCGGGGCATGTATCATCTGGCCAACAACATTCATCAATCCAGGGTCCTTCGCTCACATTTTCATTTTCAGACGATCTTCTGAATGTGGGTCTGATATCTAATGTTTGAGATGGAATATGGAAAGATGTCGCTCTTGCAAGTAGTACACTAACAACAACAAGAAGAAAGCAGAGTCGCCATGTGCGGTGACTCGCTTGTGCCCGCATGGTGCTACAGCGAAGGAGAAGAATAGAGGAAAATTGAAGAACATAAGATCAGGCCAGAATGAATTCCTGGATTATTGGATTATGCTAGCTTGCTGTCCTGTTGGTTTCTAAAAGGTAACAGTTGGTCTGAGATGGGTGACCGCCTGTCCTATTCGTTCGATTTTAGCGATCCAACGGCACTCTCTTATCGGAATCTCGCTACCCTTCAGGGCATGGCCGTCCGCATTTGACATTATTACAGCGCTTATCTTGTGTTCTGAAGAATAATTCAATTGGTATCAAAATCAGATGCTTGGACTATCTCTAAAAAGATGCGATACTTCTTGCCTCAAGCCTGTATACACTCAAACAAAGACGCTCGTCTTCCTTCTCAACCAAGGACCGAGGAAGTACAATGGAATACCCAAAAACAGAACAGCCCATTGAATTCCAGCCATCTCCCAGAACATCTTCACCAACCCTTCGCTCATCAGCCACTTGGGTGTGCTAAGAGTAATACCGAACGCAACCGCATTCTTTCCAGCGTTGATGAGCACAACAGCCTCCGAACCGCTCGCTGGCCAAGCATCAACGACAACAGACAGGACGACTGATGGCACGAAAACAAGTCCAGAGATTTGTAGTGCAGAGCCGACTGCTGCGATGTACGCGCTCTTATGCTCTGAAATAATGTAGGCAAAGAGCATGAGACCCGGTGGGCAGACGATGAAGGGAACAATCAGTGCCGGCACTCGATGTTCTGGGACGTGGTGCTCATCCCGAGATCTCCTTGCGAATACACGAGAGAGGAGATCTGTCAGAGGTCCTGCAATGGGATATCCGACGATGATACCAATGAAAGATGCCAATGAGAATAGACCGAGTCCAGACGCCTTATAGAGATAAGGAGGTGGTGAGAGGAATTGAGGTGCGAGAGTGGAGATCATAACGACACTATGCGGATGTTAGCCTTCATGAATTTCACAACATTACAAGTAGGGGGGATTTGAGCGTACCCAGAGAGCATGACACCGTAAGAGACTGCAGCGAAGAGTGCATGGGGGACAAGGATAAATCGGAATGGAAGCGAGAATTGGCGAGGCCAAGCGCCAACAATCCCCTTTCTTCAGTTCCACGGCCTTTGAACGCCACCAGGTCTTTCCAATATGATCCGGCATAAGGGCGATTAAGCTGCGTGTCCGCAGTTCCGACTGTGGTCACTTGTCCTTTCTCAACATGTTGTATCATTTCGTCCGCTTGCTTGTCGGCCTCTTGCGCTGTTTCTCCGTCATAAAGAACGCGTCGATAATTTGTCTCGGGAAGGAAGACAATCATCATGGCCAAGTTGGCGGCAGTGATGATTGCACAGAGGATGAAGAACCATCTCCACCCCTTATCGGTGATGAGGAATCCTGCGATCATGGGTCCGACTTGCGATCCTCCGGACAGGAAGAGGGAGAACAATGCCATAGCTGTTGCAAAGTATCGTTCGCGGTACATGTCTGCAATCATGGCAGGGCCGATGGACTCGATGCTACCGGCACCGAAGCAAGCAATGACTCTGGATGCCAGAAGGCTGTCAATGGTCTTCGCTTTGATACTCCAGATCGTGCATGCGAGAAAGAGAGCAGTCGAGACGAGGATAACGGGTCGCTTTCCGAGGCAGACAGCTGTCGGTGTCCAGATGATATTACCGACACCCAGGGCGAGGACGGGATACGATATTTGGTCTTGCAGCTTGGAGAAGTCGACGTGGAATTCCATGGCCAGGGATGGGAACCCTGTCGCAATGCCCGCAGTATACATGTTTCCCAGGAACACGAAGATACAAATGTTGAAAAGGACAAAGTGCCTGATGTAGGCCGGCCAGAACTGTCCAGAACGTTAGCAACGACGCGTTTGCTGGTAAGGGATGATCATTACCTTTGGATCACCAGCGGTGCATGTTGAAAATGATGCAGACGCCATGGTGGCAGATGCAATTGGGATCAGATGAAGTTAGCAGTACGTGAAGGAGGTCTGCAAGACTGCATGCGAATCGCGGTACCGAGTCCCAGCGGGCGATGCTTAATTTTTAAAGATGCAGGCGGCGCCCATGGGTTCAAGTAGGGAACGCGGTAAGTGGACGAGGTGGACCACAGCCGCACCAGCTACTCCACGTTTCCCCGGATCTCCACCGATCCAATATCCCCGCTACATAGCTGGCATCTCAAATAAGATGTAGCTAAAAGTTTGTTGTCCAATTGAGAACTGTGCATTGAGCGGCAGCTGAGTCCGGTGATTAGAGATGCTGTGCCGCGGTCTAGGGCCGGGAAAAGGATGCTCTGGTGGTACAAACTGAGACCCAAAACCTACAGTAGGTGATGCTCACTAACTCCTACTTAAATCTCTAGCAAACTCTATCTGCTGGCGGTTTCAAAGAAATAGCTGGAAGTTCTGGTGCAATCGTGCACTTTGATGGCAGTGGCACAACGTGGCTCTAACGGTTGACATTTGACCATGGAAGTACAAGTATTTGACACAAAGTGACAGCTAATTTCAAGCCCCTTATATCACCTGTTTCAATGCTCTTGCTTGCCTAGAAACTTTAAGCTTAGTGTTGATCAGCTCCGAATGTAGGTAGGTACCTAGGTAACCATTGAGGGAGGCATGATTGTCACAATAAGAGCATGCAAGCGAGGCCTAAAGGGGGCATCTCGCGCATCAATACAACACAACAGCGTCGCCAAATAAGGCCGCCTTAAGGTACCCTTCTGGAGTTTGTCTCGTAAGAGTCGCAAGCATCAAATAGATAAACAAGTCTGGTGGTCAATCTTGCACCAAAGTCTTGAGTAGTAGTATTTTTCAGGGCGGATGTTGGGCTCTGGCATAGTAAATTGTAAATACCTATGTTCGGCGTTCTCGAAGAGTCTTTAAGGGGCAAGGTATGCCCGGCTAGCAGGGTGGTGACTTGCCCAGCCAGGCCAAGCAGCGAATCCCGTGAGGGGCCGCTTCCCCATCCTTCTCCGCCTGCACCTCCTCGCAAGTCGCATCTCACCCCTCATTAATATCCTCGTCTCCCCCAGGCCCTCCACTTGCCTTCCCCGTCATCCTGACCTGACTGCTCCCTCGTACCCGGTTGCGTTGCGACATTGAGCTGAGCCAAATCAACAGGAGTCCGCCCGCTAGCTATGGAACAGACAGCAGCAGCATCGGGTGCCGAAGCCCATCAGATTCGCTCTCAGACAACTCTATCGCCTCTGAGGTAAGTGGGTTCTTGGCTCAAAGCTCTGCTCTGCTCTGCTCTGCTCTGCGCCCACATCCAGCGTGCGTCTGTGTCGCCCCTGTATTCTGGTGTGATTAATATATGCCGGGAATGTTCTAAGTTTGCTTTGGGACATTGAACAGGAACAGGAACAGGAACAGGAACAGGCTTTCATATAGGAGATCCTTGGCTAATCATCCACGTTGCGCTTTAGCAATGGACCACCAGAGTGGCAATCGTTCCTGTCCGCAGAGAATAATGGCTCTGGATCTGTGCCTGGACCAGCACCTGCAGCTGCACCTGGTCATGGTTCGACCTCAACGCCGACTTCGTCCTCTGGCCATCAATGTCGCATATGTCACAGGACATACGAAAGGGCAGACCACCTCAATCGGCACTTGAAATCCCACGAGAATGCCCGTCCTTATCAGTGCAGCCAATGCCAGAAGAGCTTCAACCGAGTTGACCTCCTCAATCGTCACGTGTCCACTCATGAGAGACCTACTAATGGAGGCAAGCCGATCATACGAAGAACGGATCGAGCTGGGCAAGCATGTATTGCTTGTGCGGCAGCTAAAGCTAGGTGCGGTGACGAGAAACCATGTCGACGATGCCAGACCAAAGGAATCGCTTGTGAGACTCAAAACTCTACTCATAATACCCAACACTCCCAAACCCATCCTTCGTCTTCGAGGCAAGCATCAATACCTAGTTCTCGCATAACACATGTGACGAATCCAAGTCGAGAATCAAATGGAGCGGATGCTGTTGTACAGTCGGAGCACCTGGGTACCCTTCCCTACCCCCCAGCACCTAACTTGTACGACATTCAAACCACTCAGCGGAACTTGGACCACGGCTTTGGACCAGCAGGTCAACCATACGGAGTCGGACCTTTGGACGGCAATATTTCTGATCCACATCTAGATTTTATGACAGACGAGATGCTCTTCTTTTCGAGTGCCGCCGATTTCAACAATCAAAACTTGGACTTTGGTTTCCTTGACTTTAACTTTGACGAGGTGCATTTGGACATGACCAATTATCACAAAGATGGCCCCGGGAGTGACCAAAATACGACCCAATCAAAGAGAAAGGTGTCGAGGTCGTTGCCTAGAGATGCCTCTCAAGTGCATGCAGCGTTTACTCGCTCCCCATGGCTCTGGACACCGGCTCAAAAGGATCGGCTTTTGATTGATCAAGATAAGTAAGTTTCTTTCCTGTTCATCACTCCTTACATTATGAACCCACAAAATACAGCTTGCCCTCGCCTGCCTTGCTGTCACAGAATTTAGCTTCTGAAATAGTATTTAGAAGGATCTGTCAATCTAACTCATTAATCTTAGTCTCGCTGTCGATGAGGAAAATATATCCACCACTCTGACTCCTGGGTCAACAGGATCGTTGCCTGGATATCAAAACTACGAGTCCCCAACGATCGATGCCCGTTTGCGCGATCGGATGTTCTACTTGGTCTGTAATTTGAATAAGTTCACTCAGGGAGTGCCAGACTTTCCATCTCTGGAAATCTTGAACCACGTCATCAAAGCATTTTTCGTCAAGCAAAGCTACCAAGTTGACACGTGGATCCATGTGCCTACTTTGTCAGCAGCGGACTCTCATCCTGAATTTCTACTTGGGCTCGTCTCTGCTGGCTCCACGGTTATTTCGGTGCCGGCAATATGGAAGATGGGTTTAGTCCTTCAAGATGTGGTTCGAATAACCATTGGAGATTTAGTACGTGAAGTGATGTGTTTTGTCGTACTTAAGTGCTGACTCTTTCCAGTGGGAGAAGAAAAACAGTAACACCAGATCATTACAGCCTCTGCAAGCATTCATGCTGTGTCTGGATACCGGTTTGTGGAGCGGCTTCCAGAGGCAAATGGAAATAGCCGAGAGTTTCGCGCAACCTTTAGTTACGGTACGAGGGTCTAGTACTGAATCCAAAGAAATCGCATTACTTACTAATTCTTAAAAGATGATGCGACGTGGTGGTATTCTGAGCCCCCCTCTTGACACCCATGCTTTAGTCCCGAGAGAAACGGACGAGGGACAGGTCCTCGAGGTGAAATGGAGAAAATGGTGTCAACGAGAGTCGTTCAAGAGGTGAGTCTTCAATCAAGGATAGTCAACGATGCTGATAAGTGTCAAGGCTTGTAATTCATCTGTTCTTACATGATACTCGTGCTTCGGTAGCATTGCAGAAAGGAGCACTCATTTCGTTCAGCGAACTGTCGTTCTCTCTTCCAGCATCTCGAGCATTATTCCTGGCCAATTCGGCTGCAGAATGGAAAGCAAAATATCTGGAGCATAGGACTCCTATGGTATGTTGAATCCGTTAGTTTAATCCCCTCAAGAATACAGAATGTCGATAACGAAGTTATGTGCTCGATCGATCTCCGAGCATTTACGATGCCAGTCCTTCCTTTGTATATAGCACAGCTGATTTCTGTGAAGTGGCGTGCTCCTCCTCGACTTCTAGATGCTCTACACGACCTCACAGTTCTAGACGATCTCCAAGATGAGTGTGACATCAGTCTCTGTTACATGGCATTGGTCCACGGGTTTTGGGGTCAGGTTTGGGCCTATTTGGAAGGTTGCAAATTCCACCTTGTTGGGCATAATCCGGACTCTGCACATCAGCTATGTAAGTGACATCTCCCCAATTTCTCACCAAAAATCGAGACATAGAGTCCTCTGGATGCTAATTTACCATCACCCAGGGCTTACAACCCAGCACAGAGAGCTTTGTCGCGATATTGAGAATTTTAAATTGAATCTAGCGAGGGTTCCAAAGAACTCCCCAGACCTTGTACTAACAGTGGAGCTGTTTCTGATGATCCTCTATGTCTCACCAGAGGAGCTCCAACGGTTTGCAGGAAAAGGCGGCGAAGAAGCCGCCGTTCAGGTCGTTCCATTGCTAGAGCAGTGGGCATCAACGGCACATGCGAGAAAGGCAGTCTGGCATGCAGGCCAAGTCTTCCGCGCAGCAGTACAGATGCCACCCGCTGGATTACGAGACTTTCTCGCAATTGCCGTATATTTTGCAAGCCTTACGATATGGACTTACAGTCATTTGTGTCCGTCCAGCTCAAGAAATGGTTCTGAAAGGCCGAAATCTCGGCTATCACACTTACAAGACACAAGTTCGGTCGCCATTATCGATGGTGAAGGTGAGTTACTTTCCAACCTTCTTCCTTGTCAGAGATTGAGTACCTCGTCAACTTCTATGTACCAATTGAATTCACTACTTCTAAACAAGTCTTGTCATGAGAAATGCTGACAATTATAACTACCAGAAACCCGCGAAACACGAGCCTTCCTATCAGGTCACTTAGACAGTACAGCTCTGACATTGATCAAATCTGTGGAGCCCATTATTGAGGGTTTCGGTGGAAGTAATGCCACCATAATCAAGCTTGCAGATCCTAATGCCGCTCTAAAAATCGCTCGGGACATCTATCGAAGCAATTTTCCTGTCATGGACGGGCCGCTACCTCCACTGGTCGAAAATATGGGCAATTTAATGAGAGATCTAAATAGCCTACCAGACAGTCGGTTCTCGAGATGTGGTAGTCCAGCTGACAGATGAGAAAGATTCTTTAAACTTGAGGGCTTCACATTACTAAACAATGCCCGACGCCGAGGTTCTGTGAGACCGGCAGTTGGTTGCAATACGCTACGACTGCCTGTCAGGACCGGTGGCTGAGAGTAGGTCAAGTCTTTGGCCAAGGGTCTTGACTTTCCGGCGTGGGGGATTACCCCACCTCCACATTTAACCCGGAATACTTCGACCCCTCCGCAAGCTTGGACTTATGCCACATCCCAATCAACTTACTCAAGAATCATTCGAGCTTAACTTCGATTCAAAAAATTCGTCTTCAGTTCTACCTCAACAACCATCTACCCCTCCACACTCCAATCTTCATAATGGCTCCCTACGTTGAACCAAGCCCTCTCCCTAGCCTAAACCGCTACATCACCACTCACGACGAGTCGGGAAAAGCAATTCTATCAAAGGACATCCCCTCCGAAGCAAAATGGACTGCCACCGGCAAAGAAGCCAACTTCTTCCTCGGATACGCGACCAACAGCTTCCCAGCAGACCTAACCTCCACAACCGACATATCAACCTACAGCTCCTTCTTCGCCTCACCACCAGGGCTGGTAATCCATGGCGGTTCCGTCCTCCGAATTGTAGACATGGCGCCTGGACTCACATCTCCGATGCACCGCACGACGAGTTTGGACTATGGCGTTGTGCTGGAGGGCAATGTCGAGCTGGTTCTGGATAGTGGAGATAAGGTTGTCCTGAAGAGAGGCGATACCTGTGTGCAGAGGGCGACGAATCATGCGTGGAGGAATACGAGTGAGACGGAGTGGGCGCGGATGCTGTATGTACTTACGGAGGCGAAGCCACCGGTTGTGGATGGGAAGACGTTGGGTGAGGACTTGGGAGGGATGGAGGGTGTGAAGAAGAGTGAGTAGGTAGGTGAGGAGATTTGGTTAGCTTTATGACTATCAAGATAATTGAAAGTACTTGGAATGATTACACATATCTGAGTTTCAGTGCTCTTGAAATTATCGTGATGTGCGAACCCTTACCCTGGGAATGTGATTAATATGAACCTGAGCTTCCTCCCAAATTGTTTTTATTCTCTAGGGGCTTCGTCACATCGAGAATTGTATACAAGTATTTGATTCAGAAACACTTGCGCCAAAATCAATTCATTCTCTATTTCTCTATTTAGCAGGAACAATCGGCAGCGTAACATAATTCTCCAACCCCTCCCCAAAATGAACATTGTTCTTCCCCGAGAACTTCTCCTTCGGTCTAAGAACAAGTCAGTATCATTCCACACCTCGCAAAAGTACAAGATCGTAACATACCTATCAACCTCACTTGTATGCGTGAAAATTCCGCTTCCCTGCGTATCACCCGAGCCAACCTCAAAGACAATACGTCCCCCCTTCTCAGCCACCACGTTAGTAGGCCAGATCTCAACGTCTACAGCATACGCGGTATCCGCCTTGACTTCCTGGACATCTGTAGAGCGGTATTCGCGGTATGGTTGATACGGCGAGTTTCTCGGATGGTCGCTTGCGATCTTGCGGAGAGAGACGCGAAGCCAGCCTTTGGTCAGGGGAACGGGATCACCTGCTGTTCCTGTGTAGAAGACTTCTTTGCCAGATGGAGAAATGTAACGCAGTGTGAGGAAGAGATCGATGTCCTTCTCTGGGGATGTGGACAGGGAGTCTGGCGTTACGGATACGTTGAGGTGCGCGGTGACGTGGCCGGTGATCTCGGTGTCTTGCTCGAAGGGCGCGGATGTGAATTGGATTGCCTGGGGCTTTTCCAGAGAGCCGAGAGCTTGGTATGAGAGGGTCTGAGAGGTGCTTGTCGTTACTGCGGCTGGAGAGGTCTCGAGCGTGTTGGAGGGCGTGAGGTGGAACTTGGTGTATTTTGTTCCGGGGATTGGCCAGGCTGGTTCTTCTCTGCGGATGTATTTCGACTCTGCTTCGGGGTTGTTGAAGCCTACGTCGCCTTTGCGGAGGATCACGCTGACTGGACTGACTTTGCCGGGGACAGACCATCCGACGCGGTCGTCGTTTTTAAGGAAGGCGTCGAGGAAACTTTTTTGGACCTCGACTTCTTCTTTGTAGTAGAAGGGGAGGTCGTGTCTGCCGGTGATGAAGCGGAGATACTTCAATTTGGAGCCTGCCCAGGCATAGCCGTTGACGTTTCCTGATGTTGCTGTTAGTAGATGTTTCCAAAATTCAGTGAGGACAAGGAAATACCTCTCAAATGCAACAAAATACCACCCCAGTTCGCTACTGACAAAATAGGGACCTCGATATCTTCCAGATTGAACTCCTTCGAAGCGTAGTACTCGTCATCTAAGAAACGATTCTTCTCATTATCAGTATTCTGATCATTCCTGTTCTTTGCCAAGACATCCTCGGGAAGATCTCCTTCAATAGTATCTTCTCCCCACTTTGAGGCAGCACGTCCAGGTCTACCGTATTGGTTGGTGATGACTTGTCTGTTCCACCAAAACTTGATGAAGCTATTGGAGAAAATACCGCCATGGCGACAGCGGTCTCGGTAGTAATCGGTCATGCCTTCCCATGGGATAATGGCTGCAAGACCTTTGGGTCTACGGGCTGCGACACGCCATTGGCTTCCTGTAATTTCGTCAGTACTGATTCACGTGAATTCGAAATGATTGAAATACATACCAGCATAATAACTGATGCCAAGCAAACCAACCTTTCCACTTGACCACGGCTGATCCGCAGCCCACTCAACAACATCAAAGAAACACTCGCTTGTTCCTCGAGACATGGTATCAAGAAGTCCAGGAGATTGCCCCAGCCCTCTCTCGTCGGCTCTTACGACGATGTAGCCTTGCGAAGTCCAGAATACTGGATCGGGCGTCTCCCAGGCGCTGTATTTACTCTTGTGCTCTGGGTTGACCTCGCTGAATGACTTGGCGAAGAAACTGAGTCTGTCAGTATCAAGTTTGACTTATGATGAAGGAAAACGGCAATTGATGACAAGAACGAAAGCGCCTACTTGTCATATGGGATGTCCTTTCCGTATGGTCCGTAAGTGATCAAGACGGGGAATTTGGCATCAGCGGGAGCAATGGGTCTATAGACATTGCATCGAACTGGGAGATTGCTGGCTTTGAGAGGCACGGAAACGTTCTTCTCGAATATGAGGCCATTCTCTTTGTCCTCGGTGACCTCGTGGAGGTCTCGGATCTGGTTTGTGGTCATGGTGTTGTCTGGGGAATCTGAAGCTCGTGAGGTTGAAGTGAGATACACAGACTCCTGGTTATGTTTGTGCTGTTTACAGAATGGACAATGAAAACAAGACAAGATAGAGCTAGATAGAACTATATGAGAGCTGCTTAGATGTGACGAAATACTGACATAGGACGATTTCGCGCGGTTGTATTTTCTGCGAATTCCGAAGTCCCCCTCCCCCTCCCCCTCGAAGCCGGGCGGCATGTGGGAGGGCAAAGGGTATTTTCAGGTACCAGGTGAGGGGTCCTTCGGCACGGAATGTGGAGGTGGGACACATGGCGGGGCAGGTATCAAGTCGGGTTTGGGACCTTGAAACCGTTGAACAACATCATGAGAAAGCTCAAGAATAGGTAGCAAGAATCGGAATAAAGTCTATTCTGACATCGAAGATATTCATTAAAGCTCCATTGCAATCATGTACGCCTCTCACTTCTCAATTGCAAATATCCCATACGGCGTTGCCAGCAGTGCTGCTCACCCAGCCAAGTCTCCCGCAACACGAATTGAGGATACTGTGATATTTCTTGACGAGCTCGCAAAAAATGGAGCTTTTTCTTCCCTCTCATCAGAAGTAGCCAAAGCATTTTCCGAGGTATGTTAAAAGAATATAGAACCACTGTCAGAATTGCCTCGCTAATGGCAAAACAGTCAACCCTCAACACCTTCGCAGCTCTCCCCAAACCCATTCAAAAGCAAACGAGAAATCTATTTCAAGAGCTTCTCAAAGACCCAAAGAATCTCCCATCAGGAAGCACAGCCGCCATCCAAGATGTAACCATGCACCTCCCCGTCTCCATTGGCGACTTCACCGATTTCTCCTGCTCCAAAGAGCACGTCCTCAATGCCGGCGAGGCAATAATGAAGAAGCGCTTCCTACCTCCTGGATTTTTGCACTTCCCAGTCGGATACACAGGACGTTCTTCTTCAATTATAGTTTCCGGAACTCCCGTCATGAGACCGCGAGGTCAGTATCGGGATGCGAAGGGTGAGGTGGTCTATAGTGCGTCTCAGCAATTGGATTATGAGCTGGAGGTGGGATGTATTGTTGGGAAACCAAATGCGCTTGGAGATAGTATCGCCGTGAGCGATGCTGATGAGCATATTTTTGGACTTGTGTTGTTGAATGATTGGAGTGGTAAGCCTCCTCATCTCATTTTGAAGTGAGCAATCTGACTGATATGCGAAGCTCGCGATATTCAAGGGCTTGAAATGGTGCCTCTGGGTCCTCTCAATGGCAAGAGCTTCTCAACATCTATCTCGCCTTGGGTCGTCACGCTTGATGCCTTGGAGGCCTTTCAATGTCCAGCTCCGGCCAGAGAATTGAAAGTCGCACCGTACCTGGCAGACTCCAAAACAGACAACACTTACAGCATTGAGTTGAAAGCTGAGCTGGTGGCTGACGGCCAAGCAACTACCATCTGCGAGTCTCAATTGAGGACGATGTATTGGAGTTTCAGGGACCTGCTTGCGCATCAGACGAGCAATGGATGCAATCTGAATACGGGAGATATCTTGGCGACCGGTACTATTTCAGGGGAGACGGATACTAGTCATGGGTGTTTGCTTGAGTTGACGAAGGGTGGTGAGAAGGATTTTGATGTTGCAGGTGGGTTGAAGAGGAAGTTTTTGGAAGACGGTGATAGTATTAGAATTTCTGCAAGCTGTGGGAATGGTGTTGGATTTGGAGAGTGTGTTGGGAAGGTTTTACCTGCTCGTTAATGGGGCTCAGCACAAATTCAAGAGCTATTGGAACAAATTGTCTTATATATTAAATTGTGATATGAATGTCCTTAAATGACGTAACGGGTCACGCTCGAGGAGGCGAGTCTTGAGGTTATTCTGTGCTTCCGACACAGATACATGGTGATCGAACGCTTTAGACGGATAACTATGTATGAAACGTTTGTAAAGTACATTTTTCATCAATCTGCAAACTACTCTGAAGCCCGAACTCCCGCGTCCAAAACCTCCACGACCTTAATACCCCTCAGTCCCTTCACAATATTCGCAAGCGTAGGGAAAGCACGTTCCAGTTCCATGCCCTCCAGATCTGTGAACTTGACGGTTGCCGAAGCAGCCTTCTGTCTCTTCTCACCCTCTTGCGCCGGAAGAGCTGGGCTCGAGAAGCAGTTCAGCGTCTCGACTGTTCCTTTCTCGTCATTCGACAGTGTCGAAGTGGCAGTCAATACAGGAGTCTGCAAGACAGACTGAGCGTCCGCAGAATCTACTAAGCCATCAAGACTGAGTTGGCAGAATTCCGTTCCTTGCCAGCCGGCACTAAGTTTGTATGATGAGGCCGATACCTGCTCGTCTAATGTGGCGAAGACTTTGGGGAAGTTGATCTCTTCCCGTCCAGTGATGATAGGATCGGCCATATTTTCGAACAGGACTGGCAGAAAGTCTCCTTTTGTTTCTTTCGCATCCGCGGCACCGGTGTGTGTAACATCGTGGATGTAAAGTCCGAAGAACGAATAGCCTCGTCCACCAAGCCAGTCCAAGTTCCCCAGTTTGGAAACAGAAAATGTAGCAGTTGCCCAGGCGCCTCGACTGCTGATTACAAAATCGTTGCTGGGAAGAAATGTGTTGAGATAGCTCTTATTTGTCTTGAAAGTCACGAAGCTGGTCTGGTACGAGTGTTTGCCCATAGTTCGAGCTCTGCCATTCAAGTCTTGCCGTGGACTTGGGGTTGGACCAAACGAAAGTGGCATCCGACGATACGCCGCGGCATTTCTCATCTCTCGAAGCAAAATTGCGTGAGCATTATCGAACGCATCATGGTTGAAATTCAACTCCGTAAACTGCATTGGGTCCATGACCTTGCCACCATGTTTTCCACGAGACGTCTTGAAAGCTGCTTGGCGACTGACATCCTGCACCAATGTTGCGCGATCGTAGCGGGCTTGGATGTACAACTCAAGTCGCTTGGGAATATCTTCTGGCCGAGTTCCCAAAGGAAGTAATGCTCCAAGTGCAGCGGCATCCTCGATAGCTTGAGCGCCGCCTTGCCCTTGATGAGGCAAGAATGCGTGAGCTGCATCTCCAAGAAGAGCGATTTTTCCATGGACCCAGTTCTCTCGGCCAAGTTCGTCATGATCAAGAAGCTTCCATAAGTTGATACCTTCGGGAGCTGCTTTGGCGAGAACTGCCTTGACGGCCTCTGGATATGACCTGAAGCAGTGCAACATTGTCTCCTTCGAAGCAGACTGGTCCCATTCCTCTGCGCTAGCCTCTGACTCTTCATCCGGATGCAAGGCAACAAAGTTCAATTGTGTGTTATTCTTGCAGGGATACACCACGATTCTTCGGTCCTCACCATACCAGAGTTGCAGCTCTCCAGGGCGCTGAACAAAATGTGCTGTTTTTGGATCGGACTTGATCTTTTCGACTGGAATGAGAAATCTGAAAGCACTGGATCCTGAGGTCTCAGGTGGTGATAGGTCCTTAATCAACGAGCCTCGAATTTTGGAGTGCACTCCGTCCGCTCCAATGATGAGATCTCCCGTGTGTGTCGTCCCATCCTCCAATGTCAAACTTGTACTTGAGACATCCACCTTAGCAACTCGGCTTCTCAGGTGGAGAATTGCTGGTGTACCCTTCCCTGTAGTAGAAGTCGCGAGGACTTTCAAAGCATTGTGCAAGTCAACTCGGTGGATCAATTGCCAAGGATATGGGAAGACTTTGGACAGCATCCGAACATCTTTGAGAAAGACTTGTTCGCCCTTTGGTCGGTACTCTGAAACCCACTCGCACTGGTTTGCTCCATTGTCTTCTGGGATCATACCCATTCTCCTCAGTAACCCATTGACGTTGCTCGGGATATGAATTGCTGCTCCAGTTTCTGAAGCGAATCGGCTAGACTCAAATATCTATGGACAATTAGGAGCATTCAAAGGAGTTTTTCGATTATCTTTTGCTCACCTCGACGGTATGTCCAGCGTGTCGCAGGAAGATGGCAGCTGAGAGACCTCCAATACCTCCCCCAGCTATCAGAACCTTCAGTGGCCTATCTTGGGCAATGCCACCTTCGGTGGACTTCAGAGTTGTTCCGTTCATCGCTGTAGGGTATCGTAACAGGGCAGGAAAGCACGCGATGCGAGAGAATAGTTTTGCTGTGCTTTTCCAAAAATGCTCGAGACGTTGAATTGAATTTCCAGAAAAAAAGCTGGTTAAGTGTATGTTTACTTACCCCACATCAGGATGACCGACCATGAACTCCGGGGACAATTAAGCACCATGATGGAAAGTCAAAACTCCGAGGCCCGGTGCCAGCGCGGGGCCGGCTGGGTCTGGGAAGAATTACTACCACCATAGAGAGAATCCGTCCCACTCAGAAAGCCGGCTAAGCTCTCCCCAGCGGCCCCGCAGACATGTCCCCCCCCCCCCCCCCCACCGTCCCCCGACAGAGCAACATCTGACCAGCGACTGTAACGGTTCCCCTGGCTGCAGCTATTGTCTCATTTCAGGAATCTCACTCTGGTTTCAATCTCCCATCGCAGACTCAGCCCACATTCCTAAGCAGTCTTTGCTACGGTAGCGATGTCTGCTTGGCTGCAGTCGATGAAATCTGCCTCGAGAGCGCCTTGATCCACGTGAGAATCCCATCATAGTATTCCTCGACGTTGAAGATTACATCTGGCTTGTCATGAATGCCCAGTTTGTTCCAGGTGATTATCTCCATCAATTGCTCCATTGTTCCATAGCCTGCAGAAAGAGCAAACGAAAGCGCTTCCAGGTCCACCTTGCTTCACCCGCTTCGCCATTTCTTGCTTTCTGCTGTGCATGTCTTTGACAATCATAGTCTGCCATAGGTATTCTCATCCGGGACAGCAGTCTCACGGCCTTCGCAGGTGGCAGTAGTAGTCCGGTCTGTTTGTTGCTCTTGTTGCATCAGAGGAGCTATTCAGCATGTTGGTACTGTAACTCAGTCATAATTTTGGGAAGTCGCGAAACATTTAAACTGCATCTCCTGATGGACCAGTCTCTTAAGGTCCAGACTTGAGTACTCTTGATGTAGTATGCTCGCCTGGGATGATTCCTTGCACTGAAGCTGGTCCTGAGAGAGAAACCAAGGTATGACCTGCCTCTCCCATCAGTCCAGAAGTTCCTCCGCCACACACCAGGCTGATTTTGTACTCGTGAAAGTATACAGCAGGTGCCTTTGGCAGCGACAAAAGTGTGCTGGTGACTTTCCTGGTGTTGAACCGCAGCTACGAGGCTATTAGCCATTAAGTGTCAGAGAGTGTGCTCCATTTTGGACTCACAAGATACAGACAACTGCTTCAGCCATGATGATTATTTCTTTTCTATTGTTGACATTCATTCGCGTGTTCTTGTATTGGAGAATGGCGAATTTGCCCTTTGAAGTGCGCTTGAGCCTGTTCGGAGATGTGATGGTGTAGGTGTATTTCTTTGACTCCTTCGATCAGATTAGCATACTCTCTATTTACAGAGCTTTCTTCGGGTATCCGTAAATGAGTCTGATCTTAATCAGGGCCAGTGAGCGTGTAATATCGCAAGCGTACGTAAATAGAGTGAAGTCCTCCGGGCGATTGAATCGAATAAGCATCAAGGTGCCCAATAACAGAGAGCAAAGTGTTATGAATAACATGTCGCGTCTTTGTCAAGTTTTCTGCTCGACTCGCAAGTACTTGAGGTAGCGGTTATGACTTGATGGAATATGATTGTACATTGACTTCCGCTGACTAAGGATGTGTCGCTGATGCGCCTTCGCTTGTGGCATAAACAAGATAAGCGAGGAAAAAAGTCGCAGTTTTATGAGCCATGTTTGTCAGAATGGCACTCCATAGCAAGAACCTATCACTCAATAAGTATTGAAAATAGTTCAGGACTGCAGATAATGGCAGGTACTCGGGAACACGTGTATTTAATGCCAGCTTTGGCATTTTTCGATCAACGCGCCATCCTTTCGTTGCCCAGTTTTGGTATCATATACGAACCTACGGGTCTATGGATTTCAAATAGAGAGATCTCCGGTATTCTTCATCTATGGAAAATGAAATCTGATATTGCTATTCGTACCCTTTCTGGAAAAAAAAAACAATTTGTGCAGTCATGCTTTCGTTTAAGAATATGTATTTCTAGGATATCAGTTCAAATAGTCGCCAAGCTTTGGTAGAGTGGAGTTCCTTCGTAAGTGACAGTAAGTTCGCCTTCTTTAAAACGACAGAACAACATCTTACACGTTGCTTTATCGTCAAGTCGTGCAAAGCTTGAGGACAGAGATGGGGCGACGCGGTATTTGACTGCTCAGCTTACCCTGAATTGTTCGTCTCTGATGACCTTACCAGTCGTCTAATTAACCTTCAACAAGCTTTTCTACATCCCAGATCGGAAGAGGCATTTCCCGTTTAAAGTTTGACTGTATCACGGGTACCCGCCAAACATGCTTTTTGCTTGTCCTGGAAAGCTTGGCTGGTCGATTTGAGTTTGTTTCCTGACGAAGGGGACGGAAGCTGTGAATTGCACAGTGGCGACTAGAATCCTTCCTAATATGGATCTTCTCATCCCCGCTGCCCGGAGTCCGGAGAATGCACCTGTCTTAATGTGATGCTTGTCATTAACATTAGATGACAAGGTATTCGATGCGCGCCAATCGTGAAACAATGTGCAGAGAGGGGTGCTGTATTTGAATCGAGAATTCCGGGATGCTCGGCACAACAACACCATACAACGGCTTGATTTCTTCCTCTTCACAATCTCGGGCCACTTCCGCATGAAATTTGGAAGAGTGTCCAGGATTGAATCTTCTCCTCATTTTTCAATTATCCTTTCCCCTTGACTTTATCCTTTTATCCAATGCTCTAGCTTTCCTCATTTCCACCACTCTCAGGGTGGCCAAAAAGTCAGCCGGCTTTTAAGCCAATCAGTCAGCTGGGAAAAAAACGTCAGCTAGTCAGCTCAAAGATATTTGTAAGCTAGTCAGCTCGAATATAGTCAGCTTATAAGCTAGCTTAAAAGCTAGCCCTTTTTTTTAGACGATTTTGGAGTGAGGTTTTAGTATATAAGGAGTTAATTTTAATAAAAGTATATACCTCCGTAGGTTCACTACTTGTTTCCACTAGATAGAATATATCTAGCAGAAACAAGCGGTGAGCCGATTACTTATCTCTTACACTACTATAGAGGTCCCGGAGCGGAAAAACTACCTCTGAATAGTAAAAGTTAGGCGGTAAAGCCTAGTAGGATACTAGAATATTTTTTGTACTTAGTATTATTCTACTTAAACAAGGTTATAAATTTATTTTATTTAAATACTCTTTATAATATTAATAAAATAGCCTTATAAACCTTTAAAACACTATTTGTAAGTATTATAAGTATTATAATTACCTCTTTTATATACATATTATTAATATATAATCTAATTAACTTAGGAGGGATTTTTTATAAATATTTATTTTTAGAATCAGCTATTAAGCAGCTTTTAAGCTGCTTAGCTTAGTCCATTCAGCTGTAGGTCTACACCTAAGCCGGTCAGCTCAGTAAGTTGCTTAGCTGATAGCTGACTGATTAGCTTTTTGGCCACCCTGACCACTCTTTGCATCCGTGTTAATACCTCGAGCTCAATTCGTCTCGCAAAACTTGCGCGAGTGCGGGGGTCTGTCCTGGCATGAAAGTTCATCCTAATGACTATTCCTTCAAGAGACATACCCTCCGTTTCGGCTGAGCTGGAGATCACAAATACTTGCAATTGTGGCGGGAGATCGCATTTTTGGCGATAGACTAGCTGTTGTGCGTTGATTAACCTGGTGACAGGTCAGGAAATTGTAGCGTGGATTGAGACTCAAATAGTAGAGGTAAGTATCTGCGTTCCCTCCTTGTCTTGCCGGTCTGTGACTTTTTCTGTGCTCCTCGATGGTCAGCACCATTCAATCACTATGTTTCAAGATCTGGCTCTCGTTCTTTTGCTATTCCTCCCAGCTGTCTCTGCCCAAGGAGCACTTTACGCACAATGTAAGAAAGAAGTTCGCCCTTGACTCATTGAAACTAACTAGTTGCAGGCGGAGGTATTGGCTGGGTAGGAGCAACAAGTTGCGTTTCCAGAACATGCTGTACTACGTACAATGAATATTATTCTCAATGTCTCCCATGTGCTGGAGGCGGCAGTGGCATCACGACCACAACAAAGGCGATGGTCACGACGACACTGGTCACCTCGAAAGCCGCAGCCACAAGTGCTCGTGTCTGCGCTCTCCCCACTACCTACAAGTGGACATCAACCAGCGCACTAGCTCAACCCAAGTTCTCGACCACTTTCTACAACGGCCAAAACCTCGTTTACGCCACGACCCACGACACAGGGATCTCCTACGGCTCTACGGTATTTGGTCTCTTCAACGACTGGTCCGACATGGCTTCGGCGAGCCAAAATACCATGAGCTCCAGTGCGGTTGCACCAACAGTATTTTACTTCGCGCCTAAGAGTATCTGGATCCTGGCATACCAATGGGGACCCACAACATTCTCATACAGAACCTCAACCGACCCATCTAACGCAAACGGGTGGGCAGCAGCACAACCGCTTCTCTCCGGGAAGATTGATGGATCCTCTACGGGAGCAATCGACCAAACAGTCATCGGCGACAGCACAAACATGTACCTCTTCTTCGCAGGTGACAACGGAAAGATTCACCGCGCCAGCATGCCCATTGGAAACTTCCCTGGCAACTTCGGTACCGCATCAACCGTCGTCATGAGCGACACCACCAATAACCTTTTCGAAGCCGTGCAAGTCTACATCCTGAAAGGACGGAAAAAGTACCTCATGATCGTCGAAGCTATTGGTACCAATGGTCACTACTTCCGCTCTTTCACTGCGACTTCCCTCAGCGGTTCGTGGACTGCGAATGCGGCGACGGAGGCGTATCCCTTTGCTGGGAAAGCAAACAGTGGTGCGACATGGACGAACGATATCTCGCAGGGTGATTTGATTCGTACGAATAATGACCAGACGTTCGCCGTGGATGTGTGTAACTTGCAGTTCTTGTATCAAGGACGTGCGCCGGGAAGCGAGACTTATGATAAACTTCCTTACCGTCCTGGTGTCTTGACTCTGCAGTTGTAAGATATGGGTGAAGAAGAGGACAAATATGAGGTTGAAGCGATGTCCTGAGTGTATGAGATAGTCTCACTAAGTGCTCGGATTTGCTGTTGATGATGGTCTGTTGCCAGGATTCGTGTAAATATACGTCAACGAACCGCGCGAGCCATATTAACGCATCTCAATTCTTGCATAGCTACCGTGTCAAGGAATGAGGAAAATGATAGTGCCTGACGGATTTTGGCTCATTTGATATTGATGTTGTAGCTTCTGTCTTTTCTCTCCACGATGTAACGCCGACAATGCTGGAGCTAAAGCTCTTTGGATTAGACTGGGAAATTTTGGCACTTATTAGAAGAGAGACGAGAAAGACATCACTTACCACCTGCTCGTACTGGACGATTGATTAAATAAGATCTTATTAATCGTGGCATAGAACATTGCTCCTGATATTGCCTCTTCATTGTTCAACTTGAATTAAGAAAGTGTAGCTGTCGCCATTAAGAACTCCTGAACGATCTATATCTTCGCACCAGCTGGAATGTTAGCGCAGCGGCCGCAAGCAGTCGGAAGCTGGCTGCTATCCAGATACCCTTCCTCGCCGTATCGTAGTAGCCTTCTAGCATGACGCCAACAGCATAAGATTTTGTCTGGTTTATCCCCTTGTTCGGTGATTTCATTCCATTACTCAACCCACCAATAAACCACGGATTATCGCCTGTGGCTACTGCCTCTGTTTCGCTATCCATTGCTGTCTGATTCTCCACCCTGGCACCTTGTAGACGTTGCCTATTTCTCTTCTTGAGCGGCGCAGTCAGAATATTGATGATCCATCGTACGTCTAGGGACGTGAAGGTTGGATACGACCACAGTTTTACAGCATTATGTGGTGGCATCTGGTCAAGAAAATCGGCCAGCATCCCTAGAGTCAACCCCCATAATAACAACGGTCTTGCCTTATCTGCCGATCCAGCATGATCTCCAAGATACCAAGTGTAGAGCCTACTTCCTACTGAAGCCTTTGGGGCCGTATCGGAGTCTGAATCCTCGGGAGGGAAGAACTCGGCCGTAGAGCTACAATACAACGACTCCGAAGGAACCAATCTTATAGCAGAGAACCGCATCTTTCCTAGAATGGATCTTATGATAGACTTCGATACAACTCCGCCTCGACGTGCGAATCGGTCTGATACATCCACATATTCATATGTTCGAGACAAAGGAGAAAGGAGGATTCGCAAAGGCACCCAATGTGTTGACGCAACTTCGCCAGGTTGTAATTTGAACGGCGGAAGCTCTGGCTCAGTCCAGAGGAATACAAATGGGCAAAGTACCATTATCCTACTCAAATATATTAGTGATGGGGATTGGCAGGAAGGGGGTCTTGCATACGGGACTTTTCCCCAGGAAGTGCTGACCACCCGCTCCGGAAGGTTGCCTAAGAACAGAGCATGGGGAGATGTGAGATCAAACCCTATCTCTTCAGCGGTTTCCCTGATTGCCACGGCCTTGTCGTCTTCATCTTCTGGGTCCCTTTTGCCTCCTGGGAGAGCAACATGGCTGGTCCATCGGTCTCCTACTCGCGCAGCTCTTTTGATAAAGACAGCCTCAGGATCGCCATGTTGTACCCAATCCTGTGCAAAGAAGCGATCTAGAGATTCATGTAAGGTACATTTCTCATCTTTGGTTCTCTCTCCAGTCTGTGGCTCTGGCCAATTATTGAACTGCGGCCGGACTCGCAATATCAGAGCGACGCTGGCCCTCTTTTTGCAGCCCTCGGGATTGCTGACGTGTGGATATGGGTTTTCGATGAGCCCGTTCAGGGTTTCCTGGAAGGCCTCTATCAGATTTGGTGGTTTGGTATCTGCTGCTTCTTCCGGCATGGTGATGTGGAATTGTATGTAGAGCATTGGGGGTGGGGCAGGGCTAGGTCGGTCTTCACGGAGTTAATTTCTAAAGAGTGGATGGGAACTTTGTTGGGATGGACCTCGGCACATGAGATGCAGCACTTCACAAGGCTCGCGAGGCTGCCATCATGAATCTCAACAACGACTCGCACTCAGAATGGAGATAAAAAGGCTTTTTTTTCCTTGGAGAATTTTGGACAAGATCTTCTGTCCAGATTTGATATGATACGTGATACGTGATACTGGGTCATCGGGAAATAGACGTGACTCCCAAGAGACCCAGATATTCAGCTGCTCTCCATGAGTAATTGTTCAGAGATCTGCGGTAAGCTCGATCCCATATATATGTTCTCTGGGGCGTTTTGAGCCTGTTCATTATGTTCTGTGTAACTCAGGCATGATCATGTTAGTCGACTTTTGGCTCATGGGGGTTTGGACCCCGAAAGTCGCGACGTCATGACTTCAACCAAGCGTCAACGACATATAAAATGTAAGTGCTGCTAAGTACTCCTCTATTCCCTTGCACTGCTTTCATTTATTCGAGTCAAGCAAGCATGCTCAAAATATTCTCGCGAACAAAAATCTCATCAGTCACATATCCGAGCAATTTCCTTCGCGCAACTCTTCCCATTCGAACCATGGCGACCGGTGCTGCAAACAATGAGGATCTGAGAGTTAATAAGCTATTCGATGTCTCCAATTTCTCGGCGGTTGTTACAGGAGGAGTTTCTGGTATTGGGCTCATGATTACGCAGACTTTGGTGGCCAATGGTGCTAAAGTCTACATTACTGGACGCCGTGAGGAAGCGTTGAAAACTGTTGTTGAGAGATACAATACCGGGCCAGGCAAGATTATCCCGTAAGTTTCTGACTTTAAGTCCTGAGTCATGTGCTAAGAAATGATCTAGTCTGCCTGGAGATATCACCAAGAAAAATGATATTCTGAGACTCGTCAAGGAAGTTGAGTCCAAGGAGTCCAAGGGAATCCATCTTCTAGTCAATAATGCCGGCATTGCACGAGATGATAACACGAAATATTCGAACGGCAAGCCCGACTTCAAGGTAAGCTCTTACCTCTACAATCTGAGAAGAAGACAGATCTAATAATTAAAGTCGGCTCAATCCCTCTCCGACCATCTCATGAAGTCCGATCCCCAAGCCTGGGCAGATACATTCTCTACAAACGTGACCTCTCAATTCTTCGTTGCAGCAGCCTTCTTACCCTTACTCTCCAAGTCACTCAACAGCACACCCGGATTCTCCCCCAGCATCGTGAATATCACGAGTATTTCCGGCGTCATGAAAGGCAGCAGCAACGGACAATTCGCTTATGCTTCATCCAAGGCCGCATTCTTGCATTTGACGAGGATGATGGCTACGACGTTTTTAGAGGCAAAGGTTAGAGTTAATTCTATTGCGCCGGGAGTATTCCCTTCGGAGATGACAGCCGGGAAGAGTGATGAGCATCAGAAGAGTGAGCTCGACAGTGAGGCGAGTAATCCGGCAGGTAGGTATGGACATGATACTGATATGGGGGCTTGTATTCTGTTCCTTGCTGGTCCAGGAGGAGTTTTCTTGAATGGACAGGTTGTGTACCCTGATGGAGGTGAGTTCTGTGACCTGAGTTTCGAGAGCTTTGCTGACTGTTATAGGCAATATTCTGGTATCACCAGCATGTACTTAATTAGCGGTAGGTTTGGCTTGTACAGCAAATCAAAGAGCTTCAAGAACAGCGTTTCTCACACAAGACATCATAAACTTTGTCAAAGTGGTGAGAGGAGAGCACAGTCCAGTCCCAGTCCCATCCGGTCCATTCAATTCCATTTTCCCTAGACACGGCACAAACATACATGACCAAAGGCAGCAGTGAAACTTGAAACAGCCCTCTTAGAACGCCACGCTCCGAACCCCTTCCCCAAAGCACAGAAACACAACAAACCAGCCACCTCAACCACACCAGCTCAGAACTGACCAGAGGTCACCACTGGCCCGCGCCCGATCGCGTCTCGTCCAGCGACAAATATAACGTACAAAGGTTCCGGCTCCCTGACAACTTGTACGGCCGTCCGTCCCCACGAAGGAAGAAGCGGCACAACACATATGGCCACGCAACACGCCACAAGCCCAACGAAGCCGATCTCTTCGCAGAATCTGCGCCAAGCCTCCCACGGAGCAACTACAGTCCAGTGAATGGTAAGCTTGATGATAGCGAGAAGGATGGTGATGAGAATGGCGACAGCGTTGGTGATGGTAGTGGTGGTGGTGACAATGCTCGAGATGATAGGTGAGAGTAGGTAGCATGCCGTATTGCAGGCGATTTCGATGCAGCTTGGTGCCGGAAGCTCCTCCGGTCGTGTGAACGGATCGGACCTGGTAGGTGGCTCGTAGAACGGAGCTTGCTCCAGCCAGTATGGACTTGGATTCTCCGCAGTCCACTTTGGCTTGATGGGTCTGCATGGAGGAGATTGGCGAGGATAAAGAAGATAAGATTCGAACGGATGGTAAGGATTATATGTTCTCTCCCAGTCCATGGTATCAGCGAGTTCTGGAGCTGAAGCTTGATTTGAAGCCCGGAAACCTTGGTAGAGGTACTGTTGAACGAGTTGGTGAGGCTGTCGGTATTGGCCGTGTTGTCGCTGTGTCTTGAAAGAGCTGGGGTTATGGTCGGACAAGCCGAGAGAATTAAAGAAGGTGATTAAGTGATCAGGAAGAGGTTAACTGGAAGACGAAACTTCTAAGCCACTGAAGGCATTAGTCAAGGCATCGCCGCACATCTCCATTGTGTTGTGATTCTGAAACGGAGAATACTGGGAACGGTGTGTCTGATGATTCAGAATCCGGGTTTGCAGAAGAATTGAAAGACTCCGAGACTGATTCGTACGGAGAAGAAAGAAAGAGAGACCTCCGAGCTTGTAAAAAACATATCGGCATGGTTGCGCAGCTGCAGCTCGCTTCCACGGCCCTATCAAAGATAATAGGAGGCCGTCAACAATGAGAAAAGCGAATCTCAATACTAACCGAGACCCACTGAAACCCGTCCCGTCGATTCCAGTAATAATACCACGGAAAAGGGCACACTCGTGTCATTTTGTACTCCTTCTCCCAAATGAAAGTCGTTTAACTCTAGCATGTATGTCTCATAATCGGGCATTGTTGTTGTGCTCGATTAGGGGGTGATGCCTAAATAGGTCGTCATGTGATACTTAGACGGCGCCACGCCCGGGAGTGTCTTGCATACCTCTTTGACAACGAATGAGTCATGGAGTGTCTTGTAAGATTAGATGGCGTTCCGCCCTGAAGCTTTGATGCGGCGCCGCCTTGTCGAACTTCAGGGTTGAGCTGTCAAACAAGTGGCACGTGATTAGCGTCCAGGAAACCTGCACGTAGAATCGTTCGCCAGCTTGTTTCCCACTTTTGAACATGCTCCTCATTAGACAGAAAGCCATGTAGATTCAGAGTAGCTTCGGTGCATGGCAACTTTCCCAAGCCCATTCACAGCATACCTAAGTGGTTAGAAGATCAAACGATACGGAATACGCAGGAAACAAGCCAAATGCAAATGGAGCATTGTACCCTGCCAACTGTATGCAAATCACAGTGAAATTATCTTTTAAGTAAGATCGCAGATTGGTGGTGGCACAAGAACGGTTGCATTATACATACTCGCCAGTCATCTAAGGACGAGGGAATCAATACACAAGGAAACGCACCAAATGGCAGGACCGCTTAAATACCAAGAGAGAATTCAACTCCCACGTCAATATCACGAGCTATTTCTCGTTAGTGAACGTTCAAGAAAAGGGGTTTTGGAGACGTACCCATCTTGACGACCTTCGAAAATTGTACAGCCTTCTCGGCGGCGTTTTGCAGGTCATCGATAGAGAAGATCTTGAGACCAGCATCATTGATCAACTTCTGTGCTGCCTCCATGTTTGTTCCTTGCAATCTGGCGATGATTGGGATGCTGAGGTTCATGCTCTCAACAACGCTGATGAGACCCTGGGCAATGGCATCGCATCTGACGATACCTCCAAAAATGTTGACAAAGATGGCAGTAACCTTAGGGTCACTGGTAATGAGAGTGAAAGCCTCGCGAATGGCTTGTGGAGTAGCTCCACCTCCGACGTCGAGGAAGTTGGCTGGCTCTCCTCCGTTCAATTTGATGATATCCATGGTAGCCATGGCAAGACCAGCACCGTTGACCAGGCAGCCAATATCACCTCCCAACTTGATGAAGTTCAAGCCACTCTCAGCAGCCTTGACTTCGTCGGCATCCTCCTGGGTGGTATCGCGCCACGAGAAGATCTCCTTTTGACGGAACTCGGCGTTGTCATCGAATCCGAGCTTAGCATCCATTGCGAGAACCTTGTGGTCAGATGTCTCCGAGAGAGGGTTGATCTCGATCTGGGTGGCATCCTTCTCCATGAAAATCTTGTAGAGCTTCTGGATGGTGTCCTTGGCGTCCTCGATACATTGCTCGCTGAAGCCAAGATCTGTAGCAATCTTTCGGGCAATATCATCTGTAACACCCTTGTGGATATCGATGAATGTAGTCGTGATGGCGCTTGGGTTCTCCTTAGCAACGGTCTCGATATCCATACCTCCCTGCGATGAGGACACGATAACTGGTCCTTGAGATCCGCGATCCATCAGAATTGCCAGGTAGAATTCGCGACGTGCGAATTTACGCTCGCAAATATACACGGAATTGCAGAGACGTCCTTGGGCACCTGTTTGCTTTGTGACAAGCTTGTGGCCGATCATTTGGTCTGCGAACATCTTGGCCTCTGTTGGAGAGTAGATAACGCGAACGCCTCCTTTCAATCCATTGTCGAATGTCCCCTTTCCTCGTCCACCTGCAAGGACTTGTGCCTTGATAACCATATCATCTCCGCCAATCTTCTTCGCAATGGCTTCAGCTTCGGCAGCAGTGGTTGCAACTGAGCCTTGGGGAACACCAATGCCATACTGTTTTGTATGAGCTTCTCATCCACTCCATAACGATCGATTCGCATACCTGTCTCAGAAGATCCGCAGATAGGTACTCGTGTATGCTCAAAGCTCTCTTTTGTTGTGCAACACCAGCTAATCGCGACGGCGAGTAGGCCTGGAGCTGTTAGCATCTTGCTTGCCAGGAACGGGATTTTTTGGACCAAGGCTTTGTTTACCTTGCTTGGCTTAAATGCAGCCGCAAAGGGCCTGCTTCGTGCGAGCTTGAACATAATGACGGGAGGTGTAAAGAACACAAGGCCGTCAATTGAAGAAAAAGGAGGATCTGGATTGGATTCGAGAGGTTCTTGGTCTTTTCGGATTGAGACGGGATGGAGAGCTTTCTGGCTACGGCAGCCGAGAAGTTCGGGCTCGGAAAAACTTGGCTTCACAGCACGTGGAACTGTTATTTCCCGACCGAAAGTCTAAATGCCAATTCGAGGACTTGTACAATTACAAAGTCTCCGTTGTGACAACTCCAATTCCGAATAGAATGGCGCCTGATGAAGCCCTCAAATCTGCCAAGTCATCTCAAGATGAGCTTGCAGTTATCTCGAACCGTCTTGCCATCGCAATGGCAAAGCGGGAAGCACTCGTCAAGTCCTGGACAGCCTCATCCTCGCGCACCGAGCCAGAGAAGACCCAGGAGGAGCTAGATGCCGAAGATGCTGCTCTTTTCCAAAGCGCACCACCATATCTCGGGGTAGGAGCTGCAATACCTGCCCACTTTCTCGCCAACGAATCCGAACGGGGCAAGAAAGCTCTTCGTGCCAAACTGCTCACTACCAAAGGCCTGAAAGCTAGCAAGGCTCGAGATGTGGAGGAAAAAGCTGCAAGTGCGAAGCGGGCAATGAGGGAAGAAAGTAGCGACGAAGAGGAAGGTCGTTCTAGCTTGGGAAGGGCGAAGAAACTCAAGGGTCGCCCAAAGCCAGCATCCGTCCTGGTAGCTAAGCAGGAAGCTGGTTCCGACTCAGACGAAGACGAACGAAAGCATCTAATGAATGCCAAGAAACGCAAGTTGGAGGTTGAGGAGGAAGAGCCCAAAACAAAAGTCACCAATGCTGGCACACAAAACAAGAAGATCAGTCGAGTGCAGAAAGGACAGAGCCCACAGTCTGGCGATACGGAGAAGGACCAGATGCAGGATGTTGACTCGAGTGAAGTTGATGACACTGGAATTGACGAGCCAAAGAGAAGTCTCACGGAAAAGATGAACCAAACGAAACCCAAGGACCCAAAAAGCCTGGCTGAGGATTCCAGCCAGAAAGAGGTCGCCGCAGGTTCGAAGAAGGAGGATGGCATGGACGCCAAGGAGCGGAGGAAATTGAAGAAGAAAGAGAAGAAAAGGTTGAAGAAGCTGAGAGAGGCAAAATTGGCTACCAAAGCTTAGGAGATTGTTTGTTTGCATTATATCCAGGACGCACTGAAGGAAAGCTACAATACCAGCCAAAATATCCGGTTCGAGTCAACACGACTTGCGGCGAATAGATCAGGAATTTTTCCAATCCCAATTCCAAATGTTCTCTTTCGGGACTGTTCCCACCTCCCATTTCCTTTTGCTGAGTCTGTTGCTCCTTCAGCTTTTTGTGCAATGTGAATAATACTCCCGTTTGCTTCCATGAGTACTCGGCTCCCCAGAATCCTCATTAAACGAGCATAGTCTCCACGAACACCAGGAAACCTCAAAATGCTAGATGAGAAGAATGGCCTTGTGCAGGTGTATATGGCCACCTATGCCACATATTCCATGATGTGGTGAAATCAGAACAAGAAAGGCTTTGCGACGACTGGTGTCTGGAAGGATGTCAGTGCGGTGTATTGAAAATGGAAAGAGAACAGCTGTTGGAGAACATGAGTGGTTGGGCAAGGAGTAACTGGAGGTTGACAGAGTATTGTAAGGGGTCGACGAGGAATTATGTCCAAGCAGTGAAGATGCCGACGCCACCGGGGTACATTGAAACAGGGTTAGCACCAAGGCTTTCTTAATTAATGGGGTTGAAAGTCAGAAATAACAACTATTGCTAGGGTACCAATAACAACTTCTTTTGTGAGTGTGCACAAAGTCAACAGTAAACCTTTCTTTAGCTTACCCACTTATCGTGAAGCAATTGGGAGATAAAGACAGCGTTCTCCGGAAAGTTCTCGCTTAGCGAAAAACAACAAAAGACCGAATCTCACTGAGCCATTCCTCACTCTGCACCAGCTCATCCACTCCTCCAAATACTAAAGCCCCATCCACCACCCTCAGTTCTTACCACGCCCACCCTCGGTCCTGATCCATTGATACCACCCCTCTCCTCGAAGAGATCCTCCACCTTCTCGACGCCCCTCTCAGCCCGCCTCCCCTCAAAATGTGCAGCGACAAGGCCCACGACACTTAATCTCGCTTGCACTTCTCTCGTTTCTCCCTTCGCTGCTATAGCTGCAATGACTACCAAGATTATCCCCAACAGTGCTAGCGAGAGATTGGCGATCAGCAAGCAGGCAAGTGGTGCGATAGGTACCTTAGCCACCAGCATGTTCTCACGTCGTTGAGCTTGTATGGCAGGTTGGGGAGTAAATGCCGCTGTCGCTACACCTAGAGCAATCTGGCTGTATGTCAAAGCGAAGTAATCGGCTATTCCTTGAGCAGACGTGCTGAGCAAAGCACCAGTGCTAGCACCTTGAATCAAGCTGGGATCGCCAACCTTGGTGTACTGCTGTGAACCCTGGATGATGTTGGTCAGGGTGCTATTAGCAGGTGTGGCGTTGAAGCGCGTGACTGTCCCATTGATAGAGGTGTATTCGACATCGTAGACTGTGGTGTTGCAGAACAGACCAATTATATCCGCACCATGTACAGTGCTGAGAACCTCTGGATCGCCAGCTGTGAAGGCTGGCCCGTGGCCGAAATTTTGATTCACTGCCGCAATCGTCGCGAAGTAGTAAGGATTGGCGAGGTTCGTTGACAATGTGCTATTGGATTCTCCGGTTGAGTTCGTAAAGTAATTCATTTTATACTGATTGATAGATGCTGTGTTTGAGTCTGTGTTCATTATTCCTTCCATGGCAAATGGGCATTTGTATGGAAAGTGGCTTCCAGCGATTCTTTCTGGATCAACACATTGCGTGGTGACCGGGGCACATTTCGTTGTAATCCCCCACGTATGAGACATGTAGTCGACAGGATTGAGAGCAGATTTGGGGGGATTGCCAACATAGGTAAAAATATCGTTTGCCGACGACAAAGTGTTGATTCTCATCGTAGTGGAGATGTTCGTCATTACTGACAGAGCGTCAAGACCATTCATGAGAAACCAATTAGCTGCAGCTCGATCTGCAGTACAGCCCAGTGAAGTCGTTTCATTGACATCAATACATGTAGGGATCAGTCCTACGCTAGTGTTCAACGCGCTCGTCACAGGATAAAATTGGGTCAAGTTGATGGTCTTTGTCGTAAAGTGAAACCATGTATCAGCTGCAAAGACCAATATACTGTTCGCCAGTCAGTACATATCTACCAGGGTTTCCAATACTTAAGTCACCTGAGGAACAGCGCAAGAATAAGAACCGAGGTCATCAATCTCATCGGCCTTCCCTGAGATTCCTTCTTTCCCCGCCAGCCCCAAATATACTGCCACCAGTTCCAAAGGGCCCGGGGCGAACCACTCGTAATCATCTTCAGCATCAGCGACAGCTGGAATGGCGTAGGTAGTCGGTCTGTTTTGCCCGATTGCCCTGCTCTCAAGATCTGTTTCGCAACCGGGTAGGAGATCAGTGTTATCGCGCATCCGACGAGGATAGGAGCAATCGTACTGCTCCAAGACGCGACGGTCGTCAAAGTTGTAGCGCTGATGTCGACATAGATAACACTGTCTTGGCTCGGTTGACCCAGTCGAAAATCTGGTGATGCCGAATCGTTGGGGGTGACTTTAAAATAGAATATTAGTCCGAGAAGGAGAGCCGAGAAGATAGACATGGGAATAGTCATAAGTGAGAAGGCAAAGAGGATATCGCCCGTACGACCACGCATACGTGATGCACTGGTAGCCGACCCATAGTTACTGTTTAAGGTATGCTCGTGAACTGAGTGGTAAGTAGCTTTATCCATCTCGATGCTACAATCGAAGCCGACGACGATGGGAAAGAGAAAAGTTCATTCTGGAAAACCATCTCTCTTATCCTCAGCCTGGTGATAATGGTTGGTTGCAGTGCGGCTGAAAAGTCAATAGTGGTTATGCGTGCTGTTGTACGGACATTGTTCACGAAACACAGCCTATGACATTGTAACCAGAATCAAGTGGCGGCGAGTGGCTAAAAGCTGAGAATAGGACTCGATTGCCAAGACACATTTGGAAGCCACATTTTTAGCCACATAAGGCTGGACCATTCCGATGCTTCATTTATCCTGGAGAAGCTGGACGAGTGATCAATTTTGATTTTCTCGGTAGGCGACTGCGACAAGTGCTTTATTTCGACCGCCAAGCTTCATTGTTGATGTGGGAAACAGGTGGAGTTTTTTGGAAGCGAGAATGCTAGGAACTTCTGTGCCGATCGTCATCATTATGACTCCAGAGTCTGTCCACACAATAGAAGATTTGACAATCATCGGTATGGTTCGTAGGTAATGATTTATCTCCACGTGCCTTAACTAGTTTCTTTCTCATTCTGCTTCGAGCACGTAATCTGCACTGCACAGTAGGCCGCACCTGGGCGATCCCCACTTTCCATTTCCTTTCATTTTATTTCCAGATCCCCTCAATGGTCCATTTTGTGTTCCGTTGTCGAGTTTTGAAGCCATCCGCAGCACGACTTCCTCTTCTAGCTCAATCTACCTCACTGTCATGCGAGCCCACCCAGCTCAGTACCACCAAGAAGAGAAGAAACTCCTTGCCAAACCAGCACAATCATAACAGCAACTTGTAATCCAGCTTACCGTGCAGTAGCGCCAATCTCCCAAATAAAGCCTAAGCATTCTCTCTCTCGTCTTTGCTCTCCTCCACTCCTCTTCATCGGCGGTGCCGGCATGTCAAAGGTTAGCGGGAAGGAGATCTAGAACACCTTCACCGGTACCTCCATTGCACAACGGGGTGTACTCGGCTTCGGTCGACTGGCACAATTTATCATTTGTCCTCTTCTTCGGGAAGGTTGCTTTTTTCTATTGTGTTGCCGCTTCGCGCAGTAGCATGAAGAAGACTGCTTGGTAAATGGTGGAGATGGTCGAGCAGTGGTCGATGGTTATGGCTAAGTGGGATATTCGCGGTCTGACATCTGTCAGCATAGATAAGGGTGGAAACATACCAGGACTGTGTCTAGCTTGGAGAACTCGAGAATGTCGCATTTGACGTGGTCATAGCCTCGAATGTGCCATACTATCGTCGTAGCCGTCTTCATGGTGATTCTCTTCAATCTTGTTGCTCCATTGGTCGACCAACCGTGTTACTTGACGCCGCATGCTGGCATTCCGTCTTATATCGCCCACGGCAAGTGATGCAGATTGTGATCAAATGAATCGTTCCAGAAATAGCCACCGTGGTACTTAAAACAATAATGCCATGGCCTGACTGTCATCATAGACAAGTTCGATATGTGGGTTTACCACGACCGGTCTACCAGAGCGGATTGTCGAGAAATGCAAGAGCGTGAGAGGAAATGCAGTAGATGGCAAAAGCCTTCTGGGAAATATCAATCTCTGGCAGTGTTAGTCTGGGCTAGGAAGATAAGGAAGTGCTTCAATGGCTGTCATAATGACGCAAGGTATGAAATACTACATCGCTCCGGTCCCATAGTCGGGCGCCATACCATTATCTAGCACTGCTTTTTTTGACGTTTCTAGAGCCTTTTTTTTCAGTGGCCTAGAGGTTTGGTGTCGACTTCAGGTAAACACATTGAGCTAGGCTTGTCCAGATCTTGAGCAAATGTTGTTTTGAAGAAGCCAAGTTATGTTATCTCAAATCCAATAGGGCAAAAATATCAGAAACTGCTAGGGAAACAGATATAAAATTGCTTATCAAATAGATTCTCAAAGGGAACTTCTGTTCTCCGTTGTTCTAAGCAGTGAGCTGGACAGTGCATCGTAATACTGTCCCATCGACTAAAATCAGAGTGATACAGACTTATTACCAGCCAGTCTTTTCTCTATGCTTGACTGAGTCTTTGAAGGTCTGAATTTAAATTAAAGCCATGGACTGTGCCCAATATAGTCATTCCGTCCTCTTAATTGTCTGTCGATAATGGCTCAAATATCCGTGTTGAGGAGACATTCCCAACTTTGTTTGTGGAACAGAGCTCTTTCTCGTATCCAAAAGGCGATTTTGATCTGTGGAGGGCCCCATTGAAACCTCCTTAACAATAAGCCCCTTCTTTAGTGCTGGAAAGGAGGCGAAGAAGAATGGATTCTTAGGCTGATATCACGTGGATATTTGCTGGTAGATAACCTTAAAGGACACATGTTGCTGGCTGTCCAAGACTAGTAGTGTTAAGATATTTGCTTCAACAAAATAAATTGCGAGCGCAAGAATATTGAACCGAAAAGACAATAATTGATAGAAATACAGAAAGTAATACATGAATTCACAACTATCAAATCCCTATCAGTGCAAGCTGTCGTAACTTCGTAACGTGTTCTCTCGGCTAGTCCAGCCGTACCTAGCCATCCTTGCATCGTCCGAAATAGATTCAAACGCCTTGCTTGGTTCCCGCGCCATTCTGCCTCTACCCCTTGAACACAACACGTTCAGAGAATATCTCGTCCTGTCCTCGTCTTTCGCAACTTCAGCCAACAACAGAGTCTCTTCGACCACTTCCTGTTCACTTTCCCACTGCAGATTCTTGTGCAGACATGTTGAACTCCAATTAGTGCTTCATACTTCTTTTAATACTTTCTTGACCCTCGTTTACGAAGCTTCGAAGCCGCGTCGTCTCTGGCTGGCGTACTCTGCAGAACTCGACCATCTGTCCTCTGCCTGCAAGAACATATTGAAGCTGCCAGGACCACTCTACCGTTCATCACGACTGGATAAAGCTCAAGATGGCTTCGGAGAAGGGAGCTGTTGCGTCAGGCTTGGACGCTGAGACTCAGGCTACCCGCAGGCGCAATGTGCCCTCGAACTCGGCCAACGGAGGACTCGTCGACAGAATTGAGATTGATGACAAGAAGATGCAGAAAAAGAAGGTGAGCGATTGTGCACCTCGCAACCTGCGAGTTCAAACTGGAGATTGGCCCTAGGATGATTGCTAACATTTCTGCTTCTATCAGCCCGAGCAGACATTTTTGCAGTTCCTGGACGAATGGGAGTTTATTATTGCGCCAGTAATCTTCACATTCTTTGCATTCTTCACTCGAATGTACAAGATTGGTCTATCTCCAATTGTGACATGGGACGAAGCACAGTACGAATATACCTCATCAGCCTTGCATAACCCCTTACTGATCATCGACTATAGTTTTGGTAAATTCGGATCCCACTACCTGAAACGAGAGTTTTACTTTGATGTACACCCTCCTCTTGGAAAGATGCTGGTTGGATTGTCAGGTTATATGGCAGGCTACAACGGTTCCTTTGAATTCAAATCTGGAGAGAAATATCCCGATGAGCTCAACTACACCTTCATGCGTGCCTTCAATGCCTTCTTTGGAGCTGTCTGCGTACCATTGGCCTACTACACCGCCCGCGAGATGAACTTCAAGCGTCCAGCCGTTTGGTTTGTTACCCTGATGGTTCTCTGCGAGAATTCGTACACCACCATTAGCAGGTTCATCCTTCTCGATTCTATGCTCCTATGCTTCACTTTCACAACTGTTTTGTGCTGGGCAAAGTTCCACCGGCTTCAGGACCAGCCATTCACTGTCGAGTGGTTCACCTGGCTTATTATGACCGGAATCAGCATTGGACTCGTGGACAGTGTCAAGTGGGTCGGATTTTTCGTCACGGCTATGGTTGGACTTTACACAATCGAGGATTTGTGGAACAAATTCGGTGATGTCAAGATGCCAAAGGTAAATTACATAAAGGGTCAGCGCCGAGTTGTTCTAACAGTAGTCTAGGTTGATCTTGCTACCCATCTTGTAGCTCGAGTGATTGGGTTGATCTTCATCCCAATTGGCATTTACATGCTTTCCTTCGTTCTCCACTTCGCCATTCTCGAGAACAGTGGTCCAGGTGACGCACAGATGAGCTCCTTGTTCCAGGCCAATCTCAGAGGTACTGAGGTCGGAAAGGATAGCCCTCTTGAAATCGCATATGGCTCCAGAGCTACAATCAAGAACATGGGGTATGGTGGTGGTCTTCTCCATTCTCACGTTCAGACCTACCCTGAGGGATCGACTCAACAACAAATCACCTGCTACCACCACAAAGATGCCAACAACGAATGGTGGTTCTACCCAAATCGTGCTCAGCCCGAATATGATGGAGAGGCGCCACCCAAATTCGTGGCTGACGGCGATGTCTTGCGTTTGATCCACTCCCAAACCGGTCGTAACCTGCACTCCCACGAGGTAGCTGCTCCCGTCACCAAGGCCGATAGAGAAGTTTCATGTTATGGCAATACCACTGTTGGTGATGAGAAGGATCACTGGACAATGGAGGTCGTCCGCGATGTTGGTCCCGGTGACAAAACCAAGATCAGAACTTTGACTACCTCTTTCAGACTAAAGCACACCGTTCTTGGGTGCTATCTTCGTGCTGGTAACGTCAACTTGCCACAGTGGGGTTTCAAGCAAATTGAAGTCACTTGCGACAAGGCAAACAATCCCAAGGATGTTTACACGCACTGGAACGTCGAGGCACACTGGAATGACAAACGTAAGTATATATTCCGGTTTGTATTACTCTTTTGGCTAATAATGCATAGTTCCCGCTGCCGATGCTGGAGCATACAAATCTCCCTTCTTCCAGGACTTCATCCATTTGAACGTTGCCATGATGACATCGAACAATGCCTTGGTCCCAGATCCTGACAAGCAAGACGATCTCGCTTCCGCATTCTGGCAGTGGCCAATTCTTAACGTCGGCCTCCGCATGTGTGGTTGGGATGACTCAATCGTGAAGTACTTCTTGCTCGGTAACCCACTCGTATATTGGGGATCAACCGCAGCACTTGGCGGACTCGCCCTGTTGGTCGCCTGGTACCTCGTTAGATGGCAACGAGGCTACACCGAGCTCAAGCAATGGGATATTGACCAGATACACTACGCTGGTCTTTATCCTGTCCTCGGTTGGTTCCTGCATTACATTCCGTTCGTCGGCATGGGCCGTGTCACCTACGTCCATCACTACTACCCTGCCCTTTACTTCGCCATCCTCAATCTTGGCTTCATCGTGGACTGGATGACCAGAAACCAGATCAGAAACATCCAATATATCGTCTACGGTATTTTGTACGCCGCTACCATCGGCCTCTACATCTTCTTCATGCCAATCTGCTGGGGAATGGTGGGACCCAATAAGGAGTACAGCTACATGAAATGGTTTGAAACCTGGAGAGTTACGGACTAAATAACGGCGCTACGACTTTGATCCTTCAGCATGGAGGAGTAGAAAACAGACCACATGGAATGGAGGGAGACTGGGACGATAGAACTGAATGTTGGATGATTTTTTCAACAGTAAGAGAGCAACATGCAAAGCAAGGAACAACGATTCCCAACGACGATTTTCTTCAGATGTGTTATTCATTCAAACTTTTTCATTTGTTCTCGGCGATGTTGTGGGCAAAATTCGGGTACTAGGTATGATGAAATCATGGGTGCACTTATGGTAAAAAGGCGCCATGAGTAGATAAATTCAACTCCTAATCTGTGTACTCTGCGTCACTGTTCACTGCAAGTTCTTATATCTTATGACTAGGCAAGTGCCTCCCACTTGCTACTAGGTACCTACATAAGCAGAGTGGACTACTTCTTCATAGGGAAGTGAGGTCTAAGGCTACAATAATTAAGCACTTTTTTTGACGCTACGTAGCTGGAATCGCTGGAAAGTCAATTTATTTGGACAGCTCTTTTCTATGGGTAATCTCTCCCTTAGTGATCTTTTATCACTTCAGTCACGTCGGCTACTCAGTCTTTTCTCGCCGATGTCAAGTATGCTTAGTGCTGGTTCATTCTCGGTACACCAGAGGTGCTACTGTAACTTCCGCGCCGTCTTCGTCGCTACCAAACTTCTTCTAGGTCTATGGAAAAATGACACCAGGCTCGAATCCAACTGAATATTGATATCTGAATTGAATATTGGCATCTGAACTGAATATCTGTCTCTTGGTCTCTTAGCGCGCTTCGTGGGCATATAATCTCAACACCGTCCTCGTATCTTGAATTTACAACTTTCTCTCCATCACGAACACCAGCATTCAATCATCTTCTCTCAGCTAAAGTAATATTAGCTCTAATTCATACTCAACTATACACCAATATCACTGCTCCTTCGCCTAAAATATCCAGTCCTCTCGTCAACAAAATCTCTACTAGTGTCTATTATCATGACGCTCACCAATAACGAAGCAGGTGCAATGAGAGAGTGGATCCTCGATACATCTGGGAGATGGACTCCCAATCCAGCAGTCAACCGTGTCACCACGGATATGAAGCTGCTCTTGAAGAGTATGGAGAGATTCGATGAAAGCTGGGAGTTCCTTGGACTTGAAACTATTCGTCAACTCTACTATTTCATGTAAGTGCCTGCCCACCATAAAAGTTATTTTTCATCAAGCGCTTTCCCCAAGTGGCTAAAAGACTAACTACGAAATTAGCGGTGAATCTAATGATAGTGTCGAGAGTCCACCACAATTCAACGAAGGCGCATTCCATGTCCCTGACCAAGACCAAGAGAAGGTCATTACCGTGTTAGGCAAGCTCGGTGTCCACCAAGTCAGTCGGGACTTCTCAAGAACTCTCAAGGAATACCGAAAACTTCTAGCATCCACTACCAGGAAACAAATACTACGAAGATTCCGAAAGTCTCCAGCAAAACATGCTCTCCTAGAAGTGTCCAGTGTTCAATTCACTGCCAACAGACTGAACACACAACTATGCTACCTGACTCTCAATTATTTCTCTCGACCGCTTGAGAGATATAGTAAGATTCGGTGGCTCGATATCGTTCGACAAATTCCTGTGGATCGCGTGTCCAGTCTCCCAGTCGAGCTCCGCTTGCAGATCTTGGAAACAATGTCTCTTGCTGCAATGGACAACGCTTTCCGCTCCAGCTTTCAAGATTTGATCCATCTTTACTTGCCGACTATTCAACTCAAGGCAAAACAATGGTGTACGGATCTCTTCTCTCGAAATAACTTTGTCTACGCAGGCTCCAGTGTCATCGACCTAGAAGGCCAAAAACCCTGCGACGTCTATCGCCTCCGATACCCGAATCTACATCCAGAATTACAGCCTCGAAAGTACCACCCTAATCATCAGCCTGATGCCACAGATTCGGTCTGGGATACTGTACAATACCCTCCAAGTTTATCGCATGCAGGCATGATGCTTATGGACGCATTGGAGCAGATTCTCTGGCACAGAAGCCAGCCCACTGATAAAATAAGGAACCGTGACAAGATATGGCGAACAAATGCTCATCCGCGGGCTTTAGCATTCTATCTGGAGCCTTTCATATTCGATGAGCGTTACAACCCCATATCCTCGATCGTGGACCAGGACGTGGAACACCGCGACTCACATCTTCTCATCTACCAAGACGAACTCAATCTCATCCTCAACGACCTCGAGCCATTTCTTCGGCCAGCTTTCTTGAAACACCGGATGACTGCCAAGGATCACGGAAAAGATGAAAGCTTTGCATATATATTCCCATCTCCGGAATATGAGAAGCTTGTCCCTACCAGACCAACTCACCAGACACATAAGTACGGATATTGTCACATGATAATTGGAAACAGAATTTGCAGGGGGTTATGGGGTGTTACGTCTACGAAGGAAATCGAGCAGACTGACTACACTGAAGATGAATGGCGTCGCTGGTGGGACTCTGATAGAGCAAGACAAGAGGCCGAAACAGAGCAGAAGAACGAACGGCAAGACTGCAAAGGAAGTGAGAGTGAGAACTTGAGGCAAGAACTTGAGAAGCCGGAGCAGGGACTCGGAGAAAGATGGAACGAGGATCCACAAATAAATCTTTCTCCTGACCAGCTAGACCTCCAAGGAAGCTAAGAATGTATATAAGCAGGATTTTTATGTGACAAACTTCTGGTTAATGTGTAAATTGACTTTGTAATTATAGGATGCTACACACTCGCCAGTGTTTGTTACTGCCGTATATGCTTTAAATTCATGGTTGTCTCGTTAAATTCCAAGACACCGTGACACCTAAAAGCCATGAACTGCACATAGTGGTGAGCTTCAATCCAGGAAGATCCTAGAATACATCTTCTGTATTACAGGCCAACCTGCCTCGAAGTGCAGATGTTTTGGAAAATTGCCACATCTTCCATTCTTTTGACGGTGATCCAGCAGTAACAGACAAGGACACAGCGCGCCTGACTTCTGCGTCTTAATCACATGAAGATTTTGAGACGAGCCCGAATTGGCATCGAGGCTACGGAATCGCTGATGAATGATACGATAGCGATATCCGTCTAGTACTTTATGCATTGCCATGTGGACGAATCTTGCGAAGCAAAAGGCTGTCAAAACCCCGAGAGCTTGAAGACACCTGGACAACCATTCAGTAGGTATCATGTGCATTTCTCTATAAAACGACTCTAATCTCCACGCCCGGGTATATATATCCGCAACAACAGCCACCAACAATCAACCACAAATCGCCACCTCAAATCTCAGTCTTCTTGAGCTCAGTAGCTAGGGCATCGACATCCCTGTCCTGCTTTTGTGCAACAGGCTCCTCCTGAGCCTCCTCTGCCTCCTTCACAAGTCGCTCTCTCAGCTCATCAGCCTCGGCTTCCTCCTCCTCACTCTCGTCCTCATCCTCGGCGTCGCTATCATCTTCAAGGTCACTGAGACTGTCGAGTCCCCAGTCGTCCTCAACCACTACGTCGCCTGCAAGCTCTTCTTTGCGTGCTTCTAGCAACTCGCGGAGTTTCATGAGTGAGAGATCCTCTTCGGAGAATTTATTGCCGTTTAATTCAATCTTCTTCAGTGCGGGCAGAGCATCCTTAGCTGCTGCTGCGAAAGCTTCAAGACCCTTAGCAGTGATGTCGTTGTATTGTAGTCTCAACAGCTCGAGCTTCTTATTCTGGCCCTTTCCAAGAGCATTGGCGAATAGAACCCCTCCTTTAGCTCCCAGCAAAGAATCTCCAATTCCAAGTTCCTGAACGTCAGTCCAGCCCGGAGCAACACTTGCCAAAGCCTTGGCACCAAGAATCGTGAAGGTGTTGTCCTGCAGATCCAGAACCTTGATACCCTTCGCATGTCGGAGTCCCTCTGTGAGAAGATGCGAGATCCCCTCCTGGCGGATACCGTTCTGTACCATCTTGACCTCCTTGACACCAGTGTGCAGACTGTATGCTTTCGCCCAAGCAGTCATACTTCCATTTTCTAGGCGGTTACGACCACAAATGACGGTCTCAAGGTGAGGCACTTCCTTGCCTGCTTTCCTGGCCTCTTCTTTCTTTGTGTGGAGAGCGCTAAGTGCGTCTGCGATCAAGACGCCAGCGTGGGGACCGAGTCCATTATTATTGAGGATGAGATGCTGGAGCGGGACATGCGAAGAGAGAAAGGCGACGAGGGGGGCTTGGGTGTTCAGGCCAAAGGCGTTGTCGTTGAGATTGATGGTGTGGAGTTTTGGGAGAGTAAGGAGGGCCTCAAGGAGGGAGGAGAGGGCTTGGGGGATCTCGTTAAGAAGACGGCCAGTAAATATATCTGCCAGATTGGCGATCTGGTGAATGTATTAGCATTTAAGCATTGTACTTTTCGGTGTTTAAAATATTACCTGTAGGTTCTTCTTTGTCTGCAATACCTCTCCTAGGACTTTACACGCCTCTACGCCCAAGGTGTTACCCTGAAATCGGACCTCCTCGACATCATTGTCTCGCAAGGGCTTGATGTGTGACTCGACATCCGCCGCAGTATCCAGCTTCAGTCCCTTCCCCTCGAGCGAAAATAGCTTCGTATTTGTTGCCATACTTGCAAGGTACTAGCGGAAAGTTGCTTGGAGATTGTTCGGTAAATATTGACTCTTTGTAGTTTGCCAGCAAAGAAGTTTGTTGTTGCTTCGTGGGGTTAGTGGGGTCTAAATCAATAAAGCTAAGGTAACGACGGGCCGCCACCTTCGTCTAAATCTCGGCTCGGAATGGAAGAATGAGTGCCCGCTGTATTTCCTGATCGCGAAATACCATGAGCCGGTTTATTACAAATTCACCAGCACTCCTTTCTGCGCAACACCGCTGTCTGAATGTACTTCCACGAAGCTTTTCAAGGAGCAGACATCTCACACAAAATGGCATCCAAATCAATCTCAATGCGCAAGTTTCCCCGTTGTCTTTCGCAGTCGGATTTTGTCTAATAAGTTCTTACAGCAACCGCCACTAGCGGAAACCTTGGAACGGACTTGAAGACTTCCACCGAAACTTCGAAACCCAAGGTACGTTACCGCATCACCAAATAAGGCATATTGCAGTATGTTGACGCATCGACATAGCCATGCTGCGTGTGTAAGGAGGAGAAGGCTACTCGCGACGAGTGTATGCTGTTCAGCAACGCGAAGGATCCCCAGAAAGATTGCGCCTCCACGATCGACAAGTACAAGAGTTGTATGGCGGGCTTTGGATTCCAACTTCCTTAAGGGACTCACCAATGTATAATAGAGACGAGGGAGTCAGGTTATGTTGTACAGTACTGGGATTTCAAAAGCGGCATTGCCGGGGCGCATGGGAAGGGTCGTGGTGTTAATAGGATGATTGGGATGTAACAAAATCACAACTCCAGTAATGTCAATTGGCAAGATTAGACGTTTGCAAACAGTATCCTTCGTTTGACTCGTGCAAGAAAAAAAAGTTCTGCTGGATATGGACCAAATGGATATTATACATCATTGCCTGACAAAGAGTCCGATATCTCCTCAAAGTTATGCGCTTCTGCTTCCCAAACGCCTCAAATGAAATGCAACATGGGAACAGGGCTGTTATAGTCCAGCAAGGACACTTTGTATCCCTACAGTTCCCGAATCATCTCGCTTCACAATGAAAGCTCTGAAGTCAGTTTTCTGCAACTTCTTTGACGCACCACCAGGCGCGAAATTCCTAGACCGTTCACGCAAAGCCTCTGGTCCAATAATGAACAAGTTTCCAATCTCGCTCAACACCTCGACACTTCCTTCGGCCTCTTTGGTCAACGGCCAATCCTTAAGAGTCGATACGTATTTCGAAATGTCTTTCGTGACCATCAGAGCTCCGGTTGCGTTGACCTGGAACTTCTTGAAATGCTCAAATAGCAAATCTCGTACGTTCAAGGCGAGCTCACAACTGAATACTTCCAAGTTCTGACCGTCGATGGCTTGAGCTGCGAAGGTAGCGACTCGGTCGAGGAAGCTGCATATCGATTGGCATGTGGCTGATTGCAGCATTTCCAAATACCGGCCCCCGTCGAGTTCACTGTCCTTAGGTCTGAAATCCATCTTCTTTTGATTGGCAAGTAGCTTGGTCACCCAGTTCAGGACCACTGTTACCGTACTTCTGATGATGTTGTTGGTTTTGGATTCAATCCGCTCAACCCCTGCTTTTGTTTGGATCTCCATACCTCTCCTGACTGTCGTATTTGACTCTGCAAGGCGAATCAATACTGTATTGATAAAACGCGACATAATATTTGTAATCGTGATTGCTGGCTGCAAAGACGGAAGATAGGCAATGTCAGGCTCTGTTTTGGTCGTTTCTTGTGCAGTTGCTTGATCTGCTGCAGCGTCGAGAGCGGTTTCGACGTATACTTGTCCCATACTCGTCAAAAGCAGATTCAGCAGTGCTGACACATCCTTGGGGGTATCACTACCACTGCCCAGCTCCAGAGCCCTACGGACACCTTCAGCTAACCATTTCAACATTCGCTTGGCATTTGGAATGCTCAAAATTCCGTCTTCATCTGTGACTTCGATCTCGTTCTTGTTCTTGTCTGTGTCTCGGAGCCCAGCAACTCTCAACATCATTGCTTTCTGAGTCGGTGTCAATTCCGAAGAATCTAGTCGATTGATGTATGAATCCTTGGCAGAGGATAACAGCTGTGTGCCCTGTTGGGCAAGCGAAGCCATAAATCCGGTAGGAACCTTCTTCCTCCGAGAGTGGTAGATTGTGTACTTGAAGAGAAGTGAGGAGTACAACTCCTCTAAACTCTTCCGTTCTCTGTCAATATAGGAATTCCCTACGAGATATGGGACGAATAGCTCGTCTAATTGTTGATCCAGGCTGAGAGCTGTTTGGGCTGAGCAGGCATCGGGATGCTCTGTCAGTCCATGGGCCTTTAAATCCTCAATGAGATTGTTGATGTAACTTCTTGATGCATGCAGTGACCGTAAAAATGCCAAAGAAGATATCGTGTCCGCCTTTTCCAGAACCATTTCGAGCCTTTGCTGGATGGACTGCTGAAATATCCTTTGGATAAACTTGATCAGAACTACCTCGTAGTAAGGAAATGCTCGCTTGATGATGAATGATTCATCCTGCATGACGATTCTGATCTCGTCAATCAATGACTGAAGACTTGGTTCCACGCCTGGAGGATCGGAATCCGGATCCGCAAGCTTCTCCCACGTTTCATTATCAGTCGTCACTTCGTCTGTGATCAACTGGCTCCTGTCAATAAAGAACTGATGCTGATTGACAAACAGTGCAACAACACTCGAACCGCCATTGAAATCGTGAAGAACCTTAGCACATTCCAGCATATCATCGAAATTCTGCCTCCGATAGCTGTCGTCGAACTGCTTCAGCAAATCCTTCTCCAATGTTTCCGAGAACTTCTCTATTATCTCCCTCGTATTATGGCCTCTATATCCGACGACCCCATTGGAGATGCCATTGACTTTCTTGGCCCCATTTGTCTGTGCCCAAGATGCTGGGTCTAGCCTTTGGCTCATCCTCATCAGTTGCCTGGCAATGACCGCTGACCGTACTTTATTCTCTCCACTGCCTTGTCTCCGTATCATGTCCTCCAGCGACGTGAGTTGCCCATTCTCACTTACTTCCAGCCAGCACTGTATCAAGAATGTTGCGTCCAGCGCCCTCCTCCTCTGCTTGTCCAGGTCCTCGAGGCGTTCTCCTATTTGTACCGCAACATTGCCTCCTCCGTCTGGCCGTCCGTTGCGATCATTTCCATTGGCACTGCTGGATCCATTCAGAGAGGAGTCAAGAGTTTCAAATGAATCTATAGACTGGTCCAGTTTCCTCCCTAATGTCTCCAGTGTCTGGTCATGTTGTATCTCAGCGCGTCGTACAGAAGTTAGAAGGTCCGTCTCTTTCTCTCCCAGCTCGTCCGATAAACTCGCAAGTTGTGATAAGGCATCTACCCAAATTAGCATATCCCCTGTCGCTCATGGGTATTGTACATGCTCTCGAATGTCCTGATTAGTGGTTTCGAATCGAATGCCTGATGCGCAGGTCCAGACCGCCGGTTGACGGGAACAGCACTCTCAGCTAGATCCTCGATAAAATCCCTGACAATGAAGTCCTTGTTCGAGAAGTTCTCGAGTGTGAAGCTGGGTCCTTTGGGGAAGATGGACCTCGTGCTTCCCCCACCAACGCTGTTAAGGGACGACATTGATGGACTGATTGACTGTAAACTCTTGAGAGCTGCAAATGGCGTTGTGCTACATTGAGACCTGCGATATACCCTAGCTCGGTCGAAATCTGGATGTGCGTTCTTGGTGAATTTGCGCGTTCTTGCGTAACGGTGTTGTTTCTGAAGTACCAGCGGAACTGAAGCCGCGATGTCAAGCTCCCTGGCCAAGAAGCGTGGCCTTGCCGAGCTGCTGCAGCCTTCTGTCAACTCCTCTACTTGTTCTCGTTCTCAAACAACACAACAGCACAGCACTTAATCTCAAAGTACAAAATAACAACTCCTCATCCTAATGATGCAATCTCATGGTCACATAGGAGGTCGAGATCTTATTTTTGAAAGTTCGGTAACATTCTTTCTTAACCTGGTTAGAACAGGTACAAGCTCATCACATCAAGCTCATTTGCCTGCCAAATCAATCTATTGCTTCCAAGGCTTCATCTCTCTCGATCTTTCATCCCATTTGTATACGATACCCGTTCCTACATTGTAGTTGTAGTAGTTCTCTGTACCAGCTCGTACCATAGCCTTTCTGAACGTAATGTTTATCCTTCCTCCATCTTCAGCGTTCTTTCCTGTTCTTTTTGGGATCGAATGGAGCCAATCTGTTTTCAAGTCAGCCATTGTCAAATTTCTTGCCATGGAACAAGTTGTTCAATCCCATCCAGATCAATTCAGGGTTTCTCAGGAGGAAACAACATGAGAGTAAAACTTACTCGCTTGAGTCCTTCCCTTCATCAGAATCATATCTCCACTGGCAAGAGGCAGCTTGATTGGTTTTGTTTCTGGCGGTTTTGATGCATTGTCGTTTGGCGCGATTGGCTTATGCTTCATGAGAAAGTCCCTCTTGGCACCTAGTGAGAATGAAGCAATAGCTGGCAGAGGTCCAAGAAATTTCTCATCATCCGAATGGTACGATATGCTGTCCGATCCGGAAGCGTAGTAGTTGACCAGACAGAAGTTGAATGTGCATCCTGTTGCGGCTTCTGTTGAAAGGCGGAGATCATCCAGACATTTGGGTATTGGACGCGGTGCGTATTTGGTGTAGTTCTTGTCCTTGAGAACTGGTTGCGCTGATTTGGCGTCTATCACATGGCCATCTGGAGAGAATCTGGAGGTTTCGTCTAAGCCAAAGACTGTTGTGTATCTATCATTGTCAATGCTTGACCTGTTCAAATTTCTTCGAGTCATACCTTGGGGTGTTTATCTCAGTTTCTATGCCTCCCCGCTTGATTTTGTACTGAACTCTATAGAATGGTAACTCCGAACGAAGAAATTGGAAGATTTGCCGCTCAAGATACTGAGGGATATAAGGCTGAAAGTAGAGCAAGTCAAGATCTGGTTGGTCGTTTATTGCTTTCCCAATCGTGGATGGGAAGGATATGATATTCTTGATGATATGTGACTGGAAGTGAGGTATTGGAAATGGATATGTTGGATGGGTAGAGTATTCCACCTCATTTCCGTTAGGATTTTATTCTTTACAACAACAATGGGTTAACTTACTTGCTCTTGCACGTCTGGATCTCGACTTTCTTTCGAAGGCTCGGTATCTGAGACCTTGACTTTCTTTGCAGGAGGCTTAAAGAACGCGTCAAGAGTACGCTTTTTCGTAGATTCGGCCATTTCTAACACTTCTGGGCATTGTTTCCTTTCAAAACGCGTCAAGACTCTAGATACTCCCGAGTAAGACCTCTAGCCTCGTCAATAGATGACATCACGAGATCCTAGGGTCCAAGCGGGCTGGTAGCCTCGCCTTAGCGCACAGCCTCGTCCCAAAATCACAAAAATTACTGGCTTCCAACCCAAACTCCAAACTTCTACAACTCGCCCAATATCGCTATGAAGCCATGGAGGTTTGTTTGAACCCCTCTCTCCGTGAAAATTTGACTAACGAAAACTCTAAAGGACGCAAAAATAGCAGCCTCTCTCGACGCCATGTCCCTTTTCCGACCCCCTATCGTCCGCTCGGCGAGCGCAGCTCTCGACCGAGCGCTCTTCTCCAAGACGATCCCTATTGCTGCCGCGCGAGTTCCGAATCTAAAGAATTTGACGAAATATCGCCAGCAGTTGGACAAGAGCAAAGAGTTAATCCAGCTCGAAAGGGTTATGAATGTACGACCTGATCCGGATCCAGTTTTGGCGGAGAAGGGTGGGAAGTGCTTGCTTTTGAAGCCGGAGGTTAAGCCTGAAGGTATGTATGATGCCGATACTTTTTTTTGGAAGGTTCACTGATTCAGAATAGATCCTAATACATGGAGTTCTAGTTTGAAGGAAGCTGTGAACGGAGAGGATCTAGGAGTCATACCATATGATTTGAAGCTGGACTACAATTATTGGACATATCGTACGTACGTGAGCGATTGCAAGAGGTATCAGTGTGTCGGACTGACTGCTGCCAGATGATGTTATGACATCTATACTTCCCGAAGATGCTCAAGGAGAAATTCCTGTTGGATTCGCAATCGTTGGACATATTGGTACGGAGGCTCCCTACGAATACTGCATGCATGTCACTAACTCCATACAGCACATCTAAATTTACGAGATGAATACCTTCCATATAAGAAAATCATCGCCGAAGTCTTGGTAGACAAAAACCCCACAATTCGCACCGTAATAAACAAAGTCGACGACGTTGGCACACACTCCGAGTTTCGTACTTTCGCATACGAAGTGCTCGCCGGCCCAGACGACATGGAAGTTGAGATGAGCGAAGGAGACTGCATATTCAAATTTAACTATTCGCAAGTGTACTGGAATAGCAGACTGCAAACCGAGCATAAGCGACTAGTAGATTCTTTCCAACCAGGAGAAGTGGTCTGTGATGTTATGGCTGGAGTTGGGCCATTTGCTATTCCAGCTGGGAAGAAAGGTGTTTTTGTTTGGGCAAATGATCTGAATCCGGCAAGTTATGAGGCTATGAAGGCGGCAGTTGTGAGGAATAAGGTCAGTCGAGCCCCTTTTTTCATCTTTTTGCTCTTTCTCGCTTGGCTCCATTTTATTTGTTTACATGATGATTCATATCACGACGGTCAACATAGCCACACGTTGGTATTGATGAGACTGCCTTTGACAAGGCGCTATATTCTGATAATAAACACTCGCGCCACCTGCTCTCACATATACACATCCATCAACTTACCATTCTCCAGTGTCATGAAAACTAACAATCCAACCCCACAGGTCCAACCCTTCGTCCGCCCCTTCTGTGCCGACGGCTACAAATTCATCTACACCTGCGCGGATGATCTCCTAAACCTCACAGCCACCTCTCAAAACACCATCAGCATCCCCTCCAAAACCCGACGCTCCCGCTCCGCACCACTCATCCCACCCCCTTCACCCACCATTCTCACCATCCCCCAAACAATCTCTCATTTCGTCATGAACCTCCCCGCCACAGCAATCGATTTCGTCGGATCTTTCAACGGGTTATACAATGGTCACGAGAAGCTTTTTGAGCCGCATACGGAAGTGAGGTTGCCGATGGTGCATGTCCATTGTTTTTCGACCAAGAGCGAGGATAATGTTAAGGAGGGGAAGGAGATTTGTGAGAGGATTAGTGGGGTGCTTGGGTGGGTTGTTAAGCCTGAGGAGAAGAAGGAGGAGGAGAAGAAGAAGGGTGAGGAGGGGAAGGGGATGGAGAAGGGAAAGGGGAAGGATGAAGGGAAGGAGAAGAAGAGTGAGAGCTATGAGGGGTTGCAGGATGGGGAGGTGAGGATCGTGGAGGTTAGGGATGTGGCGCCGAAGAAGAGGATGTTTTGTGCGAGTTTTAGGATTCCGAGGGAGGTGGCGTTTAGGGAGAGGAAGGTCGTTTAGAGGCTTGGCTTGAGCTTTACGTAGACAAACACTGGATAGCGATATCCTGGATCCAAAGATCTGGATACAAAAACCTTCGAGAATGAAGACCCTGATTCACGAATACTACCAGAAACTCGCTAGAGCAAGTGAATAGACATAAAATACTTGCCATTACTTGCATCTATCACTTTAGGGAGCAATTCCTACAGATGACAATCCCCCTCCAATACACTTCACACCTTACACACAACCCAAATCCTCAAATCCTCGCGCAAGCAGTAGGTACAAAAGCTGACCTCTCTCTCGCCCAAGCAATCCTCTCTTCAAAGCAAAAGACCTAAACTCTATCAATTATCACCTACGTCCAAAACAGGGCGAGCTCTCTCAAACAAGAAATGATAATAGTACTAACCACCAAAGTCTCCCTCCATCCGCTCAACCAAATAATAATAATAATAATATAATAATAATAACATCCAAGTTTCCACTAATGCAATCTCAGCAAATTCCTAAAAGAGAGCTAGCTATAGCTAGAGCGAAGAAGAAGAAGAAGAAGAAGTGAGAATTGGGGTTTTGTTTTGTTTTGTTTTGTTTTGTTCGACGATCGATAAGCATAAGGTAAGTTATGTAGTAGCTATAGGAGAGGAGGTAAGCGGCAAAAAAAGAGAGGTAGTGACACTTGACAATGAAAGAGTGAGAATGAGAATGATGATTGCGTACATGAGGTGGATATGGATATAGATAAGAAAGAAAGAAAGAGATGGTAGAGGAAGGGGGCTGGTTGGCTGGCTCTTTTGATGGTGATTCTACCGGCTGCTGGTATGGATGGTGATTTGCTTGCTGGCAAGTTTCTTGTCTTGTCTCGTCACGTAGCTTAGTGAATGACGTGGAAAATATGCTTGAGGAGGGAGAAGTGAGGAGTGAGGAAGTGAGGATGGGGTGAGTGGCTATGTATGGATACAAAGGAATGATTTTGGGCGCGCGTGGGTCTTGGGGTCTTGTGGTATAGAATATCTTTGGAGTTTGGTGGGAGGGTAGATGGGATGTTTTTATGCTTTTAGGAGTTATGTTCGGTTTGGTGGTCATGACGAGGGAGTGTCTATGCGAGATGGTGATTAGAGCCATACATCTACGACTGTGAATTCAATTCCTAAAAGGTGTCTGACATTCATCATTAAGACTGATAGAATGCAGCTGAAAGCAATGAAGTCCTCTCTATCAAATAATACCTACTGGAGTATGTGATATTTGAATTCGAGTGATATCAATGCTTTAAAGCTCTGGCAAAGTGATGTTGGCCATGATAACAGAGCATTGTCCGCGCTCTTTTTGCTGTTCAAAACAACATCCAATGAAAAAACGAATGAACTAGTGGTGAAAGTAAACACTACCGATACCCATTTAGCTGTCTGGCGGTCTGGCGGTCTGTCCTCCTAGCCTGCCAGCTTTCTCATCTCCTCACTTTCCATCTTCCCTCCCACTCCCGCGGTAAAGCATATTGCAGATTTCAAGTCTTGGTCTAATCACAACTCCTGCCTTAGCTCTTCGAAAAATTCAAATAGAGTTCAAGCCTTCAAATCGGACCGAACCGAACCTTCGCTGGCCTCATCACGTTTGATCTGGTCCGGTCTGATCTCAAAGCCACATTGCATATCTTCACCTCCACGATGAAGCCATATGATCTTTAGCTAATGGCGGCTCGATGCTGGGACAGCTGATCAGGCAGGAAGGACTGGTAGATCAAGAGGAAGAAGCAAATCAACGCAGCAATACTCGCCATGACAATCCGAGGTCATACAATGACTCCACTGTGGAACAAGGACTAGACATAGTCTCTTCTCCTCCTCGTTTCGGTGTTTTGTTCCTGCCAATACAGGTAATTCCCGCGAGGCTACCGTTGGAGGCTGGGGCTACATGACCAAAAAAAAGAGGACAGAGACACGATATTGTGGATGATGCACGCTCGAGCCTTGATTCAAGTCCGCATACAATAGCAAGTGTCTTGGATGCTGCAGGAGGGAGTATTGGTCTGGACGTTGTTGGACTGGATTGGGTGAATGCAACATGTGATATCGAAACGGCAATGATATCAAAACACAGATGCGCTGAGGCGGGACTTCCCCTCTTCAAACTTAATGTGGAATAGCCGAAGCATTGCTTTCGGGAGTGAGGTAGTGGTTCGCAGGTCCCCTCACCCGATGTTGAACATCGGACGAATTGCCAAATCACCGTTGAGAGAGTACTTCTCGGAGAGATGATTGGTAATGCATATCGGTGGATCTTTGTATCGAGACCTTGCTTGAGGCTTGCATCGGTCCTTAACTCTTTGGGTGGACGTCAGTCAATAGGTAGCTGATACTTTAAACTAGACCAAACGATAATAGAGAGCGTGATGTCGCATCCACCTCGTGATTGTCAATTGTCCTATGGTCCACGATGCAGCTGTCAGGAGTGGCGGACGCATGACATCAAGAACACCGCTCCACTCCATCCAAGCTCCAAGCTCGCACCGTTCTCCGAACCAAATAAAACTCCCCGAGTGAACCGTCAGCTCGTGCGGAGTAATTCTCGAAGACAGCAAGGGAGGAATAGTCAAATTAAGCGCCAGGCACACGAAACCCATCCATAGTCAGCACGCACCATCACACCCACCACGGCGCGTCTGCGTAGGAATAGGCGCCGAATGAGAGTGCAGAAGTGCTACTTCGTGCGTCTCATTGGCTGGGTGGGAACGTGTGCTAGAAGTCGGGATGCAGTTTCAGGAAATTGATGATGACGATTGTGGAGAGAAAAAGGAAGTGATTGAGGTGTGAGGCTTGCCTGATGGTTTTCTTGATGGGGTTTCATCTTTCGGGGGTGTTTTGTTCTGGGGAGTGAGTCTATGATGAGCAGCTTGGTGAGAGTCCCCGTTTGCCCGATCTCCTGCCCGTTCAGGTGTGAACTTTGAAGGTCTGAGGCGTTGAAGAAACATGAAAAGCAAATATTTGTAGCGCAAAGAGGTTGATAGAGTAAACTCTGGCTAGATGTACCACGCCCATTCTGATGCAACAAGGATGGGAACTTTGGACAGGACCGAAAGGAATCGGCGGACGTGTAATCATCATGTATAAGAAATATCATATAACGTGAGCATGATAATGTCAATACGGTGCCGACTGGAGACACTGCCTCCGAGCATATATTACTGCCAGTAACTTCCAGCAAGCAGATTTGGAAACGAGAGGCGAAGTGCTCACTGGTAGCCTGGCAATAAGACTAGAGCTGGCCTTGCAGAACTAAGAGGTCGTCGTCAACCATTCAATGCACTCACCACTGTACCCCATCTAGTGGAGATTACATCGTTCCTTTCTGTGATCAGGCTGATGTCGCTTGCATGTTGATCTCAAGATCTCCATCGGAGGGGCCGGAGGTCGTCAAAATTGGCCATTGGCCTCCCAGGGTTTCTCCTTCCTCGCCTTGTCCGTATCCCCTCAGGCTCCGTGCCTCAGCAGTGAGCAGGCTGCAGGAGTGAGCACTGAGCACATGTCTGTGCTGGCTGTCTGCTCGGTGCTGACGGAGTCTCGGGAGTCATCATTGTTGGCATGGAACAAGGTTCCAGCGGCCAGACATTATCCCTGCTCAAATCCAAAACGGGGAACACGGCTGAGGAGGAATGGAGGCCAGGAGCAGGGCATGAGATGCACGTGCTCGGACAAAAATGGCGCATTGCAGTGCCTCATCCAGTCTGCAGGTATCGATTGGAGGCAAAATGGAATGCCCGCAACCAGTCAGAAAATTCAGCTGCAGGTCTCCTGAGGTCTCCTGCTACAACTAACCAACCAGGTTAGGTATCCAGGCCGAATTATTCTATTGATCCGCCTCATGTTTTATTGCCTTGTAGAAGTTCCATTTATGGGCACTCGGTTAACCTTAGAGCCTCACATATCAAAGAGACAGAGAACGAGTTTGGAAGAAAGAAACAGAAGTGCATCACTCACTCACTCACTCACTTGCCCGACAAACATAAATTACCTTAAGACTTTGAGGAGCAGGCTGTCGGAATAGACCCAGACCCAGACCCAGCAGCCAGCCCAGCCAGAGTCCCGTCTGATTCAAATCTGGATCCCGTACACCGCTCAATTCCTCTACCTACTGTACTCTGACGGATCTCTTCCCGTGGACGTTGCGTTGACAAAGGCGTCGGGCTGTTTCTCGCCTCACTCCCTCACCGTTACTTTGCCTTTGCCCACAGCACTTAGTAGTACTGTAGTACAGACTACGACTGACAGTGCGAGAGAGGGAGCGATATCGTCATCATCGGCCAGCCAGCCAGCAGCACCAGCCATCTTCAAGAGCCTTTTGCACTTCCCAGCCACCGCCGGCCGCACTTCACTGCGACCACCCCCGCTCCGGCGAAAACTCTGCCCTGGGAATACGGAGAGGTGCAGCCGCATCACATCACACACATCACATTCCCTTCCATTACTTACCTATTCCATTCCATTCCTTGCCCGACGGGGGATGAGAAGGAGATCACGCGTGAAGCACGAGACGACCACAAACACCACCTGATCGTGATACAGCATCTGTAACAGCTGCTGAACGACACCTGAACGTGAACGTGAACGTGAACGTGCTCAAGCTCTCAAGCAGCAAGCTCCGAAGCTCTCTTGAAGCTTTCTCTTCTCCAGACTGGATCGCTACAGCAGCTGGCTTGAGCTTAGGGCGATCCCCTCCGGAAGTCCAATCAGTTCTCTTCCCAGCTCGCCAGCCCAGCCTAGCCTAGCCCAGCCCAGCCGGGGCCAGCACTGACAGCTGCCTGCGTGCCGCACCACCACCACCACCACCACCAAGGCGGCCAGCCAAGCCCAGGATCTTTTGGATTCCGCTGATAGCTTCACACCTGCTGCTGGGCCTCGCTTACCTGCTTCCCTTTCCCTTTCCCTTTCCCTTTCCCTTTCCTCTGCACCTTCGGCCACACTCTCTCCCTTGAACCGTTCATCCTTGTTCGAGGCTGTCTGGAGCAGTTTCTTTCTCCTCACGCTCCGCTGTGCCAGCTCTGCCCGCATCGAGGCCGAACACACACTTTCTAACCTGCGCTCCTCCGAAGTGACACCTCACCGTCCACACCACACCACACCACACCACTTTCGTTTTCTTACTGCATCCACACCCGGCGCGTTTCAAAATCCGCAGAGAGTGAGAAAGCGGGCGAGGTTAAGCTCGGTAAGAAAGAAGCAAGACAAGGCAAGGAAAGGAAGGACAGGGCAGGGCAGATACGACCAGGCTGGGTGGTTGGTCAAGCTTATTAACACGCGCATCCACTCCTGCCAATCCTCCTCGAGTTCCCAAGTTCCCAAGTTCCCAAGTTCCCCAACCCACCCTTAGCGTGGCACAGGCTCATTCCCTCTTTTCTCCCACCCGACCACTCATATCTTCTCGCTCCCTCCTTCAACTCCATAGAACCAATCACCAACGCCATCAATTGCAACCGCAACTGCTGCGTTAAAGGCCCCAACCAGCGACAACCATCAGTCGCGCGAACCCAGTCCAGTGAACGAGGGAACAGACGAACGAGTCAACGAACAAACCAGCTTTCGGGAAAATAGTAGACTACATCCAGCGCGCAACACGACAGGACGAGAGCCATTTCCATCAACCTGGGTCCTAGGTAGGCTCGACAGCACGATACCCCATTCTGTCGCAAGCTGTGCCTGTGCCTGTGCCTGTGCCCTTGTCGGCTTGTACCTATCTACCTACCAGAGCGACCAGACCTGTCTTTGAGGGCTTGCTTGAACTGCCCCCCAGAACACAGCCAATCCCAACCATCATACAGATCCTCCCTCATCACCGGAGCCCTATCAACATCGCGAAAAGCTTCATCACGACCACATTGGTCCTCGTCGCCATCAGGTGATTGTTCGGCCCTGCGGTAAGGATTATAGCTGTGATCCAGACAGAGTCACTGGATTCCTTCGTCGTCGCGTATTGGAGGTACGTCTTGTCCCTGGCGCTGCGGCGGAGATTTAATTCAACGTTGAAGCTCGCCCACAGCGCGGTTACGCGTTGCGCCATTTGCATCTGCTTTAAGCCTCGAGCCTCGAGACGAATTGAACTGACGCTGGCGCCATAGGAACTCGAGAGCACTTGCTCACTAGGATCAACCTGTTATTGCGCTCCGCCAACAGTCATTGACCCAGCTGCTCCGGCGCATCGCACATCAAACTCTGTATCTTCCCCACCACCCACAGGCACGGCGTGTCTCTCGACCTCAGTGCGTCACGTCGCAAAGAAGCTTCAACGCAACCTGCGCATTCCTGATCAGCTCTCAGCTCATTTAGGATTACTGTCATCGGTCTCCCGCCACCGTCGACAAATATAGGTTATTGCGGGTGAAGCTGATTGACAAGGTAAGCCTAGTTTTGCATGCCGGTATGCATGGCCAACGCATCACACTGGTCAAGGCAAAAGTCGACACAGGCCCCAACTTTTCCACCTCCCAATCGCTCTTCATGCTTGTTCCACTGCTGGCCAAACATTGTAACTGATTCTTGTGGTTGGGTAGACATTGCGAAACCGTTGTTAATACTGGGGAAGAAGCCGCCCTGTTACTCCAGTGGCTCGTGAGATTTACCTAGGGTCGGACCGTCCGTGAAGCTCTCTTCACCACAGTTCCTCGAATAGCCTCAAAGCCCAACACCGCCTCATCTACCTCACGTGGAAGCTCAGACTGAGCCTGATCCGCAAGCCTTACATCCCGCTAGAACGCCTCCGACTACATCAGCTTGCATATGTTGTGCTGCGGCCAATTGCGGTGTACACCTACCACATCGCCTGCCAGCACATCCACGCATATCAAAACCAGAAGAAGGCTTATTCACTAGGTGGAAGTCGTCGACCTCGAGTTCTTTGACAACACTTACCAACGCGCTCGTACAATCTGCGCAATTTCAAAATCATCTGAAAGGTCCAGCAACACATTTGCGAACTGAACAAGACTGGATCCAAAACCACATTGAAACTGCGACTTCTGCCTGCTCGATCATCTGCGATTCTATCCATAATACTTGACGCGACTTGTCACGTCAGATACCCAATACACCGAAGTCTCTCCTAGAAGAATATCTAGGAGCTCACAATACAAATGATGGAGTACGCGCATTACCAGCAGCCGGCGCAAGGCCAACACGGTCATGGTCAGGGGCACATTCAAGCTGGATATCCGAATTCGGGCCAACATCCAGGATCTGGAGCATCTATTACCTCACCATCGCAGCAACCAATTCATCCAAATCACGCAGTACATAACCAGACGTCGCCAATTCTCTCCTCACAGCCCCAACAAGCTGGTCAGAATGCAGGACACGCTATAAATCAGCAGCTCCAGTACCAGCCCACCTACTCGGTCCCTCAAGCCGGGATGCATTATGGCATGGCAGGCATCACACCTCAAAATGCCGCAATGGCTGCCACAGCCGCGGCCGCCGGTCAAGCAGCATATCCATACGCGATGCCCGACGCTGGTCTACAAACATCACCACGAATGGGCGGGAATCCACCTGTGAAGCAAGAAGTATCGCGCCGATCGCCAAAGCAGATGAATAATCAGCTCGTTCATAATCAACAGCCTCGAAGAATGAGCAATCAGGTTGGAGAAAGCCCAGCTATTGCGAATTCTCAGCCTACCATCATCCACGGACCAAACCGGCCTTCTGTACCCGCAATGCCTACAAATCAACATCCACAATCTCCTGAACTGGTTTCCGGAGCTGTTGAGGAATCGCCTCTTTATGTCAATGCTAAGCAGTTCCACCGCATCCTGAAGCGTCGCGTAGCAAGACAGAGGCTTGAAGAAGCTCTGCGCCTGACCTCGAAAGGACGGAAACCTTATTTGCATGAATCCAGACATAATCATGCAATGAGAAGACCTCGAGGTCCGGGTGGTCGGTTCTTGACAGCAGACGAGGTTGCTGAGATTGAGCGAACCAAAGGTGATGGAGGAGAGGATGACAAGCCACTAGAAACGCCTGCAAAGGGTGCTCAGAACAGTGGTGGAGGCTCAGGAACAAAGAGAAAGGCGGAATCAGATAACGCCACTCCCAGCAAGAAGACCAAACTCAACGCTCGCAGTAGCGCTGAAGAAGACGATGAAGAAGAGGACGACGCGGATGACGATGGTTGATCGTCTCGCTTAACCCAAACTTCTCCCATCAACAAAAACATCTCCTTTGTTACACTCCTTTGTCTGTTTTACGATGACATGATAGCGTTTGTTTTCTGCGCGTCTTTTAAATTCACTTCATAAGCGATCTGGGACTCGCTTCCAGACTTCCAAACTTTGGATACGACGGACATATACCATGGGAAAGGTGGTTGGGGGAGTTTGCTTAGGCTGGTGGCATTGCCTTGGGTCGTGGATCGGGTTGCATAAAGGCGGTTGAGGGGTCTCAACAGGAACACTCGTTTTGCATCATTTGCTGCTCTCTTTGTCGCTCGCTAGAGAACTAGAATACCCCCCTTTGTCAAGTTGCATTTTTTTCACCTTCTTTCCCTTTTTGCACTGTTGATACATTCTCTTCTCTATTATGTTGCACGGCGACTCTTTTCTCATGTCGGATCCATTACGGTTGACAGCTTGAGAGCGTCGCCTGTGACAATATCTTGCAACTTTGGCTTCTGCTTTTCGAAGGGATATGAATCGGTTGGAATGGGATGGAATAGAAACTTGGCACACTCACGTGAACTCAAAAACAGAAGAATGGACAGCGCAACAGGGCTACTTGTTTGCTCGCTGACACTGGGAGCGACTATGGAAATTGGACTTGGCACTCTTGATGAATTTTTTTCTTTTGCTCTGCTTTTCTCCTTTGTGTTTGGAATTTTGGAGGAGGGAGGGAAGGAAGGACATGAGATGCTGTGATTCTTGTGTCCTGTATCATATTTTCTCTGGGATGGAGGGGAGTGGAGGGAGATATCACAAGTAACAGAATGGAAATTTGTCAATAGACCACTTGACTTGATATGACTCGATTGAGTCTGTGACATATCATATATGTTCGTACTTTCCTGATGAGAAACTTGCAACATCCACTTGCTATTCAATATGAACAAGTACAGCTCCAAACTGGCACCAATCAGCCACGGTCAATAAATACTATCCCCCGGGTGCCCACGAGTCAAATCCCAGCACGCATCTGGGATCTAAACTGAATTATGCAAATCTCCAATGCCTGAGTATAAAAAACACTCTTCATTGCCCTCTATAAGCAAGCCAAATAAACAAATGAATAAATACAGCCAGCCTTGTGGTCTTCACAACTCAGATGAAGGAGCAAGAGGAAAAGCGAAAATCCGGGGTCCTTCACATAGCCTGTGGTTTGTCCGCACTCGGCCCTCGCACCGGCCACAAGATGATCCTAGCTCCACCGCCCATCCACTCCAATCCCCTGACAAACGGGACCAAAAAAAAGTTTTGGTGCAGCGCAGTGCAGTGCAGTCAAGTTTATCGAAGTCCGTTGTTCCATGCAGCTTGTGCGTGCGTGCGTGCTTTTGCAAAGAATTTCTATCTCGACTTTTTTTCTACCCCATTATTCCCTCGACGCTTCTACTCCTCCCTCGTACGCTCTTTCACTCGACTTGACTCGGCGATCTATCGTTTTCTGTTGGAGAAGGCATTCGATTGATTGATTGATTGATTGATTAGGTTGGGATTGCGCCATTTGACCTGATCTGCAACTCAACGGATTACATTGTAGCAGAAGGCAAGGAAAGAAAGGGAAGAATTACATTACACTACAATATACAGAGCAAGATGTCTCCCATTATCGCGAGCCCGGGGTCGGCGTCGAAGGATTTCAAGAGGGAGTCGACGGTTGCGAGGTTATTGGGTTCTGGTATGCTTCTAACTTTTCCGGTGGAACAAACAAAAGGACATACTGACGGATTGGATGGTAGGATCGGCTGGTATTGCTGAGTTGGCTGTTTTTCATCCGGTATGTTTGCTACGACTTACATGAGGAAGGACAGGAGAGGAGAAGGGCATGTGTGAGGGATGGGAGATAAGGTTTTGGAGTGAGGGGAAGGATGGATTCTGATATGGGATGGGAAGAGAAGGGGAGGGAGATGAAGAATATATGTCTGACGAGAATCTGGGATAGGTTGATACCATTGCGAAGCGTTTGATGAGCAACCATGGCAAGGTACGTCGATATATTTCGAGTTATTCCTGCCCCGAGTCCTGTCCCGAGTCAATATACACACAGCACATCGTGTTCGGACTCCGCTTGAACACTATCTGGGTTTTGATCTGGGCTCCGAAGGGCGAAACGAGTTGGAATATTGGCTAATACTGTGGATTGAACAGATTGTCGGAATCAAGCAGTTGAATACGGTTATCTTCAAGGAGAAGGCCACGGCGTCGGCGGGAAAGAAGTTCTTTAGCTTGTTTCCGGGGTTGGGATATGCGGCTGGTTATAAGGTATGTGCTGGGTTTTCATAATTCATTGAGGGGATATTGCCTTGAGATAGAGATTTGGGAGGATGAGTAGAACTTGGGGAGTATGATATCATGTTGGGCGGTGGACAGAAGTTGGGGATTGAGGACTTAGAGAAGTTTCAAGCAGGATGAGAGACAACTGAATGGAGACGGAGGAGTAACCCAGGCTAACCCTTTGCTGTACAGGTTCTGCAAAGAGTATACAAGTATGGAGGTCAACCATTCGTCCGCGATTACCTAGCGAAGAACCACGGCACGACATTCGATCGTACATTTGGTGAGAAGACTGGAAAGGCTATGATGTCTTCTTTTGCTGGAAGGTATGTTTCATTTAACTTACTGCACTGCTCAGAGTCTATTATCTATGTCCATGGGCTGATTTAAACACAGTATCATCGGAATTGGAGAGATCGTTCTCCTCCCTCTCGACGTCCTAAAGATTAAGCGCCAAACAAACCCAGAGGCTTTCCGTGGAAGAGGTGTAGTGAGAATTGTTCGTGATGAGGGATTCGGATTGTACCGAGGATGGGGATGGACTGCTGCACGAAACGCTCCTGGATCATTCGCTGTAGGTGCTCATAGGTTCTCCACAATCAACCCAATCACTAATACTCTGACAGCTCTTCGGAGGATCCGCATTCACCAAAGGTTACCTTTACGGCCTCGAAGACTACAACAAGGCATCTTGGCTCCAAAACTTCGTCGCATCCATTGCCGGTGCCTCTGCTTCCCTCCTGGTCTCTGCTCCTCTTGATGTTATTAAGACCCGTATCCAGAACCGCAACTTTGAGAACCCCGAGAGCGGTTTCAAGATTGTCAGCAGTATGATGAAGAATGAGGGTGTTTCTAGTTTCTTCAAGGGATTGGTTCCTAAGGTATGTTTTCTCATTCCTCCATGTACTAAAATTGGGAGCTTGAAAGCTTGAAGCTTGACCAAGAATTAAATCTGAACTGACACGAAATCTACAGCTCCTCATGACCGGCCCCAAACTCGTCTTCTCCTTCTGGCTCGCACAAACGCTCATCCCAGCATTCGACATTGCACTTTCCAAGAAATAGATATCCCTCTACCAGTAACTGGAAATTCATCTTCCCAGCTGAGTTTAGATAAGATCTAAATAAGAGTGTATAAAAAGCGGATTTTGGTTAGTTGGTCACAAGAAATCACAATTAAGGCGTGGCGTTTATCTGGCTCGTGCTTGTTGTTATGAAAGACGAGAAGGCAAGGGAAGGATGGGAATGGAAAGAACGTGAGGAAGAAAGATGATAGACTAATACAAATGGCGTGGATCTTTGTGGTGTTGGAAGGACATGCCTATTTTCTTTTTTATGTGTATATAGACACGATGTTTCGTTAGTAGACAGTGATGAGGGATGGGAATGCGAAAAGACAACTCGACTCATGAAAATGGGTGACCAAATGTATGTGATATTATTGACAGATTCTGAGGTGAGCAAAAATTTGTATCATGATCATCTTGAGATAGTCGATTGATGTTTCCTTCACCATAGCACAAAGTCCAAAATAGATTGCCTACTTAAGCGGATCAAAGAAGTATGAGTATCCATTAGGTAAAAACACCAGCAGCACAAGGCAGAACGATAGGCTCGTCAATCGAGGTGGACTACATCTTGGCCCGGCACCCGATTGGTTTTCAAGCAGTGGATCGTCCAAAGGTGGAAAATCACAACGGGAGCAGCCGCAGAACCTCATGCATGCATGCGGCCCGCCATCCCGAGCTTCTTCTTCTATTTCTTCTTCTCTTCAAGACAGCTCCACTCCACTCCACCTCTCACTACCTCAACAAAAGCTCTGGAAGGCCCGGTCTCAAATCGAAAGCACGAATTTAATATACAATCAATCTACACAATCCAACCGAAAGCAAGGCAAAGCAATACACACATATAAAGAGCTACCTTAGCTCTCTACATCTCCAACCTCAACGCCAACCTCAATCCCAGGACAACTCTACCTACTGCGGACTCCCACCTCCAAGCCAACCCAACGAACCCAAAGCAAAATCCGCAAAAAAGAATTAAAAAAATGCCACCCCTCCCCTCGCAAGCACCCATCCACCTCATCTCCCGCCTCGGCGACCCCCTCTTCGCGATCTTCATCGGTGTCGGGGCGGCTGTTACGCGGATCAATAGGGAGGAGAAGGAGGCAGGGAGGAGTACGGCGGAGACTGCTGAGAGTGCGTTGAGGAGGATTGGGTTGGGGGGTTGGAGAGGGGGGAGGAAGGAGGGTGAGGGGGAGGGGGTGGGTGAGGGAAAGTAGGGTGGTAGGGAGGTAGGGAGGTAGGATGAAATGTAGGGGAGGGGGATAAAAATTGGAATGGGAAGGGAAGGGGAAGGGGAATGAGTATTGGGAGAGACGGGGATGGGGAAGAGGAAGGGGAAGAATTGTAAAGGACATTGCGGGTGAGTATGGAGGATCTGAAAGGGAAGAGTAGGATTTGGAGGGGAGGGAGGGGAAGGGGGGAAAGAGATACTGTGAAATCAGATGAAGAGGCGGGAACGGGAAACTTCTCTATGATGGATGGAGCCTAGAAGCGGAGCATATATATTGGCGTTTGGGATCCTGGCATTTAGCCATGGCTGTCTGGAGTTGGGTTGGTGGTCAGTCTCAGAGCAGAAGCGGTTTGAGGCCTGTACTGTATGAGTATGATATGAGTATGAGATGTGGATGGGGAGTGGACAGACTTCGAAATTGCAGCTCGCAAAATGAATTGTTGGCTCTACGAGATGAAAAGATTATTGCCTCGTCTCTTATTTGTTTATCGACTTGAGCTTAGAGTACGGGTTGCAAAGCAATGGAAATTCATTCTCGAGCTGGTGGAAGTGCTAATTGTGCTTTCAAATTCAAATTCAAAGTCATTTGTTATTGTGTGTTTGGTTAGTTGCACATAAATAGTTTGAACTCAGACTTTGATTTAGGTACGGGAGGTTATTTGTAGTTGCTTGAATAAGAGAATTACCAAGTACTATCGGAAAAGCCGTCACTGTTTATAAAGGATCTATTGCTTTGATAGATCTTCTGTGCATTTTACTGAGCTATGTACTTCATCACTCCCAGTTCTCTACCTCACAGCTCATCTACCTCAAGCAATGTGGGATTTCGTTAAGAAGCATTCCAACCACACATAACTACGCAAGCTGGAGAACCAACACGACGTAGATGAGAATGGCCGAATGCTTTAGCAATGTTGTATTGAGAACGTTACTGTCTTAGCTTGATATACGCTTTAAATACTGCCAGATGTACTTCGTACGAAGGTTGTAAAATAGTCAAACTTTGGGTGATCGCAGCGACTCATTGACATATTTGATAAACTTTGCGCTGTGCAATATAGGTGGCTGGCTAGCTCTGTGTGTTCAATATCCACATTCAGGCATATAAATCTGATAGAAGCTCGTGCTTCCAGGCCAGCACTTGCTGGCCAAGCGCAAACTGGAGGAACTGTCACATCTCACAATCAAAACGTGTACTCAGACATCACAGACATGGCAGAAAGCAACGTATTGTACCTATTCCCAAGCCCAAGGAGATGGAAAGCAGTCGACCAAGCATTCCTTGACCAGCCTAGACGACTCATCACACCGTGTCTCTCGCATCTAGTCCCCCATCCACGAAACCAGCAATCATTCGTCTTGGAGACCATTACTGATCATCTCTGAGTCTGCCGAAAGGGAATAAAGGAAGGTAAAAACTGCCATTTGAGAATTTGGGTTTCGTTCATGTTGCACAAGAGGTGGTAGGCGTGAGAGGTCAAAGAAGGAAGCTGGCCTGACCCATCCTAACCGTCGTTACATTTCGCCGCCGTTGAGTCCCGCAAGAACGCCGAAGAGAGAATACCGAGTAAAGCATGCTAGGAAGTATGGAAAGAGGTCGAAGGCGGCGTGGTGGACTTAAGCGGAAGCAAACTCGCCGAAGGTATTCTCGCCCGAGTATGAGATGTACAGGAAACTGTGGAATGTTTGGTTAGCTTGTGATTCTTGGACAGTTTCGAGTGTTTTGATTCTGTGCTTTCGAGAAGGGCACAAGGCTGTGTATCTAAACCCGCCGGCCCCACTTCTCGATAAGAGCTATGATGTGATGTAGAATGATATGATGAATGAGAGGCAACATACCCGTCCTCGTCCTTGTGCTCCTCGTAGATGCTGCTCATGAGCGCGGCGGTAGGTGGCAGGACCTCATCGACGAAGATGAAGATGGCCTTCTCGGGGGAGAGCTTGATGCGCTTGCGGATTACGTAGACGAACTGACCGACTGTGAGGTCGGCGGGAACGAGGTACTTCTTCTTGTCGATCGTCGCGATATCTGACTTCTCGACCTTCTCGCAGATGACTGGAATACGGTCGGAGTACTTTTGGCGCTGGAGAGAGACAGATGTTAGCTATATTGCGCGTCGTCGCGGAGGAGGCTGGATGAAGGAGGGGAACTCACGATACGCTCAGCCTCGGCCTTTCTCTTCTCGAAGGGGTGCTCGTCCTTAAACTTGGATCTCATGGTGTCTGATTTGAATATTTGTACTTGGTTTGCTTGCGTGGTGTTGTGGTGTTCTTGCTGTAGGAGGTTGGGTCGCGGGGTTGCTTTATGGGAGGGAAGGTCGAGGTGCTTACAGCATGGAGGGCAGCCTAAACACCTAACGATAGCGGGCGGTGTGAAGTGCTAAGATAGTGAGTCAGCTGGTCTTGCACGTGATGGTATTTCAAATCTGGTCTCAGAAGGTGGCGGGTGTTTTCGGTGATGATTCTACGCCGTGATCACTAATTGTAGAGGTGAATCAGCTGCTGCAAAGTAAATGCTCCATATGACGCTTGATTTCATTTCATTGTTATTCCTTCCGCATCCGTCACTTTGTTCCTGTTCCTGCCACTTAGTGATGGCCATTCTTTGATTGGCTGTTTTCAGCTCCTGAGCTTATGTAAGTCCAAAGCAGACCTCGAGAGCCAATGGAACAGATCTGGCGGGTCATCCGTCTGATCTTGGCAAGCAGCTCGCGTCGTCCGAGGTGCGGATCAATCCTCAACCCTGCAGATAAATGGTGCGATGGCTTCTTCCATATCAACTCAATCGAGGTCATAACCGTGCCACCACTCTCCTTTTCTTGCCTGCTTCCTCTTCTTCCGCCCACTTCGATCGGGTAATTCCTCGATTGTGGTCTCATGTCTGCTGTACGATAAACCTTCTCGTTACTGCTGCTGGCTGCAGCTTTTCTACATAATGGCGTCCACCATCCGGCAGCCATGTATGGGATTTGCGAGGACCGTACCCAGGCTGCGTCCTCAGTTCTCTCAGCATATACGAAGCCGCAGATCTTTTGCAGACTCTCCTAAGCCTCCTAATCGGCGAGTTTCAGAGCGCCCGAAAGGAGTGTTGTTCCCGAAAACCAGAATTGCTGTTGGCATCGTGTTCATCGGAGCTCTGATCCATTCAATGGTACTACCCCACCAAGCTTCAGACAGAACCTAAGCTCAAGATATATAGGCTACAGAAGAACCTCAAAAGCTGGATCTCCCCTCAATCGCTGAACGAGATGCCCTTACGAAACGTGAGTCTGGTGTAACTAAGAACTCACCTATGCGTCTACGTATGGAAGATTTTATAAAGGAACAGCAGAAGATAATTGTTGCCGAGCTGGAGAAGGTTGATGGGAACAAGTTCCGAGTCGATACATGGACACGCGAGAACGGTGGAGGAGGGATATCCAGCGTTCTGCAGGGTGGCAATGTCTTCGAGAAGGCTGGTGTCAATATCAGTGTTGTTTACGGCACTCTTCCTCGACCTGCGATTGAGAAGATGCGTGTGAATCACAAGGCCATAGATCCGGATATCCACTCTCTGGAATACTTTGCGGCCGGTTTGAGTATGGTTCTCCACCCAGTCAATCCAATGGCACCTACCGTCCATCTCAACTATCGATACTTCGAGACATCCAATCCAGATGGAACATCGAATGCATGGTGGTTTGGTGGCGGAACAGACTTGACGCCAAGCTACCTGTTCGACGAAGATGCAATCCACTTCCATAAGACGATCAAGGAAGCATGCGACAAGCACGACAAGGACTATTACCCGCGCTTCAAGAAATGGTGCGATCAATACTTCAGTAATAAGCACAGGAACGAAACCCGCGGTATTGGCGGTATCTTCTTCGATGATCTGGACGAGAAGGAGAAGGACCAGGAAAACACATTTGAATTTGCGCAAAGTTGTTTGAAGGCTTTCCTACCATCTTATCTTCCCATCATTAACAGACGGAAAGACATGCCATACACTGAGAAGGAGAAAGAGTGGCAGCAAATTCGACGAGGAAGATATGTGGAGTTCAACTTGGTGCACGACAGAGGGACTGCATTCGGCTTGAATACCCCCAGTGCGAGAGTAGAGAGTATTCTCATGAGTTTGCCTTTGACAGCTAGCTGGCGATACATGTACGAGCCAGAAAAAGGCAGTCGTGAACAGCGACTGGTGGATGTCCTGAGGGAGCCCAAAGAATGGGTATGAATGTACAGATATCTAAACATGTAGAATGAAAATGTACAATCTGAATCTATGCAAAGCTCTACCACAGACTCAAGCTCGTGTAGTGGTGGAAAGATTCTTTGTTGACTTGCCAAAAGTCCACAAAAGGGGTACCAATTAAGCGAGGGCATTTGACATCGCTGTCCCGTCGCAAGCGCTCGTCTGCCGTCTCTGCTCATCAACAAACCAAGCATCTGAGCTTTAACAATCAACTCACAGTGTTTTCCCGCACGTCTTGATTGATTGATCGACCATGACCATCATCTATCTCACAATCCAGACTGCCTGCCAATCTGAAGTCCAATCTCAAGACTGAGCCCCAAAATGTCCACCCTCCCAACGACCCGCACCCTCCTGACATCACTCTTCAACAGCCTCACAGCCACCACGCAACAACAACCAGCAAATCCTCCAGCAGTCAACGAGCCCTATGACCCACCCAGCAATCCACTCAAGAACCTCTCATCTTCTCACAGAGCGCTGCTATCGACCATGCACGTGCTCTTCACCCCGCCTATGCTGCTGCAAGCACTGGATTTATTGGATCGAGGGTTGGTTGAAAGGGTAGTGGAGGCATCGTCTGAGTCCATGGATGAGACTCGGGCCAAAGCTCAGGACCTTGAACAGGTACAGGGTCAAGGGAGTGGGCCAACTCTTGAGTCTGTAGGAGAAGGAAGAAAGGAAAATACCGGAATCGCAAGAGAGGTCTTCCCACCACAAGCAAACATCCACTTACCCTCCTCTCCGCGATTGCCTAAACAGGCTTCTTCTTTTCAATCCCATCAGCAGCCCCTGCCACCAAGTACTAGTACCAGAAATCAGCAACAACTCCGAAGAAAAAACACCGTCTACCAAGTCCGCTCCTCCCAACCACCCAAATCTCGCTTCAGAGACGCAACTTCTTCAACATCTAACTCAAGCGGTAATATATACACCGTCCGTCTCGAAGCCTGGAATTGTAGCTGTGCAGCTTTTGCGTTTGCGAGTTTCCCCGCGAGTTCGGTGTATCCGTCTAGAGCGGCTTGGAAATTGGATTTGGATCTAGATGAGGATGAGGCTGGCGGTGGGGAGGATGTCACTGTGGGTGGATTTGGACTTGTTGATGAGCAGAGGGGAGGAGCTGGTACGAATGAGAGAGGAAAGAGAAATGGGGAAGATGAGGGAGAGAGGTGGGAGTTTGGAGGGATGAGTATGGATGGGAAAGGAGCAGGAGGTGGGGGAGTGCCCTGTTGTAAGCATTTGCTTGCTTGTGTTTTGGGGGAGAGGTGGGATGTTTTGATACCGTATGTTAAGGAGAGGTTTGTTTCGAGGGAGGAGATGGCTGGGTTAGGGTGTGAGTGAATGAGCGAAATATCTCAAGGTTGAGCATTAGGGTTCGACTGTGATTGCCACGAGGCTTAGACGTAGCTTGATATTGCACTAGGAGTTTATATTGGGATTGGGTATGGGATATGAGATGAGCATAGCTTGCTGAAAGCTGGGTATGGAGGTCTACTAAGGATAGTTGGTTCAGAAAGAGGGAAGTTTAGCACGGCGTTTCTGGAGCTTTAAATGGCATGGCTGAGGAAAGGTTTTAATCGGAACCTTTGCAGGCTGTAGATCTAGCAGGCAGTGACAGAGTCAGTCTAGCCAGGTTAGCCATATATTTTCATACTTAGAATGGCATCACCAAATGCGAAAGATAGACAAGACCACTGAATGTATGAGGACAATCGCGTGGCTGCTATTAGTCTGCAAGCTACGAATCTATGATACAATGGCATATCTCCATAATTTGAAATATGCCAGCCAACCCGCCGCTCTGATGCCCCATGAACACCGCTTGGAGAAGAACTAAACGCCATCATCCATACATTCATCACTTCTTTTTATCCTTGTCCTCTTTCTCCTTTTCTGCCTCTTTACCCTCCTTGGCCTCTCCATTTACTCCATTCACTCCATTCGCCTTCTTTTCCTTGTCATCTTTGCCCTCATCCTTCTTGGCCTCCTTATCTTCTTGCTGTTGACGGTTCTGGATCTTGTTCTCGATCAGGTCGTGGAAAGCGGTGATGGCACGGATGAGACTGCTGAGGTAAATAGCCATGAGTTGATCGTTGGTCTTGATGCTCATAGCGTGTGCAAGCTCGCTGTTATTTTTGACCGGTGCATCGACACCATTAGGAATATGTGACGAGGCTTTGGGTGTGGAAAGGTTGGGTAGAAGATTGAAGACGTCTTGGAGGTTGCCCAGTATTGCGTGATTGACGGGAAGGGATCCGTCCAGGACTTTTTGGAGGTATTGGCCAATGTCTCGTAACCGTAGGTGTAGACCTTGCAAGGATTGTAGTTGATTTGTGATTCTCGTCGACAGAGTTCCGACCGCCACGTCCCGGATATCTCTCAATAAATGCTCAACACCAATCTCCTCTGCTTCCTCAGCTTCGATGATCGAGGGTGTGTGTACGAAAGTCTTGGTTGTGGTGGTTCCATCCTGAATTTGTCAGCTTTACCCTGCGAAACTCCCTGGGTATTCCTACATCCTTGATTTCCTCTACTGCGAAGTATGCATCTGTTGGAACGCCAGCCTCCTTTGGTTGAACATCAATGATAACCAGCAGTGGATTTGGTGTATATCTCTTGAATAGCTCATTGATCTCCAGATCTGAAGCTCTCAGTTTTGGCCCCGAATGGTACCATCCAACCAGCTTCTCCCTGGCATTGATCTTCTTGAACATATCGGCCATTGACTCGACATAGTTGTGATCCAGAAACCAGACGCTTGGGTCGCGGTCGTCTTCCTCAAAGGGCACTTTTTATTCCAGCGTCAGCATTGATTTCCCCTTGATATATGACATGTGTGCGCATACCAGCAAAGCTGTTTGAAACCCGTACGTCCTTTCCATCATTTTGTCCAAGCAGAACGCCAACTACGCGCTTCTTGGAATCTTTGGCGCTGCGCCCGTAGTGGTCGGCGACCGAAAGAAGTACTAGCGGAGCAACAGATACTGTCCTAGAGACCAGTGAGATCGTTTCTGCAGTGGTTGAAGGCATAGTGTAGTTGTGGTGGAGGGAAGTTATTTGTTTATGAGGACCTGATGGACATCTGTAGACAAGGCTGCTAGAACGCTGTCGTAGCTGTCCCGACTAGCGCCCGCAAACGCGCTAACCTGATAGGGTATGCTATCTCTCACCTCTTGTCTTTACTTGCTCGTTTCTAGAGTTCAACAAAGGTAAAGTTACAAGAATAGAATAAGCATATTCTCTATGAATACTGAAATGCCGCTATTAGGTCCATTTTGATTATTTAATTGTGTGTACACTTCAAGAGAAGTCTTAAGCTAGGGTGTCACCAGCCGCGAAATGCTAAAATGTATGTTGTTTCTCTGCTTCTGAAGCGTCTACCTTCGGTTAACGTCTCTTTAAACCATGATACTAATTCTTACTATTGAAGTCCTCGAGGCTATAATTTTAACTTGAAGAGAAAAGCATGACGAAACCAGAATCAACTCCTGAAGGAAACAATTGAGTAGTACATGTTTGTTCTTGAAAGTAGAGGTGATTACCAGTTCTTCAAATTCTTCACTTCATGTGAGGTCAGAGCTGTATTAAATGGCCTCAGGAGCTAACATATAGTGCCAGAATGCCAGTAGTTGCGTGTTGAATGATCCGGAGGTTCTGTTTATCACCTGAGCGTGAATGAAATTGAAGCGAGAAGCTCGTGATGAACAGCACAAGACAGAACGCCATATTCGTCGACAGAGCTTGTTTGCTTGAATTGGGGACTGATGTAATTGCAGTTTTGACGTTCAAGACTATGGGATGTAAGAAGACAGCTGTCTATAACCCATGGAGCTGGTGTCCATCACAATGTATGTTACACGCATGATATCTTTTTTGAATTGGATTCTTACTCGGGTTAAGTCTAATTCATCATGCTAGGCAAGTTCACTGTATCTAATGACAAAAGAGTTAATGTCTCCATACTCGCGGGCAGGTCTACGACTTCCCGGTTGAACGATAGATTTCCGCCAAACCGTGTTTTGTCCGTTGGGGTCTCCCAATCCACATCATCTTCACGACCAACAATAGATGCTCTACCGACTATCTCAAATCGTGGCCGGAAGCCGAAACCAGAATCAGTCCGTCGTAGTACAGCACAAGAACTAGAATTCCAGAATTGACAAATGAAGTCGCCTTCACGGATGTTTCCTGGCGCCACGCCTAGAGTCACATTTGTGCCCACGAAGACCACAGGAGATGCTTCTTGTCTGCGATGTGATGGCTTGTGCCGGAGATCCTCCAGGCTAGTTAGCGATTTTTCTTGTGTCAAAGGAATGATGTTCCTAGTCCGAAAATCTGAGGTGTTGCTCAGAATCGATAGGAGCTTCGCGTTGGAACCTCTCGCTGTTGCCAAATCTGCCGAGCCACGGTAGCATTCCCCTAATCTCGCATTCCATCGCTTTTCTGCGTCATTCGAGGAACTGAGATCGAATACCGAAGGCCCTACATGTTCGACTTTGCCAAGTATTGCACCTCTCAGGACAAAGCTTTCGTCTCCCTTGTCTGCCAACGTTTTCCATTTTGTGATGTCCTCAGCGGCAGACTCGTTCCAGCACCATGTTAAGCTCTCGGTTGATCTTGGATTCAAAAGCTTCCAGATGAGCCATGCAAATCCAGCTGCTCCCACCACCACGCCGATTCCAATAAGCCATGGCTTCTCCCATGAATTGTCATCCTTAGTGGTCTCCTCCTCTTCTTTGTCCTTTGCCTTCTTACTTCTCTTACTTTTCAACTCTTCCTTAGAATCAACCCGCGTTCTTGGTTCAGTTGAATGATGAGACCAACTAGTCTCGAACGAGCTGTATGGGCGAGAATCATTGCTCCTCTCTTCAGGACCTACATTCCGTGAAGGTTGAGCAGGTAGAGCGACGTAATCATCTCTCAAGTCCTTGGTGACGGCTTGTCTTAGAGTTCTGATTTCTCTCCGCCGCTGCGTTTGTTCCCTTGTGAGTAGGCGACGAACCAGCGCTGCTAGATAGATCGCTTCGATTGAGGATATCTGCTGGGTCTCGAAGTGAAGCGATTCGAAGTGGTGTTTCATTACATCGTGATACACCTCCGATACAGATTTCTCGTAATTCACTGGTACCTCCTTATTGTATGTATCATTTGCTAGACCAATGAATGCGTAGATTTTGTCATGAGGAAGCTCACAGAAGGCGTCTCGGAACTCATCGACCAAATTTAGAAGCGAGAGGTTTTCCGTTTGCGAGAATTTGGAACGACGGATTTTATCCAGTTTTAGGATTGTATGTGCTGCAGCATCATTTGGATTTTGTGCTCTGTACCAGTTGAGGAGTTTGATGAAGTCCTCCCAGTCTTCCGATCCTGATCCATAGCTGACTCTAATTTTAGAGGCCATGACCACTTCTTGGATAATCCAGGTACGTTTCCAGTATTCTTCATGAATTAGCCTGTGCATGAAATACTCAAGTCTCGTCTCAGCTGCATGTTTTGCACTTTGGTCAACATTCTTTGTATATCCAAGCGTCTTCTCATACTGCTCGTCAACTGGTTGCTGATGTGAGCCAAGCCATATGATGACTTGCCGGGCCCGTCGATATATGAAACCCATCAAAGGGATTTGTTTGTTCTTCTCCACGGTGTTGTTTTGATCAATGCAGAGAGAGTCAACCCACAACACTCTCGCTGACTCTTCATCACGTAAGGAATCCAAGGCATCCCAGAGATTTTTTCTTACGAGCTTCCTCGAGCCATTCAGCTGTATTGCTTGAAGCTGGCTGGCGTCTCCCCATTCATAAGAGAGGGCATCATAAGCTGGTCTGTCGCCGAAAGTGGTTGATGTCAAGCTGCATTCAATTTTTGTGCTCCGCCTACCTGGTTGCAAAACCAACAGTCGAATGCCATCCGTTGATGGATCCAAGGGGAGATATTGAAACTCCGGCTGCTTTTGGTCGGTTGCGATGGGAATTGAAAAGAAAACCCCCGTGACTACAAGGGCAGCTAGGGAAAAGTCGCTTCGTGCTGGCCTTGGCTGATGCTGGCCGGGAAGTCTCTCGCTTGGTATAGCGGCAAATATTGAGGGACGAAAGGAAGGGATTGTCTTTTGTGGATTATCACGAGCAGGGTGTCTGTAGGTTTCATGATGTCGTTTCCACAAGGAATTCCATGGCGAGGCTGAATTTATTTTGGGGGGGGATTGCGCAGGGAGAAGCTGGACAAAGATATCGAGCACCTCTGACCCCTGGAGCCCATCTCATATACGATGGTTTTACTATGAGGACCCATCTCATGTTGGGCGCGACTTGGCCTTGAGCGACTGCTGTGAAAGTTGGTGTACAGAGGAAACGTGTCCGAGGCTCTTTGCGAGATCATTAGCGAGTGATAACTATTGCAGGATTCGTGATGTCGAGAGAAGTGATTGGTCAGGGTCCAGAAAGAGGCATATATTTTGGTACAAGGCTGGAGGCTGGGTGGGCAATACAGACTCGCAGCTTCAGATACTACAAGACATGGTAAATTCGTGACACAGAGTCCAGATAGGTACGATGACAAAGAATCGTCTAGCCGAAAGGAATCTAGTCTCCTTTGACAACATTGATAGCTCAACAGACTTATTAAGACGGGAATTTACAAAAATGGAGCCAAAGTCGAAGTCAACTGTATACATGTTGACTTAAGCCAATGCTGAAGTTCTACGAAGATTTCTGTCTCCTTACTTGGCTTCCGTCGGCCCCTTAGAGCGAGAAAGTTGATTCGGTGTCGTCTCGTCTCGTCTCGTCCCATTTGGCCGACCACCGACGTTCGCAACCGGGTGGACCAACACCAACCGAGCTTAGAGAGCGAGGTCCATGCTACTTGAAATAATCCTCAAATTGTCAACCTCACTCACCAGTCGCATCGCTCTACGAAAATTCATCACCTCTCCTTTTCCCTCTCAACAAGACTCCATACCTCCATCCGTACCTTGGTCAGGTTTCCTCCACATATCCATCCACAATGGCACCAATTGGCGACGATACCGTGCAGTCGCTGCACGAGCTGGTTTCCAAGCTTGAATCGCGAGTGGCCGAGTTGGAATCTAAGCTGAGCCATGCTCAGGGCGGAACCAAGCATTCACCGGCTGAGGGCGTAAGAATGATCTTGATGGGACCTCCTGGTGCTGGTACGTAGATACGCCGAATTCCATCCTCCACGTTCCCAACATCGTCGAGGCACCGGCTAATTAGCTTTTCGCAGGCAAGGGAACTCAAGCACCCAAGATCAAGGAGAAGTTTTCCTGCTGCCACTTGGTAGGTTCATACGATATTTTTCCATGAGGCTATGGCCTAGCTAACGCTCTGCGAAGGCTACTGGAGACATGCTGCGATCACAAGTCGCGAAGAAGACACCTCTAGGGAAGGAGGCCAAGAAGATCATGGACCAAGGTGGACTTGTCAGTGACGAAATTGTTATTGGTATGATCAAGGCCGAGTTGGAGACAAACAAGGAGTGCAAGGGAGGGTCAGTTCAATTCTTTCCTGCTTCTTCGTATACTTGTTCCAAACACTAACTGAATATAGCTTCATCCTGGACGGATTCCCACGAACAGTTGTACAAGCCGAGCGTCTAGACAAAATGCTTGAGAGTAAAGATCAGAAGCTCCAACACGCTGTCGAGCTCCAAATCGATGATGGCCTCCTGGTTGCGCGGATAACTGGTCGTTTGGTACACCCAGCATCTGGCCGATCATATCACAAGATCTTCAACCCACCCAAGGAGGAGATGAAGGATGACATTACTGGCGAGCCATTGATTCAACGATCGGACGACAATGCCGAGGCTCTCAAGAAGCGACTTGTGACCTACCACCAGCAAACATCTCCAGTCGTTGGATATTACCAAAAGACGAAGATCTGGAAGGGCATTGATGCCAGCCAAGAACCTGGCCAAGTGTGGAAGAGCCTTCTCGGAGTTTTTGAAGCAGAGAAGAAGGCCAAGAGCGGCGGTCTGCTTAGCAAGATCACCGGGAATTGAGTTGTAATTGATGGAGGAGAGGCTAGGCTGTGGGATGTGTTGAGATGAAACGAGATTTGCATAGATTCCATAAAAGTTACTTGGGCCGTCCTTTGACTGGGTGGGACGATATGTTCACATCACTCACGGCATGGGAGGGACTCCAACGAATGGAGGAAGCAACTGCACGAGCTGTACGACCACTTAGGGAGCCTGGGTTTCATGCCCACACATAAGGGGCCTTGTATGTAGCATTAGGTTTGATTTTTCCCATTCGTTCGGATCACGAAATGAAGAAAATATTAATGTGCAGGATCTTGATACCGCTGCCATCCCGGACTCCCAGCTATCTGGCTGGCCTTCGAGGGAACTCGGTTTCCCATGCTCATGCTTGTGTATGTTACCGCGTGTCCAGGACTGCGACCTGACTGGTAGGATTCTGTGTTTCTTGCATTGCGGATATGTTGATGCCCGTTCCATGAGATCAGTGAGAGGCCAGGTGAGATGATGCAAGATGCCAAAGGGAGTTACAAAAAATAATTGTGTTGTCGATACACGTCTTATCTCTCCATGTAATGCTTGTATCTTGCATCATTCTGCAACAGTGGCTTGAAACTTGCGTTTGCAAAGAGATAAGGAGATGCATGTCTCGATGATCTCTTTTGCTAGAGAAACCTGCTGGGGCCATGTTTCCTAGAATATTGATATGCACCTCGTCCGGCTCTCACTTCATTGCGTACCCCATTTCAACTGCTTTGCTTTTCAACTAGCCCCATCTCTGTCGTGTCTCTCTGTTCTTGTAAACATTAACATATTTCTACAAACCAACACCAGCCTCTCAAAACACCGTCGCTCCATGAGCACAAAGCAAGACGCCTCAATGAGCATCTTCAACTGGCTGCTCATTGACGAAGCTCGCAAATCCCCAGCCAAAGAAGAAATATATTCCACTGGTTATTCTCATGAGGTCTGGTCCACTACGAGTCGGCACTCCCGTGGGGTAAGCCTTTTTCTTGTGTCATTTCACATTTTTGTTGGTTCAAATAGTCGGATACAGACAGCTGATAGGTAATAGAGCCATCGTAGAGTCGTATCTGTGGCTGTTACTGCTTCTACTGCTGTCAGCCAAATGAAGAGCAATGGTGTCAAGGATATAAAGGTTTGGAGAAGTACGAATGCTGACCAAGTAAGTATCCTTGTCTCCAGATAGCCAACATGAAGAAAGCTTGATTTGTTGTCTGTACATCTCGAAGTTCCAAAGTATCTCCTCATTCGCTGGATCTCATTTATCAGTGGACACCGTGCTGACTAGATCAAGTCTTCCATCACCAAACACCGATCAACCTACACCCGCCCAATTGGCCCAGACCTGGTATCCATCAAGCAATCATTCTGTACCGACCTGCCTCCCCAGTTGGCAACTGTTCATGACACAACTATCGCCTACCTCGCTACACATGCTCCGTTAGACAAGTCAGGCAAGGTTCAGCGAAAGGAAGAGATTGAAGAGAGGTGGCGCGATGAAAGTATCAGCTGCTTTATCATGGAGAGATTTGCAGAGCTGCATGGGTATGTAAGTAGTCCATGGGTTTCTTACCTCTGTAGTAATTTGAACTTCCCGAGGATGTTGGCTCACAGGTGTGGAGCTCACAGGTTGAAAGGATTGGGCAGAAGGGAAGTCATGTCGCCCTTTCCCGTATCCACTTCCGCCAGTCTTTCTCACCAGAGAGATAGTGAGTTTACCACCAGCTGAAGACCGTCTTTATCATGCATACTACATTCGAGCGAGGCTGATCCAATTTATGTCCGGCGAGGCGTCGCCAGCGGAAATATTATCGAACTTCAACTCTATACTATAAATTGTTCCCTTTATTTTTTCCGACAAAACATATACTAAATGAAAGATCTACTTTTCAATATTAGTTCTCTAAATCTCTAAGGACAATCGTATTTTAAGAGGTGTGTAACAAATCGCGCAACCTGGGGTCTTTTTGATGTTCCCAATCCTCGCTTACCTTCGCCGGTCATAAATTTGATCAGCCTCGGAGTGATAAAATCATACATAGGCTAACCGGAACCTCAGATCAAAGTCTGCATGATCGAAAATCGACTTGCACCGCTTGACCAGGCAGGAGACAATCATTGTTTCAAGATGCCATACGGAGCATACAAGTATGAGAAATGGGGGCGGGGAGTATCAAGTAATTTCGCTTTTGGTAATCTTAGGTTGCAATATGATGGGAGTACATCGAAGGGAATGCCCAGAATGGAAGCCAAATTCTGAAAGGTGTTCGGAGGGAGGTTTGATCTGATGTGCGTTGTGATCGATCTCAGCGGCGAATCTTACAAGGTGGACTTGTGGATCGATGGAGACACTCTTCAACATGGAGCACTACCGATGGGGCCTCGTAATGGTGATGGCTCTGGGTCGGTTTCTAACGGGAGGTCCTCAAAACAAGTTTACGAGGAAAGTGTTCTCTGAAATGATGAAGTACTACCAAGAACTCAAGACTCTGATTTTATCTATGTAGCGGCATATTCTGTATCTACTGGCTATTTAAAGAATGTTTCTCCGCAAATGTGTATTTTTCCGGGCAAGTGACTTGTCCGAAGCCAAAACATCATACGACAATGACTCGCCTAAATTTCCCACGCGGACCAGGAATATACCACCGACAAGACACAATCGATCACATCTTAATCTCATCTCGCTGCCGGAGTACTTACCATCTGATCCACTTCAGATCTATCTCCTCCTGAAAGTTCGATCGATCTCTCCATAATCTATCTCCAAGGTCACGAGGGTCATACTTCTCTGAAAGTTACCATTCCGGATAGCCCGGCTGCGACTACCCATCCAATCAGCATTTTTCAAACTCTTCCCCGGACATGATGTCCGCGAGCATCGCCGGCGTCCGATTATCGAGAGTGTAGATTCGTCGGCCATCATGTCCGAGAAATGTCAGACGTGCAACAAAAGTTTATGGGCTTCAGAGGGACTGGAAAGAGTTGAGTCAGGAGTGAGACGAGGAATGATGATTGGTGGGCGGTGTGCGGCGAGGCTGGACCCGGGTGCTTTGGTCCGATGCTGATCGTCGATGAGACTTTTGTTGGTAAAAGACGGGTAACATGCATATAATTTGGAGAATTTGTAAAAGCGGATTAGATTAGGCACCCTTTGCGTTTGTTGGTCGATGGTGACTTGTTGCTGGTACTGCCTAATTTGGAAGTACGGACGTTAAAATGTTTAGTATGCCGTCGAACATGAAGTCTATACTTAGAATGAAGTAGATACACTTCTAACAATAAGCCATTCAGTGTCGCTGAGGAATATGGTAGCCAAATGAGGTAGAAGCAAAAGCTAGTAAATAGGTGATGTCTAAGGGGTATACGCAACACTCAAGAATCCTACCAAGCTGTCCATCTTTCTATCCAGAAAACACATCTAGCGCTTTCACCATCCTCTTACTTTCCCGGATGTCCATGCTGCCATCCCGCTCCGTAATGCTGTTCTAAGACCGTCCGCTCTGCCTTCAAAAAGCTCCTCACAATGCAGGCGCATATATACTGACATAACTTGTCACCAGCCCTCCGATTTCCAGCTTCAGCGTCTTGAAGGCGTATTCACCATTTGCCGCTGTTTATTTAGCCAGCTTTTTGGGGCGTCCTGTCTCCTCTGGAGAACTACATGGTTGCTCTGCAAGCGGCTAGTGAGGTCGTACCAGGCGGAAGCCATGAGCGTGTTTTCGCGTGTAAGATTCTTGATCATAGAATCATTTGCAGCCTTCACATATGATTAGTTCTTGGTCTTAGACAGTCGGAGATTTGCGACGATATAGAAAGGGCAGTGATGGAGCGAAAGAAGAGTGTTATGTATCCCGAATAAATGGGGGGATATGTATAGCAGGGTGAGTTGAGGTGAGGACAGCTACCGGCAAGGGAGAGTTCTTGAAACTTGCCTGTTGCGCTTCTGGAGTGTTCTCCTCCGCGGTCTTGAGCTTTCGTTGAAGATCTTGAATGAGAGTATCTTGCTTGTGCAGTTGCTGTGATTTTAATCAGCTTTTCTTCAATACATTTATAATTTGAGTTGAAAGGCGAATGAGTTATGGAGAACAGGATCAGACTAGAGAGAGAGAAAGGGAAATCATGCTTCTTTAATATGAAGGAGTTATAAGGAGTTGATGCAACGTGTTGAGCATTCAAAAGGGAAAGCTTCGAGGACAACGTCTGTATCAAAACCCAAGTACTTGCTCGGTAGAACTGTATTTGAATCGCCAACGGTATAAGTTGGTGCTGGGACAGGACTGTTCCCAACATACTGATACGAGAAGAGCCGTATGCTTGAATTGGAATTTTCAGGGGTGTAAAGAGACGAGAGGTTCTGTTGGAAGTCGTCTTGGAGACAACATGGAATTCCTGCGCAAATAAAGTTTGACTGCTTACCTCTCTCAGCTTCTCTTCCGCTTCAATAATAGCTCGGGCTTGAGCTTGACCATCAGTCGTGGACCCAGATTTGTCTTTTGTTGCTGCAAGATCCTGCACAAGTCTATCCTTTGACAAGAGTGCTTCGACAAGCTGGGTTTTCTGTTCATCAAAATCCGTTGTCAAGTCCCTGTGCTTTTTCTGTAGGTCGAGCAAGTCATTTTGAAGAGAGGAACTGATCAGCTCGTGAGCGGCTTTGAGGCTATTGACAGCGTCGATTTGTTCTTGATCAACAGCGGCCACTTGATTGGCATTAGCAGATACTCTGCACTGAAGATTGAAATTTGGCACTCACAGTCTGATTTGGTAGAAACAAGGTCTCGATCACGCCCGGATAAATCGGATTGCAATTCAGCGAGCTTGGATTTGGCGTTGGCAAGCTCCTGGTTGGCTTCGAGATATAGCTTCCGCGTGTGCATGATAGCTTCTTCCCTGTGAAACACCTGTTAGAGTCTGGCTACAGTGATCATTCGATGTATGATATAAACTAACTTTTCGCCTGCTGATTCGCTGATCATTGCACTGAGTTGCTCCTGTCCAATAGTGTACTTCTCAGTGAGATCACGGAGATTCTCCTGCAGCCGTTTCTTGACCCGCTCGGCTTCTTCCAAATCAATGCGAAGGGTAGCATTGGTAGTACCTGCAGTGTTGCTCTTCAGAAGTTGATTCTCAGCCTTGAGTCGTGAAATCTCGAGTATGAGATTTGGTGTTGGATCTTCACTACGCTCCAATTCTTCTTCCAGGTTTAGTGCACCTTGCTTTCCTGTAGGCGAGTCTGGGGATATGGAATCTGCCAGATTGCCGGTTTTAATCTGCTCTTGTAATTGGTCAATGAACTTTTCGTCATGTTGTTGTCTTGCAGTGAGAACTTGAAGTTGGTCATCTCGGAGCCTTAGCTGCTCCTCAATATGCTTCTTTTGAGTTGATAGCTCGACGTAAGTTAGCTCGTAGGAGTGAAACCTCTGTTGATACTCCTTAAGAGTGGTCTTGATCTTTGCATTGTCGTCATAAACCCTGTCAAAGTCCTTCTGGTTTCCTTGAAGCGTGTCGATCTTTTCACGCAAGGCGTTGTTCTCCTTCTCGACCATAGTCAAATGTTCCACCTTTTTCTGGTAGTGATCGACGGTATTTGCTTTCCTGGAAAGAGCAATGTTGGCGGTTTTGAGCTCCTTTACTTCATCTTCAACCTCCATCAAACGCTGTGCTGCAGGTCGTAATACTGAAAGTTCTTTGGAAAGTCTCTCCCTGGCTATGCGATCTGATTCCACCTGGCTCTCTTGGCTGGCAATGAGGTCCTCTTGCTCTTGAATCCGGTTGTTCAGGCTTCGTATGTAGTCAGTCTGGTCGCCATCATCCGAGTTCTCGTACGCTTTCAATTTGTTATCCTGCTTGTTGCTGTGATCTAGCAATTCATCGTGGTTCTGTTGTAATCGCTCGAACCTCGAAATGAAATCCGCATGTTTTTTCTTGAGGGTCTCGTGCTCAACAGCCATATACGCATATTTCTCTTCGAGTTCCAATTCCGCATCATGAGCCGGACTCATAGCAACTCCGCCTGTGCTAGTCACTGCCCGTGGGGTTTCAACAGCATCTGCCTTGGAGTATCGTTAGTTGTGGCAGTGTTCATCCGCAGTGTAGAATCTCCAACCTTCTTTATAATGCCTGCAATTTCGCCCTGCGTAGATGCATCCAACGAAGTTGTAATCTTCGAAACGTATTTCTGCAAGTTGGCACCTTTGATAGCTGCCATAAGAAACAAGGTAAGAAGCTTGTGATTATGTCAATTCTAAGTCTTCGGACATCATAACTCTCTTACCTTGAACGTCTCTCCCGCATCTTCATGCTGTGCAATAGCATTCAAATCGACCGGGTTATCTAGTATAAAAGAGTCTAACCCCTCGCAGGTGTTGTTGATGTAGCGCAATAAAGACCTGTGTATTGCCTCAAGGTTCTTCTTCTTGCCCAACCACTTTGACGTTCCAATATCCTTTTCAAGGTGGCGCACTGCATAGCTGGGATCGATGTCCTCTGCAGACACGTCGAATCAGTATTCGGAAGCGGCCAACAGGTTGTATGTGTGTATCCGGCATACCCAGCATTTTAGCAAAAACAACGCCATCGGTGAGATTTGGGACCGATTCTACTCGAGAATCCAACGGGAAAGTGTTCGTCTATTTCTTTGAATCAGTGTATGTTCAGAGTTCAGGGTCCTGGCAGAACTTCATACCCATTCCAGTAGAGCCAGCTCTGTTGCCCTGTTGTACGGCATCATCGCGTCGAGGTTGTTGATCGAATCCTTGATCGTGTTCAGGCGCAGAGAATAGTTGTACAGGCATAGAAGATCAAATTCTTGGCTTTAGTCTGATATGTGACTGACATCTTGTCCGGCCGGAACGGTGTTTGGGCACAATTATGCGCGGTTGTCTTCAATGGAGTTTCCATGATCCTTGGCGCGCAAGGCTACGTGCTGTTCAGAGAGGCTGAACCTAGGAAACGCGCTAATGCGACCCCTTTTACGGAGGTGTTACCACGGCTGGCGTACCGCTCCCACTGAGCCGAATATCAAGCCACGAGCACCTGCAGTCAAGGCAGTTGGAAAGGTTGATTGGTTCTTGTCTTCTACCAACGAGTCCGTCTCTGAACGGGTCACAGTTATTAACTCTTTACACATGTAGCCCGCATTCTCCTACGAAAAAGCCAGCAAAATTATGTCAAGCATAAGGTAGCAGCAGTACATAAATTTGGCAGCATACATACATGCACTGCCAAGAGGGACCTGAAAGAGATCTAAGGTAGCCGTACCGGAACTTACCTATGGTTACCTCGACCTCGACAAACAGGAGTCCATTGACATGTCGAGATAAAAGTACGCGTACAGCATAAAACTTGGACATGTACATCAATGGACCCTTTACTGGTTGAAAAATGAGCCACCGGTTGTCCCAAATTCCTGAAATTTACTGCAGTTATTCCGTCTTTGTTTCCACAAATTATAGTCTAAGAAGGAGCCAAGCTGGTATGATTCGCATCTCATATTAAAACTTTCAAAACTGACTAAGAATAGCTGACATTAGTGGACGAAAGACAAGAATATTCTTCATCCTCGATTTAATATGGGTGCAGAGATACCGATGGTTGTCCAATTCACCATTTACTCTACCGAACTACTGCTTTACGACTGCGAAAAAATTAAATGATAAGAATATCTCGTGGTAAATTGCAATTGTTATTGTGAGGAAAGTAACTAGATATTTAAAAGGTACTACAAATTCATGCTACTCTGAAAGTCAATAAAAGCATCGCTAACAATCCAGCGTTTTCTACCGAGGCGCCTGCTCGATGACATCATAAATAGGAGAATGGAAGGGGAAGATGTACTCGTATTGAACATTGCCATAAGAAATCTGTGCGTTATTTGTAAAGCAGATCGACATGTAAAGTGAGGCTAGCAATTCTACATATATTTACTGCAAATCGGCCATCTGGTGACCAGGGGATCAGATCGGTCACTTCATTCAGTACACAGGCTTCAACTTGGTCACTGGACACCACAAATCCCACTTAGGACTTGCTCCGAGGAGCCTGAGGAGTAGAGCATTTAACAGTCTCTTCATGAAAAACCAGACACATCTGCAGTAGGGTCCTACTTGAGAAAACGATGCGTTTCAACTATTTTCTGATACCGCGAAGACCGATGCAATGCGCCAACCACCCCAAAAGACTTTGACGCCAAATCCAATGAAGCCCATCCCATGTGTCCGTCACGCCATCCCAACGTTCATTATCATACTCTCCAACCCGGGCCAGCCGCTGTATCCACTCATTTACAATCCGCCATTGACCGAAACCATCTGATCTTCCTCGATGACCGCGTGCCAGTCATTGCCAGCGATTTGGACAGCCTCTAGAGCCTTTGCTGGTGCTTTTGCCGCAAATCCCCTTCCGTATGTTAGTAACACACAACACTCTTCGAAATCTTGGGTGCTTACTTGATAAGCTTGTATTCGTGTGTGATCATTCCTCCAGCAGCCTTGATCGCAGCCATAGCGTCATCAATTACATTTGTTGGCGTGTTATCGGGATATGAAATGATGACGGCTTTCTGAGGCATAGTCGCTGCGAATGCAACTGCGACAAGTGTGAGAATAGAGGTGATAGTGAATCTCATTGTTTCTGAGACACGTTTGGAGAAATACTGGTCGGATCCGGCCTGTTTCGGTATTTTTTGGCTGTCAAAGTAGTAGTTAGGGTATCGGTAGGTCGATTCGATGTCTGACTTGTCTTTTGTCTTTGGCTTGGGTGTCGAAGGAGCGGATGGAAGTTGAATAGAGGTTGATGATGAACAAGAGACTGAGGGGCCTGGGCGAAGGATTTACAAGGTAGGCAGCGTTAGCCCAAGTTTACCCGCCTTGGCGGCAGGTGAAAAGTGGGTCAGCACGTGAGTGACTCTGTATTTGCCTTACCATTACGGCCATAAATCCAATGCCAGATCAAGACCTCTGTTCTTTCGGGACAACTGAACTATCGCTCTATTACCTCGATGCCTCAACGACTCAACACCTTGACCGAGCAACAATAACGGAAAACGGCGCGATACTGTACGATAGTTCGAAAGGCGCGAACGCGAACCATAGTGTATGGGCAGGGGTTGTGTTGGGGATCTGGCAAACAGCACAAGGCTGACAGTCCAGTTTGACAATCAAGTTGGCGGGCAAGGAGGATTGGGCAGTCTTCAAATACACACTTCTAGTTCTCTACTCAGAGTTGAATATCTTTGCGCATGGATCTAGTTAGCTGTCTTTGAAAAGAGTTGTTTCCAGTCGTGGTCGGCGGACAAGAAGCATTTCTTTTGTCTTGACATCTCACAACCATTGCATCTTCTTTTGGCTCTTCATCGTCCGTCATGTCTTATGGAAATCCCTCTGATGAAGTCGCAGAGGACTTCAAACATGCACTCCTCGACTTGAACTTGAATTCGCGCTATGAAATCAGCAATCTGACAGGTAGGTGGTATTAAGGACTGAAGCATCCTCTTTTTTGCTACTCCCTCTACGTTCGAACACGTTCAATATTATCAGTGGCTGATTGGAAAAAGTTATCGCAAGAGAAAATACCGAGGCGGCACTGGCCATCTCAGAGGTATTGAAGGCACATATCAAACAGGTACGAATTGCGAGGTCCGGAGAAAGAGCATCTTTGCTTACCATGTTTTAGGTCGCTCCGCCCAAAAAGCTCCCAGCCTTCTATGTCCTCGACTCTATTGTCAAAAATGTTGGCACACCATATACCCTTTTCTTCGGTCGCGATATCTTCGCAGTTTTTATGGATAGCTATGCACGAGTTGACAATGCCACCCGGTCAAAGATGGTTGAGATGTTGAGGACCTGGAAAGAACCTGTCCCTGGTTCGATGGACACTCGACCTGTATTCCCTGCTGAAGTAACACGGCCAATTGAGAACGCTCTGATTAAAGCCAGAACGAGCTTTCTTCAAGCCCATCAAGAGCACACGCGAGGTCAGGCTCCTGGTCGAGGCCGACCCGGTCCTTCACCAGCTCCATATCGTCAGACACCGACCCCTCCGAACCTCTACCAACAACCACCACCACCACAGCCAACTCAAGGATATCAAGCCCCTGGATATCAAGGACCTGCCCAACCGAGTACAGGATACCAAGCTCCAGGGTATCAAACTCCGGGATATCAAGCGCAGAACTATCCTCCCGGTCAACAGATCCCTGTACAACAACCCTCCGGCTACCTTCCCAACTATCCTCAACAACAATACAGTCAACCTGTGAGTGGACAGCAATATACCCAGCCAAATGGACAGCAACACGGCCAATCAAGTGTGCAGCAGTACAACCAACCGAACGCCCAGCAACCTTATGGATTGCCTCCTGTAAGTCCTGGTATTTGCCAGTGTTGTATAGTTACTAACAGATATTAGCGACCACCAAGCCAGCAATACTCCCCTCCGCCGCCTGCAAACACGGGATATTGGCAACAGCAGCAGGGCCCTGCTCAAGGTCGTAGCTCAGCTGAGGATGGAATAGCACAGTTGAACAGTGATATTGAGAAGCTCATTGCATCTTCAAGAGCAGAGTGGCCTCAGAATCCACACGATACTAGTATAGGAACGAAACTCAAAGCGCTGCTTGATCTTCAGACCATCTTGCAAAGCCAAAAGCTACCACCTGATCAAATTTCCCTGATTAAAGAACAAGTTGCGCAGCTGTCTAGAGCTCCTCAACCTGCACCTAAAATACAATCTCCGATTCCACTTCCTACTCCAGTAGCAGCACCAGCTCCAGCACCAGCTCCCGCTCAGCAACCTACGTTGAGCTCAATTCTTGGTCCTGGTGCTCTTGCCGCACTATTAGCTAGGCAAGCTGCAACTTCTCAAACACCTCCCGTGCAGGCTACCTCTGTCCGGTCGCCACCGCAAACACAAGCCCAACCGTACCAACCACCTCCGTCAAATGGGGTTTCAGTCGAACCTCTCTCGCTACTCGACAAGTTGCGGGCTGCTGGAATGCTGCCTTCAACATCAACTCCGAATCCGCCACCAGCTGCTTTTAATCCTACACCTGCAGGCTTCCCACCTGGATTTCCTCCAGCATTCGTGAACACTCCTCCGACTTCACGGACGCCGCTCGCTTCGATTCCTAATGATGTTGTGCTCAAGGCCACTTCCTTGAAAATGTAAGTCTATCGCTACTCTCTAAAGCAATCCGTGCTCACATCCATAGTCCCCGACCGCATCTCATATCTAGTCTCTATGAAGGTCTTGGTGCCCCATGTACACAATGTGGCAGGCGCTTCCAGTCTGACCCGGAGAGCAAAAAGAAGAAAGCTGCTCACATGGACTGGCATTTCCACGTTAGACAGCGCATGGATGAAGCCGAAGCCAGAGGTCAGCACCGAAGTTGGTATGTCGATGAACTGGTAAGTATCAATATCAAACCAATGGACCGAATCTATTCTCATTTTTTTATAGGACTGGATTAAATCCCGTGAAGTCGAAGGTGAATCAGGTGTAATCTCTTCGGAGCCTTCCCAAAACACAGCTGCCGCCGCTGCCAGCACCAAGCTTCAATACCTGCCCGTTCCGGATGATCCAGCTCTCGCGAACAGTATCTGCCCTATCTGTCAGGAGAAGTTTGAGATGAAGTGGCTTGATGAGGCGCAGGAGTTTGTCTGGATGGATGCTATCAATGTTGGTGGTAGGATCTATCACGCAAGCTGCTATGCAGAGGCTGCGAAGGACGTTACCACCCAAATCAAGCGAGGAACTCCTGAGCCAGTGTTAGGGAAGCGAAAGGCAGAAGTGAGTCTTTGGAAGCTGCTCCATGCATGTTATGACTAACAGATCTTCAGGATGACCAGATGGCGTTTCGGGCAAAAATCAAGTCAGAGCCTGGTGTTTGAATAGGAAAGTATCTTTCGGGTGGGTATTTACAGAGACACCACTTGCATTGGGAGGGACAGCACTCAACTTTCACAAAGCATAGCATTGGAGTTGATACATTGTTATACATGAACTGCTGGCCAACAGCTAGAGAAGAACAAAAATGCAAAATAATCAAAGAAGAAGGTTTGACAGACCTCAGCTTCATTGAATCTTGACTTAGAACACAGTTAGGGAGATTCTCAAGCTTCGATATGTTCTTCAATAACCTCAGATGTGCTTAATACCACGACTCAGCTTTGTACGGCTCGCAATTCCAGGGCAGTCACTTCTCGCTTGCTATCAGAGTTCGGATCATGATGTTCAAGGTAATTTCCTACTTGAAGTCAAGCTGTTTCCCCAAACTAACCCAATTGCAAATCCAATAACAGATTGTCAAAGTACTGTGTGCAATCACCCGTGCGCATCGAATAATCCAACTCAGTCGAGCTTAAAACCATTAGTTCTTGAAGGAAAGAAACCAATCTGATCATACGTTTTTTGAACGCTCTTCAATCTTGCATATGTGTCATTCCCATAGCCCTGAAGAACTTTCTGGTCAGCCATCGCATCGTTCATGAATGTACGGGGCTGATATCCATCATCAGCAAGTCCTGTCTTGAAATTGGAGCCTTGTAGTCCTGGGTATGTCTGCTTCGTATATTTCACCACGTTGTCCATGATCTCCGTCGCTACGCGGTATGCGTCTGTGTCTCCGAGCTTTGTAAGCCACGAAACGGTTACTGCCATCCACATGTGATCGCCATTATCTGGTGAGAGGCCGAGGATGTTTCCCAGTGGATTGACTCGTGCTGAGGCAGCCGGGATGGCATTTGGTACAGGCTGGTAGATGAAGTTCAAGATGAAGCCTGGCTGAAGCAGGCCAGTGAGGCCCCTGCTTGTCGCGTAAGAGACAAAGTTATTGAAATTTGCGACCACGAGATCAGTACCGTTCGGTGCTGACAAATTTGGGATCGTTGCTCCCTATTGAGCAAGTAAGCAAGACTGTTTATGGTTTCTAGTGGCTGACTTACTCGAAGGTCATATCGAAGGCCATATATGCTGCCAAAATTTGCGTTGGCGATGAGCTGAGAGACCAGTCAGTGCACTGTGCTCTTGTATTAGGCTATCTTACTCACCAACGAACTGTATGACTGTGTTTTGACACTGTCCCCTGTTGAAAGAATGACATTGAAAGCGTCGAATACCCCACGTGGAACAATCGGCCCGTTGTAAAAGAAGAAGATAGCGAAGAACTGGTCGAGGGTGTTCACGAGCGTCTGGAAAGTCACAATGATCGCAGCTCGAGGATCAGGAAAATTCTCCGTGAAGTTCTGCGTTGCAGCCAGTATTTGGGGTGCAACATATCTGGTGTATGTGCGAACCCCACCCCAGACCTGAAATCATCAGACAGAATACTTTCGCTTCGGGAAATCGACACTTACCAGTCCAATAGGGACAGTGTTGACGGTGAATCTCGTTACGATTCCTGGTAAACCATCAGATACATGATAAGGGATAGACATCTCGAATCGGCGGGCAATCTGTACCGAACTGGTTTCCACCTCCTTTCAAAGCCCAAAACAAGTCAGGATTCTCGTTGGCATTCGCGTTGACGATCGCCGAATTTGATAGAACTATCTCGTAGCTGTTGACTATGGGATATGGTCAGCCAAGATGAGCAGTTCGTCCCAGAATCTCGCAGATACAGCTTACTGTTGTCGCAAGGAAGGCCGTACTGTGCGCTCAAGAAGCTCAACCCACACCCGACGAGCAACCCTCCGACACCAACGTCACCAACACGTCCACCAACAATGGTGAGATTATATGGCTCCAGTGCACCAACAGCATCCATCCATGTTGCTCCAGGACTGAGATATGCCTGTGTCTGGTCCGATGACAATGTCGTGGTACTCAATTGGGACATCGATATCAGGACTCCGCCATCGGAACTTGCAAATCCAACGTTTGGATTATGTCCGCCGCTCTTAGTAGCAAAACCAACATCTGGATATCGCAAGAGTACTTGAATGATAGCGGAAACGTCTGGAGCATTTCTAGGAAACACAACACAGGCAGGGGTCCCGTCTGTATTCGCACTCGACCAGTAATGAGACTTTGCGTGAGCGTAGTCAGTATTGAATTGAGATGTTGGCCAACTCTGTATGATTAAACGAGTTTTCCCGGCAATCTCAGCGCAACATTGCATTGCTCGAGCAGAGGGAACGCCTCCGACATGGGAAATGTTTGAAAGCAAGCATAAGACGGCCAGGACCTTTGTGACGTTGGACATCCTGCCCCAGACAAAATCCATGCCGCGACGTAGAGTGACTTTCTGGACCTCAAAGCACCAAGAATGCTGGGAATTTGAATTTTTCTGTAGCGGAGTCACCAATATACGAAAGTCAAAGGTCCCATCTGGAAGGAGCAACCCTAAGTGACGATCGATCTTTCAACTCCAGTCTACGTTACCAGTGCGTTGTAGTTCCCAGAATTCCAAAGTTTATCACAAGATCTACCAAGTACTACAACGTGTTGATCTAATCCAGCTTTAGAGACGCCATGGGTGGTGCAACTAGACCATCCCGGCCTTTATAATTACCCAGTTCACGGACCGACTGGTTTATTTATGGTCAACTTCGAGAGAGATTCTGGAATACGACTCGTCACGATGATGATGCTGCAGATCGCAGTGAGTACGACATGACTGATGATCAAGTATCCGTCCACAAGTCACTACGAGTCGGATTCAAGTCCCATGTTGAGACCGGTCTTACTCCTCTGCTTGAGGGAGACTCGTCTCCGGAGTATTGGAACTACGCGAAAGCTTTTATTAGATATTACCAAGGAGTGGCACGACCATAGTTACCAGCACGATCAATCAAACGACGAACTCGGTGAGATCTCCGGCCCCAGACAAATCCATACGCTGTGTACCACGAAAGCAAACCTAGACACAGGTACGATGTAGCACAAAGTCAGGGAGCGACCGCTAATCAAACTTCAAACTGGTAGACCGAGGTCCAGCAAATCAACAGATGCAAGCATATGAATCTTCTAAGAGTCTTCCATTATGTCAGCCGCCACGCGATTAATTGATTCGATGATTAAGACAAGCGGATAGACTCACCTTTGGAGGCGAAAGCGCTCGTCTTCAGCCAGTCTTCGAAGCTCATGAGGCTTTGATGCTCTTGTCTCAACGCAGAAATGTCTGCATTGTATCCAACGTCCTCGAAAAATTTAAACATCAAGTTGACGTCCTTGATCGCCCATAGTAGGAACCAACCAATGAAGCTATATGTTTGAGGGATCTCATGGCCAATATTCTTCAAGAATACAGCATTCGCTTCTTCAAATGTCAGATTGTCACCGGCCAAGCTGATGGCGCGTTCGGAATATTTCTCTGGGTTGAGCAATGTTTGGGCACCAAAGTGGCCAATGTCCTTCGTTGACACAAGCTGAAGTTTTTTTTTTTTTTTTGGAGAAAGACTGATTCTCCAGGCTGTCGGGAAGATCTTCCCCGCAAAGCCTGGAATTATGTTGTCCATGAAGGCTGTTGGACGCAGGATTGTCCAAGACATCTGCGACCCTTTGGACTTTCCGATCAAGTACTTCTCAATGTTCGCCTTGCTGATAAAATGCGGGATATCCGTGACGTTTAGATCAGAATCCGAACCATGTCGGTCGACAGATGTAAAGACAAAGTGCTGCACGCCGTTCGTGAGGGCTGCATCCACCAAAGCCTTCCCTCTGAGTTCCTCACCTTGGCTATCTGCCCGAAAGCCCATATCAGGAATGGACACGCAGAAGACCCCATGGATGATGCAAGCCGCATTGGCAAATATCGCTGTGCAATCTTGGAGATCACCTTCTAGTAGCTTGATTCGATCAGGTGCTTTGAGGAAGAGGGCCTTGCTGGATTTAGATTGGACATTACGGGTTAAGGCGAGGATGGTAGCATTCTGAGAAGCTGCCAGGAGAGCATCGATGACAGCACCTCCTTGCTTGCCAGTCGCTCCAGTGATGAGGAAAGTCTTGGCCATTTGATTCTCTTCGCTGAGTGTCTACCAAGGTGAGCTTTGTATTGGTCAACCCCACGAGAACTACAAAATTGGAGACCGAAGTGCGATGTTACAATCATCCTACTTTCGGAAGAACCCGAAAAATGTAACCAGATCCGTTCTCTCGTCGCCTAACGATGGCTCAGAGTCAACTATCCGCTGATTGGCCCATCCTACAGAAGGGTCCGGCGGCTTGCATGAGGCGCCTCAATCAGCCTTGCCGCAAACGACCACAGCAAATCACGATGCAGAGACTTGATATTCAACGCTTGTTTCCGACAGGGCTGAAAATCCTTCTACTATTTATAATTCGGTGCCTGCCATGGACAATGAACGAGCCAAGATCTTGATCCCGTGCTATGGACTGCTCAACGAGCACAACTTTGAGTCTTTGACGCCGAGGTGGCTTTGAGAGAGATGTGTTGTACTTGGAATATTGTCAACTCATTCGCCAGATCGCCGCGACACCAGCAGTCGATAGACCAATACTTAATGAATCATATCTAAAATTGAATGCTATGTGCTCGAGCAACAACTCAACGAAATCAGTCTGCAGCCTCACTGCATCTAGGCTTGTCTGACTCGGAGCTGTAGCATGGTTCTACACACCTTGAGCACTGCCCTTGATCTAAAGTTTCTTTGAAAAACTTGCCGAGATTGTTTGCCTCAGCCGCAAAAACAACAAGAGTAACTGGACACGAGGTTTTCGCTTCGCCTCCACTGGCTGATAGCTTCCAGCCTCTAGGATTCGAGATGCACGGCAACGGACAGATGAGAATGCCTGATCAAAGTTACAGTTGATCAGTGCTGCCTGTAGGAGGAAATTATAAGTATTTCCATTCCACCTACCCCCTTTGCATCAGTCACTCTCAATTTCTCTCTTTCCAAAGCCGATTTTTCTTTACACGCTCGCTTCTCTATCACATTCAACACAGCACAAATCATACGCACGAATTCTCCTCAAAATGCTTGCCACGCTTCTCCTCCTGGGATCGGCACTCGTTGCAGCAGAGCCGGCTCCTTACAAGCTCGGATCTGTCTCCAAGAATCCTATGCTCGGCCTCGGTAGACGCCAAGATGCTGGATACTCACCCACGCAAACATATTGTGGTCCTGGAACGGACTGTGCCTCATCATGCGGTGCAACCTACATCACTTGTGCCTCAACAGATGACGCTCTTCACTGCTATGATCCCTCCATTAACGAGTCTTGCTGCCCTGATGGTACTGGAAGTAAGTTCTCCACTTTTGATCTGTTCGGTATCATGATACTGACTTGAACTCTAGACTCGTGCTCAGACGGCTATTTCTGCACATCAGACACCAGTGGAAATACTTGGTGCTGCCCTAATGTATACCCTCCAGAACTTTCTGAACGATTCTCATGCTAACAACTACAGGGTATGGATCTCGTGAGCTGTGCTGCAGCCTATAGCCTTACCGATAGTCTCGTGTCCCAAGTCGCCACTGTAGCACCGACTGCTGTCCAGTCCTCCACTCCAACAGCAGTCTCTGCCAAAGAGACCCCAACTTACACTCCCGGCTACAGCTCCAGCTCCAAGACCTACGAGCCAACTCTTGTTTCGAATGTCACGTACACGCCAACAACAACTGCGGGAGGAATGCAGTTCACTGGCGGAGCCGATCACGTTGTGTTTGGTGGATTGAAAGGACTCGCACTTGCAGCTGGTGCTTTGTTGGCATTTTAACCTTGTAGGGGTCAAGTCAATCGGGTGGATTTAATGGGGTCCTTGAGTGGATGTGTTTTTGAACATTTAGTCGTAGCTGGATGAAGAAATTATATCGTGATTTGAATGCTATTCCAGTGCTTACCTCTGATGTATTGACGTCTGCTGAGGCCGAAATTCACACTGCCCCTCACAGGAACAAGTAAACAAACCTCCAGAGTATGCCTGGCAAACAATATCATTCAATCGACGAATTACATTGCAACATTAGAGACGTATGGACTGCATAGCATGCTGAACTAGCTTCATAGACTAAATAAGCCTCGATTCCTTTGTTCCAAGTGGCCAAGGGGTTAAGGGGGGGTGACGTGAGCGGCATATCACCCAGCAACCGAAGCGACCCCACGTAAACCATCAAATGTTTTTTTTTTCATAGATATCTAACCAAATAAGCAAAACCCTTCCAGCCTTCTGAACTGCAAAGTTCTCAAGGTGTATAATGGGTTGCGTGCAGGTTTCCCAACTCCTATTCTTGGGCGTAAGTGGTGATTGAGTCGAGAAATCCCTCAATCTCCGCCTACCCCCTGCTATATTTTCTGTTCACGGAGATAACTACTAATCGTTGAGTTTGTTCTTATCTTTTGGCTTTAATTTGAAATTCATATTCATTTCAGCAGTGTTTTCTCTTTCTCTGTTCGTTGACAGAGGGTGTCGCGAATTTTTTTGCTTTTGTTTTGATGGAGCGATGTTGATTTTTAGCCGAGACCGCGACGGTCGCGTGAGGTAGGAAGCGAAGCGCCCCTTCATGTCAATCGGGGTGGTTATGAATTTACTACGCGCTATGATAGAGTGACGTTGAATTTACCCATCTATAAGTTCTGAGCACCTCAGATCGAGTAACCTCGGAAGTCGAACCTTCTGATATGTAAATAAGCTAAGCGAGCGAGGTCAAAAGAGTCATCATTCCCCAAATAGTCAGAGTTTGCAAGCGATTGGAGGTGCTCATCCATTTCAGATCTTACACTTTAGGCTTTTAGGTAATAAATCTTCACGGAGGTTGACTCCTCCAGCCTATTGATGAAAATGAGAACATAATTAATATGCCTTGACCAGCGGACTGGTGAGTTCAGCTCTCCATGCCAAAGATCCCAACCAACAGCAAGGACTTTTAACTTAAAGTACATTAAAAGCGCTCAAGGTCACTCAAAAAGCCAATTGCGGTGATGGCTTGTGCTTACGAGCCATGTGAGCTGTTTCGAACATATCGCGATCTTTGCATTTCACCGAATTGACAGTTGTTATTACTTAAAGAGATTATATTTAGGCTTTTACGTGGGCCGGAGCATGCAATTAAGCCAATGAATGTTTCACGAAAACCCAACAATGTGAATCGAGGAAGGCATTGATCAACGAAGCAGCTGCATGGAGCAATGCACTTGGAAGCAGTGTACCTCGGCATGTTTGCACCTACATCTTGGACCAATATGCCGTAAGAACATGCCATATAGACTTTGCATTAGAGTTAATCAGCTTTCACGATCATGCATGCCAGTACGAGATCCTTGGGACGTTCTTCATGCATGTACACACAGACCCAAACATTGACAGAGTCCACTTACCGAAAGCTCAGAAACATGGCATGAACCTCTCCTCAACTTCCGAGGTAACCACGGACAATGATCCGGCCTCTGCTACGGCATCAACTTTCCGAGAAACTTTATCTCACCCGAGAAACCGCGGCCCAGTCCTGGGTCCAGATAACCAAAACCGCGGCTGTCACTTCCATCCAGGGAACCGCTGTCAAGGTTCTTATTTCAATGCTGCCGTTAGTGTATGCCGGGAGCTGTGGGGGAGCTAGAAACTTTGTTTGGTTCTCGAAACTGAAGTCTGAAACCGCACGGCTCAGAAGTATGGCTACGTCCAGCAAGACTTGTCGCATCACCAGTCTGAAAGTAGCTAACAACTTTTCGTTCTTAACACGCCGCATATCGCGGCGGGGAGAATTATGCAACTCGTTGTTCCGGAGACATGGACTTGGGAGAGTTCACATCCTGCCGTCCGGGATTTGAAGCTTGTGGATAACTGTGATGGTTGTAATAGTATAAATAACCTTTGGGGTGGCGTATGAAACGTCATCCTATATTCGATGTGCCTTGGCGATCTTATCTAACAACCTCTGTCAAAAGCACCGAATAGGGAGGGGCAAAGATTGTGGTAGTAGATGTAACACAAGTGATAAAGGTCTGGCAAACAATGCAACAAATGCCGTCTTTTTTTCGCGATTTTGATCTTCTTCTCCCTTCCCTAAAATGCCCAAGCTCAGATGAACCTAGACACAATTGTTGAAACGGCTAAACGGGTCTTCCAGCACCCACTAAGAAGTAGTGTTCTGAAACGCTTGTAAGCTAAGCCGTAAAGAGGGTCAAGATGCTTTCGTCTGATGTATTTCCTCATTATTTGGACAGATTTGAGAAAGTTAGTGGGATATTGACTGGGCAGAGTGAAAAGACCTGAAGGCATCGGCTTCCTGCTAGCTCACGCGGGAACGGCGCCTGTTGAAACATGTTCGAATCAGCCGAGGCATCGTGTACTTACACGGTATACTGTAACAAACGCTAGTCGACGCTCAGGGTATGCAGTTCTGCGATTTGTACATTCGGAATTTTTGTATTCTAGTAATTGGTCGAGGTTATGCTGTGGCCGGTGTCAACGTCACATGAAAGACTGTAAATTAGTATATGAATGCCGTCATGACAATTGAGGCAAGCGTCTCGCATCGAAGCAAGGGAAAGAATGGCTGCAGATATATAATAAGACCCAAAGGTAGAAATAACAATCCCTGATTACCATGATACCTTAAAGCAAAATCTTCACCCGACTCCCCGATATGTCTAACGCCCAACAGATCACAGATCACCGTCAGATCAATAAAGTCCCAGATCCTTCGCTGTCGTTCTCTTCCCCATCCGTGCAGGTGATCTACTCTGCGCCGAGTCTACACTTGGAGGTGTATCTGAGACCACCCTCTCATTTGAGTTGGATGACCCCGACCCCGACCCATCATTCCTCTCCTGTGGGAACGTCCCTCTGCTCTTCGGCTCATCCCAGACCATGGCCGCCTTCCCATTATCTCTCGGCTCCTCCCGTCCATAAACTTCATCATCAGGGATTGGGACACCAGGTACCTCCATCAGGTCTCCGCCGTCGGAATCGGAATCGTTGTCGATCATCTGGATACCGCCGTCGCTGTCATCTGAGTCGTAGGTACGGTCTTGGGTCGGGCCGGAGAAGTTGACGCCGGATACGCCTTGCGTTATATCCATTACTTCACGCTCGCGGTCGACTTCTATGTATTGAGGAGGCTTTTCCTTTGGTTGGGGCCGTTGAGGTTGTGGCTGGAGTGGTGGTTGTGTCAAAGCCATTTTTAGTTCTGGTCTGTTCATGTCCATTCCTGCTAAGCCGAACGTCAACTCGTCCATTCCGTTATCCCATCCCTTATGCACACGCTCCGTATCAAGGTCTTTCCTTGATCTTGGATCAAACCCTTGACCCATGCTCATGCTTCCCCCTTCAAGTTCAGCAATTGGTGGCTGAGCATCCATCAGACTGATTAGGTCATCGTCGTAGCCCCCGCTTAGTTCTTGTGCACCTTTCTTCCTTTCATGCTCTTCATCAAGGAGTTGTATTTCTGCAACATCGTCTCGCTCAATGACCATGTCCTCTACCAGTATACCCTCGAATCCGCCTTTCTTGAGGATCTTACCAATTAGATTCGGGTATCTTAGATGACCACTGACTTCCTTGCTTAAGTTCAAGTTATCCACACCTTCTACGTTACCGATTTCTTGTAGACCAGCGACACCAAACTGAATCGACGTCGCTCGGTAAAGGAAAGCTAGAATATAGTCGTTCTCGGAATACACATTGATGATCTTGCCGGAAACAACAGACCGCATCACCCTCCAGTTGTTCGTACTACTTGGGACGGGCGCACCAATGAAAACGACCGATTCAATCAAACCAAAAGCTTTCCGTTCCGCAAGCGACTTGAGACAAGAATAAATCACCCTCGCGCCAAGCGAGTAGCCGATCAACGTGACCGGTCTCTCACCTTGCGCTTTGTTGATAAGTGCGTCGGCAAGAACTTCACCCGCTTTCTCGCTTCGGTTTCTCGCAACGGCGAAGGGGTTGTCGATACTTGTTGCCATTTTTAGGAGATATACTGGCCAGAGAGCTGACCACAGCGTAGCTAAGACGGTTCGTTTGAGAATCTCGACTTTGACGAATGACCAGGCGTATGATGATACCATGTTCTCGAGGCTCGTTCCGAGTGCGATCAGAGCTTCCATTTCGTAGCGGAGAGCAAAGACTTCACTCTCTCGCCCAAGAACTCGCCAGGGTTTGATAACATCGTCTTTGCCATTCAACCAACCATTGATACCGATTGTAACTCGTAGCCTCCTATATTTTCGGTCTCGTCAGCATCCGAATTGCTTCCGGTGTTTGGCAGAAATGGATAGACGTACCTCCCCTCCGTCTCAGCATCTATTTTCGTTCCATGCTCGCCCCATTCAGAAGCAAGAGGCAGAAACTTGAAGTCCGAAACTTCTTTGGCGTAGTTGTCGACCATTTCTCCAGTCATCTTGCCCCCAAAAGCTCCAAATAGACTTCCCACCAACGCACCATTCATAGCGAATATACCAAGAAAAGATGCTACACCACCCAGACCAACGCCTCCCATGATGCCTCCGATAGCACCTGCAACGATAGGTGCAGCCAACCCACCTGTGATTCCAATGACAGCTGCTCCGGCCACAGAAGCGAGTCCGACTTTCCACCGCCTGGACGAGGCATTCTCAGCTTGTCGTTTCTTCGTCTCGGCATCAGCTGTCAAAGTCTTTGATGCGAGCAACAACGTCTGCGCAATTTCAGTCTCCTCTTTCGTGAGGACACTCAAGGGTAGAGCAAAAGCCGAAGTGATATGACAAAGCAATACTCTCGAATGTGCTGAATAGTGCCCCAAACTTAGAAGCAGCAACACTAAGCCGCTAACCACACACGTTCTATCTTCTTTGGAAATCGTATTTAGACGAGTCGGGATCGGGTGGTATAGAGATTGCAGCAGCGATACATCCTTCGCTTCTTGCATCTCTCTTGCTTCAGCCAAGACCTCTGCTGCTACATCTTTCACGTCTGACGATTCGGCCGAGTATGGAGGCGGTGCTGGATTTCTCGCTGCCATCCAGTCTCTCCTCCTCTGCTCAGATCTCGGATCATCAGGCCCATCACAAATCTTCCTAAATTGGCCTCGCACTTCTGCTGCCCAAGTATCGAAATAGAACAGAGCATTTTTCTGCAATTCTTGCAACTTAGGCGTGGATAGAGATCTTTCGAGACGAGCTTCTAGCCGTCGTTGCCGTGCTTCTGCTTCTGGATCGAGAGAGGGCGAGGCGAGAGGCGAAGGTGAGGGTGATGCAGAGTCGTCACGTGAAGAGCTGCCTCCAAGGAAGAGGGGTGCGGCTTCTGTCTGTGGTCCGTTGAATGAAGTTTCTATCTGGGAGCGCATGTGTGCAATTATACTGCCCATAAGAACGGAGAGGGCGCGTCGTCGTGCTAGGTTAAGGACCAGCTTCAGATCCTTCGGGTCTGAAGCGTTGGGGGCCATGCTGAAGTTGTTTTGTGGTTAGGTGAAAGAGGACTGGCGGGCCCCAGAAATCAACGTTAGGATGACAGAATGGGTACTCTGCATATACTGCAAATCCAGTACCGAAATGCGTGCTGTAGTGGGTGCTGTTGGGTTGAAGTGGGTTGGTTATATCTTGGACGATTCCTGCAGCCTAACGAGAGAGTAGGATTCGCGACTGGGCGATTTCTGGTAAGCATGGAATAATATAGACAGAGTTGAGGGCAGTGATTCAGCTGGCATACCTCCTCTAACTATCTCCAAATTCATCAGTTTCCAAGAAGATGTCCTGAAAGCACAAGAGTATAATTGCTCAAATTGTGGAACTATTGCGAACTACTTCGCCACGAGGTTGCAGATGCCAAGTCTTCAATTGTGTAAGTCTGTTCAAGTAAGTTTACTCCTGAAATTTTCCCTGATGATATTGATATTCGCGACCTGTATTATTACCTACTTCAATACAGTGTCTGAAGGTATTTTGCTTGCTATAGTTCAAAGACAACACACAGCAAGACGTTCCGCTCAGTCGAACCAATGGAACGTCGTGTGGTGCCAACGTCACGTGATAGTAAGGAGGACCCCAACCCGACTGCTTTCATCTTACGAGGTTCGTGGAGAGGCTTCTTGAATACTTGAAACTAGAGGCGACGGTGTAGATCAAAAATGATTGCTTTTGGGTTGCTCGCAATAGCTAAAGAGCACTGTGTTTCCTAAGTCCTGCTGTGAGCAGCTAGGTGGAGAAACTCAACGGGGCTCGCCCTGTCAACATAGCTCTCATCAATGTTGACTTGAGCTCATGGCTGAAATTTGCTGAAGCATCAACGCTTCAGATTTCATCCATGTCATCTAAATCGTCGATGACTGGGAAATCTCCAGCCTCGACCCTCTCTGGCCTGACAAAAACACCAAACTTTGGATCCCCGTCCTTGCCCCAGTATCTCTTGCCTTTTAGACTGCCATCATTCTTGCCAACTGGCTCATCTAGCTTCACGCCGACCCATTTGCCCAGCCCACCTGGAATCTCCTCAACATCACCAACATACATGACTTCGCCTCTTTTGGAATCATCCTCGCCAACTCTACATCTCTTACCAACCTCGATCCCCCTATTCTTGATTTCTGCGTCAATCGCTTGCAATTTTGCTTCTTCTAAGGATGGCGCGGAAGGGTCGAAACGACCAAGCTTGTTTGCCTTTTTCCATGCAAGAACACTATCGGACTTCCGCTCATACTCCTCCGAAGGCATTTCATACTTGGCAACTTTACTAGCATCGGTAAAGTTTGGGCGTATTCCAGGAGGCCGGGTGTCCGTGACCTGCAAGTGGTGGAGAATTAGCCCGCGCGCCCTGGGACGATAAAATTGAGATGAAGCAAGCATTTGAGTTCGTGCAAGTGGCGGCTGATGGGGACATCAAACCGACCGTCCCTCAAAAACGATCATTGATACCAAACAGAACTTGCCGCACGGCAGTTAAACCCGACTTGGCCAGAATTTGCATTTTGAGAGCCGATTTTCCAGAAGCTTCGTCCTCAGTCCCGAAATAAAGAGGAGATCAAACACTCCTGCCATCAGTTTGCAGGATGGTGGATATCGTTCGCGGCGCCACAGTTCTTATATCTGATACATCAACTGAAGGTGCAACCCGAACCGCAACAAAGAGACAATCGATATAATCCCAAGTGCTCAATTGGCTTGCCAATTTAACCTTGTTTTGTATTCTCCATGAACCTCATCCTTGGCCCAACGGTCCCACTAGGGACTTAGTTTCCGGGGGAAGGAGTGTCACCATGTTTCGTAAAGCGACAACAAGGAACTCAAAACTTACGTGAATTTCAGCATACGGCGCCAGGGGAAAGTTTCCTAGCTGTGTGTTCTCTTCGTCAACAGCTTCAATAGGAACAGGTTGACGGCCACCGAGCTTTAAGATGAGCTTCTGCGATAGGGGTGGGATGCCGGTGACTGGCTCCAATTTTGCCTTGAGCTGGCCGATGGTCCATGATGGGGTGATCCGACGTTCTGAAGAGGAGTTCTCGGAAGTGATCTGGAGGGGTATGTCCCCTGTTGTTTGCAAGCTCATCTTGCTTGGTGCCTCGCAAAACTGATCAGATTTGGGAAGATGGCCGGAGTCGACAAAAAAGGAGGAGGCTTGAATGGCTTTGGACGTTCAAATCTGACGCGGCTTAGGTCTGTAGTTCGTCAGCGGAAGATTCTGGCGTGGTGGGATGGAGACGCCTGGATTAGGGTGACCTTGTTTGATGTCTGGAGCACGCGGCACGGAGTGGTTGCACTGTACGAAGGGATACGGATGCGATCAGAGATGGGGTTCGTCAGAAAAGACAAGGCTGGCTGGCATGGGTGCGACGACCAGGTCCAGGTCCAGGTCCAGGTCCGGGTCAAGGCAGGCAAGCTGGCAACGCTGGCTCGCTTCAAACAGTCCTCAGAGTCCTCACAATCTAATCTCACTAGCGCTCAAAGCTGGAACATCGACCTCGCTTCATCTTCGAGAACGTTTGAGTTTCTTCGCAAACACATTCTCTGAGGTTGGGAGTGCTTGTAAACATCTTACATTAAATTCTGTACTATTCACACTTGTCCAGCCAGTATTGCCATATCGTTCTGTTCGGCCAATATCATAAAGTCAATCGACTAAGAAACTCTCCCAAAGTTCAGCCCTTGTGACAATCACGGGATCCTCATCTAAGGTAAATCTAAATCGATCTTCATCTCGGGGTCAGCCGAGATTGCAAATTGCGCACCACTGCCTCCAGCCTCCAGCCACCCTGGCCTTGCCCAGCCACAGAAGGCACTTTCTGGTACCGACGAGCGGATCCTCAGACCTCAACGACATCTCTTCTTTTCTCGCCTTCTTGAGTTTTGACAGCATACGTGTGGATTCTTTCTTTGCTTTCTCTCTGCCGCTGTCTTGCTTCGCGTCCACATCCCGCTCTCGGTCAATATCGTCCCTTCCCATCAGTGTTCCGTTCGCCTCGGTGGTCCCAGGATCAAAAGAAAGCATGAGTCTGACAGTCCAGTTCAGCTCCCAGTGCTCCCTCTGGTTTCATGATTCGACGCTCAGGCGGAGTTTAAAGGGCTCATGCCCGCAACCTGCCTACTGCAACCCTCCCCTTTCAAAAACCCCTATTGGTCAATGGCCCCGTTTGCAGATCAATCAATTGTTCTATCTTGGGATATCGATTGGCCTATGCTCTATTGCCCCTCTTCAATAATGCGGGCCCAGCATGAATCTTCAGTCCCTGCAGGAGGCTGGCCGTCGCCATGCTCTGCCCTGACCATGCCATGTGTATGATGATCTCGAACGCTTCAGAGATGAGGAATGGACACAAATGGCTTGTGTGCAGGTGTCCAGCTCATTATTGTTATTACTGCTCCCGAAATGGCCCCAGAACCTTGAGAAGCCGCCGGCTACCTGAGTGTCATTGCCATCACAGTCTCACCGCTCAAACATCAAGGGTCTTGGAGACGTTGCTTCCACTCTCCAGCCCTGAAAAGGGAGCGGCGATCACGCGAGTTGCGTCGTGAAGATGCGCTTTACCGTGGCCTAGAGAAGTCTCCCCCACTGCTTGCTCGCGGAGAATCCCAGCATATCAGATATGAATCTTTTATCCTACTGGCGACGGGGCAATCATATCTCCTTACGTATGATCTATGTGATCAATTCCGAACGTCATATTCGCGTTTGTTATGCTTCGCAGTAAGAGGCTATTGGTGAGGCCCGCCCGGCAAATCGCGTGAAGTAGTCTGTCTTCTGTACACAAATCACCTAGCCAGCATCATGATTGGCATTTTCCGTTTCTTTTCATGCTTGCGAACGTTTTAGCGGGGCAGCACGCTGATGACGGCTTCAAAGTTCGAGGGGAGTAATAATGGGTCGTGAATTGTGACAAGGCATAAATTCGGAGAGTTGCTGCAGAGCACTTGTTCTGCAACTAGAAACTAGAGCTCAGATCTAGGCTGATAGACCGACCTTCCATTCCCTCGCCGACGTCAAGCTGCTCGTCGTGTGTCGTCTCTAGGTACTGCGTGACCGTGACCGCTCTTCTCGACGGTCCAACAACAATTGCCATTGTCATTTCCAGCAAACGGACGAGCCTCCATAACGGCTTTCTGCAGGACAGACAGCGCTGCGTGCCTTGTGTCACAAAATGCCATGAGGGAGGCAGGGAGGCAGGCAGGTTTCGTGCGCGTGCGTTTGTGCGCCTGGCTCGAGCGACAACAATACCAGTAGGGTAATTAATGGCAGTAGAAGCAGCAGCACAGCACGGGCATCCCCATTAATGCGGGCTGCTAATGCACGGCATAGCATAGGTAAGCCAGCCCAGCAGAAGCGCCTTGTCGGCTACGGTACGGTTACAGGCCGTGCTACGACTCGCTACCAACCCACTCAGTAGGTAAGGTGAGGTGAGCTTGAGGTCGAGGTTGCGCGCAGCCAGTAGTAGCTGCATCAGCAACCCAGCCCAACGTCCAGGCCAGCTCGATCACTGGTCCGCTGTGGCCACTGGCCACTGGCCAGGCACCTCGTCTGATACTCGTGGTCGCTGTCTGCAAGAACACACCTCAGGTAAGGTAGCTTTAGTGTTACTACTGTCCTGTCCTGTCCTGTCCTGGAGCTACGTACGGTGCCGGTGCCACTGCATCCTGCGTTTCTGGACGAGCTACTGTAAAACCCCTCGTGGTTTGCATACATAGCTCACCGCTACCATGGGATAGAGTTCGAGAAACTCGGCGTGCCAAGATATCTTTATTTTCATTTCACGTTTCTGCAAACGCCTTCTCCGCGAGAAAACCATCGCCCCTTAGTCAGTTTGCCGTCCGCTGATGCGCTTCTTACTCAGGGATGCCTGGTCCCGCCAGCCTTTCCTTTCGAGAAGGCTTTCGACCTGGCCGCCCTCCCCTCTTACCCATTGCGATGGACTGCACTGCCGTTATGTCATTCATGGACTCATGGCAGTCGGTTGCCAGCACTGGCGCACTTACACCGCTATATCGAAATGTGAAGTCCCGATGGGAATGAGGGCACAATGAATATCGAGGCAGGCAAACGCTAAATGTGTCTGTCCTTCGTTTGGGCACCTGGATCCGGCCCCCTTGCAAACGACGGAGAATTATAGTGACCCTTTTGGTTGCTTGACAACGCAGCACAGGTATATTGCTTTACTTAGGCACCAAAACTATACTGTATGGCTTCTATTCGGAGACGCAGCCCAAACCGGATGCCATGTACAAGCATGGCATCCATTTTCAGCCACCCAGCTTACCACCGACGCATTTTGGGGCGGCTTGACAATTGGCTCAACTCGGCGACTGCTACCCGGCTGCAACAACAACGAAGATCGTGGTTCATGGCAGCCTCGTTGAAGCGCTGCAAGCCATGGAGATCATACCTTGATCCCTGGGGCCTTTGAATGGCACCCTTGCTCCTTTGACCGCCAGTTCGTTGGCCCAAGCTGGCGATCCAAGATCTGATGTGCTTGCCAGCTGGTCATGCCTTCTGGCTCCAGAGCATGGCCCATGAATGCCATGGGTGCCCGTTGGAGGGTGGTCGACAAGCTTCGTCTTAAAGTAACAATCAGATTCAGCAGCGGTACAATGCAACAATAGATGTCTGTGATGTTGAGATTGCGCACAGACATCCGCTCAAAACGGTGTCGAGGGGTGCGAGGGGTTGCACAGAAGTCTGGGACCTTATAAGAGTTTCAACAACACCGCGGCAGGTTTCAACCAACATTTCCGAGCCCTGCCCTGCCCTGCCCTAACGAAGGCAACCCCCGTCCTCATCCTCACCTACTGCCTGCACCACCAATTTATGGGCCAGCAGCCGAGAGAGCAAGCATTCCTTTCCTTCACACTCAAGTTCATGCATGAATTCGTGGCCACGCCCTAAGCCCCTAGCAGCTCTTCCTCCACTCCACTTCACTCCACACTAGTTGACCCCCTGCTCTGCCTCTCCCCCACCATGGATACCTTCCTTCCATGTGCCTCGCGCATCTTCCCGACAGACCGTATACTTAGACCTACAACCATGTTCCGCCGCCGCCTGAAGATCTCCAGTTCGAACAAGCTCCTTGTCCCTTCCAGCACCTCTTGACGTGTTTTCCCGATAGTCTGTTGGCGCTGGCATTCTCCTCACCTCTCGTCTCATCTTTTGCGATTGGCTACATCTCAGACGTCCTTTTGCCAATCACATGGATGGCTGTCACGATCTACGCGAGCCACGCTTCTTAACTCTGAGGGCCTGAAATAGGAACGCTGTCCTCATCGGAAGTGCCTCGTCTCAAGATTCTGTCTGCCGAATGCCCTGAGCCATCAAGCTTTCCAAAGTTGCTTTCTAGTTTCACGTCAGTGGCCGGTATCTCAACTGTCAAGTCTTTCTTTCAGAGTCTCCTTGCATTTGAGATCCTTCCCCATCTCTACTCGACAAAAGGCGGCGAAGAAACTGGCGGCCAGACTCCAAACACTCGTTCAAAAGCCGTCTGACTATCGATCGGGCCTCATCTTACGTCCATCCCACAATCTAGATCTACACAGCAAAATACAATCCTTACAACCCAAGCCGCTCTTTGTGCATATGACCCGTCAGCCGTGTACGGCACCGGCGACTACTTACCGTCACCGTGGATATCTCCCTCCTCCTCAAGGCTCCGGACTCTAATGAGTCTGCGTCAACTTCGCCCACCCATAGACACCACACGCGATCAACATCCGTACCGTCGACCAGTGGACAACCGGAGCCTTCTTCCTATGCCCTCGCCAATCCTGGCGCTGGTGGCAAGCGCAGTCTGCCTCCCCACCCAGCGGAATCCCCCGCCAAAAAGCAGAGTAAATGGTCCCCAGAGGAGGATGCTCTAATTATTGAACTGAGAGGGAGTGGCATGAAGTGGGAGGACATCTCAAAGAGGCTCCCTGGACGCAGTGCAATCAGTTGTCGACTTCATTACCAGAACTACCTGGAACGACGGAGCGAATGGGACGAAGAGCGCAAGAACAAGCTTGCAAGACTTTACGAGAGGTAGTACCCCTACCTAGAATCCAATTGAGGAGACGAAGAGCCTTGTAGCACCTCTTGTCGTCCATCACAAAGCACTAACTTTGGACAGATTCAAGCCAGAAATGTGGTCCAAGGTTGCAGAAGAGATGGCTGTTCCATGGCGAGCAGCAGAGGCAATGCACTGGCAACTAGGTGAAGCAGACATGGCTCGACGGGCAGGAGTAGTTCCATTCTCACTGTCCAGTTTCTCGACAGACGCACCACCGCAAGGCCACCGATCGTCACCGTCGCGAGGACATTCGCACAGTCAGTCACAGTCCAGCGTGATGGGTGGACCTCAGGGACCAGGACCAGGACCAGGACCCGGCCCAGGTCGATTCAGCAGGCCCGCGACCGCTCAAAGCAGCTCCACTTCGAAGGCGCCAGGAGGAGGACCAGCGCGAACGATTGCTGCGCGCAGGGAGAGCACGCCGCGGTCGGTTCCACCCGCGAGTCCAAGTGATGGTCTTGCGTTGGCAGCAATTGGAGGTGGAGGCATGGCAATGGGAATGGGACGCGGCGCCCAGATGCTACCCAGCGTGGCAGAGATGACAACTGGGGTTAGCCCGTACAGCACCCCGGCGTACGCAATGTCGATGCCAATGTCAGGAGGGTATCCAAGTCCAGGACCGATGCTACCTTCGATTGGGATGATGGGTGGGAATCGACCAGAAGGAAAGCGAGGAAGAAGTCCAGACATGGGCCCCAGGGACACGAGTCGACGAAGGTAATGACTATCTGCTTGATGGTTGAATCTTGTTGGACCTGGCGTTGTGGAATGGAGGTTTGGGTCGGCGCTGATATGATGGATAGATGATGATGATTGCGAGAGAGTGGCTTGGCTCTCTCGTGTTTGATTTTGGCTTTGGAATCGAACAGCATGGCATGGCATTGCATGATGATATCCCCCGATGAACAGCATACACTGCATAGGGTTCTTTTTTGGGTTGAAGAACCATTGGTGTCTGGGGTTTTCTTTTCTAGAATTGTATTAGGAAGCTGTACTGTTAAAATAAAGCCCATTTTTGCTTTCTACATCAAAACAGATGCCCTCACAGGCTTTAATGAATAAAATCTCTTCAATTGTACCTTTAATGGCTCATCTGTCGCCGCTCTCGTTGCGTGTCGCGTTGGATCCGGTGGGATCAGTGATCTGCAGAAGGGTCTGGAAGCTTTCGACCAGGTTTGATGTCGAACAGTTTCGTTTGAAATTTGACCGTTTGGTTTCAACAACCGTTTGTTCGACAGACATGGTGCCAGGTTATATCGTTTGCACCTAGCACTTAGTACCTCAATTCGGCTCTCAAGTAAGATCCGAATGACCCAACAGCATATGTCAGTCCCCACCAACATGGATGGACAACAGCCGCTTCCCTCATCAGCCAAGCCCGCCCTCTTCTCCTAGGAAGGTCTTCGGTGCCAAGCCTTCCCTCCTCTCACCCTCCCTTCCGGCAAATCGCCCACCAATTGTCCTTTTCATATCCACTTTCGACCACTACGCCACCAACATTCACAACATCCTCTTCCAACTCTCCTTTCCTATATAGATGATAATACCTCTGGAAAGTCTTCTCCGGCTCCGCCCCCTCCTCAACTTTCTTTTTACCACTCTTCATAACCCACGGCACCATAACGTCCTGCTCACCGCCCTCATCCCATCCTCTCCTACTCCCCTTCTGCTCCAATGCCCACACATAAACCAATGCCTTCCCATCACCCTTCAAACACTTCAATATAGCACCTACAGCCTCTGCCCTCCTTTCCCGCGTACTGAGATGATGCACTACCGCAATACAGATTGCGAAATCGAATCTCCCATCTTGATGAGGAAGTGAGAGCGAGTCCGCTACAACTGCCGCATGAGGTTCGTGCTGAGTAGCGATATTGACGAGGTTGGTGGACCGGTCACTGGCGATGATGAAGACGTCTTTGTTGACAGCGAGGTATTTTCCGTTACCACAACCAATATCGAGACCGATTGAGCCAGGAGTGAGAGATTGTAGAAATGACTCTACGATAGGCCATGGCTTGTATCGTGTCGAAGAGAAATGGGAGGCGATTTGCTCGTAGACTTGGTGGACATGTTGCTCTTCATAGCGTTCTGGTTGAACATGGCCCGGCTTTTGCTCTTGCGCATCACCTTCTAGGACCTTCTTCTCTTTTAGATCTGCTTCATCCTTTCCTGGCCGGCCTTTCGTAAGACTGTCGTTCACGGTCTCGCTTATTTCGTGATGTCGTCCATCTTCACGGATCTGCTGTGTAACTTCTGAGAATTCTTCCTTCAACAAACTGCTTGCATTTTCTGGAGGATGCACTGCCTCGTGGGCAGCTTGCACAGCTTCTCGTGACATTGTAGAGTTTGTTGACTCCTAGTTGCTTGGCGATGCTGTGCTCTGACCGAGCTTCCACACACAAACCAGGCGTGACCTCCTCTTGCCTCTTGCTCTAGCAGGATACTGCCCGTTCTCCAGCTGACTTCCCTTTCACTCCTTTCAAAATCCACTTTTACCAACGAAGAGGGGATTCCTGGCACAGCTCGCACAATTTAATCCCCACCTCTGACTCGAGAATGCTCTCGTAGACACCACACCATACAACTCAAAAAAAGCGTCAGCGTCAATTTCAACAGAATAGAACACAAATGAGGTTCAGAGCAATGTCGTCAAAACAAGCTTGCATTGTTGCGCAAAGACATGCAGTAGCTTCCCGAGACTATGATTCTGACAAAACATCCAGGTCTCATCACTGCAAGGCGCGGGCGTGGAAATACTCGAAGCCAAGTACCCTGACACTAGATCACTTTGGGCATAGCCTCCTTGTCGATTCCTGGTTCAATTTTCCCGAGGTTTCGGCGACGGCAGCGCCAAGCCGACGAGGCGACGACACAAAAAAAATCCGGGACTTGTGTCGAGTCTTCGATTTCAAAAGGACCTCGCTCTGGTACAATGAGTGCCAACCCGCCACATTGAGAACATCTGTCTCATCTCAGCGGAAACTTAGGACTCTTAAATTGTCTGTGTTACCGGCTCATATTGAGACACGAGGCGCGAGAATTATTTTGTTGCCACAAAACCCCGCTACTTCACGAACTTTCGATATCGTCACCTGGGCGGAACTTAGCACAGATGCTATACCAGTCGATTTTCAAAGACCGAGTACTAACTGAGCTCCTAAGGGAGCCCAGCTTCCTTCTGATTTATGTACCGGGGTTCAATTCCATATCCGTTGCGAGCTGAATTTTGGAGTGCATCTTGGGCTATCACGTTTATTGTTTCTTCACAAAGATAGTTTGGGTAATAGGAAGGCCCCTCCTCCTGTTACTTGCGACTCCTATTTTCAACACCAGCAAGATAGTATCGGCGAGATCCGCAGCCTCTCACAATACCTTGTCCAGTGCCCAATTGAGGACTATTCAGACATTGTTTCGCGAACGCCCCAACCAGCATTTTGCCATTGTGCTCAGCAACCGTAGCCATGGGGAAGAAGTATATCATGAGTCCGGTGCGCCCGTCGCCCAAGTTTACAAAAATCCCCAAGTACTCTCTTCCTTCCAAAGCGCAGAAGTTCAAGCATAGACGGACTCTTCATTCCAAAGTCTTCGATCCCAGCTTCAAACGTTCTATCTATTTCAAGAATACACACAAGCCACTTCCGATTCGATCCCGGTCATTCGTCATCATGCCTGTCAAGACCAGAGGCAAGACCGCTGGACCAAAGAGTGTCGATCTCAGTGCTCCCCGCTTAAAATCTCCAACCATCGATCTGAAAGGTACTTGTCTAGTGCTCCCTATAGTGTAACATATTAACATACAGATAGTTTCTATTCCAAGCACTGAGGAAAGCGGGATCAGTAAATGTCCTTCTCCCAAGCGGGCTCGGTCAGATGCCACAGAAGCCGATACCAACAAGTTCAACAAGCGCGTCAAGCGTGGAACAGATTCGTTCGAATCATCTCCCGATAATTTAGCCGCCTCTGAAGTCATCCCGAAAGTCAGTAGCAATAGCTCCATTAAGCACCCGGAACAGAACGGGGAACATGAGCCAAATGGCAAGGCCAAGAAGAAAGGGGAGCATTCGAAGGAGGGTAAGGAATCGAAGAAGGCAAAGGATTTCAAGAACGAAGAGAAGCCCAAGAACGGGTTGGATTTCAAGAGTGGAGAGAAGCCAAGCAGGAAGCCAGGAAAGAAGTCTCGTGTAAGTGGAGATGTCATTCGCTCAGGTTACTTGACTGACATGTTTTGATTGAGAAGATCCGCCGTGACTGGGACAGATTACCCGCAGCGTCGCAGCAAGGCTTTGTCAATTTGACGGGAAGCATTTGCTATCGAAGCGGGGGTATTCAAGCTCTCCTCCACATTCCAGCCTTCGCAAACTGGGTGATGGATGATCTGAAGCCGGAGAACTGTGTTGCCAAAGAGAAAGAGAACTGTGTCTCCTGCATTCTTCATCAATTGACCACCGAGTATTGGGCTGGCGCATCCATCATGAAGACCTGGAAGCGGTTGAATATCATCCTGAGGAGAAGTATGTGCCCTCCAAAACGTGCTTTGCACGGCGTAGAAAATTGATGCTAACGTTTTGGCAGAGGGCTGGGGCGCTGATGTTGGTAATGGGCACGCGGATGCAGGAGAGCAACTTATCTGGATTCTGAGCCAGATCGAGAAAGAAGTGCCTTCCAAGTGAGTATTGATGTTGAGATTTTTCCAACATCCAAAGCTAATACGATTCAGGATATACTCCGGCCTCCAACGATTGTTCTGCATCAAATCGGATCAGATCATCGAGTGCTCCGGTTGTGGTTACAAAGCCACTTCAAACCCAGGAAACCAGCATATCCTCAACCTCCCGCTCCAGAAGAATGCCACCCTTACCGGCCACATTGATGGCTACCTGGCCCGTGAGAAACTCACTGATTACAAGTGTGACTCCTGCCACAAAGTTGTCATCAATAGCAAGTACTGTAAGCTCGTTCGTCTCCCGGAGGTACTCTGTGTACAAATCAATAGGATTCAGTATAGGAACGGCCGACAAAGCATCAACCATGCTCCCGTCAATATCCCAACCACTCTCGATATGAGCAAGTTCCAGCCCACAACTACACAGGCCGATCAAAAACAGGCAAAGGTTGAGTACGAGCTTCTGTCTGTTGTGAAGCATTTAGGGGGGGTCAAAGCTGGCCATTACGTCTGCGCAGCTGTTGGTGGGGACGGAGTCTGGAAGTTGTACGACGACAGCTCCGTCAAGAACACTACCGCGGCCGCGGCCACCGGCAAGGCCAACAGCTTCGACCCCTTTATGATGTTCTACCAGAGGAAGCGAGCTTGATCGGGGGCGGAATCAGGAGTAGACAGCATTGCATCAGCGAAGGCGTTTTGCGAAGATACCATTGAGTTTTGTAGAGTCGGAATTCAGAGTTCCTGTCTTGTGGAGAGATCTTGTTCTTCACTGACATCAATCCGAATTTGTTGCTTATGAAGACGTGCGGTCTGTGATTACAAGGTGTTTCTATTTGTGTTCCCAAATGTGAAAGGATCCCGAGATTTTGAAACTTGAAATTGATGCTTCGCTTCGCTCCCCACTCGACACTTAACAGATACATGCACAATGAGCCTTCTACAACAGAAAGATGGTTCAAATTTATACAACACATGCGCAGTAAAGGTGGATTCAGCGTTGCCAATTTTATGCATACGTCTTTACAGGGGCTGCGCCGTAAGCCTGCCGCTTGAAGTATCTACCTTGAGCTGGCAGGCTTGGCGATGACCTCCTGTTTCTTCCTCCACATTTTGCTACGCCGCCAAAGTCACCCTCGCCATCTGAGCCTTCGTGGCTGGATGTGAATTCCAAGCTAAGCACTTCTGCTCGCAACCTTTGCTACTTTGGATGGCAGATGCGCGGGCTATTCGGTGCTCTAGGCTCAAATGCGTCTTTTAAGGCTTGGGGCTGATGGTGAATTCAGCCTCACCAACGACATCACCCTACAACTCCTTATGCGATACTTTCACACACCTGGGGAGCAGATGATGAGGAGATGACCTTCGAGGACTTCAACGATGGGTCCTGGAAGCTGAAGAGTGGATATAAGAAGCTTCAGTTCTGTGGACAGCAGGCCGCTAGAGATGGCCTACAATTCTTCTGGGTGGACACTTGTTGTATCAACAAAGCGAACAGTACTGAGCTGTCGGAAGCTATCAACTCCATGTTTCGTTGGTATCGTAAAGCAGCAGTATGCTATGTGTTTCTGGCAGATGTCTGGGCAAAAGATCCATCTGTAGAGCTATGGGAAGCAGCTTTCAGCAAAAGCCGGTGGTTCATTGGTGTGTGGCTGGACGCTTCAAGAGCTTGTTGCACCGCCATCGGTGGAGTTCTTCTCCCTGAACGGCAACCGACTTGGCGATAAGAAATAGTTAGAAGCACAGCTTCATAAGATCACTGGGATTCCTGTTCTCGCTCTTCAAGGCACGCCTCTTTCTGAGTTTGACTTCGACGATCGGGTAAAATGGGCACGAAATCGGCAGACTAAACGTGAGGAAGATCTGGCTTATTCCCTGCTAGGCATCTTCGACATCTCAATGCCTGTTATCTATGGTGAGGGGAAGGAGAATGCATTCCGTAGGTTGAACCGCGAATGGAAGTACCGACTCGATGATCTTGCGAAGGGTGCCTTGGATCCGTGGTTGCTGAGGAAAACCCCCTGACGGTGCCGGCTGCGTCGCCAAAGAAGGGCTTCCTGGGTATTTACAGAGCCCTATATGACTACAAATCTGAGGAAGACGGCGAATTGTGTATACAGCAGGGAGAAATACTCTGTGTATTGGAAAAGAGCGAGGGGAATGAATGGTGGAGAGCCTGGAAGAAGGGTAGCTCGGGAAAAAATACTGGTGGACCTTCTGGACTAGTTCCAAGTAACTACATCGAAAAGGTACGTTGTATTTGCTTCCTTCTTCTAAGAACCGAAGGTCTCCTTGTGGTGTTACGTTATACCTTCAATTGAGAGTGTTCCATGTTTCCAAAGAGTGTTTCCATGGTCGACAATATTCATCATTTTATAGGCAGTTGCAACTCATACCGCTCGAGCGCGCTACGATAACACGAGCAACAGCGAGGTGGAACTGGCCTTTCCAAAAGAAGTTCAGCTTGAAGTTTTCGATATTTCGGATCCCGATTGGATAGTAATTGGATTTGATGGAGAATATGGCTTTGCGCCATTGGACTACATTAAGATCGCGGGTGTGGAAGAACCCTCAACCTTCAAAAGGCTACGCCAAGCGATTAGCCATACTACAACAGAAGCTCAAGCAGCCTGGCGATTGGCACAAAATCAGTAGCTTTCTAGTTTGATTCGATTCTGCTAGCGTCAGCATTCAACGAGAACAAGCTGCGACTCTGGGATATCGCTACTGACGCACTTGCAAATGGATATTTACAGGTGTCTAAATTGGAGCGGGCAGAGGCTAGTGATTTTTAGACTTAGCGACGCCCAGTTCGACTTCTACTGCAACATGTGGCATGGATAAGGAAAATTAGACTCATCACTAGCACTTTGTGCCCTTGATCCCTCCCCCCTTTCCCCGTCATTCTCAATTGTCGTATTCCTGTATTTTCGATCCAAGATATTCATTACATGTTCTACCAGTGTATGTCTACAGAAGAATTGAGGATATTGCGATCTATATCTCAGTCTTCCTTGTATCACTTCCCAGTGTTGAGAGAGCTCTTCTCATCAAACACGCTGCTCTCAATCAAGTCTGGGTATACCAGTCCACCCTGTTTTCTAACCTCATCCATAGTCTCCATGATCACGAGACTCTCCTCCCATCCCAGCCCATCACTTTCCAACTTGCCATCCCTCAAACATCTTGCTGCCTCATCGGCTTCCCAGAACATACCGTGGCCCCATCCATCCCTCTCGGGATCGGTAGGGATTGGACAATCCACATCCTCAACGACACCCTTCTCACCACCAATCATAATGACCCTGTAATGCATAGGTCTATATAATGGTCCAATGACCTGAATCTCCCCCTTCGTGCCCTGGATTCTCGCTGCAGGTCCAGCGGCAGGACTTCCCTCCCCATCAGGTGTCGTCGCAACCCTCAAACTCGTCGTTGCAATGCCCACCCTCTGATCCCCGAATCCCAACAGCATACTTGTCGATTCATCCGCGCCAGTCCTAGCATACTTCTGCACATTCGCCAAAACATTGGGCTTTTCCCGCTTATCTGTAGGCTGGCAATGGTAGAGGATCTGGAATACCCAAGTCAAGGAGTAGATTCCAAGATCTAGGAGCGCACCGCCGGCGAGATCAACATTCACCATACGGTTCTCGTCAGGGAACTTCAGGCCTCCGTCTTCGGTTGCAGTTGGGATTGACAAGTCTGCTGTGACGCGATGCACCTTCCCGATTACACCTGTAGAGACCAATTCCCGGATCTTGATGCTCAATGGGAAGTACCGCGTCCAAACAGCTTCCATCAGAAACAATCCCTTCTCTTTCGCCGTCTCGACCAGCTTCCGTGCTTGTGCGGCATTCACGGTGAATGCCTTCTCGCAGAGGACATGCTTCCCTGCCTTCAGGGCGAGCATTGCATTTTGAAAGTGGTGAGAGTGTGGAGTTGCAACGTATATAATGTCGACATTGGGATCTGCGACGAGTTCTGCGTATGAGCCGTAGGCCTTTGCGGACGAGGGGGCGCCGACTTCTTTGAGGAAGGTAGATGCACGGGATTGAGAGGAAGAGGATGCGGCTGCGGCGACGGTGTGCTTGATATCTGAGACGGAGCGGGTGGAAGGGTTGGTAAGGATATCTTTTGTGAATGCTAGGAAGTAAAAATTAGTCTTTGGACCTCCATAGTTTTAGGAGAATGGGCTGGAATTGTTGAGGACGAGACGAACTGGTTGCAATGCCACCTGTGGCAAGGATACCCCACTTCACTTCGAACGGCGCTGAAGACATTGTGTGTTGTAAACAGGCGACAATTGGTTAATTGCTCGAATAGTTTATTGTTTATATTGTCGGTTGCGTGAAGAGGGTTCAATTCTAGTAAATGGAAGAAAAGTCAATCGAGCTGAAGTTGTTGAGAGTGGGAGAGGTCCTCCGAAGGAATCTGCCAACCAAACGACCCCGCCATGCCATGCCTTCACAGCTGCACCCTGCATTGAGCCTAAATCGACATCGTCTCGAGTGACGTCTCCATTCTCGAGCAAGGTCCAACATCGACTTTACGACTCGTGTAAACGAACGACCGGCGACGGTACTACGGACAAACAACCCGGGCGGATCCAGCCCCAAAAGAGTGTAACGTCTCTGAGGTGACTGACAGGATTTCAATTTCGCCTATCAAACCACAAGTGGGTGTTTACTTCCTGTGGCATCCGCCAATCGTGATTCGTGAATGGCACTGCTCTGTCGGCGTCAACCTTTTTGTTCCTACTGGATTTCCTCAAGCTTAAGACTTATTAGGACTGGGGTTGTCCCACGTATCAGGATGTCGACTTCATCTTCGTCTAATACATCTGCATTCTCTTACCCACTTGCACCAAGAGCCAATCCGGATATCCGCGTCCCGAAATTCATCTATGGAACTGCGTGGTTCGTATGATCTCTGGGCAATGCGAATGTCTTCTTCAGAATTAATCTTGCACATGCAACGTTTCACTCGAGAAAATTTTCTTTAAACATTCGATGATCCCGCAAAATGTAAATATACTGACAATATCAACAGGAAGAAAGACCAAACCGCCGAACTCGTGTATCTAGCCATCAGAGCGGGGTTCAGGGCTTTCGACACTGCGGCCCAGCCAAGACATTACAATGAGAAGGGGCTGGGCGAGGGGATTCGAAAGGCGATTGAGGAGGGATTAGTGAGGAGAGAAGATCTGTTTGTTCGTTTTCCTTTCCATGTCTCTTTTCGTCTTTTTTACCCGCTTTTCAGAGAACAGCTCTTCCCTAACACAAAAATGAAAATTTGCTTCTTTTCGAATCATCAGCAAGGGTGTCTTCAGGTCGAAGAGTTCATTCGACTTCTTGCCATTTGCAATTTTTTGTCCAAATCAGAATCCGAGGACTAACTCCCCCACAGATCCAAACCAAATACACGCCCCCCTCCGGCCAAGATCCCAACAACATGCCCTACGACCCCACCTCCCCCCTCGAAGAACAAATCATCAACACCCTCTCCTCCTCCCTCACCAACCTCACCTTCCCCTTCACCATCCAAGAACCGTACATCGACTCCCTAGTCCTGCACTCACCCCTCCCCACCTCAGCATTAACCCTCCAAGCCTGGTCTACACTCGCCTCCTACGTACCGACTAAGATCCGCTCCCTAGGAATCTCCAACACCACTCTCCCTATCCTGCAATCCCTCACAAAATCCGCGCAGGGTTTCGATCCGCCCCTTCCTCACCCAGCGTTCTGCCAGAATCGCTTTTATGGTGAGACGAGGTACGAGGTTGAACTGAGGAGGTTCTGTCAGGAGCAGGGGATTGTGTTCCAGAGTTTCTGGACGCTGAGTGGCAATCCTAGGTTGTTGAAGAGTGGTGTTGTGGAGGAAGTGGCGGAGGCGTTGGAGGGGAGGGTGGAGAAGGGGGAGGAAAAGGCGGTTGCTTTGTATGGATTGGTGGTTGGGCTGGGAGGGGTGAGTGTGTTGAACGGGACGACGAATATGGGGAGGATGGTAGGAGATCTGAAGGGATTAGATGTGTTGAGGGCTTTGGTGCAAGGAGAGTGGGAGGAGAAATGGGAAGGGTGGATGAGGGACTTCAAAAGGATTATTGGGGAGACTTGAAGAATTGATGATCTGATGACTTGGGGTTTTGCGAACACATAGAGAGAGGGAGTCTAAAAGCGCTGCTTTTTGTTTGAGTTATTGCTAGAGCAAGGCTGTATATTTGACGATATGAAATGAACGAAATGAGAGCCATCATCTGATTTTTGTGGCTGAGGTACCTAGCAACATAGATCGCTACTCACTTGAGCATTGCGATTCGGCTAACACATACCCGATTTAGCAAGACTTCTGCCGACACGTCACTACTGCCGTGATACTTCGGGATGCTTAGCAATCGTGCTGTAGATGTCGATAGGTCGAGTGGACTGCTGTCACTGTGATTAGCACCCTTCTTTGAATGATTGGAAGGTGCAGTCAGTAAAGATTTCCACATGGTCATACTGCCACGGCTCATCAAATGTTCGTTTCTTTATTGAGATCAAAGTTCACCGCGCGAAGCGTAAAGTGGATTCAGAAATCATCATCTTCTTCATCAACACCCTTTCCCTTTTTCTTCACTGCCGCTAGCCCTTCGCCCTTGATCTCAAACTCAACGGCATCTTGTACCCCAGGTCCACTAGGTGGAGCATGAGGCGCGAATACAACTTTCATCCACCGTCTCCACTTCCTCAGAACCAGTTCGCCTCTCTCGTTCTCCTCATCAGCTTTTAGTCCCGGTCCATAAACTGGCCGTTTTATCAGTGCTATCCTGCAAGAAATCTGGGTTGTCCAGATCAGACCCAGACTTGGAGTTTTGAGATTCTTGAGAGCCAGTTTGGAAGGATAGGGGTCGTCGCCCCAGCCAGTAAACCACCTCTGTTGGTGATCAAGAGACATAGGATCCATCGTACTCTTGAAAGGCGTATTCCCAGGATCGGTTCCCATTGGCATGCTTGATGTAGGACCAATCGAGCTATCCGGCATTGCTCCTCCAGGTGCACTTCTCGTTGCCAATGGGCTGCTTTGTGTCGACCTCCTCAGCACCGGACTAGAGCCACCACCACCACCAGAGAACCTATCTGCAACCTGATTGGCAACAACAATCGCAATATCCTGCTCCCTTGCCAGCTCTCGGAGCAACTGTCCCAGTTTCACAAGTTCAGAGCTGCGCTGAGCCATATTCGCTCCGCTCTTTTGACCACTCGCTGCTCCACCTCCCGGACGTTCAAACTCGGCTCGGTAATTTGCAGCCACGGAGTCCAGAATTATAAGGCGGATGCCATGTCTCTTGACAGCAACTGGGACTTGGAATCGTAGGATGTGATCCTGGGACTCGAGATCGGGAGTTACTATGCTGATGACGGAGTCCAGACTTGGCCTGGGATTTGCTGCGAGGAGAACTGGATGTGTACGTAGAAGCTGAGAGAGTCGACTTGTAGGCAGCGCACTCTCCGTTGAGATGTAGAGGACATTGCTGGAGAGGCCTTGAGGTGCGGGTAATTGCGCAGCGAGGAGAAGGGTGAGCAGGAATTGAGTCTTGCCTGCACCACTAAATGTTGTCAGTATATGCAGACCATCAAGTGTTACGATTCTACCTTTCACCAGTGACTTCTGTAATATGCCCAGTAGGAATACCGCCTCCCAATGCTTGATCTAGATCATCATCCAACGTGCTGACGGTATTCCATGAATTGACCACATCCTCTCCCGACTTCCTCAGGAGGGAGCTTCCCTGCGTGGTGTTTGCATCCTCTTGAACACCCAAGCTTACTTGCAACGCTTCCAAGACTGCATTACAAAGTCTCTTCACGTCAAGGATCGGCAATGAAGCGCGTTTCGCGATTTCGGTACAGTCTTGCGTGAGCAGGTCCGCGGTCGTCACCTGGTGCCTTTCGAGAGAGGGGAGAAGGCGCACATATTGATGGGTTGGGAAGCCGGGAAGAACAGTTATGAGGTCTGTCATGGAGGCATCTGGAAGTTGGTGACAGCGGGGTGGATCTCGGATGGTGGGGTTGTTTGATGCAGTTGGGGAAAGTGCACGCGTTTTTAGTGCCAGGCTTACGACCGACTCTTCACTTCCCTGCTTTGTCCACTCATCAACTCACTCAACATCAATTTTTATGGAAACGTTTACGCGTATTCTCGTGTTGAATGAGGAAACCTTTTAACCTGTTGTTGCCAAGTGTATTGCACCATGATCTTTTTTAAAAGGCCTTCTCAGGACAAGCACTTTTTTCCATCTCTGCCCTCTCAGGTAAGTCTCTGAAGGCCAGTGGTGATATGCTGGGCATGTTTTTCTTGTTTCAGTATCTTCTTATTTTTGCTTCATCCATGCCCCAATATACCTTGAACATTCTCTTTGTAACTCTACCAATATCAAGCTGTTCGCTCTACGGGATACAATAGCTTGACTTCGCCAGCTTTGTCTCCAAGATATCGTGGGCACCCATCCCTGCCAATAAATCTCAGCTCCTGCAGCCACACAATACAAGCCGTGTTTAGTCGTCTGAATTTTGATATCTCACCTCGCACAAAAAGCGAAACTGGCTGCAGCCAAGCCCCACATCCGTCTCACGAAACCATGGACATTGGTCCGCTTCCTCTTGCTCAGGTACGCGAGATTTGCGTTGGTCTTTCACGAGAGGGAGAGGCTGTATCGCGAGGCTGGTATTGGGGATCTCTTGTTATCTGTGCTTCCAGAAGGCGTTGCCAAGTGGGCTCAATGTGGATGGCTACGATTTGGTGCTGATTAGAGTTTGTTCTGCATCTGATCTGGGTGTTTATCAAGCCATATTTCTTGTGTTCATCTCAACCTGTTTTCTCCCGTCCCTATCTTTTCGAGGTTTGGATCTGTATTTGTATTGAGATATGATGATCTGTTGATCGTCCGTCCGATTTTCACATAAATAGGTGTAATCATGTGGTGTCAAAAGTCAATTTCGTTCTGCTTCATTACTTTATATTCCACAGTATCTGCTCTGGCGTTCAACAACTTCCCAGCTGAGGCAACGGCTGCGAGCAATGTCCTCCTCAACCTTGACTTCCCAGCGCCGACACCAGCTCCATCAGATTATGAATTGCGTCGTCGACAAGAAGCCCAGAGAACATTGTTATTAGGACCTGATGCTACGTGTGGATATTTTGGCGGTAATGCCAGTCTGTCAAACCCCCTTGAGCAACCATCTTCTCTCGTTCCAACCATTTAACAACTACTTACATCCCAACCACAAAATCCCATAAGTTATACTGACTCTCAAACCCTAGCACAACCATGGGGCTGCACAGCCAGCTCCACCTGTGCCTTCGCAACACCTACGGTCCAGGTCGTAGACTCAACAACCACGACAGCACCGGGTAGCGTTCTTTGCTGCGACTCTGCATCTGGATGTCCTACTACGCCAGGCCCGACGTCATGTGTGGATAAAGCACGCTTTGATGTCAAGACCGCCTGCACGGGGTCTTGCCTAGAGGATGAGAAAGTGTTGAAATGGTACGTTCTATCTTTGCTTTCTCCTCCAATGCATTTCACCTTGCATGTTCCCCTACTCGATCTTGATGCACTTCACCATATTATACAGTCTATATGCTTCTCGAATACCAAGCCTACATCCTAATCAGCATAAAGCTAACGATATCTCTCGTCTACAGTACATCAGGAATCTACATCTTCTGCAACACAATCACCTTTCCCACCCCCTCCCTTTCCGCCTTCTTCTGCAACTACATCAGCAACTACGCCCCCGTCCCCGCACTGACAGCCATCTCCGGCCAAGGCGGTCGCGAATTCACTCCGACCATCCAAGCTCTTCCTCCCGCGACTACTTCTCCGTCAAGCTCAAGCTCAGTCGTAGCTTCTTCCGTCGTAGCATCGTCAACTTCCGGAGAGAGTTCCGCGGCTACAGCGACTTCGAATACGTCGGCTGTTGGAAGTGAGGATGGAGGGGGAGGTAAGAAAGGGGCGAATAAGGGTGCGATCATTGGTGGTGTGGTGGGAGGTGTTGCGGGTTTGGCGTTGCTTGCTGCTGGGGTATTTTTTGTGCTGAAAAGGAGGAGGAGGAATGTAGGGACTGGTGAAGAGGCTGTAATTTCTGAAGACGGCATTGATGCTCAGGCTGCTAAAGATACGGGTTCGAGTCGTGGTAGTGAGAATGGGGAGGGTGAAGGCAAAGTGCCTGTGGTGGAGGAGAAGAAGGTGGAGGGGAAGTGAGTGAGGGAGAGAGTGTAAGAGAATTGGGATATGAAGGTATGGGATGAATTGACTGGGCGATTTTAGTTTCAATATTTTATATTGATAGTAGTGGGACTCTTAGGTATAAATAGTTATCCCAGAATCGGGTTTAATTCACCGCGATGATATTTAGAGGATTCTGACCGCCTCAAGTTACGTTGAATTGTCCCAAAATGGGTCACGGTATCAGTGGAAAAAGGATGAAACTAATAGTTCATGAGTCTCCAAGTAACCAACGCAAATTTGAAACCTAGAAGGCGCCTATTAAGTCTCCCATCAACACAATTCTGCCGACACCTTCCCACCTGGCCCAAACGATTGAAATCTCAAGGTATCAACTGCCTCATCAACGTTCCCGTCAAATCAAGAGATCTCAAAATCCTGTGTCCAATTCCCCCGGTTCAACGCCAAAGTCCCTACTGTACAAAGTAATCAAGGCATTATGGATATATTACGCCAAACCCATCATCACAGCATTCCTTGCAGGGTATTATAACTTCGATCATTAGTCGTCCATCCGTCCAGTCCATATCAACGCCGCCTGAAATCTCAAAAAAACGCCTGCCGCTAAAGAAATAATACAAATACGAAATATGCCCACTATAGGTAACTCAAGCATGCAGTGGACCGCAATCGCAGTAGCGACCGTGGTGAAATGCAAACCAACCCAGCAACTGTCCCGGGCCGAAGGAATGGAGTGGAAAGATCAGAGTCCAGGCTAAAGCAGGTACAGTGAATGGTGTTACGATGCGTATCCATTGCGATGATTTCCAGCGAGAGCTCGTGTCAGGTTCTGTATCGGAGTATCGTGTTTTGTGTGCATCTTCTTATATGACCCTCTTGTACTCTTCAAATATTGAGTATCGGATTAGGGCCATGAGGTGGATCAACCCCAATCCATCTCAATAACATCCTCACCAACGCGGCTCGGTCCCATGCGTCTGCGTCGGTAGCTGAGTTCGTTGACTCGGCTGTTCGGTGAGCGGACGCTGCAGCAGTCGATGAAAACAAAGATGAAAAGGAGGGTGTGAATGAAGCTGATTTGTATCTGTCAGCCTCACAAGCCGTGGAAGATTAATAGCCTATCAAATAATGTCTTGAAACGCAAGACAGAGACTGCACTCCCAGATCACGTAAAGGGAAAGGGAGGGAAGCACATACCCCATTACACCGGCAAGCCATATCTCCACGGAAACAAACGGCTCCGCGTCAGACATGTACGCTGGGTCCTTTCGACGCCCAAAATATATATCGAGCAAGAGGAATAGGAAACTCCATATCAAGAAGCCGATAACGAGGAAATCCGCGACGACTAGGGCGATAGGGTGTAAACGCGGGACTTTGAGGGAGGGCATGCGGCTTCGAAGGAGGGCGAGGATCTCGCTCGTGTTCAGTAATATGGTGAATCCGGTCTGGTTGAGTTCATCAGCTGGAGACCCATTTCATGTTGGACAATGGAAGTCGTCGCTAAAGAAAGGAGAAGTGGGTCTTTATTTTGTAGCAAGCGAAGGGACTCTCTTACCGAGATGAAGACAACAGGCCATGTACGTTTAATGGGTCCAACAAGAACGTATACCGCGATCAAAAGTGCAGATAGGCTGATTAGTAAGGAGATGATACGGAGAATGAGTTGTGTCCACACTGTTCGGATTGGTCGAGGTTGTGTACGCGGTTTGGGCTCTGGTGCCTGTCGTGGTGGTCGCATATCACTTTCTTTAGCGACCAATTGATTTGTTTGTGGGAGGTCCTCGGCCAGTTTCTTGAACGGCCATGAGAACTTTGAGGGAGCCATGGTTAGGATTCTCGTGATGTATACTGCAGAGCGGCAAAGCCAGAGTCGTAAAGACAGACACAAGGATGGTAAGACATGATCGGTGATGAGCAGCAGGATGTGCACTATAAAGCTTGACTATGAAAATCCGCGATACTTTAGCGGTCTGTCACTTCACAGAGGTGTCTGTCTGTGTCCAGGTCCCCCTCCCCCAGATTGCTGTTTAATCTGAAGCCACGAAAGTTCGCGCCAGCGCTCCCGCTTCAGGCTAAAAGGTGGCTAAATGCAGGAGCAGTACAAGATGCTTTTGGGTGGGCGATCTGAAACACAGAGTCGTGACATCCAAAACAGTAGTCCAAGCGGATCGGATGAATTGACTTTTAAGCCCAACTTTGTAGTATTCACTTGATATATTGGGAGGTGGCCGTCGAAGTCTTGAGGACTCTATTGACTTGGAAAAGATGCAGATGATGGCGATATGGCTTTCCATTGCTGGTAAGCACATTTCTTAGGTCTACAAGCCAAGATGAGATACAACTGAACCAAATATGGCAATGCAAACAGGAGAATCTTGCAAAGTGGTGGTACCTACTACCTACATTAGGTAGCGCCGCGCATCTTGCCCAGGAACACTGGTTGATCATTTGAGTTAAATTGATATTAACTGATGTCATACGGACGACCCTTTTATGTGCAAATGTCCACAATCGGGGTAAAGTTGTTTCGTAGATCAATGAAATGTGATACAGTAGGATAGAAACCAAATAGCAGAATCCCAGCAACTAGGAGGTGTCACGTGTACTTTGACACGGGCCTTTGGGAAGCCTGTTACCCCAGAGTGTTTGAAGTGGGGATGAACAGACAATGTGGACACGGCTGATGCTCAGTCCGAATGTAAACTACATGCAGGGGTCTCTTGAAAATGCCTTCAAAATTGACCTGCCATTCAATGTTGACAGAGATATGGCATATGAGACCTTGGGCCCAAGCCGATATGCGAGTTGCACTGCATACCTCTCAGACAAATGCAACTCTACGGAAGCTGCGGAAAGAGAAGATGCTTGAGACCTGATCACTGATCAGATTGCGGATGCGTGTGGCCGTGTAACTGTAAGAGGCTGTCAGCTGCAGTGATAATCCGAAGATGCCGTCCCGGTGACATTGATGCGATGGCAGCTTTCAGTCGACTCCGAGTCGGGACAGAAAGAACCAGTCAGCGGATCAGATGAACAAAATCAGATAATTTCGCAGCGGAGAAAGACGCTGGCATGTTCCAAAGATCACCGCATATGAATGAGAGTTCGGATGCATTCTTGACGTGCAAAGAAGTTGCTGGTGAGAGGCGAGGCTCAGGAAGAGCTGTTGCTTCATTCAGGCTTGGGATCGTTGTCTGGGCTGCTCACGTGTGTCTGGGCTGTCCACACGTGAGCAGCCCAAGAATCCCATGAAATGACTGCAACATCTGGTTGGTTGAAGCTCATCTATCGTTCGTTGATTGGCAGAGGAAGGCCAGCACTTGGATGGCTTGGCGGATGTTGATACAGTACTACTGTAAATGCTCTGAGCCTCTGACACCCTTGTATCGTATCAAATGCCGGCCAGGCCAGGGGGTTTTAGTCGCTCATGGCATGACCAAAGCTCAAACGTCGTTTGGAGGATCAACTGTGAAAGGGTACGAGTACTCGTAGGCTGGCAGACGCGTACGACTTTGAAAGAAACCGAGGCAGTGTGAAGGACTCCGATGAGCGGGCGGATGAGGTTATTGCAAGCAAGCTCAACAATGCTCGGGGGTGATGTCCTTGTTGCAGTCTGACCTGAACTGGATGCTTAGGTAAGGTAGACAGCAAGCACTGGCAGGCTCGCACTACTGTATTATTGGCCCGCATTAATATTGCTCGGATTGAGTGTAGGTACTGTACGGAGGTAAATTATGATTTCAGCCACACAGCACTCTGGCATCAGCGCTATGCTTCATCGGACGCTTACGAAGTATGCTTTTGCTTTTGCTTTTGCTTTTGCTTTTGCTTTTGCTTTTGCTTTTGTTGCTTGTTCTGTTCGGGATGCTCACGCTCACGCTCACGCTCACGCTCACGCTCACGCTCACCGTCTCGCTGGTCTCCTTCTCCCTTGCTGAAGATGTCCTGAGTCCTGACTCCTGACTCCTGACTCGGCGCATTCAACAGGGATGTTCGTGGCCCGGAGCATAAAAATGCCGATGGCCTGCCACCCCTGGGCCGATCCCTTGGGTGCCCCAGCCTGCCCCTGCCCTGCACATCCCCTGTAACTGCTCTTCTGGGCTTTCTCGCTCACAGCCAGACTAGTGGTAGTGGACTGCCAGTCCTTTGTTGACGACGTGTTGGCACCCCCAGAGCAAACTCCGATACAGTACAACCCAATTTGACCAAAGCGGACAAGGCCAGCTCGATTGATTGATTATTATCAGAGGACATATTCCGACATCACACTGCTCCACTCCTCTCGTCTCGTGTCATCAACTCAACTCAACTCAACTCAACTCAATTGAATTCCAAACACTTCTTGTTCCGGTGTCACTCATGCTGCCATGCCAGGCCACTGTCAGAACATCTATACATTTAGCTTCGTCCGATCCTACTGTACTGTATTGTCCAGCACTGTATCCGACTATTCCTCAGAGCTTCCCGGACTATCCATCTGATTTGGGGCTTTCTGTGTTTACGTTGTCTCCTCTGCCGACCCAATTCATCCCCGGTCCTCGTCCTCTACAGTACTGTACAGTACCTCGAGAGTGGTGGTACCTTATCATCACTGCGATAAAGAAATCGATACTGTAGGGTAGCGAGGGTAGTCAGTCCTTCCTTCCGGCAGCCGATCCGCTCCACAATAAAGTTTCATCGCTCTCCTCCGTACTACTGTACTACACCAGACTGTACTGTACGTTACGTGTGCGCCCGCATCGTCCCATCCCGGCCCCGTGACTAAGCACCGCAACCCTTGCACCAGTTGCACCAGTTGGATCCATCCTAAACAGCGCTGCATTCGCATCAGGGTTTCACTTGCAGTCGATACTACGCAACGGAACCTTCATCCACTTCCACCACAATAATACACTTCACCACCCCTCTTCCCCTGCGTCTCTTCTCACGATATGTAAGGTACCAAGGACGACACTGCGAGCAGCTTCACTCTTTTTCCTTTCTCTCGTTCATCCTCCAGTAATGGCAACGTCGACCGTTGCGAGGGCCATGGCCGCTCTCTTATCGCTCTCTCTTCTCGCAGGTTCCGGGATGCTTGCTTCCGCTCAATCCGTGCAACCGTCGAACGACACACTGCCCACCACGGAGAGCAAGGCTGTGACGAGTCTGAGGCTCACAGGAGGACCGGTCTTCGACACGAGGACATATTATATTGCTCCATTGACAGAGGAGATGGGCAAGGGACAGAATCAAGTCCGCGTAGGAGTATGTATCCCACCCTTCGTACATATAAAAGTAAAAAAGGTCTAATCTCCATGCAGGCAATAGCAATCTCTGGTCCTCTCAAAATTGCAGACTATACGACAGCTGCAAATATCACAAGCTCCGAAATTGCACTGATTAGTTGCGATCCCAATGGCTCGAATATCGATGCATCCGATGTGGTCCAGACGGCATGCGACCAGAAACCACAGGCAATTGTGCTATATAGTTTGGAAACTCAGGCATGCAATCTCACTGGATCGTTTGGCTATACTTCGCTCTTCTCGACGATATCAGCATCGAAATCAAGAGAGCTTTTGGGTATTGCCGGCATCGATTACAAGGACTCGAACAGTCTTGTTGCAAATATTGGTGTCAACAATGGGTCAACGACATTAGAGAATACCCCACCTCAACAGACACCCGATCCGGGTGCTCCGGGAGGTCCGGCCCCCACGACTGCGGTAGCCATGAGCATTCTATACAGCATAACGGGTATCATTACCCTCCTGTTTCTTGTCATCATTGCTACTGGTGCTATTCGAGCTCACCGACATCCGGAAAGATACGGACCACGGAATGGATTTGCAGGGAGACCACGACAAAGCCGTGCTAAGGGTCTTGCCAGGGCTATGTTGGAAACGCTTCCGATTGTGAAGTTTGGTGACCCAGAGCCAGTGAAGAACCCGAACGGAGACGTGGAGCTGGAAGATGGAACTGCCAACAGTCAGAATTCCGGTACTGTCACAGGCACTAATGCAGCTACTGTGGTTCCAGCAGAGAGTAACAAGGATGAGACGAAGGCAAGATCAGTCGCCACTGCTACGGCTCCGGTAGAATCTGGGATTGGTGCAGCACAAGCTGAATCGGTCAAAAGTGGAGAGGCTGGTGTACCAAAGGAAGGTGAATTGGGATGTTCGATATGTACAGAAGACTTTACCACGGGCGAAGACGTTCGAGTTTTACCTTGCGATCACAGGTATCATCCCGCTTGCATCGATCCTTGGCTCTTGAACGTATCTGGAACCTGTCCACTGTGGTATGTCGAAGTCCCAAGTTCCATTATAACTACTAACATTTCTTAGTCGTCACGACCTCCGTCCCGTCACTTCCATTACCTCTAATACCGATGGAGAGCTCCCTCCACCACTATCAGCCAACGAAGGGGGCGACAGAGTCTCAAGTGAGGGAAGTGCTCATCAACGTAGACGAGTATCTCGATTCCTTGATCTCAATCGACTCCGACACGCACCACCTGAGGAGCGGATTGCAGCACTCCGTCAACTCAGGGAAGCCCAACGAGCAGGTCAGGAGCCAGTTAATAGCGAAGATATTGCTGAAGAGCCAAGCCGTAGAGCGAGGTTGACCAACCGACTCAGGGATACGTTCCGCATCAAGACTCGGGCTCAGAACGACACGCCTTCATGAAGAGAACATAGCCGCTCAGGCTGAAGATACGAAAGAGGATCACTGCGCTGTGATATCTCTTGAACATGCCACGAATACATTTACGACTTCGCACGAGAGCAGCACATTTTGAAATCAGCATGCATACAACCCTCTTCTCAAGTTTGAGGACTATAACTAGGTTAGGTTTGGCCGGGTATGGGATATGGAGTTCGGCAGTAAAGCATAGACGGCGTTTTTTCGGCGTACAATCCAGGAGTAATGGTGTGGAAACGGAGAGGTTGGTCTCGTTAGCACGCCTGCATCTATCGGAGAACTGCATATCATATGGTCTTTTCACAAAGTGAAAGGAGATTACGAGTCTGGGTGCTATAAGGCATGGCACACTGGAACTTGGTCTAATGCTTTATTGTAATATATTGCCAAGAGACAGAGGAGTGGAATGAAAAGAAACAATCTATGATATGATGAACTATGATAAAACTGATACTGAGCTATACTAAAGTATGATATGAGACCGTTACTGCTATGCCACTACACGATCATAACCCCCTCATCTCCCATATCAGTGTAAACCTCCTTGCACTAATAGACAAGCACGATGTGAGCTGGCGGCGCTCACAGCACCCACAGTTTGAAACTCCCCTCCCATCACAAACTCAAAAACCCACTCTCCCTCCAAACCTCCAAATTGCTCCTCACCCATTCCTCCTTAAACGCCTCACACTCCCTCAACGCCTCACTGATCGCTCTCGTCTTGCCCGTCTCGAATATTTTACTCTGTCCTCCTTTTCTCTCTCCCTCTGCCTCGGTGCCTCCCTCGGCGGCAGCCATAGCTTCGAAGAAATGGAGGAGTCGGAGGCCGGGGATGGGTGTGGGTGTGGGTGTGGGGGTGATGGAGGTGGAGGTGGAGGTAGGGTGAGAGGATGAGGGTTGGGATGAGAGAGCGACGAGTCGACGGGTCCATTCTTTTATGCTGATTTCTTCGAGGGGTGGGAGAGGAGATGAGGTGGATGAGGAGGTGGTGGTGGTGGAGGAGGACGTATTTTGTATCTGGCGTTGAGACTGGAGCATGGCGATGAGAGAGCTCCAGGGGATGGAATGCGGGTTGACGATATTATGGACGTTGTAGATCTTACTCTCATTCTTCTCATCTTGACATCCAATTTGAGTTCCCGGTAGAGCTCCCTCGAGTGGCAATACTGGGGATGATGAGAGAAGGATATCAGTGATCGTCCTCGCCGCAATATCAACTGGTATCCAATCGACTTTCTTCTCAGGGAACAGCGGGAGGGCGTTCATAGAAGGATGGAACGATGTCGCGAACATGATGGGCCACATTTCTTCGGTGGACCAGTGTCCTGTCTGTGTGTGGCCGGAGAGTTGGCCGACGCGGAGGAGGGTGATGGGGAGGGAGAGGAGGTGGGACGCTGTTTGGGTTATGCGCTCGACTGAGAATTGCCAGGTTAGTGAGAAGTTTAGAAGTAGGCAGAGGATAGAAGATAGAAGAGGATGGACTGACTTATGTATTTGCTCTGCGCGTACCCTGTTGACAGCGCAATGGCAGGATCGGAACCGATTGCTGATTCGGGGATGGTAAGCGAGGGCGTGGTTGCCGAGAAAGGGGCTGCTCCCATACAGGTGCTGATGCTGCTTGTGAATGCGAAAGTTTTGGGACGACCGGCATGACAAAGTCGGAGGAGAGACATTGTGTCTGTCAAGATGTTAGTCGCTATGTCAGACATAATCAATAGGTACGTTGTGCTTACTCTTGATACAATCCCCTTCGAACTCCTCCACAGGTAGATTGAAATCCATCTTCCAAGCCCCAGCAAGAACAATAGTTGCATCTCTCGTTAGCATTGCATAAGTCTCAATATCAAGTCCAAGCAGAGAATCTCGCATGCTGAAGTTCAAAATCTCGATCCTCTTGCTGCCGTCTTCGTTCATGAGGTCGAGGATCGAAGTATCCAGACCTCGACGAGTGAGTGATCTGTGCAATTTCTCGAAAGCAGATGGTCCGCGAACTAGAGCGTAGATTTTGGCTATCTGGGACGATGCGGTTAGGATGGTAAGGAGCGATGTGCCGAGTGAGCCTGTACCGCCGGTTAGGAGGACAATGTGTTTCGACGTCGGCTGGTAAGAGTGAGTTTGTGAGCGAGGAGGCCATGATGATAGTTCAGATGTGAGGGAGGTAATGGTGCGATTTATAGTTTCTACCGAATTTGGCTTCAACGGTGCTGCTGATTCTGCGTTCGAGCCAGAATCTGAAGGTGGTGGCGTTAAGACGGAAACAAGTTTCGAGATTGACGGATTTTCGAAGAGGGTGCTGATGGTGATCGGACGAGAAAGACGTTTTGAGAGAGATGTGCGAAGTGACAGAGCTGTGAGAGAGCTGATTCCCAGGTCATAGAGGGTAGTGTAGTCATTTATCTCACACGCTGGAACCTTGGAGAAAGTGGAGAGGAGAGAACGGAGGTATTCCGCCAGGGAGTCTTCTTCGTATTCGCGCGGTGTTGGAGGAGACGTAAAAGTATCATTGTAAAGAGCATCGATCTCGGCCGCAAAGGTTTGCTCCGCTTCCTTACGTTTGACATTCCCTTTTGGTGTGGTTGGGAGATTCGCTCCTCGTGGGAGAATGCAAATCATGGACCGCATGATCCGAGAATGTTTCGGGTATTGAGCTGTGACGGTCTGCACTGTCTTCCAAACAGACTCCTCGACCATTTCATCGCTTGGGTCGTAGTCTTCCTGTATCTCAACAAGCAGACTGACACAGGGTTGGGAGTGGCCAACCGCAAGCGCTTTGTGGATAACTCTGGTCGCTGTCTGGATGTCAAGTTGTAGAGGTCCTGCACTGGTATTCTCGCCATTGCTATGAACAAGAATATCGTCTTTCCGACCTTGTAAGGTATAGTAGCCGCTTCCCGGTGAGTGCTGAATGAATAGGTCATTTGTCCTGTAAGGTGTATCGCTCTCCTGCCATAACTCGGCTGCAAGTTCGAACCCTTTGAGAACCACGCATTCAAAGATACCTTCTCCGACCTCTTCCATTTTCAGAAATTGGTTATCCGGGTACAGGTTTCGGAATTTGTAGCAGTCGGCACTATCCCTGGGTCCAATTGTCCGGAAAGGAGGTCCGATCTCCGTGCTTCCATAGGTAGTTTTGACGTTCACACCAGCAGCGACTAGGGCTTTCACAATACTGTCCGAAAGAGCTGCTCCTCCTGGTTGTAAGATCTTAAGTGAAGTGAGGGGACTGAAGTCTTGGTTTTCAGTGGATATGTATTCATACATGTTTTCGATCAGAGTAGGTGCACAGTGAACACATTGAACTGGATGTCCCATTTCAGCTAGTGTCGTCCAAGCAGAGAAGATGGAGGATGAAGAAGGTGGCCACGAAAGTGGTGGGAAAGACAGTAGTTGTCCATTGGGAAGATTAGAAAGGGCAATTGATATGCCGGCAATGTGGTACCTAAACTGTCAACTTAAGGTAAGAAGATGGGAGAGAAAGTTACGCACAGTGGGAAGAGGAGGAACCAGTTCTCAACTTCGAAATCCTGGAACAAGCGATACATCCTTGCTATCAACATCATGCTTCTATTGGTATGAATAATAGGCTTTGGCATGCCTGTAGATCCAGATGAGTGGATAATGAACGCATGTCTCTCCCAGACATCTCCAAAATCTCGAAATTTGACCTTGTCCACCTGCTCTGCTTCTGTAGATAATCCCTGAGGTAAAGACTCTATCATACACAACTTCCGAATCCCATTTGTATCTGCATTGTCATTTTTTGAATCTGTAATTACTGCCAAAGCGTGGCAGCTTTTGAGTAGGTAATGTAAGGCATTTGGCGGATTTGACTCGGCGAGCAGGAGAACTCTAACACCTAGTTTTTGGAGAGCTAATTGAGTACAAAAGTATTCGATAGTTATGCCAGTCCCAAGGAGTGCAATAGTTGGTTGTTGCTGAGATATGTTTGCGTGTTGGAGCTCAATCTCGAGCTGGTACGCATACGTCAAGGCGATTGTCTCGGTGACAATGTCGAACTCATCCCATGTCAAAGACTTGTACTCTGCCATTGAATCTGATGTAAGTGGATACAAGAATGCTTTCTGTGATTTGTAAATTGAGCCGTCATGCCGAACTAAAGCTGCCAAGCTGACGAGTGTTAGGTCTTCATATCTTGTCGAGTGAGGGTCACCGTGCTGCCACCAGAGCTCCCTCAGACGCTTGGAAGCATTACGTGACGGAACAACCAAAGGGTCAGAACAACTAGAAATAAACTTTGCTGCAATAGAATCAGCGGTAGGAGGATCCAAAAACATGGGAGCCATAATTAAAACCGAGGTCAACAAGAGAGTATTTGGATGATGAGGGAAGGATAATATCGACTTCGAGCAAATCCGGATACAACGATTACAAGAGAAGCCGAGAATAGCCACGAATTGTATCCCTCGTTGAATCAGAAGACTTTCCACACCCTCTAAATTTCACCATTCCGGCTGGGCCGCCATGATCTTTTTCCTATTGGACGGAAGCTTGTGTTGGCGTCCTGAGTGCAAGATAGCGATTGCCAAGTAAACATCCTGCTGTGTTCGAGAATTGCATGATAAGACCGCAGCGACGGGCGTATTTCCATACCCACTTGGATATATGAACAGAGACGGGCGGCTCCTTCGCGCGTCATAGGTCATTGGTGGGGTTGATATTGAATGTCTCCCCGTTACCATCGAGAGAGACTGCTTTACGACCGGGACATCCTTCGGGCCGTTCATCCCTACTTGCCCTACAGTATGCATGCGGGGAGCAGACCCTGGATGCTAGGCATCTTAATGTTATCCGGACTTCTGGGATTTCTTCGAGTCGTTGTTGGTAGCTGGAATAAGGGTGTCGGGCAGAGGGGCAAGCCGGGCAACGACCTCTAGCCCCGGGCAATCCATATCCTCCACCATTTACCCCTCTGGGTTTTGTGGGGTATGAACTGATATGTTGATAAGACTAGTGAATATCAGCATATCGATATCAGATTGTCGGTATCTGCGTCTGATGCCAGAATCATGATATCCCATTCTCGGATGGAACCTTGCTAATGCCAAGATATGAAGATAGGAAGAAGGGAGTGTTGAGGCAGTACAGGAGCCTGGGATGATGACAAAGCCGATATGAGGTTGAGATATCAGTCCAAACCACCATCTGAATTATCAGAAGAATAAGTGTCCTTGTTTCCTTCTGACTGTCATTTTGCTGCTGAACTTTGTCCCCACGATTCACACTTTGAGCGTTCCCCCTTGTCAGCAAGAGTGGAGATCGTCAGCACGCATATGCAGAGTAATCTCTATTTCATCCATCCTCAACTTATTTTCTGTAACTTTCATCACCAATTGAGATTGTAGTAGGAAGCCCATGGTCATGGCCCCGAAGATTGTTGAACGTTTCAGATTGCGCACGGAGCCAGGCTCTTTCGCAAGTGCTGCTGGAGGGTTGCCTTCGAACAAGGATCTCGATCCGGTACCATTCGAGTCTGATGAGCGAACATGAACCTGGCCTTCGCTTCTAGGATTTTGGGTTGCTGAAGCTTTCAGTATCTCCATGTATCAAGTTGCCTCGTCATCAATAACCAAAGGATTGTCCCCTGGGTTGGCTATTACCGCTGTCCTCGTCGGGCATCTTCTAGTCTGTGTTCCTGCAATGCTGAATGGTTACATTGGGTGCATATATGGAATCAACTTCCCAGTGCTGATGAGGTCAACTTTTGGTGTTTGGGGAGCATACTTTGCGGTTTTCGTTCGAGGAGTTGTGGCATGTATATGTAAGACTCCCAAGGTTGACGAGAAAATCAAACACTTACAATCTAAGGGTTTGGTACTCAGAGCTTCCAAGGAGGGCAATGCATTCAAACAATGCTGCAAGCAGTATGGCCATCCTTTAAGAACTTTCCGAATCATATCCCAGCCACCTCACATGTCACTTCGGCACAAATGCTCTGTTTCTTCTTATTTATCATCGTCCAACTACCTCTCCTCTGGCTTCACGTGTCGAAACTCAGGTTCTTGTTCATGGCCAAAACAATCGTGATGCCTATTTTTGGAATGACATTGTTTATTTGGGCCTTGGTTGCTGGTAAGTCATGGTTGTGAGGGATTTTGCCATTGGATAAACTCTAATAAAACATTAGCCAAAGGATTCGGTCCTACCTTTTCCAAGGGCACCAATATTATAGATGGCACACCCGTGGCAGTTGTCTTCTTTCAGTGTGTAACGACCACTATTTCACCGAAAGCCACGTTGGCTTTGAATATGCCCGATTTTACTCGATATGCCAAGTATCCTCGTCAGGTGTTCTGGACACAAGCCGTTGGCCTCTGCGTTCTGGTAACTCTTTGCGGCATCCTCGGAGTGACAGTGACATCTGCTTGTCAAGAAATATATGGTGTCACAACTTGGAATCCTCTTCAGGTTTCTCTTCTCTGGGAGAACCGCGCAGCCCAATTCTTCTCAGCTCTCTGCTGGATGTTCGCAGTCATCGGAACGAACATTTCAGCCAACTCCGTCTCCTTTTCGAATGATCTTTCACTCTGGTTCCCCACATGGATTAACACTCGAAGAGGTGCCTATGTCTGTTGTATAATTTCCATTGCCGCCACGCCATGGAACATCCAGTACAGCGCTGCATCATTCTCTGCCTTCCTGGGCGGATACGGGATGTTCCTTGGTCCCATTGCAGGGATCATGATGGCTGATTTCTGGTTCTTGCGGAACCGGCACCTGAATCTTGCGTCCTTGTACCGCCATCCCGATATCTACAGCTTCTTCCATGGTTTTAATCTCCGAGCATTCCTTGCTTTCGCCTGTGGCATCGCTCCGAACCTTGGAGGGTTGGCCCGAGCTACTGGTAACATGAGTGTGCCAAAGACCGCATCATACGTGTACAGCTTGAGCTGGCTTATTGGGACAGTGGTCTCGTTCACCATCTATATAATTCTGGGAAAGATCTGGCCGATGGAGGAGAAGTTTGACGAAGGCCAGGTTGTGGATGGCGTGGACGAGTCAAGCCTGGGAGTTAGTGACGAGGAGGGCAAGGGAACTGGGGAGAGTAGGACAAAAGCACTCTGATGTAAGCTGGCACTTTGGAGCCTCCGATGATAGTCTCCTAAACTGTTAATGATTAAGTATGAGATATGTATGCTGCGTCCCAGAGACCGATCTCCATAACAACAATTCGTGGAGTTCACTGATATCCCAATCATCTTCCAAGTCTGTAATTCAATCTGTGGTCTGTATCTGCTCTGCTGTACTTCACTAAGTTGACGGTTAACAGGTCCAACTGTGGGCCGATGCTTCCCAGAATTCGAGGAACAGGAAATACGTGGTGCCAATCAGATTTGTTTGCTGCCCCTCGCTTAAAATTGTACTTCCCCGCCAAGTATGGCTCGGAGACAACACACCACATTGTCCCAACAGGGCTCAGGAAACCTACAGCTCACCATCCCAGCAAATCATCAACAGTCCTCAGTCATGATCGATGGTTTGAGCACGGCTAAGATGTCGCCTTGCGTGCATCGACTTTCCGCGGGCCGTCAAGAGATTCGCACCTTGCGGATCCAACCAGGAGCCCAAGAGGACTCAATCATTTGAGCTCTCCAAACAGCATCCCTCAAGAACAACCCAGAATTTACAGCTCTCTCGTACGTATTGGGTATTCCAGGAGCCACAAAGCCCATTACAGTTGACGGTGTACAATTCCAAGCAACAGCCAATCTCGAGGCTGCACTGCGGCACATACGTAATGAAACTGCCCCGAAAGAGATGTGGATTGATGCAATATGTATCAATCAATCAGACATGGAAGAGAAAATACAACAAGTGCAATTGATGCGTGATCAGTACACAGGAGCTAGTGAAGTGTTGATCTGGCTTGGAGAAGCGGACCAGGGCTCGGAAATGCTGGCGGATGTTATACTTCAAACAGGCATACCCTTTGAGCCACAGCAAGGCTCGCCCGAATATGATAAGCTACTCAATGAATATTTGCTTGAGATGTGTAGCATTAGTCTATTGTTTCAGCATATTGCAAAGAGAGAATGGTGGATGAGAATGTGGTGTGTACAGGAGTGTTCTCTTGCCGTCCGAGATCCATTGATCCAATACGGTTGTCGTTGTTTCACGTGGAGCCAGTTCTTTTTTCTCTTCCGGGGTATTTTAGACAAGCTCTTGGATGGGAGAGCCCTTGGAGCAAATAGAGGTGACACGAGATTTCATGAGTTATCCACAAAATTAGGATTCTCAACAACAACAACAACAACACCAGAAGACGACAATGATGAGCACGTCTTGTGCATGGAAAGCCTCTCTGGAGTAACATTCATTATGTCCCGAAGCGCATTAAGCACAAAGAGAGAAGTCACGCTCATGGTGTCCATCGCGCCTTTGATGGGTCGCAGCGCCACCATCCCTCATGTACGGCTTTCTTGGCTTTGCTTCTCAAGAAGACAGCAGTAAAATCAAGATCGATTATGACCGGCCATACTGGGATTTATATCAGCAGACGATGGAGACCTGGCTTTGTAATGGATCTGAGGAGGAGTTTCACTTGGTCGGCCTCCTCTCTTTTTCCCGGGAACCAAACACTTATCCTTCGTGGGTCCCGGACTTATCGAAACAAAAGTCCAATGATAGGAATGGAGGATTTGCGCTCTTCAAGATGTACTCTGCTTGGACATGGCACTCCCCTCCCAACTTCTGGTTCTCCGATGACGGGCAGATATTCATGCCTGAGGGGGTAATATTGGATATTGTGGAAGAGACTCGCTTCATTCAACCAGGACGTGCAAAATTCCGGAGCAGGCTTTCTACATTGAACGCAGAACTCGACTCTAACATAGCTCGTCATGAGCATCTTGATTAATCATCAGACATTCGTCTAGATTCGATACGAAGTCACACTAGCCTAAGAAGGCTCTTTACATGTGACTCGTCCAACCTCCGCAACTTAGCAATTGCAGATGAGCAACTTGACTTATGTTGGAATCATGCCATGGACCCAAACCCGTCCCCTTTGGGAAGCAGAGAGCGACGTAAAGGCCGTGAAAGTCTGGCAGTGTACTCCATAGACAGTGTCGTTTCCCAGGTAATCTCCTTCGCATCATTGGCCGCGAGCGGAAAGAACCTCATCATGACTAAAATAGGATTTTTCGGTATCGGCGTTCCAACAGTGGTACCAGGAGATGTGTTAGCACAGCTCTATGAATTTCCTATGCCGTTGGCGCTACGGCCGAGCACAGATAATTACACCATTGTTGGTGGAGTGTACCTGGGTGGGCTGATGGACGGCTCTGTGCTTGACGAATGTGTTGATAATGGCGCACTGCCCAGGGCAACATTCAGGATTCGGTATTTAACTTTTGGTGTATCTGCTTTCTGGCTCTTGATCATCCTTTCTCCAGAATTCCCTTCACAACGAGTTTGAGTTGGAAAAAATGTATCTCCTAATCTTGTATGTATGCCTAATGATTAGATCAAACTTAATTTTCTGTGGGTTCTGTCAAGACTCAACACTCACTTTGCTCGCTATTCGGACGGACTCAAGCACATGCATAGATAGAAAACCTAGAGAGGGAATACCTAAGGTAGACTCGCTTCCGTACTCATTGGAAATAGAATATATATTTACCTGAGAGCTTGCTGACCCGACCGCTCCGCAGCCCCCCTTTCCCCCTCGCTTAATTGTTGACCCCGCTTCTGGCCCACACGCAATTCAACCGGCCAGCGAACGCACACAAAATTACCTCGAAATCGAAAGGGCCGGAACCCGTTTCTATTGTAAGTGGTTGACATTTAAATGGCAAGCATAGAAACAAAACTCCATTGGAAACAAGTAAGCGTTGTTGATGTCAAGGTCGACAGAAAAAGCTTCAAAATACCAAAAAGAAATTTTGAGGTTTTGAACCACACCCGATTTGAACGGATAACCTTTCGATCTGGAATCGAACGCGCTGCCGTTGCGCCAGCGGTCCTCGGCATGTGAGCTGGTATGTCTTGTGATGATATCTGTTTATCTGAGTATATTGCCGAGCGGAGAGCATTGGAGTGGAGATTACCTAGAATGTGTGGGTCATGTGAGGATAGAAGCGTGATGTTAGATTAAGTCTTTTTGTAATCAGGAATGCAAGTGGAGAATAACTGTGGGTTTCACGTTGTGTGGCATCTACATCTTGGAACATTAGCTACGTCTGAACATTTTAGCATTAAAACTGCTTATAGAAACTATCAAAAGGTACAAGATAACCAAGCAGGAGATACGAGCCACTTATCCTGAGTCTTAATATAGCTCAGAGTCCTGTATATAGTGAGTCTGCATAGCGCTAGATAGCAGCTCAAGACTATTCGATAATAGAAATAGATAAAATGAAAATAAACATTGTAGCATTGTGGTATGTCTGTTACCCCGTCCAGATCTAGCTATCACTGTTTCCATCAAGTTGCGAAGTGGCGAAAAGACATTCAGTCAGTAAACGGTGAATGGACGTATTTGTCATGAATCTTCCCAGATCTCAAATTTCTGAGCATACCTACGTGACTTCCACTTTTATATTGAAAGGCTCGAAAGGGTCTTAGCCCTTCGCTCACTGAGACATTGCCCACTCTAGCAGGGGAGGGTAGGGGTTATGATTGGTTCACTCACTGTTGACATTTGAGCCTCATCTTCTGCCGAATGATCAAGCCCTTTTCAGCCTCCCCCACTAGCGCGGGCAATGTCTCAGCGGACGAAGAGCTGTCGTAAGTAATTTATGATTTGAACGTTTGTGTAAGAAGTATTGAGGACGAACAAGCGTACGTAAGGTTGAACTGGGGTGGTACCTCAGGTATCAGATAGACGAACACGTGACGGTACATTGTGGCCCTTCGCAACCCCAACTCACGGTCTTCTCAATGTCTCAATAACACACATTTGCTACCGCTTCGATGGCAGGAAACATCACAACATCCGCGTCAAACCAGGCTGAGCAGAATGGTTCAGACACGTCATGGGACTCCTTCCGGACTCAGCTCTCAATCTGAGGCATCGTTGTTGGGCCGTGGCCATCGTGTGATCGACCATATGCCTCACGAACGTTCACTTCGGCTTCTGTGCTGGTCTGGTAAATAAGATGACAGTGCCAACCGTTTTGGTGAATTTCGCAATCTTCAAAGGGCCGGGAGCCAGCTCAACAGTCCGTTTCCACCCCCCTGGAGAATGCTTTCGTTCCAACACTGGCTGGTGCATCCGCCGGAATGCCAATGCCTGCCGGGTTACTGACCTATTTCCGGCGCTGGAGTTTCTAACATTGCCTAGTGAACATGGCCTGTTCATTTTTCCCTGGGAAAACTGTACATCTGGGTCTTAGGAATATGTTTGACGGGACTCATCTGCGCTTTGCTTCTGGGGTACCATTTCATCGTTCGCGAAAGGTTCCGCTTTCCAACCGCCACTGCTACTGCAGCTCTTATCGGTCTGCTCCCCGATGACGAAGCAGTCGCGAAGAATATCAGATTTGATCGGGCCCGCAAAAGTTCTACTGCTTCCTTGTTGAATGAAGATGACCATCATACTCTAGTCATCGGGAACGACAACACAGATGAAGGCGTGGCGCAGAAGCACATGGAATGGAAGCAAAACATGAGACCTATGGTTGCTTCTTTCTAATTTTCGGGCTTCTATGTATGTTAGTTTTCCTTGTATATGCATATTTGCGAGCGATTCTTCTAACAACCTTAGTCCCTTGTTGCATTCATCCCTATGCTAGATAATCTTCCTATATTCGGCGTCACCGCTGCCCAGAAATGGCTGTGGGCCCTCAGCATCTCGCCCGCATTCATCAGTTATGGCATAATTATGGATACAGTTACTGTATACCAGAATGTTATCGGATATATTCTGGGCTGGGGCATTTGTCTCTAATCGCAAAGAATCGAGGCTGGGCTGTAAGAGACGTGAGTGACTGGGAGTCAGGTTGTTGAAGGGGGACAATTTGGGGCAAGTTAGGCTTGATGTTTGGGTATGCGGTGAATCTGATTGCTTGAGTCGTCATGCAGCTCATCCTCCTGCTTCTCACAGAGAAATTTTGTTGGAAAGGCTCGCGATTCCTTGCCAAGTTGCACAACATCCACGACAACAACGCTGCGTACCACACCGATACTGAGCCCCTCATACCAGCGTCTGATGGTCCTGGAACTGATCCACAGAATCCGATGACGAGCCGGTAGTGGTAACAAACCTCAATACTGGTTACTACCAGATTACTTCGCAAAATTGAGTGCTGCCTCAGAACGCTTCATATCACCCCCAGTCACTCTCTCTGGTTCATTGGCCTGTTTTCCTTGTCATCATCTCAAAAATTCTCATATTTGGAAACATGGTGCCCCCATATGCCGTACTTTAAGCTATACTTCTGGTGTTCCAATGGAGCATCGTCCCTTTCCATGCTCTTAGACAAACAGATATCGCCCCTGTTGAAAGCATCGATATGTACTTATCACACCGTCTTCCTTGTCGCAAGATAAGCTAACCGCTTGGAATTATAGGTGAAATCTGCCAATTCCATTTTTTCTGGATGATTCCACCATCCAATCCCGGCGCTTAGCCAGTATGGCGATCACCGGAGTGGTGGAAGCAGGTACTTGTCAGTCAGCAGACCTCATGCCTGACTTCAAGACTGGCAGATTGGTGGAAGGTTCCCCCCAAGCTCAATATATTTATCAGATCATAGTTTCGATCGCTGTCATTTTGTGAGTGCCACCGCCTACTGGGCAGGGGCCTGCATCAATCTACAGCATTCAGACCGGTGACCTCCAGGCACCCGTGGCACATTTGTGGACTCACAGCGAGGTTCGCTGACGGCAAGGGACTGCCAGATCACTCTGTAAACTATGTTCTCACTGCCGCTCTTACCTGGGGCGTCTTTGTTGTGGTGCGGCTTTGTACAGTTGGCAAATGGTAGCGAAACTTTTTCCCGGCCCTGTCGCGATGGCTATTGGTACCTTTCCCCAAATGGAAGTCTCAATAATTTTGACTAATATTTCAGGCGTATATCTTCTCCCGTCCTATTGCTCAAGCCATTGGCAATGCTCTGAAGTACTACTCTTAAAATTTCCTGCAGGCAGAAAAGTTCTCGATCTGATTTTAGGTGGAGGCGTATCGAGTATCTTCATACTGGTCATGTACATGTGGTATACCTCACCTCAAGTGAGTGAGTGCCTGAGTAGCGCTGACGAGAACGACAAGCATGGGTCGGTATTTGCAGAGATTGGGGAACGACTGGGAATATATACGTCGCCTGTTCGCCATCATTGTTCCTGTCTGACCCCACAATAGCGGGGTGCTCCTTTGTCTCAGCCTCAGTCCTCACCTATACATACCTTTAGATATCTCTTCCTCTTGTCATCCACGGCACAAGAGCATGTCTTTCCATGCATATCTTTCAACTTGATTGCATTGACGAACTCGCGTCGCCAGATCTGCATCATGCTAGTTCCATCAAACCTCAAGCTGATTTACGAATCATCCGAGGCCAGCACTCCGGTAGAAGGTACAGAGTACGTCAGAGAAGACAACAAAGAACAGGACTCTCGAGCCGAAATACGTATAGCATTGTCGTAATACCAGAAGTGTGGACGCAGTATACACCTTAACAGCGGAGACAACCATGTTCATGGCTCCAACCGTTGGTTGCAGCTACTGATCGCAACATTAGGGTATACTATTTCAATTTTACCCTGGAATCGGGCGATATTTCAGTCTGGAGCCAGTTATTGAGCCAAACTCAGCCCTCTTGGACTCGCTCTCTCGAAACAGAGGCAGTAGAGAGGTGAAAACAAGTCCGAAATTGTTCTAGGCTTATTGTGCTCATGATTGTGACAGATGCAGCAACGCCAAATCATATTCATTTGCCACAGATTGGGTGTCATGCTGCTGAAAAAGGTAGGAACCTGTTCCTCCACTTGGGACATTGCTGACATTCACCAGGCGCTCTGCGCTGCACGCCGCTCGAGCAATGTTGTGAATGAGGTGACTGCCGGAATCATATTCCTCGGAACTCCCCACCTACAGTTGGTTGATGATTCACGGTGGGACAACTGGAAATGGATACTTAAGATTTTTTGCAGAGATCTGCCCAAGGAATGTCTCACCAGCAGTGACATTGTAAACCACTCGGAAACCTGTCGATCCTTCACTCTACTCAATCCTCAATTTCCAATTCTATCTGTCTATGACGTGAAGGAAATTAATCTCACGAGTGGGAGCAACAGCAAGACTGTGAGTTGCCATATTGCATTTCTTCTGTGTAAAGGCAGATATATTGATGTATTTTGAAAGTTGGTTGACAAGTCTCACGCTACTACACGAGGGGATAACGAGGAACTCTTTGAAGCCGAATCCACCGATCAAGACCTTTGCCTAGTAGTTTCGGACACCGCTCTGAACCACCAGCTTGTCAAATTCTTTAAAGCAGCCATGGAGGATGCTCTGCCTGCGGTAGCAGCACTACATGTTGGAGATAGTTCCGCACCGAAAACTAGAAGCAGCTTCGGGTCTGTGGAAGATGCTAGAGAGCCAGGTACTTTTTCATACAAAGAATCCAAGTAAAACCAGCCAATATGTTGATATTCGGTGTGTTTTCACAGTGATATTTACACCCACTTCTTTCTTTCAAATGAAATGCACGAATACCAACGACGGGGAGATTCGAACTCACTCTGACAGAAGCCCCAATACCATATCTGAATTCAATGCCCCCCGTCGGGCAACAAATGTGCCTCTGCATATGCTCAAACACCAACGAAATCCCCGGTTTGTCGGACAAAATGATGCCTTGGGCCAGATGGACAGGAGCCTACCACCCAGATCAGACCAAGCGGTGCAAAGGCAGCCACGTAGCTTCGTCCTTTGTGGCCTGGGTGGCATAGGGAAGAACGAGACCGCGATTGAGTACACATTTTCTCGGAAATCTCATTTCGATACGATATTCTGGGTTAATGAGGATACAACACAGAAAATTGCAGCAGGATCTTCCGAGATTGCACAAAAGTTTGGGCTCGAAGACTCGACTAGCAACAATGATCCCGTCGCTACTCGAGAAATCGTGAACGTATGGATGGCGAATCCGCTCATTCAACCATCAGACGAGTGCACGACACCCGTAAGAGAAGCATTCTGATTGCTAGTTTTTGATAATGCAGACGACCCAGAGCTCTTGGATGAATATTGGCCTGTAACAGGTACTGAAGCAGTATTGACAACAAGCCGAAATCCAATTGCCAAAGATGGTGTCTACGCACCTGTCGGGTTCGATCTTCTTCCACTACCTGACGAGGATGCAGGCAAGCTCTTACTGAAGATATCAGGTAGGGAGAAAGAACTGAACAGCCTAGCTTTAGGTGAACAAATTGTACGAACTTTAGGCGGGCTTCCTTTCGCAATAGTGCAAATGGGAGGAATTATCCGCCGCCATCATCTGGCACTCAAAGACTTTCTCGAATACTACGAGGAAGATGCAAAACGTCTGCAAGAGACTGTCGTTCCGGGTTTAGCTCACAGTCAGACGGTCTCGTCGGTATGGGCTCTCGAGAAACTACCGCCTCCAGCAGTTGCACTGCTAGGGGTGCTGTCCATCCTCGATCCTGATGGAATTCCAGAGACAATTCTTTTCGAAGGTGCCAAGTGTGTCGAGCTGGACGACTACCCTAAGAAAAAGAGCGACTACTTCGATGCAAGAGGGGAGCTCATCAAATCATCTCTGGCCACCAGGAACGCTGATACAGAGGAGATTCGTATCCACCGCCTTGTCCAAGATGTGGTCCGACAGAAGATGAGCGCCACGAATGTCATCGCTGTGTTCAACGCCACTATAGCTCTCTTGTCTGCGGTTTAGCCCTTTGTCCGCCTTGACAATCGCAATTTGGTCACTCGCCGGAAATTATGTGAACTGTATTTTCCACACATTGCGCGACTTGATACACTTTTCGAGAACCAATTATTGTCCGGTGAGATGAAGCCTAGCTTACAAAGTGCAGCGCTGTTCAACGAGGCAGCATGGTAAGTACCAACAATACACCGTGAGACTTGTTCGGCCTCTTGTTTTTTTGTGCTAACGTAGCTGGTTTAGGTTCACGGCTGAAAGGGGAATTCCGGTCGAATATAACAGAGACGGCATTCTTTCCCAGGCGATTCTGGACAAGATGGATCCTGGATATGACGAGAACGAGTTTACAAAATTGCTGGCAGACAGTCACCAATATCAAGCTATTGCGGGCATAGATACCAACGGAAAGAGGGCTCTTGAGCATGAGAAAGCATGGCTGGTAATCATGGTTGACCGTGTACAAAAATATTGCGATCCAGAAGATGCACTGATGTTACCAATGGTGTAAAATGAACTAGGGATGTCGTACATGAGGGTTCCCCAAGAGAAAGAAGCTATCGACTCATGGCAAATGGCAATCGAGGGTCTCACCAACAACGGTCCTGACGATCCACTCATTGCGATATGGCCTACAATCAATCTTGGTCTACTCTATGCTGTCACAGGACGGGGAAATGAGGGCTATGATATAGTTTCTCCCATCCTTTCTGCTCGGGACAAGGCTTTTGGAAGAGATGACAAATCGGCTTTTGAGTAAGTGTCTCCGCTATTATTTGATAACAATCCAAAGGGCACGGTTCTGACCTGATTCAGAACTGGGCGGATCCTCTATGTCATGGGTCATATTCTCGTCTCACAAGGGAAACCAGATGATGGCCTTGAATTCTTTCTAGAAGCTCTGGAAAATTTGAGAGTTACTTTAGTAATGGTCATTGGCAAACTGCTGACAACTGTTACTCCCTGGCATTTCAGCTAGCTACTACGTGTTGGGCGATATGATGAGGGAAGGTGAGCCATCCACCATCTTCCATTCACGCATATAAATCGTAATCTGTGCTGCGTAATATTCTCCTGGACCAATGCATCAAGATATATGGCGACATTCCATGGTTCAAGCCTCAGGCAGCTCGAGCGTCATGGAAGAAGGGAAGACTGCTGTTCGACTTGGGGAATGAGATTGAAGGGAGGGCGCAGCTTGCTAGCGCGATCGACATTCGTCGAGAGATCGACCCACAGGACAAGAGAACCGAACCTGATCTGGTGGATGGGGACTGGGACAAGCTGGTATGGTTTTATTCGCGTTAGAAGTTGCTTCCAGAGCAAAGAAAGCGAATCTGATCTGGTAAATGGAAAATGGAAATGGGACGAACTGGGCAGGGTCTATTGGCGCTAGAAGAGAGACTCAATTTATAAATAAAGCGTTGTGTCAATCAAAGTTTCACACTTCTAAGTCATTTGCAGGTTTGCTTATTAAAGCTATAGTTTTGATAGAATCTCCAAATGTCTCGCTCCAGTCTACTTATTGCCAATAGTCTCTCTCACCACTTAGCATCCCAGTTGCCTGTAATCCCATCGTTCCAACCACAATTTTTCCCTTCCGTCTGACCAAGAACTTTCCATACGTAACCCCACCAACAACTCCCCCGCCATCCCGATCCCAAACAATATTTCCCCTCAGAATTGTATACCTTGGCCAATTCCTCACCACCATGCCCTCATAAGGAGTATAATCCACACCATGATGAAGCTTCTTCTGCTCAATCACAAATTCTTCCCCAACATCGCTCTCCGGATACCAAATCACCAAATCAGCATCACAACCAGGCGCAATATTCCCCTTCACGCCTTCCAGTCCATATAATTTCGCGGGATCTGAACTCGTCAACTGCACAAATCGCTGGAGACTCAATCTCGAAGTTGTCTCTTGACCGGCATGACTGAAGAGCAAAGGCAATCTCGTTTCAACACCAGGGACTCCGTTGGGAATATTCTTGTAAGTCATTATCCCGTCCTTCAAACCGAGCTTCTTGCCCGCTGAATGATCATATGTGGAAGGAGCATGATCTGAGCTGAATGTGGTGAAAGTGCCGTTCGCAATCCCCCGCCACATGGCCTCTAAATCCTTGGGGTCGTGGCGTAGAGGAGGGCTACACACGCATTTCGCGCCTTCGAATAGGTCTTGCTTGTTGCCTTTCAGTCTTTCACTTAGCAGGAAGAGATATTGAGGACAAGTCTCGGCATGGATAGGCAGCATTCTTGTCTGTGCTTTCCGGACATGCTTCATTGCGACCTCGGAACTCATATGCACAATCAAAATTGGCGTATCTGTCAGTTCGGCAAGACTAATGATGCGGTACGTAGCTTCGTTCTCAGCGATTTGGGGCCGAGATATTGCGTGGAAATAGGGGTCACTGTGGCCGGCTGCTTCGAGGCGAGAAGTGATGAGTGAGATGATGTCGCTGTTTTCTGCATGAATCATTGTCGTGAAGCCAAGCGAACGTGCGGACATCAGGACGTCGAGAATAGCTGCATCTCCAAGCTTGAGAGGTTCGTAGGTCATATAGAGTTTGACACTTGTGATGCCTTGCGACATCAAGATCGGGAGCTCTTTACTCATGATCTCAGGCGTTGGGTTGGTGAGAATGAGATGGAATCCATAATCGCAGTAACTTTGGTCTTTGGCACGACTATGATAGTCTTCGACGGTAGGCAAGACACTGGTCGCAGACTTGAGTTGCGATGCAAATGCTAGAACTGTGGTTGTACCTCCTGCTATCGCACTTCTGCTTCCCGTGACAAAATTATCGCCTGTTGGTGAATTGTCTTGGTCGAAATGGACATGAGAGTCTACACCTCCTGGGGTAATGTAAGCCCCTTTGGCATCGATAATCTTGGTGCGTTCGTCTCGGGGCAAAGATGTTCCCAAACATGAGATCTTGCCTCCAATTATGCCAATCTCAATCCCCAGAGGAAGGACATCGCTAGCCGTAACCTGAGATGTGTGAGCAAGGATATCTCGCTTCCACAGACGAATAGTCAACAAGAAATGGCGGCAACCTTCATGGAATGCACTCAGGACGGTTGATCATCCATGGCTTGCACTGTGGAGCAAAACACTGCGCTCCTAGAGCTGAATCAAAAAGACAAAAACATACAACAGTGGGTATTCGCTGGTGGTCACCCACCCAACTACTAATCCACCGGTCTGGTGCTTGTGTATGGCAGAGCGGACGGGATGCCCATTTCTCACCAGCCTATGGTCGTATGTGACAAGCTTTCCGGTATTTGACACTATGCACAGAACAGCGAGGAGCAAGAGATGAGGAAGTTTGCTTGAAGTCAAGTTGACCAACTCCAACCTCACCTCACTTGTTCAAGCGCGGCTGTCTAGGGCTTCGATTTCTGTAGCCCCAAAGTAAAATATGTCGGAAAGATATAACAGGTTGAATAGAGCTGAGACCTTTAAAGAGGTTTAGACTCGCTTGAGTACTTTTTCGAGTACCATTGTTTGGTGTCGTCGCTTCGCCCAAAATACAAAGCAGAAACACGCTAAGCGAAGACATCAGGGATAGAATTGAACTCACAATAATACCATTCACGACAATCGAGTCAAATCCTGCCATAGCTTATACTTCCTCGTCCGACTAATCTTAACATAGAACAAGAAGCAGCAGCCGAATGAATAAGAACGCCAGGAGCAGAGTCAATAATAGAGAAAAGTCAATTGATTGCAAAGCGAATACTCGAGCGAAAACCTTCCAGATTCACCCCATCTTTCTAACATAGCACTAAGTAGCAACGTCATTTCTCCTAGTCTTGAATCCAAGCTATCAATCTCATAAGCGACATTTAAGTAGGGTGTTTAACATCCCCAATCTCAGATGTCGTTTATTCATCTTCGGTACACTAACCACTCAACCATCACATCTCGGCTCCCCGTCAATTGGCCGTCGGGCAAGCAGGGCTTCATGGGATCGCCCCGCCAGCCCGCCCGCTAATGAACCCCGATAAGCACTGTTTGGCTTCTCTCGCTTACCAACCCTCTCCAGCTTCCTGCATATCGACTTTAGCTCGACCGAAGTCCCCGCTCCAACAATGGGGTACAAGTTACCCTATCTAACGGCGCTCGTCCAAGCAGAAGTCAAACAAGAATCTCGACCTCTTCAACCATTGCTAGGGCCAGTCTACCGGGATTCCGACCGGGATACCGGGGCTGCTGGCCTGTCCTGGCCGTGCCGTATCTCCTCGTGGAACCATTGTTGACAACAAGCTAACGGGACGGCAAACGTAACGGCGACGGCGGGGAATGAACGAGGCTGAAATTCGAGGGAGCTCGCTATCTCTGGCGTTCTATCGATAGATTTCAATACGCAGGCTAGAATAGACATCCCACTCTCCCGATATTCTACTTACTCCAAATCTGTTAACCGTACTAAATCTAAGCCATCGATACCCATATTGTTCCATTTTCTCCTTTGCGCGAGTTGCACGAATTATTTTATTCTATACACCCTTCAGCTGTGGCTTCTTGGTTCTAAAGACCTTACAACCAGTACTCGACAGATTCATCCTCTCATATCTCGTCACTCTCAACCAAGAGGAAGCACACAACATATCACAAATCAACAAAAATGCCACGAATACTTAAACTTGCTGCAGCACAAATGGGCCCGGTGCACCTGACTTCCACCCGATCAGAAGTACTCACGCGTCTCCTCGTGCTCCTCCGAGAAGCTTCAACCCTCGGCGCCCAGCTCGTCCTCTTCCCCGAGACAGCACTGACAACATTCTTCCCCCGTCACCTGATAACCTCGCCTACAGAATTATCAAAGTACTTCGACTCCACCTCCACACTGCTCACCTCGCCTAACACCGCACCCCTTTTCGATCTCGCTAAAGAGCTCAGCATCGACATCAGCATCGGTTTTGCAGAATGGGACGAATCGGCTGCTGCTGGTTGTACTCACGGCGAGAACGTAAAGGGGTATAACACTTCCGTGTACTATTCAGCAAAGAAGGGCGAGATAGTAGCCAAGTACAGAAAAGTCCACCTCCCCGGCACTGTCGAACCATTTTCCAACCCCGACGCCGTAAACCAGCTCGAGAAACGGTATTTCGCCCCAGGAAACCTAGGCTTCCAAGCCTTCCGCGCTCCGGACCTTGTTAAGGGAGTACTGAAGAAAGGAGGGCATGGTGTGGAAGCTACGGAGGATATCAAGGGGAGGGGCGACCCGATTTTGGGTATGATGATCTGTAATGATCGGAGGTGGGTGGAGGGGTGGAGATGTTACGGGTTGCAGGGCGTGGAGCTCGTATTGTGTGGGTATAACACTGCTGGTTTTGCGCCGGATCTATGGGGCACGAGAAAGCCCATGACACCTGAGGAGGCGGAGACGGATGCCGTATTCCACCATAAACTGTGCATGCAGGGTAATTCGTATATGAATAGTTGCTTTTCTGTCAGTGCGGCGAAGGCGGGCTTGGAGGATGGGAAATATGATTTGATTGGGGGGAGTTGTATCACGTCGCCGGAGGGACATGTTTTGGCGGAGGCGAAGACAAAGGGTGATGAGATTGTGTTTGCGGAGATTGATTTGGAGGACTGTAGGCAGGGGATGGAGAAGACTTTTGATTTTGGGAGGCATAGGAGGATTGAGCAGTATGGGTTAATCACGACGCAGACGGGTGTTGTGGAGCCGGAGCTCTTGGTATAGAAATAACAGGATGATAGAAGCTAGAGGGCTGTAGAATGATAAACTACATTGTGCGGAACGAATGAAGGAGTACAGGATTATGTGTTCGCGAGATTTCATGGGGCTTTGAGCCCAGAAACTTGAGGAGTTGAATAAAACACGTCAAAAACCACATACAACACACTTCAGTAAGGTAGTGATGCATGGCTAGTCTTGTGACTGATGCCATCGTACAGGCTCGCCATTTGTCCACCTACCCGCAAAACTCCAGGTTTATCCCACAGTGCGAAGGTTCGTCCAAATCCCAAATTTCAAGGTCCCAAGTCCTACGTCAAGTTCAAGATCCAGAGGCGAATCCTAAAAGCCTCAAATATTCTGAGGCTGAAGCCCCCAAATCTAATTGGCCAATCGCTGCCACTGACAGGGTACATATCTCGTTGCCTGTAAGGAGGCTTGGATACAAGTGGAAGCCGTTCTCGTGCGCACGGCAGCTGCCGCATGTTGTGTTGCTACTGCACTGGTTGAGGCGAAGCGTTTTGAGTTCAGAATTTCGCCCGATCTGAGTTGGAGAGAAAAAGGTCGGTTCAATGTGCATCAGGGGGATATTGTATTGTGATGTTTTGTTGTCCAGGCTCGCTTATCGTACTTCTTTGGAGCGGGTCAGCATTTCTTGCTGGGCCGGAAACGGCTATTGCTACATGCGACACAAATCAAGTTGCAGATTTCGTGAAAAGAGTAGCAAACTTGTCTGGAGCTCTGAAGGATTTCTCTTTACCATTCTCATTGAGAGCCGTGAACTTGAAGTCACACAGCATTCCGGGTGGGTGTAATAAGCGGACGCCGGACTGACCACCACACTAGTGTAGCATTTCGTGGGGACCCCATAAAAGGCTTGCCTTTTGAAGCCAAGCCGATCCAAACACTCTGACGCCAAATTGGCGCCCGAGAAAAGCTGTTGCCTTACATGGCCTCACCAATTGATAGGATATCGAGCCCTCCAAAAATCACGAGGAGGCGGTGCTTCAACACCGTCTCGCTCTACAGTAGGACAGTGATAATCTCTACCGCCACCAAGAGATGGGAGCTGTTGAAGTTCATCCCGTTCTGTGGGCATGCGACCCGATTCCATTTCTTGACATCGGCCGCTATGTCGTATCAAGATTAGATGCCACCAGATTGCTGGGTTCTTGCATGTGGAGTCTCATTTCATTGGGTCTTCGATACAGGCAAGACCCCGCCTTCCAATCGATATCTGGACTTCAACTCTCTCCCGTCAGATGAAGCCTGACTGACGGATCAGCCAATATGCATACATTGAATTGAGATGGGATGTTGCAGTGAAAAAAAACGGCTCGAGGCAGGGAAACCGCCGGTTCACCAAGTGTTCGCTGTGTCCCGCTAGGTTGTGGCTGGAGACCGCACGAGATCACAAAGTCTTTCCCCCACCATGTCACGATCCCTGTCCTGCCCCCAGCCAAAGTTTAATAATAACCGTGCTTCCTCTCCACTCCCCGCCAGCTCTAGCCCACCCCGTCTCCGGCTTGATGGTCTTCGTTCTGGGATGAAAGAGAACTTCATCCGTTGCTCCCATCTGACGTCCTTCCATCGCCAAACAGAGGGAAAACACAGTAGATGTATCTCTCACCACCACACCGCTGGATGCAGGAGTCGCGCCGCAATGTCGCCGGGTCCCAAGACCAACACAGTCCATCTGGACGAGTACGAGCGGTTTGCCTCCCCGCCGCGTCCCAGGACGAGCGAGCAAAGGAGGCCGGCTGACGGGAGAACGAATAGGGAAGATGAGAAATACAGAGGCGTGGATGCGCATTCGGCGCATGTCAATCTGAATCTCAACCTCGAAGGCCGGTTTGTCTCCCACGTTCTTTCCACCGCCAAGTCGTATGCGCCATCTTCCTGCAATCAGCTAACCATATTGTTCATTTGCAGTATACAAAATCCCCTCGCTGGTCTTCCGACCGTCTTTCTCCTGCGCGAAATCGACGAGTTTGCCCGGAAGCGGGGCTTGATGGATGTGTTGCCGCTGTTGAGGAAAGGAGCATTGGTTGCACGCGACCCCTCGAATTATGAAGATATTAGTGGAGACGAGGCGCTGGATGATGCGGAGATTGAGGCCTTGAGAGACGAAGTGCTTCATAAGTGGAGACAACCAAAGGCGCTGTATTATACGATTATAATATGCTCGATTGGGGCTGCGGTACAGGGTTGGGATCAGACAGGTAGGTTTGGCTTTTCCTTCAGAATAGTGAGAGAGGTATATGTGATATTGGATTCCATATTCTGGAAGGGACAATGTGGTTGGTGCTTTGACTAATCATCCATAGGTTCCAATGGCGCAATGCTCAAGTTCCCAGAGTACTTTCAAATCGACTCAACATCCACACGCGATTCATTCTTAGTCGGCCTACTCAACGCAGCACCTTACATAGGTTCGGCATTCATAGGATGTTGGGTTGCTGACCCTCTGAACAACTATTTTGGTCGTCGAGGGACGATCTTTGTCACTGGAAACTTTTGCCTTTGGACTGTGCTTGGTTCAGCTTTCACAAAGACCTGGCCGCAGCTGCTTGTTTGCCGGATTCTCCTGGGAATTGGTATGGGCGCGAAGGCTAGTACGGTACCAATTTTCGCCGCGGAGAACAGTCCGGCGTCTATTAGAGGAGCTTGTAAGAAACACTCATTTCTGTCCCGTTTCTTACAGATCTGCACTGGCATTGACGACATTATAATGTCCTTTCACCCTTTGAACATTCAACTAACGTGAACAGTGGTAATGTCCTGGCAAATGTGGACGGCCTTCGGAATTCTGTTAGGCTTTGCAGCGAATCTTGCTGTTGCGAATGTACCAAAGATATTTTGGCGTCTCCAACTTGGAAGTGCTTTTATACCAGCAGTCCCCCTGGTCCTAGGCGTATATTTTTGTCCTGAATCTCCCAGAGTAAGCATTTCCCACAATTTCGATGCTCACACAACTAAGAGTTCAAGACTGACCGTATTATACAGTGGTACATGAAGAAAGGACGGTACCGCAAAGCTTTCACCTCTCTCCTCCGACTCCGCGCAAATCCTATCCAAGCAGCGAGGGACATCATTTACATCAACTCGCAGCTGGAACTGGAAGCCGAGATTATCGGGAACAACACCTACACCCGGCGATTTATCGAGCTCTTCACCATTCCCAGATTACGTCGTTCTACGTTAGCAGCTTTCACTGTTATGCTTGCGCAGCAGAGTACGTCCTTGGCAAACTTATTTTTCTCCTTATCACTGTTTCGGAGATTCTGATGTCCCTGGGACATGTCTTATTATTTACAAGTGACATTCATGATAGGCATTTACTGACTTCCCATTGCGTACAGTGTGCGGTGTTAACGTTATTGCATTCTATTCCTCAACCCTATTTGTGAAAGCTGGTGCTACCCCGAATAGAGCGCTGTGGGCGAGTTTTGTAAGTTCGCTACGGAAATTTAGACGAGCTTGACTTGGACTAATGGTTCTACAGGGATTTGGGTTGATTAACTTCATCTTCGCATGGCCTGCTATTTGGACAATCGATACTTATGGTCGTCGTAGTCTCCTGCTCTTCACATTCCCGAATATGGCTTGGTCACTCTTGGCTGTGGGCTTGTGTTCGCTTATTCCATCATCAAGTCCTGCTCATGTGGGATTAATGGCCTTCTTTATCTACGTCTTTGCGGCATTTTACAGTGTATGTTTTTATCCCTTTCAGATTTTGAAGTTTTCCGTCTGCACTACGAGCTGCTCAGCATACTTCGACACATTATGTCTGGGCTTTGTCTGAATAACTGCTAATTTTCCACAGCCGGGAGAAGGACCTGTCCCATTTACATACTCGGCCGAAGTGTTTCCTCTCTCGCATCGTGAAGTGGGCATGGGATGGGCTGTAGCTACAAATCTATTCTGGGCAGCTGTTCTTGGTATTACATTGCCTAGAATGCTCGACGCGTTCAGCATAGTGGTACGCCTCCTCTTGTTTCCTCTATCAACAAACGTTCTGACAACTATTAGGGTGCATTCACATTCTACGCTGGTTTAAACGTTATCGCACTCTGCATGATCTTTCTTTGGGTGCCAGAAACCAAGCAGCGGACGCTCGAAGAATTGGATTATGTATTTGCAGTGCCTACGAGAGTTCACATGCACTATCAACTTACGACTGCTCTCCCGTAAGTTTTGTTACCCATGCCATTATTATCATTTCAATACTCCACCTAAGCTTGGTTCCTAAAGATATATAATACTTGTGCGTATACTGACATAATCCAGATGGTGGATCAACCGCTACGTCCTTCTCCGCAAAGGTCCCGGTTTAGAACCCCTCTATCACTTTGAAGGCACGTCCGGACGCACACCGATCGATCAGCTTTACGCCAACGATCGTGCGAGACAGCGGTCAAATTCAAACACAGCAACTGCAGAACAATCACCTATGACAGAAGCACAGGCGCCGCCACCCACGTACTCTAGCCGAGCGAGGATGAACTTTTGAGGCGTAATATTTATTGGTATTTTGGGCATTTAGCGAGGTGTTATTCGGAGCAAAGCCTATGATAGGTTATGAGTAATGTATTTATGAAGTGTAAGGCGTTGATTTTGAGATACCAATTTTTGTATATATGGGCCGCAAAATATCAAAGGTTCCTACTCTCAGGAGTTTTGAGTAGCATGATCGAGTTCGCAGCGTCCACGATATTGCCTCAAGTGAGGTCGATATTCATCCGGAAATTTATTATTCGGGATATTGTGTTGCGAGGCTGTCTTTGGATAGGAGAGTCAGGCCCGAATATCCTTGACAATGATAGAGGGCATGAGTTGATAATCGTGATGTGAGGATATGTCCCGTACATCTGCGTTCGTGGGATATATCTCTTGAGCGGTGCAGGGGCTGACGTTAGTCCAGCGAGCTTCCGTAGAGGGGTAGCCACCAGGTCATCGGCCGAAGTTTAGTGGACTTAAGCTCCCCAGGTTCCCTGTCCAGTTGCCGCAGTTCCCCACCGCCGGAATGTGGGGTACTGGCGGGGTAGAATACCTACCTACTTCATTGAAGCTCAAGCACTTCATACGCTCCAAAGTATCACATGAAGATAGAGTTCTTCATTCCATTTCTTCTCTGATTCTCTTCGTAGAGTCTATTTTATGCCTGCCGTCGTCTTGATATTGATCCAGAGCCACCAGAATGATAGCCGATATCCTTTCCCTCTCGCCCGCCACGCTCATCGTCCTTTCAACCGGCGTAACCCTCCTCTATTTTCTTCTCACGCCTCTCTTCTCGCCACAACGGTCTATCCCCGGACCATTCCTAGCACGCTTTACTCGTCTTTGGTATTTCTACCAGATATATAAAGGAGATTTCGAGAGGCTGAATATAAAGCTGCATGAGGAGTATGGACCAATTGTGAGGATTGCGCCAGGAGAGTACTCGATTAATGATGTGGAGGGGGCGAGGGTCATTTATGGGTTGGGGAAGGGGTTTGTGAAGGTTTGTTTGTCTTTTTTCTTGTTTAGATTCTCTCACAGACTCAAGTGGATATCCCAAACCCACCCGAGTTTCCAGTAACAGGGGAAATCAACGATTTTATTCTCATATAGAATTCTAACTGACAAATGTAGAGTTCCTGGTACTGGGCATGGATGCCACCAGACCCCACCAAAGCATCTCTATTCTCCGACCTGGATCCCCATCGACACTCCCTCCAACGGCGAAAGTTCTCCTCCCTATACTCCATGTCCGCACTTCTCGGCTACGAGCCCTTCGTCAACAACTGCACCTCCCTCCTCACACAACGATTTTCAGAACTCTCCTCCTCCAAAACACCCACCACCATCGACCTCCAGCACTGGCTGCAATGTTACGCATTCGATGTCATTGGCGAAATCACCTTCGCCAACCGCTTTGGCTTCCTAGATTGTGGTGAAGATAAAGAGGGTGTCTTTCAAGCCATAGATACCAGAGGCGTGTACTCGACATTCGTCGGTGTATTCCCCTGGATCCACAGATTCTTGTACCCGCTCCTCCCAAAAACAGGTGGACACGGCTACGTATTCAACTACACTCTCCGTCAAATCGACGAACGACAAAGCTTGCTCAAGGACCCTCGAAATGCAGGCCGTGAAGGACCCCCCGACATCATGACGAAGATCCTCCTTGCGCACGAAGAAACCCCCGAAAAGATGACCAAGATGGACCTTATCACAATGTGTCAATCTAACATCGGTGCAGGGAGCGATACCACGGCTATCACGCTGTCGAGTATCTTCTACCATCTCTTGAAATATCCTGCTACGTACAAGAAATTGCAGGATGAGATCGATACTGCGGCGAAAGAAGGCAGGATCTCGGATCCGGTGACGTTCAAGGAGGCGCAGAATGAGTTGCCGTATTTACAGGCTGTTATGAAAGAGGCGCTTAGAATCCATCCTGCTACAGGATTACCGATGCAGAGGGTTGTTCCTGCGGAGGGGACTACGATCGCGGGGGTTTTCATTCCTGGTGGGTCATCTGTTGGTATCAATTCTTGGGTTGCACATCGCAACCAGAGTGTTTTCGGACGAGATGCTGAAGAGTGGAGGCCGGAGCGGTGGTTGGAGTTTGAAGAGCAGGGAAGAGGTGGAGAGGTTGAGAGGTATATGTTGGCTTTTGGGATGGGGAGTCGCACGTGCATTGGGAAGAATATTAGTTTATTGGAGATGAGTAAATTGGTTCCGCAGTTGGTGAGGAGGTTTGATTTTGTGCTGGAGAATGAGTGTAGGGATGATTTGAAGTGTTTGAACAGGTGGTTTGTGAAGCAGCAGAACTTCAGGGGAAGGGTTGTTGCGAGGAAGGCTGTGGCGGCATGAATAAAGCCCAGCTAAGCGAGAAAACATCAACATGGAAGGATATACAACGCTGTCACGACTCTGGATATAGATTAAAATGGGAAATATAAATTTCACAACCAATCTTGCCCTCTCGCCTCCCTCCCGGCCTTGGAACTCCTATAAATCCCCCCTTTAGCAGTAACATGGCCCTCCCTAACCAGCCCAATCAAAATCTGCACTCCAACACCTACCCCATCAATAACCTGCGCTGTCACCTCTTTACTCCCAACCGCCTCCTCACACCTAACCTTCATCTCCGTCATCCCCGCACACCCCAACGCAATACAATCCGCTCCCTTCTCATTCACCAGCCTCCTCGCCGCCTCAGCCACCAGCCCCAGGACCTTCTCCCTAGGCAACCTCTCCAGCTCAAGTACTCCGAGATTAGTAGTTTCGCACCCTACAGAGAAGCCTGACAGGCCATAATATCGGATTGCGTCTTCGTGCATCACTTTGCTGCGGCCGCCTGTTGCGACGATGCCGAGACGGCCACCGAGCATGCGAGAGGCGTAGAGAGACGCTTCCATAATGCCGATTACGGGGCCGGAGAGCTCTTCGCGGAGGGCGTTGATGAGTGGGTGTTGGCTGAAGCAGGCGACGAGAAAGGCGTCGTACTTGGAGGCTATTGGGGTGATGGCGCGGATTGCGGCGGCGGAGGAGAGGACGCCATCGAGGTGGCCTTCGATAGCCGATGGTGCGGGGTGTGGAGATGTGAAGCCTGTGACTGTGCAGTGTGGTGGGAGTGTATTTTGAAGTGAGCGGAGACAGGCTTCGGTCATGGACGAGGTGCCATTGGGATTTATGAGGAGGATGTTGATTGTTTTGGTTGACGTCCCGGTGACAGACGGAAGCGAGATGAAATCTGCCATTTTTCAGGGGCCAAATTGGGGTATTTTAGCGAGCAGACAAGAAGAGGTGAGGGGTGAGAAGATGAAATCGTCTAATTGGAAGATTGTTTTTTTGGTTTCATCAAGCCTTGCCTTGAGAAGGTTTGAAAAAGAAATAATTGTAATACGTTAGCCATTCTTGTCATAACTTAGCAATGTCAGCCAGCCACACCATGGAAAGGCTCGTCATTGAATTGGATGAGGAAGCCTCCTTTCGTCTTGTCTCGCATCGCAGCCCGACTCCCCAGATAACGGGCAACTTTGGCCGTTGAAGATGCTCTTGAGTGATCCTCAATAATAATAGCGCCGAGAGCTGGCTGGGTCTTGGTCGCTTCACACTGCCCCGCGCTCGGCGCGCATCTTCTCTTACCTTACTTTTCCTATCTCGACAAACTATGGACCCTGAAGTCCGTGGCCTTGATTGATTGCGATTGCGAAAGAGATGTTAGGAAGATTGAAGCGGCAAAGAAGAGTTGCGCGATAGACCGACGAACATCATCACTCTTGCCCTGTACTGCACTGTACCTACCTAGCCCTAACAAGGACATCCGGGTAAGCTGCAGGGGAGCGAGCAGCGCCTCGACCATTCCGTAGGCACTGTAGGGGACAGCTCTCGATCCAACCTCACTTCTCCGCCATGGACACTCATTCCCATTATGTCCACGCCCAACAATCAGTTTCGCCCACAGACTTTTACAACGGCCACAATGGTCTAGCACTGACTTCTCCCGCGCCACCAGTCCATGCGGTGGGTCCGCGAAGCTACAAGTCGAGAAAGTACAGACCCTGTGATTTCTGTCGTGCGAGGCAAGTTGCGTGTAAAATCGACGACAGCCCGCCATGCAATCTGTGCTCAGCTCACGGCCGAGAATGCACCTTTCTCGAGCGGCCAAAAAAGAAGAGGAGGCCGAATCCATCGGTGGGCAATGGTGAGGCTAGTGGCATAACAGCTTCAGGTAAGTTGGCATGTCCACTGCGGCGAAGGCGTGAGATGGGGAGTGAGCAATAGATGGGATGAAGCACACCACTTATGATCGCGAAGAATGGGGCTAACATGTGCTCGTGCCTTTCCAGCTCCAATCCAGCAGTTCGATGTCTCATCGACGCCATTGAGCCCGGGCTTCCTCGCGCAGTACAACCAGGAGCAGCAGTCCTACAATGCACTGAATGGCCACCATGACGGTCTCCCTGTTCATTCCTCCCCCGACCAGTTACACTTGAGCCAGACTGATGCCTCGCCGATGTTCAATATGGATCCGTATCTGCTGGCAGGAGGAATACGGATTGCGCCTCTGGATACGCAGACAGCACGCTCGGCACGCTTCATTGGAGAAACTGGGGAATCCAATCCATACTTGTTGAAATACTACAAGTATGACACCAATGATGAGTGTACCATATCGAAGTTGACATACCGACGGATAAAGAGTTCTTTGCATCCAGATGGCTTGTCAGACGAGAAAGTAGAGCCGCCAGTGGTCTTCATGCTAGCGGATGATAGCCTAGCTCAGAAGGGTGAACCACGTATTGAAGATGATGTCCTGCAAAAGTCACGTACGGAGATAGAGAGCATGTTCAGTGAGCAAGAAGCTCTGCGATTGATTGGCCTCTTCTTGCGATTTGTATACCCATACTTTCCTATTCTGTCTAAGAGCGAGCTTTGCCCAAACGGAGCAGTATCACCCTCCGTGCTACAAACATTACCACTTTCTCTTCTATCTGCCATATATGCAACCTCTCTGCCATTTATGCTATACGATGATCTACTCAGTACGACACTCATACACTCTCCTCCGCCTGCACATCAGCTGTTTCGGATAACATGGTTATTTGTTATCCAAGAGCTTCATACCCCAAGGCTAGCTACCTTGCAAGCATGTCTTCTGCTCCTACAAAGAGCGCCCACGAATCGCTACACGACAGACACGCCTTGGAAGATGAGTCTGGTGGGATGGACTGTCAGTTTAGCCCATTCATTGGGCCTTCAGAAAGAATGTAGTGACTGGAGCAGTATCCCGACATGGGAGATGAGTCTTCGGAAACGACTTTTCTATGGTGTATTCATTATGGATAAATGGGCGTCCTTGGGTGCGGGTATGCCAAGTCATATTAAAACAGACGACTTTGATGTCCTCCCTCTTACCGATACCGACCTCGAACCGCCATCTCTCGACCCAGGTCCCAATGCTCTCCCTGGCTTCTTAGAACCAGAAGCTGATAATAATCACTTTCGACTCCTCACGGAGTTGACGATTATCCTTAGTGATATCATGGATTCTTACTACTCTATCCGAGCAACGCAGCGGACATCCAAAAACTTCACCCTGTCCTTGGACCTTGCTCGCTCTCTCCGTAAAGGATTGACAGATTGGAAAGACTCGTTACCCCCTGCTCTTTCCATGCGGCAGGCTGGTCGTGATAGTCGGATAAATGGGAATCCATCACTTTCATTGGCGTACATCGTTGCCACGATGACCCTCTTCCGAGCACTCTTACGGCCGTTGGAGAATCTTTCGAGCGCTGAAGAGCAGGAACGAAGTATTGTGGAGGGGCGACTTGCTGTCAGAGCTGGCGCGAAAGAATGCGCCAAAGAAGTCGTGGAATTTGTGGAGAATCTCGGACGAGGAGCCTTGGATGCGTTTTGGCATTCATGTAAGCTTTGGCCCTTTCACTTCCCGAACATACGTTTGAATTAAGACTGATGATATACAGGGTCACGAGCAAATTTCGCTATCGCCTCTTCCTTCCTCATGCAACTCCTTGTCACGTCCCAAAACGAGCTTGAAACGAACGAGATCAATAGTCTGGTAGCGCGCTGGAGGTGGGCCATGCGGATTGGGAGTGGGAGTACTGGGAACGGACTGATGAGTTTGGGATTGTTACGATTAGATGGTCTGCTTTTGGAGAATGGGACGGGTCATCCTTCTGTTGGATGAGCTTGAATAGGATGCGGCGCTTGTTGCTGAGGAGTTCAGGCTGATGATGAATTGGTCACTGGTTGATGAGGAAATGAGGAATGGGATACATTATCATGGCATTGGCAGTACATGCCCAAGTAGCAGACAATGCATATTCTGATATTATGTCAGACGATCAATCTCACGTCCCCGCTAATTGTAAGAGTATAGTGGAGAGCTAGATCTTATTGCATAAGCCGTTGCTAAAGCAAAATACAAGTGAGTTACCTTTCGCTCGGAGCAGTAAAAGCTACCCAGCACCTCTTGCCCTGGGATGACCTTTAGAATCTTGTTTTTGTACTCACGTCCAATTATCATCAAGCGTCAAGCGGCCAGCCAGGTCGCCTTGCCTCACCTTCCATTTCATCCAGATCATACTCATTCCTTGCATATTATGAATTAGCATGTTCTGTACTGTTCCTGTACTCTGACGGGGAGCAACGTCGTGCATCCAATCATCTCACAGTCAGCGTAGAAAATCCTGTTTGTATTCTGCTAGATTCTGCTAGAGCTGACATCGGTCGACCACTTAGTCACTGTGCCGCTGCTGATGCCCAGCTCGTGGGGCGGCTGCCAGCCATACAGGACACTCGGTACGTGTAGTCGCCCCGAGGACCGAGATAGATAATAGTCTATAGGTCCGCAAGAATTCCTCGTGCAATTCTATCTTTCCAACAGAGTAAAAGACAGCATAGCTCGAGCTGATATAAAACGTAAACCACGATCTTAAACTCGCAACAATGGAGCAAGACGATTTCTGGGTGAAGAAGCAGCAGTTTACCAAAACGGTTTATCGCGATGTTTACCCCGCCATCGACCCCACATCTGCTTCGAACAGCCAAGCTGGAAAGGTGGTCGTAATCACGGGAGCAAGCAGAGGCTTGGGACGACTTGTAAGAAGAGTTCGTGGAATACCATGATAATCTAGTAACTAATGTGGGTAGGCATTCGTCAAGTCCTTCGCAAAAGCCGGCCCAAAAGCTATTGTTTTAGTTGCACGCACTCCCGAGCCCCTCGAGGAGGTTCGCAAAGAAATTCAAGCCATCAACAAGGACATCGAAGTCCTTGCTGTTCCAACTGATTTGCTGAATGCTGATTCGATTGCAAGTCTGTGGGGCAAGGTTAAAGAGAAGTTTGGACACGCCGATGTCTTGGTCAACAACGCTGGAACTCTCAATAGCGGACCTATAGCCGACTCGGAAGTTGATAAGTGGTGGAGCGACTTCGTGAGTTGGCCTACACAGCACCTTTGACGTAGTATTTTGACGGACATCTGACGATCACAGGAAACGAACGTCAAAGGTGTGTTTCTTCTCACACAAGGATTCCTGCGTCTGCTTGGCAAGGAGAGAAAAGGATCGATCGTGACTCTGTCCTCAAGCGTTGCGGTCATGGCGTTCCCGGGAATGTCTTCCTACTCGTTGAGCAAACTGTCAGCCGCCCAACTCCAAGCTTTTGTCGCACTCGAGAACCCGAATGTGACAACTGTTGCCGTTGCGCCTGGTGTCGTTCTGACGGATATGACACTCGATGCCTTCAGGCCCTACGCAAAAGATACGCCGGAGCTGGTTGGAGGTGTTGCAGTGTGGCTCTCGACTGAAAAGGCTGAGTTTCTGAATGGGAAATATGTAGAAGCCAATGTGAGTTCAAGCCGTAGTCATTCTCCCGTCCCGTCGCAAGGTCCCCCTTGGACATTATATTCAAGGAGATCGCTCTGGAGAGACTCTCGTCGATTTTTTTGGAAGTGATCAATTTGACTGACTGTTTTATCGTAGTGGTCGGTGGACGATCTCGTTTCTCGAAAGGAGGAAATCGTCACCCAAGGTAAACTGTCTATCAAGTTGGGGGGTGATTTTGGTCACGAACAATTCGAATAGTGTTCCGCTGAACTTGGATTCAGACAGCTGTAATAAAGATGCGTCCGAACAATCATAATCGAGATCAGCCTCTGTGAAGTCAAGTGGAAATTGAGAAGGGCATCCAAAGGCGCCATAGTGGAGCAACATACCCAGCAGTTGCAAGCTGTGGATAACCATACGAGGCAGTCGAACGGCGTCCAGGTATCGTGACCAGAAGCTTATTCGGCGGTTTGATTACCTCAATAACTGTGAGACGTCTTGCTCGGCGAGAATTTGGCTTGCCTGTTTCGATAAAGTGCAAACCATACTTGAGAATTGTAAAGCTGTCAGCATGAATGCTTGGAAGGTCAGAAATCAGTCGATTCCCATCTGTCTCTCATGTTTGACTAGAACAGGTATATCAGATTGGATCAATGGATGCCACTGATTCAGGTAAGTTTAGCTTACCAGGATACGACCGAGCATCGTGACCATTACCGGAGGCTGTTCTGCCATTGTTCCACGGTCAGCCACAGTCATTATTATTGGGATCAAGATGACCAGTCTTACAACCCCTGCTACCACCTGGACGTCCCTGCTTTCCTTTCACACCGGGGTCGGCTGTACAACGGGTGACGTTGGGATAGGTCCCTCCTCGGTCTCATCCGACCCAATAAATTTCTAATGGTGCAATACTGTCCAGGACACCCTAGTTATAGCACAGCCGGATTTACCATGAGATGCAGGCCAAGCAGTCGCTTGCTTGCCGCGAGTTGCTGGTAGGTGAGATCTTAACTGTTTTAGACACTTTTGCAGCCCTACAAGCATGCATGTGTCGGTGGCTTACATGTCCCTTTCGGCTTCTGTTGAGATAAATGTCCCCCAACGCCAAGTTCCCAAATAGGCTCTTCATCAACTTCGGGCTGTGTTCGACACAGTCATATTCTGAGCTTGACCTCGCGGTAAAAGTATGATGCTCGTACTTCGTTTATCATGGTTCCTCGTTGTGGAGCCTCCCGCAGAGTTTTATCATGACTGCAGCTGGAACGTCGTGGCTCTCCGACCTCGTGCGGTACAAGGCAAGTGACGTGAACTCTGTAATTCTCCGGTCTGTCTGGTACCCGGCGATGCAATGGGTTCCCACTGACTTGGCCAAGGTATAAGCTTATAGGTCCTTTGTACAGGTTCCCCTGGCCCCATTTGACAATGATGAATTCCATGTGTGACTTGACAGAATCCCGCTCTAAGATGAGATTCCTAAGCAAAGTAATCAGCATCGTGCTGCTCAAGATTCAAGACATACAGCAGCTTATCTTTGTATAGTTATCATAACATTAACTGGAATATCTAGGGTACGGTACAAAGGCATTGCTTCAGCAATCACTATTGTGCCCTGTTCGTTCCGTCCCCGAAGGGATGACCAAACAGGCAAGTACATCCAAGTTCCACCTGACTGTGACAATAAGTTAAGACATAACCAACCTACGCGGTATCGGCTTGGCAATTGCGCTTTGTGACTTCTTGTTTCATCAAGATCATGCTATTGTGGAGAGTCTGTTGCGTTGACATTCTGTGTTAGTGCCACAGCACGTCTGAGTAAGGAGGCCAGTCGACAAAACTCCGCAACTCCACCAAGTGCGCCTTCGCTTGGCTCGTTTGGCCACCGTACAGAGACTATTTCTTACCTCAACAACTTCACAGTAGTTTCTCCGCTCCTCTAATCCGCTCACTATTGCAGATGATGACTTTTTTCCCTCCACAGGCCGGATTTCTTTCACTTTCCAAGGCTAATCGCCTCATCTGTCTGCCACTCGGACATGGGTGTATGTGCCATCACGACCATCTCTCCTCACCTCCTGCGGTCCGTGATGGACATGATGGATGTGAGGTCCTTTTGCTCCGTTCAGCTCCTCCATTTACCCCTGATGTTACTTGGATTACCTACACTCTCTGCATCATGTCAGCATTTGGATTTCTTGCAGGGCCGTCAGCCCCAAGCCACTACTCTCTTTCAGGCTGCTGGTCTTCCATGTACCGGCGCGCGAGTGTGCTTTGGGCGGCAATGATGTTTCTCATACATATTATCGCCAGTGCCAAACGCTTCAGGAGCTTTGCTCATCTATTCATTGATATGCGGCACATACGTTACCCCGTCATCGCTTAGCCTTGCCTTATTTTGACTCCTCCGTCATGAATAGTGTATCTTCCAAGCGTGCTTCTGGCCAGTCGTGAGTGACCCGTTTCTCGTTGTTGATTTTGCTTTACCTTTTGGTACCTTGACATGGGCACCGGTCTCCGTTCTGATAAGATATGGCTGTTAGTGGGAATGAACCTCCGCAGTCTTCTCCTGGGGCTCCAGAACTTGTGTTTATTGTCCAAAACAAACCAGAGAAATTTTCCAAGCAGACGTCAACTCAAATACGGAAGCATGTTATGAAAGATATCGGAAAATCGAGGAGGAAAGACAGGCGTAATCGACAAGTCAGCCTAGAACTTCCTGAAAGCATCGAAGAAGCCAGTAGTGGCTCTGAGTCAATGTTGCCTTTCAGGCTATCTACAGGTCAGCCAGGGACGTTCCAGAATTTTGTGTTCGAAGACGATGGCCCGGATTCCCTCGAAAATGCGGAAGTCATTTCGTGTACTTCATTCAATCTGCAAGACTATGCTCTGGAATTCCAGCCCTCTGGTTCCCAGCACGTGGCTCCCGAGTACCTGCAGCAATCTTACCAGGGATGCGCATACGACATCCGAGACTCCCGGAGTGTTGCACAATCTCCTTCTAATATTGAGAGACCTGGATCTGGAAAAAGAGAACTATTTGGGCGTTGTCCAGTGCCTTCAAAAAGACAAGTACGAGAAATGCTAGATGAAGGTTTGCCCTGCCCACCATTGTTGCGATCGATATTTACCTAGACACAATTTGCAGCACTTGATAACCGTTGCCATAATATAGGGCCATGGAGAGATGCTTGTCTTCCTGTTGGGACGCTTGGCCCCGCTGCCTTTCATCAAATGCTCTCTAATGCGCTGTTAGATATTGGATTTCGCCAACCGACATGCACCCCTTGGGACGGTTGTGAATCTATGGAGCGCCACATAATGGCTGTCAAGATCATTAAAGAAGCAATGTCATATCCAGTAGTGGCAACTTCTGATGCATTTATTGGCGCCATTGTCGGTTTGACCTGTTATCATGTATGCATTTCTTTCTCGCCTCAGTTCTCACTTTCTGAATGATAGCTAAAGTGTGATGATAGTGCCACTCCGGAAACCATGACGCGTGGAAAATACATATGAACGGGCTTGAACAGGTTGTCCGTCTTCGAGGTGGGATCCACACCTTGGATTCGAACAAGCGTGTAAGAACATTACTCGGATGGTCAGTGTGATCTTGCATTCTACTTTGTTGCTGCTACAGACGTTCTTCCGAGAAAGTAATATATTTCAGTGGAAAAATCGCAGGACGTTCTTTAACTTCAGTCGATACTAATTATGACAGGTCTGATATTACAGGATCTTCAGTCGAAGATCTCCCACCCCGATTCACTCTTCCTCCATTCATTCCGGATACCGACACTCTCCAGCCTTGTCCTACTATATCAACAAATCAAGAACACATAGTTGCCGTATGGCTCCTACGATTCACTAGCCACATTAGTCTCCTAAACTTAATGAACCATCTACAAAATCTAAACTATCACCTCCAACACGAAGCGCAGAACCCCGATCGAAAGATATTTGATGATGGCGACTTCGCAACCGCTTACCTTTTCCCTCTGATTCATCAATGTCTAAGCCTATCAGGAAACGCCATCCTAGCCGACGAACACGACGCGAACATTCTCCAATCTGTGCGCATATCCTGCCTCCTCTACACAGCCGAAGTTAGACGTCGCTTCGGCATCGACAGCGTCGTAACCAGATTGCCCATCCACAACTTGAGACTCTATCTGCAGAATAGTACGCAAGACTGGGGAGAGTTAGGTATGCTACGACTGTGGTGTCTCGCCATAGGCGGCATGGAAAGCGAAGGTGCGGATCGGGCATGGTTTGCAGCTGAAGTTGCTAGAGAGGGCGCTGAATTGGGATATCCTATGTGGCATGATTTGGAGACGAAAATGGAGCAGATGATCTGGTTTACTGATGCCCATAGACCAAGGTTCTGGTCCTTGTATCATGGTTTTGATGATTCGCTTCCCAGCTCGGAATGTTCTGGCGTGGGTGATGCTCAGAATCAATACCCTGAGCCATCTGGTCCAGAGCATTTCGGAGGTCACACCTACTCTAATATTGGATGGTGATGTTCGAAATAGGCATTTAGAAGGTTTCAATCATCAGAGTGTACGTTGTAGCATTGGTTGGGGCATATAGACAGGATCTTGTTCTGAATCCTTACGGGCGGATCATAAGTAAACAATTGGAAACGAATAGGGGTGCCGCTAAGCGGTAAGCGAACACCAAGAATTCACAACTTGTGACATTGCGAGGTGATCAGCACACTGGAGATTTGAAGTAGCAAAAAAATTGTGGATTCTATATTCTGAAGTCAACGTATTGATAAACAAATGCAATTGAGTTTCTGAACCCACGGCCAATCCAAATGGAACAACAGTCTATACCTGTGTTCTGGGATATCAAACATGATCTACCCTCCCATTTTCCCCATCAGCCACTATCCACCGACGCCATGAAAGCCCAAAGTCCATCCGTATGCGACCAAATTTGTATCATACACATCAACACACTGCCACAAGCGAATTACCCGCCACGCCACCTTGTACCACACATTTAGATCTTTGCTGGGATCTTTCTTCGTAGCTTGATGGTCTGCTCGTACAGAACATCTTTAAATGCGAACAAGAATGCTGCTGTGAGGACACTTTGCGATACCTTTGGTCCGATACCTGGTGGAGTTAGTAATGACCAGCCTTCCGTAGCAGGAGATGTACCTTTGTAAAGACCAGAATATCCCTCATCACCAATAATTCTCCGCAGAACCTGCATCATGCTCTCCTTTCCACCATCACGGCCTGCAACATGCATGCGGCTCTTGACCGTAATATATGGGTATGTGATGCTCGTAGCAAACAACTTGCCCAGCGCACCCAACAGGAAGGCAATCGTCGGCGTGATCCTCCTCTTCTTCTCAATGATGTTCCTCAGCTGCTCGAAGATCGTGTATTGTAGGATAGGGTTGACAACCAGGACCAATGCTGGCGCAACACCTGCGAAGAGAGCTAGTGGGCCCTCCTCCTTCAATAGTGCCAACAACGTGCCAATGGTGGTAGGTTGTTTTGGCGCCACTGATCCTGGTAGAATACCCTCATCCGTCTCCTTATTCTGCTTGCGAGTCGTCATGCGTGTGTTGACGACCCAGATTGGATTCGTGAGCATCACCGTCGCAGAGCCAGCAATAGCACCGGCGATCATGGACTCCACGGTCGTGAGCCGCTTCGACGCTCTGCCGGCCTTCACTGCAGCCTTCTCGAATCCCGAGCGAGTCCATTCGTACCAGTAGTAGTAGACGAAGTTTGTGACGCTGATTCCGAACAGCGCCGAGTCTAGTCCGGCATACAAGCCTGTGATGCCCTCCCTTTGTACGATGCGCTTGACGGCGTTGAGGAAGTCGGAGTCGGCGCGCTTGGATTCGACTTGTGCGCGGGTAGAGAGGGTGATGAGGGGGTATCTGCGAGTATTAGATTGCTGTAGTACATAAGGGAGGGGATGCAATACGTGAGGGCCATGGAGAGGATTCCTCCTCCTGCCCCGCTCAATGCATGGGCTACATTATCAGACTGTTGAGCTGCTGTTGATGAGGACATGGTGGTATCCTGTGGGTATGCGGGGATTATAGGTTTGCGATAGTCGAGGTTGGAAAAGGAAAGGAAGTTTGGAGGAGGAAAAGAATAGGAGAGTTGGATGAAAGTGCTTCTGGTGTTTTGGCATATGCATATCAACCCCATCTCCGAGTCCGAGCTACCGACAGCCAAATCTGCCGAGGTTTGCAGGGAACCCAGACGAGCCACACCCACGCCCATGCCGCCGCCCACCGCCCGCCCGCCATTATCGTGATTGTGGGGAAATGATCGAATGGGTCGGGTTGCACGGTTGCAGTCACATGTGGAGGGACACGTGAAATGACTCGGTTATTATTAGAAACGATGATTAAGAGTAAGCTACCTCGCTACCTACTGAAACTGCTCATTCTGGTGATTTAACTCTCATCGCAATGCTCATCAATTAACACACATTTCCACATTTCCACCTTTCCATCTCGGTTCCGGTTCCATCTCGCCTCACAAGCGAACGATATCGTCCGGTCTGAGCGAACTCTGTTTATTTTGCCGCTGCGATGAGTCGTCCAGTACTTTGAGATCGATCTATCCGAAAGACACGGTTGTTGTGTCACCCAGTCACAATCGGTCAACTCGGACGATTTCGTAATGAAAGAGTGTGGGTATTTATTTACTCTTGTCTAAGTTCACCTCATCCCTATATTCTTTGTCTCAATGATCAGTCTGGATTGATATGGGCTCATAAATGTAGGGGTCGCGAACGGAGGTTTCCTCCCAGTAATGAACACGATTCCTGAGAACGAGAAGCGTCGCATGGAGCAGCAGTATGCTCCGCCTCAGTCTGTCGATCCTCGACGGCAGTCACAGGAGATTCCTCAGAGCAATGGTCAAACCCATCAACTTCCGACCAGGATAGCGGCTCTTCCACTTACGTCGGAGTCTCGCCAAGAGAACAGGAATCTGCCCTCTCGGGATGTGTCTGATGAGACTTTTGATGACACCTATGTGGAATTTATTATTTACTGCAATCCTAGTATCCCTTTGGATACGGATGCGACTGAGCTGAAGAGGATTTTTCGAGCACCACCCAAAAGTGATGGGAAGAATTTCAATACGTTTACTCTGTTTGAGTTGATCCGGAAGTTGGAATTGAAGGAGATTAAGACTTGGGCTCAGCTGGCTTTGGAATTGGGAGTCGAGCCACCAGCGCTGGATAAGGGACAAAGCGCTCAGAAAGTACAGCAGTATGCAGTTAGACTCAAGGTCGGTCATTTCACAGATTCTTAGTCAAGGTACACCGGGACTTGAGCCTCTACTTACACAGCCCAGCGATGGATGCATGCTATGCACGTTGATGCCTTCTTTGAGTATCTTCTGAACAAGGCCCATATATATTGGACTCAAGTCCCGTCACCCAACGATCCTGCCTCTGAATTTGGACGAGATGGAGTAGCCGCAGAAGAAGACTTGGCCCTTCGAGCACTATTACCAGAGACAAGACCCAAAAGAGGACGCCGAAAGGCTGAAGATAGAGAGGAAAGTGAAACAGGGAAATCACCATCTCAACGTCCTCGTCTAGACTCACCGTCATTGTCTGAAGACTTCATGATGGCTAGGACATCACTAATTGCAGACAACACAACACCAGCAACAGCTCATCCGGACTTCCAACAAAATTTCAACGATAGAATGGCACCCTGGTCAGCCACACCCTCTATGCCAGGGACTTTCCGATGGCCTCCCCAGGACAGCGCAACTCCTTTGACAGCGTATCCACAATCAGCTATCACACCCACAAACAGACAGCTGTGGAATGATGCGAACGAACCTCGGTCAGCCATCACTCCCAAAAGCAAAGCAAGGCGGCGTCATGGACCAGCTGTATCTTCAGCGTGGCCAAGCAACGGTAGTTCATCTTCTGGGAAGCTTAGAGGTCGACCACCAAGTAATCGTTCGGTCCAAGATGGGCCGTTCTCTACATTCCCTGCGAACCCAGGAGCAAGAGATGTGCCAACCATCAATCTGAGAGACAACACCCCGACCGCGACCCCAATCGTACCAGATACGGAGGCTCCGCAGTTCTTTCCACCAGCTCCGCCCATGCGAGCAAATAGCCAAAGTCAACCAGCACAAAATGGGAGACCGAGTGGACTGCAATTACAAGTGCCTCAACGGCAAGGCGGTACAGTCCGTCTTGCCACTCCGCCGCCAATACCAACTCCCGTATTGTTGGTGAATGGCCAGGGTGATACAGATATGCATAATCTCCCACCCACCCAACATCAAGTCACACCCTTGATGGAATACTTCAGCAATCCCGTCGACCATGATCCAAATCTCCAAAACTTCGTCAACATCACGTTCCGCCAGAACGAAGATGCAGACCGCACGAATGTCGACGCACTAGAAAGTCATTTCATCTGTGAGATCCTCGGCGCAGACTGGTACGATGCATCGGGTGCTAGTATCGAACGCTGCAGTATCGATGAAGCAGACAAGATATGTAAACAAGTTGTCAAAAACTTGCAAGCTGAATCCAGCAGCACGGAAGCATTTCTCATAAACCTGTCCGCTTTAGCTGGTGGACCACTGATGACCCGGCTGCGCATGACGAGGCTAGAGCAAGGCTCGATAGCACATTATGAATGTCACTGGAAGATGCGATTTGGCTCTATTGAAGGCGATTTCACGATCAGAGCAACGGTTCAACGAGCAGACGAGACAACGAATGTGGTGATGGACAGTGGAGCTACAGGTCTTGCAACTCTAGGCGTGGCGGAGTCTGACTGGAAGAGGCGGTATTTGGAGTTACAACAGCAGATTCGGGACAGAGACGATAAAGTGGGAGCACTGAAGACGAACATCTTGAATGCGCTGGTGCTATCCCAAAAATTTACGAGGATATCATGATACTCGCAAGCAGAGGATTTTTGAAATATGAATTATTACTTACTCCATGGTGGCAGATGTATCCATATGCATATCGCTGAGATGTTGGGTGAGACATGCGGCTCAAGAGGCTTTCCTCAATCTCACACGACCCGAAAGAGGAGAGACAAAAGTACCACGTCTGAAAGTTTCAGAAGCCAGCCTCCTTACCAAGTCGCCAATCGCGCCATTGCCCTGATCCAAGTTGTCCCGAAGCCGGGCGAGGATGACATCAAACTGGCTGGAGCTTATTTCTTGGGCCATTCTTGAAAGCACTGTTCTATCGATCCTCGTGCTGTCAGAACCCAATCAGACGCACAGTTGTCAGCCTTAAGAGTCGGTGGCTCTGAAGTCGGCTCTCGATTGGTTTTACGTCAAATTTAAACGAAAGCCACAATCCTTCGTCTGTTGTCTATATCTTGGCGCTCGTCCTATGTTGGGCATCATTTCCTCAAATCGCTATTTATATTTTAGCAGAATTATGCTTTTCAGCTATCATTTGGGGATCGACAATGTCAAGCTGGCAGATTTTCCCGGCCGAGTTGGACTTGGTTTGTGTGGTTCTAAGTTGTGATTGGTTCCGACTCGGGCGGGTGAGCTAAGATTGTCGTGGTTCCTGCTTCATGGAGAATCACCTTTCCCCAAACAATCAGCCCAGCCAGCATGCGATTCTAAACAAGGATAGTATGCAGCTATTCGGGGCTCTCTGGCAAGGCTTTTTGGGGCTCTATGACGGGGATGGACCCAGAGAAAGAGCTTTAAAGTCCTGCTGTCCCTGCATCGCACAAACAAAAGTCTTGGAACTGAGCTTCGAAAAATCTGTACGCAATGTTTCAACTTCGGAATTTACTCTTGCTGCTTCTCCTCGCTTGGACAGCTGCTTCGCAAGACTCTGGGTCCTTCGACGAGCCTCCTCTAGCATTGAGTCACGACGCTAAGCAGAATGGCGGAAAATTTGGCAGTATGCCACTCGATGGCAGGTCACTGATCAATTCATGGTTGAACAAGAGACAGCGCACTTGCGTAGATGCAGGATACGGGCCTTGTCCCAGTAAGTAAACTTCCCATTCATTTTCCACTCTACCTTCCGATCTAACCCTTTGTCCTAGACAACAACGGCTGCTGTCCTACCAACGGAATTTGTTGCACTGGTGCTTGCTGCGACGCTGGCCAATCCTGCTGTGGAACTTCCTACTGCACTGATCCCGGCGAAGCCTGCTGTACTTTCGGTACCTGCCCTGTAGGCTTCAAATGCTGCGCTACAGGAAAATGCGCCATCAAAGATGGGGAGTGCTGCCTTGACGGAAATTACTGCGAGGCTGGGAATCACTGCTATTTGTATCGAGGGCAGGGCGTTTGCTGTACTGATCCGCAGTGTACGGCTGTTGTGACGGGAGGCGCTACGTCGACGATTAGAAGTAATCCTACGACAACGCGGCAAATCATTGTTACGCAGCCGCCGACAACTACGGAGATTCAGCAGGATATATTGGTTTGGTATTCATATACTATCACATGGTAAGTTTCCTTCTTCCTTCTTCTATCAGAATCGCCTTATCATATCTATGATATGCTAACTATTCCAACCAGGTACTACTTTTCCTACTACTGGACACTTCGCCCGCTCCGAACTACAACCTACTACACCACAACATATACCGAAATTACCACAACAACCATCTTTTCGGTCGAAGCAACAGCTTCCTCCATCGCATCCAGTAGCTTCTCCGCTTTCTCAGTCAACTTCCCCAGCCCCACCCCATCCGACGCTTCTGATCCCGGACCATCGCCCACCGACCCAATCCCATCTGGTCCTTCGAATTCAGGACCATCTGCTTCGGGGCCGAGTCCGACCGAGCCGACAGATTCTGGGCCCGAGGAGAGTATTGCGTCAGGTACTGGGAGCAGTAACCCATCGAGTACCGCGATTAGTGGAGGCTCGTCTGGAGGAAATTCAGGGACTGGATCTGGCAGCACATCGGGAGATTCGGGCTCGAACACCAACTCCACGGGAGGTGCGAGCATTGGTACAAGTCTGCGTAGCGAGGCTTGGATGTTGTGGTATTCCACCGGATTTGTTGCGATTGCGGGATTGATGATTTGGTTGTGAGGAGTGGTTCGTAAGGTTGAGATTGAGATTGAGTTAATTTTCTTAGTAGCTTTTGAAGCTGACTAGTATATTAATCTTAATTCTACTGTGTCTATTCATTTCAGTGGGGGGTTATAAAAGCTTTACAAGGTGGGTTTCATTGCACTATCCTGTCATCGGTTAAGCGAATGAAAACACAAGCCTTTGCATTGCACCGACAAGATCAGGTAATATGCATGGTACACGAATGACTTTCTTGAGCCATAAAAGGCACCAGGATATTTCATATTGAGAATCTTCATTGCAGTTATTTGCTGTGCTGAGACGTGGAAAAAGCAGCACCCACAAAATAACAACCAAACACATCATAAAATCACAACATGTATCCAGTCAAATATATGCATTCGCAATACTATCCGATCCAGCACAAAGTCTATACAATCCATGAATCAATCAATGAATGGATTGCAATCCCCAACCTCGATCCCCCACCAGCCCCGTTTTCCCCTGCTCTCCCAAAGTAGCCAGCCAGCCACTTCCATAAGCCATCTAAAAACGCCTTGCTGTCATGTGTTCATGACCTAATAGCCATGTTTCCCATCTACCCAATTCTTGTCGCGCAAGCAAGCAAGCATTCATGACATCTGAACAAAAGAGCCCCCAAAATCGAACCAACAGAATGAAACGGCAATATTAATCCGGCCAACCCCATTTCTACTCAGGGGCTGACATGCACCGATATGTTTACAGAACCCAAAGACCATATTTTGTGACAAAGTGAGAGGTATGTTGTAGAGAACGTAATGTGAAAGGAACATAGGATGTTTTTGTTTATCTTCTGTCTCCCTCGACCTTCAAACGATACGTATCCTGCAATCCAGGGAAAGCTTTAGAGAAAGCCGGACCAAGACTCCAGTTCTCAATACGTCTCAAGTGTCTCTCGAAGATGGGATTGATAACTAAATCCTCACCGTCCACACCAGACAACAGCGTATCAGTCGGCTCATACGGCCAGTTGACACTCAGCGTCGTCGTGAACGGGATGAAGAAATTATCAAAAAGGTAATCTCTCGGGTTGTAGTCCCGAACCAGACGGTCTCGCATCTTGGGGAAAGGAAGATGGTCAATCCATGCTGGATGTGCCGTGAAGAGCTGGGAGGGTCGAGGTGTGGCCCAGTCAGGGAGGCGGTCGTAATTTTCTTGCGTTGGAGAGATTTGCCAGCGCATGATAAGGAACATTATGTAAAGCGTTGCAACCTTCTCGGGAAGTGTAGAGAGGTCGGGAAAGGTGGATAAGATGTCGGTGAAGACTTTTGAAAGCGGGTGAGAGGTTGCTGCTTTCGATGGGTTCAGGAGAGAGGAGACGCTGGGGTAAGCTGGCCCTACTAATTTGGGAGTAGCTACTCCCTCTGCCGCTTGTTGCTGTCTCTCATGTAGGAAATCTAGTAGAATATTGTCTAGAGGGCACGTTGGAGGTCCGTTCCGGATGGGTGCAGCATGACCGGCCATTTCTTGCCCTGCTACCGGAGGATATCCAGAATGACTACTAATCGAGTTGCTTCTGTGATGTGCTGGGCTATCTTGTCCACGAGGAGTTGGTTGAAACGAAGTGTCATGGGTTCCGTTCGTGCCATTTGGGATCTTATTGATTCTCTGTGTGCCGTCAAGAAGAAAGTCAAGACCTAGCCTCTCTGGACCCATGTCTAAATTGTGTGTCATCTCGTGCTTTTGCTTCGTGAATTGAGCCTGTGCATTCAGCATTTGGGAGTAGTTTCCCAGCCCCTGGCCCATAGTCGCACTTGGAGCTTGCCACTGAGGTCCTCCACCTGCTCCAACGATGGGAGAAGCTCCACTATTCGGGGTTGTTGAATTGAAATTCGAAGAGGAACCCGGTCGATTGGGGACGTAATGTGGTGCAGGAGAATTGTACATTGACTGTCCATCTTGAGCTGCAAAGTAATCAGCACAGTTAACATGTACGACATCCATTTACTAACCATGTTGCCCAAGCATAGGTTGTATTAACAGCAAAATAGAATTCAATCTCTTCTTGATCTCCACATTCTCTGCCTCGACAGATTCCTTCTGCCGTATGACATGTTGCAGCTCCTGATAGGGTTGCTGAGAGGTTAACTCTCGAATCTTCAACTCTAGATTTTCGATCTGATTCTTCGTCCTCTCCCGAATCGCACGCTGAGCTTCTCGATCGTTCGCACGTTTCTTTGCAAGCTGGTCTGGAGTGAGATTTGCAACGCCTCTCGAGCTGGAACCGGTCGTCTTCCGCTTCTTACTGCTGTCTGACGAAGGGTCTGCGGGCGACGGTGCATCCTCTGAGAAGTCCCGCTTTTGCTGCTGCTGTTGCTGCTGGTTCTGCTGGCTTTGCTGCTGTGGAAGCTGCGGCGTAACTCCCTCGCCCGCTGGCATTGCTGCGAGCTCCCGTCGGCGTGGGCCTGAACTTGTCTGATTTATTGCATGGGTGTGAAGCACTGGACTCTTGGGTTTTTGTTCGGGGAATTTTTCAGACTCTCGATTCGATTGTGTTTTGCGACCCCGAGGCTGTCATGTATTTGCAGATGAAATGGGGAACTTGAGTCATGCGCCGTGAACGATGAGCTGGCGATGGGATGGATGGGAAGCAGAAAGATTGGGGGTGAGTGGAGGTCACTCCGGACTGGGCAGCAAAACTTCAGGCGTCAACGCGAGTCATGAGATGTAGCCAATCAGGTACAATAGCGAGTCATTTAATTGCAGGACGCCTTCAGCAGAACAACCATCAGAACTATGAACCAGTTAACTTCAGTGAGGCCATCACAAATGACTCGCAGCAAGACTTGAGAAAGTGCTGTCAATTATATGTGCCATGATGATCGAGTGACATGTAGCAGTTACCTACAATGGAGGCACGTATCTTGGCTAGGTATGCTCCGAAAGCTCTCGAGTCAAACACCACCCCATCGGTCTGAAAGCTGTAAAGGCACATATCATAATGAACGGACACAGGACTGGTCCGCGATATTCTAATTCCGCATCCAGTATCACCTCGACTTTTCCACTTCTTAATTTTTATAGTACATCAAAAGGTATCTAGTTTCTGGACCACCCATACGGTCCAATCTTGACCCAAAACCTAGCCAAGATGCCAGCTGTACCAGCTGGGTGTGTATCTCAAGCATGGCCAATATTTCCATCCATGCAGCCATTACCAGCATCAAATCCTTATTGTCACTTTACTCCGCTTGTGCCCTAGCCAACGCCTCGTGGATGTGGGCTGGGAACCTATACCTCAACTGACTGGTATATGTCGTCAGATCCATGTTCGTCTGCTTAAACTCCTCAATCATTGCCTGCCTAGTGCCCTCATTGCCACCGAATTGGCTGTTCTGTAGAATGAGCCGCTGGTTCTTGCAGCACATAATGGACCACATCAAAAGGTTTGGAACATTTTGAGCAACAGGTTGAGGCAGAGACGAGAATTTGGTGGCACAGCTTCGAATGATTGATGGGTCTCCTCGAGCGGCAAGTGGAAGGATGTCAAGACTCTTCATAAGCTTTGGAGAATTAGTACGATGATGTCAGCGGCAGGATACAGCAAAACTTACATCGAGTGCATCAGTCCATCTGCTATTCTCGACCATATTCTTTGCTTGATACATTGTTTGTAATGCAACACAAGCTTCTTGGTTTTGTATCTTGATCTTCGACCGGTACATCTGGCTAGTATAGATTCTTGACATCTTCTCTGAAAGGATGAACGGGTCATCGATAGACGTAAGACTGGACTCGGTGCCTTGGATATTTTGCTGATCGGTGACAGACCGAGCCTTCAATGGCTGTAACTTGGCTGGTTCCTGGCCAAGAGGAGTTGCAACCGCTTCGCTGAGAGCTCGGTTGATGGTGATGATGACATTGTCATACTCTGTAGCAAGGTGATATAGCAATACTGCATCGGTCGTTCGTCCGTTGTCATCTGCAACGCTCGCGGCTTGAAGGGTAATAGTTCGCATAAATTCGCCCGCGTCTTGCAAGCCGATCAAGCGAACACGATCCTCGATGAGGCCATTGATACGCTGCCCGTCGCTACGCATGTCGCCCAAAAGTAGTGCAAACTCTCTGCTCTCAAGTGCGAGCTCTCGTAAGCTTTCGTGGCAAGTCATGGTGTAGTTGGCTCCTGCTTGGCCACGGAGATCCTTATTGAGACAGATCAGAACGAGGTAATCGACAGCGGCAGAAACATTTGCAGCTCTGAAGTCGCGGGTATAAAGGCCAACCATTCTTGCAAAGCTGATTTGGGGCAAATTAGTCGTCGTTCGGCTAAGGAGATCCTGGTTCCCACTCGTCGGATCTGATACTCGGAGGATGCCATAGAAGTCCAGAGCAATTCCGAGATGGACACCATCGACGTAAGAGTACTTGTAAAGAAAGCTGACAGCTTCCTCAAACATGCCAAGAGCGATCTGAAGGAAAACGAAAGCGCCAAAAGAGCTACCAATATTGGCACCGCCAGCCGCAGCTGGCGAGAAGAAGCGGTTGCCAATTTCTCTGATGGTTTGCTGAGCTTGACTGAGATCATAGACTTCGCTTGCCATTGAGTCAACTTTATTGGTTTCTCTGGCAAGGACAAGTTGGTTCCAGGCGAAGTCCTCGATGTCTTGGTTGATACCGTCCAAGGTTCTGCTTCTGAGATCGCAGCGTCCGATGAGTTTGTAACAAGCCATTCGATACGGATCAATTGAGTTCTCTGGTGCAATTCTAAGGCGTTGATTGTACTCGGCATTGATACGGACTTGGAGCTCATCGTTGAGACGCCTATCGGCATTTGTAGCGTAGGCATTGATGTAGGCGCTGAAGTTGCGATCCAGGGCCCTGAACACTACAGTATTTTTGTTCACATACTCCTTTGCCTCCTCAATGTGGCCAGTTCTCAGGAGGAAGTAGATGAGCGCCCAGACATAGTCGTCCCCAAGCATTTGCAGATCGGAGTTGTCTGCAGTGAGACTCTTTTTGACAGCTAGAACACGAACATAGGCTTTGATCTTGTTGATGACATTCGGGACTCCTCCGAGGTTGGCATCTCGAGGATTTTTCGTAATCATATCCTCCATCTTCTCGAAAGCCAGCTTCTCCAGACATCTCGCTCCACCACGAAGAATTCGTCGTCTAAGATCTTGTGAGGCTGGGCTGGAATGAGAGTCGGAAGTGTATGCTTCTGCAAACTCGCGCTCCTTGGCTGTCCTATTCTCCGAGAATGACTTAGCTTCTGGATCCTCTCCGACTATCGACATCAAAGCTCTGTATGCCTTGACCAGGTCAGGACCATGTTGATCACTTGAGACTTTGATAACATCTGCGAACTCTCTCGAAACCGGGTACGGCTTTCTGTCCAGTCTTGAATGGTTCAAGAGCTGTACCTTCTCGGCATATTTGTTCTGTTTCTCCCGTTGGAATCGATCATGAGGAGCTGACACGCTGGCGCCTGTTGCCTCCAACTGCTTCTCAACATCCGCAAATAGCGGTTGGTGACCGGTACCAACTGGACCGGCGGCCCCAATGATGGACTTTTGCATGCTCGATTTCCCAAAGCCACTATCGCCAAAGCCACCAAATCCACTGGCATTTCCGCCCCCCGATCCACCGCCGCCAATCCCAGAGACTCGCGATCCCGCAAGAGCAGCCGCCTTAGTTCTCCTCGATCGTCCAAAACCACCATGCGAATCACTCGCAGTCGCAGCAAAGCTACCGCTTCCACCAGGTATTGCAGATTCCTTTGGGCGAATGCCAAAATGCTGGTATATCCGCTTTCGCTGAGCATCCCATTCCATAGTGACATTATCCTCCAAGAAAGCATCGAAGTCGCGAACCGATCGAGAGAGTCCATCTGAGATCATGCTCAGCGTGGTCTGCGTCTCCAAATTGGCCAAGTATGATTCCACATCTGTATCCTGCACTTCTGGCGCCTGGGGTCGATCTGTTCTCGCAGGTGTAGGAGCAAAAGCACTCAAGTCTCTCACTGCTGCTCCTGGATCCACTCCTGAAGCTGCGAGTAAATAGTGAGCTCTGCCATCTGCGCGGTCGGTCTTGTTTGGCCCAAGGCGCTTGATTCGCTGTCGCAGATCTCCCAGACCGAGTTGAAGCTGTGGAAGGTCCTCAGAAATGGCTTCGGCATGCGCTCTCTTGCGACTGCGTTCCAGGATTGCATCGAAGTAGGCGTTGTTTTGGCCAGGTTGTTGAGACTGCTGAAGAGGAGCGGAGCTAGATGCACCAAGCCCGCCTGCTTGCTGTGGTTGAGAAGTTGATCCAGCATTCAACCCACCAAACATGTTGCTCGCGTTTGTTCGTTGTGTGCTAGTTCCAAGTCCACCGAAAACGCTTCCTCCAGCAGGTTGTGTTGTAGCTCCCCCTAGGCCACCAAACATGCCACTTCCAGTCGTACTTGGTTGCTGCGATTGCTGCGGTTGTGTACTACTACCTAGCCCCAAACCCCCCAAGCTTCCACCAAACAATCCCCCAGTAGCTGTGCCTGTACTTGCGGGTTGCGATGTCGCGGTTGATGTGCCTAGCCCTCCAAACAAGCTCCCTCCCGTGGCTGCAGGAGCTGCAGGCTTGGAGCCAAAGAGGCCGCCAGTTGAATTATTGAGATTTCCGAAGAGAGACGACATTATGACGTGGTGGGAGGATGATTGAGCAAGCAAATGCGCGATGTTGCGCTCGAAGTGAGCGTGGTTAGGTGGAGATGGACGACGCGATTTTTTTGGTCAAGTTGACGAGGCTGTTGACCAGTGGACGGAACGGGCCTGGAACGAGAGCCAGGGGCAGCCTGAAGTGCCAGAATATAGCGAGCGTATCTTTGCGCGACAGATTTATGTGATCAAGTGCAAAACTTATGTAAAGGAATCTAGGCACATGTAAAGATGAATACAAAATGGTACGGGAAGTATTTGTTGCGAAAGAAGACGCTAGTTTCTAAAAATTAATTGCTATTATGGTTGGGGACAGCAGGTTTGTTTGTAGAATGGTTAGCGAGAAAACGCGCTAGGGAGCATAGCAATGCCGATTTATTTGGATGAACTGAGAAGTTCTCACGAGGCAATTCACAATCCGAAGAACATAATAGTATATAGAATTTGTAAAACCTATGGCTTGAATCAAGAGCCTACGAAAGCTTTTGTTGACATCTCCCGCTAAATCTCATAAATCATCGCTACCTTCTAGTATACATATTTCCCTCCATTACCAGTCATAATTCATCAACTGCACGCCTCCTAATTCTTTACAAGAACCATCTGAACTCCGGTACAGATGCCCCATCTCTCAAGAGCTCGGTCGGAACATCCTTGATATCCAATTTCCTGCCCAATTTTCTATCCCTCCTCTTATTATCGAACACCATATACAAGCTCAAAAGGCCTGCCAACAAAGCGCCCGTCGCGCCAAAAGCAGCCGTCGTCGCCAAAGCAGGAATGTATTTTGGAGCAGAAGCTGGTGTGAAGATGTTGCTCGATACCAGACCCATGACGTTTGCCATCGGAACACCGACCGACGTGAGGACAACACGACGACCTTCGTGGGGTGTGTTGTTATTGTACCATGTGGACAGTAGAACTGACGGGGCAGATGTTCCCCAGCACATCATGAAGGTTGCAAAGTAAGCAATATGGGTGTGGTTCAGCACATCGATTGTTGCGTAAATGATCATTCCGCAGAAAGTGAAGATGAAGCCCAAGGTGATAAATGGGCCTCTTCTGCGTGTGAGATCGGATGTGAAGGCGAGGATGAGTAACATCACTGCACCACTGACTATACGCAATGAAACGTTAGTGATTGCTCATCAAGAACTTTGAATACAATGTCACCAGGAAAATCCGACTGACGAGATATTGAAAAATAAGAGAAAGCAGGCTTGCGCAGTACGAACCATTTGGGGCGACGGTATAGAGGTTCGTCTTAACCTTGCTGTATCCTAGGCGAGCGACAATCTGTGGCAGAAACAGAGAAACCGATTGGAGTGGCACACCCAGGCACACTTCAATAGCCAGGAACGCGTATGTGGTTGGCTGATTGAAGATCTTTAGGGAATCCTTCAGGTTGAACTTTTCGTTGACGGTCGAGGAGGAATCGACCTGAATGCGGTGGTAGGCCAATTGTCTCTCCTCTTCGTTGAGAAACTTTGCACCAGTGGCGTTGGGTGGGAGATACCAGTATGCGAAGAAGGCGAAGAGGGTCGTCAGAGTTCCTTCGATGAGGAAGAGGTAACGCCATCCATCAAGAGTCTCGTCCTTAATCTGGAACACGCCGAACGCGAGAAGTCCGGAGAAGGCATTTGCAATATTGCTCGCGGCGTAGAAGATCGCAAGGCGGCGAGCCAATTCGCCTCTCCTGTAGAAAGTTGTGAGGTAATAGATAACAAGAGGGAAAAAGGCCGATTCGGACATTCCTGTTGTATCGTTAGCACTTCATTGCCACATGGTGGTGGATGGCATACCCAGAAACCAACGGAGAGTCATCATCCCAGCAAAGTTCTTAACAGCAACCCCTAGGATTGTAAGAGAGCCAAAGCAGAACATCAAGATAGGCAAGACTTTCGCTGGGCCAAATCTCTTTCCTAACATTGCCTGTCCACATGTCAATATCAATCTATGAGGAGATGGAGTGAGTCGCTTACAATAGGGGGGGCAAAGATAACATAGGGAACGTAAAACACGCTCAGAATGATGTTGTACTGATTGTTTTTGAAGTTTAGATCGGCTTCCATTCCGTCCGTCTTTGCATTTCCCAAATTTCCCTTGTCCAAGGCATTGAAAAGGTACATCACAGCCAGTACAGGAAGAAGTCTGTAATCAAACTTCCTGCAGAGAGCTCGTTCGGCATGATGATCGATGACAGCAACGGCTCCAGTGTGTGTAGCTATCTCAGACAATGGCTCAACAGGCTCATTGACATCGTATGCTGTTTTGACGTCTTTGCCATCAAGAGAGCTGGAGTCTGCCTTGCGAACAGACATTTTGGAGTAGGATTGAAGTTAACTGCCGACGAAGCTGGCTCGTGTCTCGAATGGCAGAAGAACAAGTACGGCAAAGAGTTTATGGTACTGCAAGATACAGACACCACTGGTCTCTTATAAGTACAAGGCGACGCGTTGGGAGTGGTCAGAGATGTCTCGAAGTATGCGAGTGGTTTTAGTTAATTGGAAAAATAGAGAAAAGGATGCAGGTCATTGACATATGAATGGTCCATAGCTTCCAAGCGTCCTTATCGCAGACATTTCCTGACAGCAGCCTTGAGTGCATTTTGACATGCTCCTCCGGTATGAGGCTTATCTCAGGATCCTCTTAGCGGACGATCAAGACGCTCTCAATGGCCGACCACCAATGGGATCTTAAGGTTTGGTACGACGAGCCAATGGCTCTGCCGACAAACACCTTATCCTCAGATTTGGCTTTTTGGTATCTCTTGCCCTGCAGGGTACCTTCCGGCAGCAGCGCGACCCCGCATGATAAGGTATGGCAGCCGCGGCGCTGCCGTGCACACGCTGGCAAGAACCATGTCTGTTGTTGTGGGGAATGCGAGGTCGGAATCGGATGTTGAGAGATAGGGATCTGTCGGAGGAAAATTTACGGAGCGATGACTGTTAGTGGTGAGAAATCGAAACGGAGAAGTTCTCCATCTTGTGAAAACCGACAAAGTTTTATGAACGATATTGCACTGGTCTACAATATTTGGCATAATACAAGTAATACCATTTTAGTACGGAGGGATATATCGGTGATGCGGAGGAGGAGAAACATGGATTTATTGATGGGGAAAGCGGTGGTGGGGGGGAGTGTTCTGGAAAACGCAGAACGTGGGGGAAAGAACTCGGCGGTAACTTCTACTTATTATTTAGATCTGATGATGATTTGAGTGCTGAATATACCTTACCTATTTCAGGATATCAAAATGCTTCTTACAGTTGATCCCGATTCTGTTCCACAAGGTACTTTCAAAGACATCAACATAGACATTAAAATTGAAATGCCGACCTTGGCTACCTACCTACAAGTATAACTAACTACCTTAGTCGATCTCCAGTAGGTACTTCCGTACCTAGGTCGTCGGCACAGCAGCACTTCATCACTTGACTACGGAGGTAAAGTGTCACGCAGAGTTCACATGACTTTTGAAACGCCGCTCCGCCCATGTTCATGTCTCTGAAATGACGTCCAACCACGCGGTGGCTCTCACCCCGCGGCGGCGTTAACTAATCATGACGACCCTGTGCTGAAGCGAGGGCACACCCACAGGGCACGACAGGGCAGCGCAAGAGATGATGGTTGCAGTGCAGTGCAGTGCATCCTGCACCCAAATTCTGCAGCTGTCACTCACCCGAGTCGCCCTGGATGTGGGATGTTTAGTGCAGCAAAGCGCTGAAATTCAGGTTCGTAGTTGCAGTCGCATTTGAATTGTCTCTCCCTGGGTCAGGGCAGGGCAGGGCAGGACAGGACAGGGCAGGACAGTGGACATTAGAAATTTCGGCAGACTGGTCTAGGCCCGCTGCAGCTGCGTGTCTACGGAGATATCGTGGCTACAGTCCTGTACTGTAGCAGGCTAGGACTAGGTAGGCCTGAGGCCTGAGGCCTGATCCTTCCCGCTCACCACGAGCATTGGAAAATGCCTTAACACTCGCATATTATCATTTGCGTCACAGAAAAAATTGTCAGACCCGACGGTGCGGTTGAGGCCATTCTCAACTACTACTAGGTACCTAGGGAGGTAAATTTCCGAAAGAATGGAAGAATGCGCAACTACTTCGTACCTTATGTCGTGAATCAGGCAAGTGGCGGATAATCCAAGTGGGCAAACCAAACTGTCAAGTGGACTGGTCCCGCCGGAAGCTTCGCTTCCAAATGACGTCGCTTCCCTCCAGCTCTCGTTCCTTGGGTGAGGGTCAGGGTGAGGGGCTGAGCTGTCGTTGGTGCTTGTACTTTCGTACAAACAGACTTCGTGGGATATGTAATCATCGCGAACTTTGAATAATTACTACTGTAAGGGCGAGAGAATGCTTGGGAACAACCGATGTTCAGCAACAGTAAATCCGAAGTAGAGTGGACGACATGGGGAAACGCTGGCTTATATGGAATTGTACTATCATGCAGTGGACATATCATAAAAGCCGTGCTATATCAACATGCCTATGAGACTGGACAACGAGCAGCCTTGTGACGCAGGTGACGAAGTACTCGAACCTAGATCCTAGATCTCTGCAGTCCTTAAACCATTTCCCATCACTTCTAGAATGCTGTGAAAGTATGACAAAACTTCGAATGCACACTGTGGGCAAGGATCCCTCGATTTCCGGTCGGTGTGTTCAAAATATGCTGGATTCCCCTGTGGAAGTGACCTTCGTTCAGAATTCTGTAATACAACAACAGGCACCATGCTCCCAGCGCAGCACAGAGGGAAAGACATCACTAGACGAAGGCTGAAGAAAGGAGCGGTCTGGCCACTTCGGTCCCATACATACCTTATGAGGATACTGGCTCGTGACGTGACGGGGTTGGGTGATGCAGAGCTGGAAACACCATAAAAAGAGACAGTGATCAAGTATGAAAATGTGCAAGTGCCATACTAGGTTGAACACAGCCTTGCGCCGACTTCTTGTGGCAATTTGAGCTCCCCTGAGCAAGCTTCCTAACGGCCGATTATTGTGCAAGTGGTAAGTGGTTTCGAAGAGAAGAAGTCTGTGGCGTTATTTTCGGCCCCTGATTACAAGCCAGACTCGACTCCCCCTCGTCCCCCCCCCCCAATATCCCCTCGAGCCCTCCTCTCCCTCCTCTCCTTCCCGCTGTTGACTGTCATCGTCCAAGCCACATCCTCCTGTGTCCGTCCTCCACCGGACTTTCGTCCTCTCTCTAATAAATACTCCTCACGCCACGCCACCCCATAACTGTCTTCACAACAAATTGCGAGTTGGTCGTGCTACTCAATCAACTCTTCATACTTCTGCTCTCTTTCTCTTCTGACCTTTTTCTTCCGAATCCTCCACGGTCCAGAGCAGCGAAACGAAGATCCCTCAAGACGATCTCTCATCCACCAAAGAGCTAATCCGGCATACAGACCGCCGATCCTAAAACCCTGGAATCCAAAACTACACAGCCCTTCGAGCTTCCTTACCGTCGTCTGCCTTCCAGTCCCTCCTTTCGCCGCACCCTTCGAGCGTCATCAGTCCAGCCGCAAGTCAGGACAACCAAACACCTCCCAACTCTCCGCCCAGCTTCCCTTTCCTTCTCTTGACACAACCCCATCACAACCTCATAAACCATTCAATAAAGCCACACGAATAAAATTGGTCGACTCGAGCATGGTCGCAGTATACACATGATCACAATGGATTCCCGAAGACGATAAAGATCACACTTACCACGGCGTTGGATATCAAAATCGACTCTCCTCGTGCAGACGACTGAAACTCCCACGATGGTAACGAAGACCTCTACAAGACCGCCACCGCGGTCAGCACACTCCCATTCACATTCACAATCGAGTCGGACCTCTTCGAAATCCACTACAACCCCTTCAAACTCACTACCTCGAGTTGCTGCGTCAGTGGGCCAGGCATACCCTCCAAGCAACCCGCCTTTCCTTCGATCTCCCGCAATCCATAATGACGTCCGCACACCGAGTCCAAATTATTTTGGCCTCATTGTTGACCCCGCCAGTGATCCACGAGACTCTGGCGCAGGCCCTAAGGACAATTGGAGCCCTCCTTCGTCATCGATCCGCTCATTTGGAGCAGCATCACCAAGACATCTTCCATTAGATGCGAACCCAGACTTTGCAGCTTTCAGAAGACAAACAGAAGGGGCTAATGCTTTCAACCTGGGCCACGGGAATTTATCACACTTTGCATCAACACCAAGCGCACACTTACGTCAGAAGCCGGAGAGACGGCCAACAAGATCTGATACACAGGATAATACATCCCCCAAATCAAGACCGCAACCTAGGCATGATAAGCCAGAGAGAATGGACCTTGACGGGGGACCTTCGTTGAATGCCCCTTCGTTCTTCGACATCCCCCGGCAACAGTCCCCGGCGCCTATGAACGAGCATAATTCTCCTCTGCAACGTAATGTTCTCTCAAATCTAGATGATAGGCACCCCCGCCTCTCTTTACCACAAAACAAAGCGGATCCCCCGTCACCACAATTGAAACTGCAGCAGCGGACAAGCCACCACAGAGCTGATACTCTTCCATCATCATTAGAAGATGGTCCTGCGCTGATCTCACCAGCTCAGCTGAGAGACATGGTGGAACGAATGCCTCCGTCACAGTTTCTGTTATTGGATCTTCGAGTTTTCCCACAGTTTTCCCAGTCGAGAATTCATGGTGCTCTGAACTTGTGCATTCCCACGACACTCTTGAAGCGACCATCATTTAACCTTCAGAAACTGCAGGATACATTTACAAATGACAGCGAGAAGGCCAGATTTGCCGAATGGAAGAAAGCCAAGTATATTGTTGTGTATGACGCTTTCTCTTCCGAAAAGAAGGATGCTGTCTCCGCGGTCAATACACTGAAGAAATTTTCAAATGAAGGTTGGAAGGGAAACTCATATATCGTTCGGGGCGGTTTCGCGGATTTTGCGAAGAGTTTCCCACATCTTCTTGACAACCGCTCTAGCCAAGAGATGCAGTCATCCAAGATCAGTCTTTCCCTAGGTACCTCGGGTCCTGATGTAGCTCCTGTTGCTGGTGGTTGCGTTATGCCAGCAACAAAGAACGCTGCAAATCCATTTTTCAGCAACATTCGTCAAAATCAAGATCTCATTGGTGGCGTAGGTCAAATGGATGTGAAGGTACCGGATGAAATCGGTCCTGAACTCAAGACACTTGCCCCTCGATGGCTCACCAAAGCCTGCGAAAAGGAAGACCACGGCAAGATAGTTTCTGATAAGTTTTTGCGTCTAGAACTGGCAGAACAGTCTCGAATGACCAAGGCACTCTCTTCGGGTGTGTCTTGGGGGACACCAGCTCCAGGGTCTAAGGATGTTCAGATTGCTGGTATCGAAAAGGGTGGTAAGAACCGGTACAATAACATCTGGCCTTTCGAGCACGCTAGAGTTAAGATACAGGGACGTCCGGAGGGGGCTTGTGATTATGTCAATGCAAGCCACATCAAGTCGTCGCGAAGCAACAAACAATATATCGCATCGCAAGGCCCCCTTCCTGCTACGTTTGAGGTAAGCTACTCTACCATTCTCATTGGAAATATTCGCTGACACTATAAAGGACTTCTGGAGTGTTATCTGGGACCAAGACGTCAGAGTAATCGTGATGCTCACAGCCGAGTCTGAAGGTGGTCAACTCAAGTGTCATCCTTACTGGTCAGGCAAGGAATATGGCCCACTGAAGCTGAAGGCCCTTTCAGAGAAAAAGGTCGCTTTGTCGCACAGCAGAAGCCGTTCACCCAAAGATAGCCGCGATTCCGGTCGTAGACGAGCAAATACCACTGCCGAGACAGCACCACCACCTCCCCCAACAGAAACGCCCCATGCCATCATACGGAAATTCACATTGTCCCATTCCGCCCACCCGTTCTCTCCCATGCGGGAAATCACGCAGGTGCATTACTCATCATGGCCAGACTTCGGAGCCCCTGCAAGTCCAGGCCAGCTATTGGGTCTAGTTGAGCTTAGCAATGTTATACAGCGAGCCTCTACAGCACCGACAGAATCGACCCGCTCCGATGATCCAGAATCTGGGGAGACATCCAGGCCAATGCTTGTTCATTGCAGTGCTGGTTGTGGACGCACAGGCACATTCTGTACGATTGACACAGTTATTGACATGCTCAAGCGTCAGCGGAAAGAGGCCAAGAGCGGAGTCACTCCCATGGATATCGGTTCTTCGGGTGGAGATTACATGAGTTCAAGGGGCGTATCGGGAGACTGGGTTTTCGACCAAGATATAGATCTTGTAGAGAAGACGGTTGAGGATTTCCGAGGCCAGAGACTAAGCATGGTTCAGAGTCTGCGGCAATACGTTCTATGCTACGAAACAGTACTAGAATGGCTTTCACAGCAACATTTCGGAACAGGAAGGACTGGCCGCGATCGCAGTGGGAGCGATAGTGGATTCGAAAGGAGAAGTTCGTGAAGTAATTCTGGCCACTTCATCTATACGGAAGGTTGTTTCATGAACATACGGTGGGAAAGAGCAAGCAATCGGAACGCAAATACAAAACTGCGTACACAAAAACTCAATTCAAGTATTGCATATTGGCATAGATTGGCGCGCAACACGCATTACAAGCGAACAGACGGGACGGGGCAGGATGTGCGGAAATGAGAGACGGGGCTTACGAATGCATCATGATAATGAGTTTCTGGATTTCGAGCGGTTGGCAAGCGAGGCATGGCGTGGTGAAGTTGGGCATACATACAGCATTCTTGCATGGCGATGGTGTTTGGGAGTCTTCTTTTTTATTGATTTTGGCCTCTCCGGAAGGAAAGTGGTGTGTGTGTGGCTTGAGTGCTTTGTTTACATGCGGGATCGGAAGCGAGAGCGGCGGGGGATGCTGGGTATGGGTCATTAGATACATGAGTGTGCCATTGATGGGTGGCCCATGAGAATCGAGAATGAAATAAGAAATAAGCACAATCCAACAAACTTGATCTCCGTTATGCTGTCCTACCACCCTCTTCTCCCTTGGGTCTTCACTCTCGCTCTTCCGGGTAATAGAGCATCGGGAGAAGCCACGTCGTTGACCTTGGCACATCGATGCCTAGCCCTAGCTGATCGACAGGCAACATCTTAAGCCGCACATTCAAGTTGTACATTCAACTCGTAAAATCACTACCTCAATCACTAGAGATCCATCACGTTATCAAATCGATGCAAGTCCCGTGCACCTGGCTTACCAAGTCTTTATCGCCGCTCTCGTTTCTATGGCATCTTTTACGTCCGCGGCGTAGACCTTTCGGTCACCGTTCTCGAGGTATCAATGAATCCAGCCGATCCGTACTTTTCGAGTGTTCCTGTCGAGATACATCTGCACATTCTCAAGCTTCTTCCTGCCTTGCCATCTCTCCACAATCTTAACAAAAGCTCGCCTTCTGTCTTCCCAGTATTTGAAGAGTACGGCGCCGAAATCACAGAGACTATCATATCTCACAGCATACCTACCCGCGCAGTTCCAAAATTTGATCTGTATTGTTATCCTGGTCCGATTAAACTTGATCCCCTCGCTGTCGCTGGAGGACTTCACGGCTGTGTTTCTGCGACGTGATGGTTACTTACTGTTCAAACTACGTCAACGGTCCTACAATTTTCCAGGTGTATCCCAACGAACCGAGGGGAAGCTCCTGATTCTCCTCAGAACACAAGCTGATCTGACTTCCCAATATGGAGAGAGGTTGCAGAGTTATATACTCAGAACTTGAAACACGTCGTCAGGACAGCTACAAGTAATAGTCAAACGGTATTCAGTACGCTTAACCCGGTCAAGGACAGTAGGAAGAAATTGGGAAATTGGGATGATTGAGTGACTTTCATATAAACTGGTGTGGCAAGGGGTACCAGCTGATCAAGACACGGACAAAGATAACTCGCCTAAGACAGCGATATTTACTAGCTCTTGCTGAGCCATAAAATTCAACTCGGAATAAACACAGTCTCTAGAGCGAGCGTCTGGGCAGGGAGACCCGAACATTGACAGTTTACAAAAACGTGGGATCCTGACTTGCACAATTTGTGGTTTTCCATCTTATATTTTCTGATTTGAAGTCTCGGCTCTATCGCTGGCCCTGGGGCGAGGTGTGAGATAGAATTCGTCCTGAAATCAGTAACACATGTGTGTTACTACTGCTGTTGGTACACTGTTGTAAAGTACATCCTAGGGATCATCTCAGTGACAGCCATTTTGCCCCCACCGCGTAGAAATCCAAATGCCCATCGATGACCCAGAACGCCGTGAGGACTGTTGCCTGCCACTTGGTATTATTCATTAAGTAAGTCCGTACTTCCTATATCCACCAAAGTCAGCACACATTTCGGACCGCTTAAATCGGCTCTTCAAAATGCTTGCCTGATCTGCCACATCGCAGACTTGGCCCTCTCGCGAACATTCAACTCGGGATCCTGCTCCAGCATCTCGATCTTGGACAGAAACCCGAGCTTTTTCAACTCGTTCGCCCGCTGAGCACAGGCCTGACCATCATTCTGGTCATCCATCCATGTCAAATTTGACACGAGCCAGCAGAGGGCTAGTCGAACCTCAATATTAGGATGGTTGAACTGAGGCACGAGCAGCTTCAACAAATCCGTCTGCGCGATGACAATTTGTCGATGACGGGGTACGCTCGCTGCCATGTGGACGAGAATATAACCAACAGCAATGATGATCTCAGCTTGTGGCGGTAAGATCTTGCGCTCACTATTCGGGAAACCACGGTTGTACGGATTGATCATCTTCGGCTTCAGTTTCGAAGCGAGAATCTCGAAGACCCTGTCTTGACCCAGTGCACTGAACAGAAAATCGATCATTTCTGTAGTGTCGGCAGTCCCACCCTGACCGGCGCCACCAATAAGATTTCGGATGAAGTCCAGGCCTTGTTCTTGTACGGCGATGTCATCCTTTCTTGCTCTCCTAGCTGGGTTCGTTTCTGCGTCTCGTAACGCAGCTAAGCGAGCTTCGGCCTGTTGGATAGACTTGCTTCGACTACTTGGCCGAGAGTTGATCCTACCAAATGCCGCATCTACATGTTCCTCAAATTGATCCATAACCACATCTTCGTCCATCTCATCATTCCGCGGACTCTCTCTGTCGATCTGCCCTCTCGAGTTGAGAAGCGCCTCATCTTCAGTATCGTCACAGATCAGTTGCACCAACCATCCTGGGCCAATTTCTTCTAGACATTGCCTCTTCATATCATTGCTGACGCCATGAACGAAATGCTTCAATGACCAGACGGCATTAAGTCGTAGCTTCGCGTTCATAGATCTAGCGTGCTCACAGAGTATTTTAAGAACTCCAGCTTCTGAAATAGGCTTCGTTTCTGTTAGACGGCCGTCGAAACAGTCTACAATAGGAAAACTCACCTCGCGCATCGGGCTGACATCGGTGAGTAGATTGCAAACAGTTGCTGTTGCAGCAATCTGCACTTCGATATCTGGGTGCTGTAGGAGCTGGAACACGGGTTCCGCCACACCGTTATCTATCAACGTGGTTCGTAAAACACTGACAGACCGAGACAATGCACGAACAGCCCCACATGCTGCAATGAGAACTTCGACCGGATTCGTTCCATAATCTCCTTTCGATTCGTCGTCGCTCGAGTCATCAGATGCCTTATCATTCTTCTTCTTGGATTTTGCTGACGGCTTGCGGGGGCTTGCGCTCATAGAAGACACTATGTAAGGCATCATCCCTTGATCAACGATGGCTTTCCTGTACTCATCCTTGAATGGTACAAGTGCGGCGATCGCTTTGAGCACACTCTCTCTGACTTTAATTTTGTGCAGCAATGCAGGGGATTGACCGGTGTTGCCTAGAGACAGCGTATCGTGGCCTCCTCCACGTTCGTCTCGATCTGGAGACCAAGGGCCTGATCCTATAGACTCTAGTGCAGGATCATATGATACCTTGAGCATTTTGGAGAGTTTACTAACAACACCGGCATCGAATGCAGCTTTCTGAAGATACTCACTGTCTGTGATGAGCATTGCAAGAACGACAGGTGCTCGCTCCTTGACTGTCCGATCCAGTAGTAGTGCCTCCTCATCCTCAAGGCTATCGTTGCCTGCGAGAAAGATGTTATCATCTCCAAGCATTTGAACCAGAAGGGGTACCACGAGTAACCCAAGAGCAGTTTCCCTTGTCTTGTTCGTCAAACCTGCTCTGTAGAGAACAGTCAGGACAGAAGCAGCCATGAGTCGCTCCGAGCCAGTCCGCAACTTAAGCAACAATATGAGATAAGCAATGAGTGGGCTTTCAGGCTCTTCTATTTCAGTCGCCGAGGACTCCTGGGGAGATTCCAGGTTTGGTGAATCAGGCCAGTTTGACAACGTTGAAACAATCGGCCTTGAACTTGAACGGCCATTTAGCGCTAAGTTCTGACTCGAATTGGAAGTGCCCAGTGGTGGAAAAGCGGACGCCTGAGCGTTAGTGTTTTTGAGCTGATGCAGAGGAATAAATGGTAGTAGATAGTCCACTGCGTTGAGCTGGCTCTGGCGTACACTCAACCCAGCTGCATTGAAGGCATTCCACGCTGCACGGGCATTCTGGGTACCAGAAAACTCGGCCGGCAAGGATGTAGGATATATGGCTAGTATGGATGGAGAATACAGCAATTGAGATGCTCTGCACTTTGAATTGGCGATAATAGCAGCAATTGCTTCCAGAATCACCGACAGCCTACCATTTGCTGGAGCCGGTCCTGGGAAGAAGTCCTGCAAACCATCTCTCTGGGATTGTACCTCTGCTCCAGGTATTACCAATCCTTCAGCAACAACAAAGCTAGCCAATTTTGTAGCAAGAGCATCAAGAACTCCCGAATTTGCTAGACCCTGTTGATGACGTTCCTCGCGACATACCCGACTTATCAAGGTTGCCACAAGTGATATCTGTGTTTGAGAATTGGACGATGTTGACGTCTGCGACAATATTTTGCACAACGAGTTGAGATTCTGGCGCGAGAAAAGGTGCTCTGCGATTGCACTTGTGCTCAACGAATGTGTGTTGGAAGCTAAGGCGGCCGATTCTGCCAGGTTGGAGAGAGCTCGGAGCGATGTCAAGACCAGTTGTGAAGGGTTGCTTGATGGACAAAGATTTGACAGAATAGCCGGCAAGGAGGCGGCGGCTTGTAGAGGTGTGAGGAATGGCGGACCGCCTTCTGCGTGTTAGCATATAGATTGATAGTAGTTGGGCGAGTATGCATCACCTAGAGCAACGCTTGCCACCACTTGGAGACCTTGTAATCTAAGCTGTTCCTCTTCCACCAAGGGTCTCGAGGCAAAGCTATGATCATGCGACTTCCCATCCTGCCTACTACCAGCTTTGTTGAAAGTCAAACGGACAACAGGTTCCAAAACACCTTCGGTGATGGCCAGCTCTTTCTTCAACGGGTGCCCAACTATCTCATTTTTGAGCGCCTTCAGCACCAGTATTTGCTCGGTCGGCGTTCTTGCATTGCGGATCTGTGCAACCCAGGGCTGTCTAGCCATTGTGGAGGAATTATGGATGCGCGTGTTCGGCTCGTACAAGCATTCGATATCTGGGTTCTTGAAAGGACCGTTCGCTGAAGCGGACTGCTGGAGCTTTCAGAGAGAGATAGGATATTGGGAGGCGCGGAAAAGATACTGGAAAGCAGCTGAATCCGTGCTATGCGATCCTGTCGATATAAATGTTTGCCGCTGCAATTGTGAGTAAATGGTTGCACGGCGACAGGGAGGTGTGTTGATCATGGGAGGAGATGGAGTTCGGCTAAGTGTGTACATGCTTCAATTGTCAGCCTCGTCTGCCCTGTTCTCCCGATGAACCTCCCTCCCTCACTTGAAGTCAAATGCCCAACTACCAACGTCCACCTCTTCGATTCACCAGCACCTTCAGCCTCTAGTAACAGCAAACACTCGAAAGGCCAAAGATGTAGCCAAAGATGTAGTTCTGTGCGAGATCGAGCCAATTCTATCTTTCACTAGATATCTGTAATACGACTTTTCGCGGTCGAGGCCATTGCGATCATCTAGTCTGGTGCGAGCGAGCAAAATTTCACGCCCGCCATTGAGGCGCAACCACAGCCGCTCTCACACGGAAAGACAACATCAACCAAATCTCACGCACAGAGACCCTGCGTTGACATTCGTCTGTACATTTTCAACCCACTTTACTCACGACACATTCTGCAAGACCATAATTTCGCCCAAACGACCTTTCCTGCTCCTGGTCGCATCCCACTCTCGTCCCTTCCTTCACAATTGCCTCCATTGCGCCTGGATCATCGAGCAGCTTAGAGGATGCCTTTCCTTCCTAGAACATGCTGAAGCCATTACCACAACATAGAGCATCGCCTGCTACTTCACCTATCTTCCACTATGCGCCGACTTCGCACTCGCTTCCATCGTCGCCATTATCTAGAAGAAACTCCAGCTCCAGGTCGCAGGGCTCTGTCGCATACCGCACCCCACCACAACGAGCGCAAGCACGATATGTGGACGCTGCGACACAGTGGAGTCCCATCATGAACTCGAAAGTCGACCATCCCGTCGAGCCAGCTGTGCCTGTAAAGGTCGAGCAAACCGAAGATTTAGTGGCTCCAGCCTCAGCAACCGCCCCCTCCATACCCCCCTCCCCAAACAAACCTGCTCTCCAACCCGAGTCTCCTGGATTGAAGAGGCGGCAGTCTCAAGGCACTGCACAGTCTATACCTACGACCACCCAAACCATACGCACGAAGCGACCCAGATCGGATCAGGAGCCGAAAGTTCTACCTGCCAAATATGAGTTCTGTGCTGTGGAAGATATGGTCGTATTGATCGCGAACATGATACAGGAACTCATTACAACAAATGATAGACTCCCGCTTCAAAGTGGCGTGCTCACGCGGTTCCATTCAAGGTAAGTAGATCTCTGCTTGTAATGAAGTGGTTTGGACTCACACACGCAGGACGCCCCCTGGTATATCCGTATTGGACTACTTGCAAAGGCTTGCTAAACACGCTACTCTCACACCTCCGCTACTACTATCAATGGTTTACTACATTGATAGGCTCTGCTTGCTCTACCCAGCGTTCACAGTCACGACCCTGACGGTCCATCGATTTCTGATAACCGCCGCAACAGTGGCTGCCAAAGGCCTTTCTGACTCTTTTTGGAACAACGCTACATATGCTAGAGTGGGGGGAATCAAGATTGCAGAGCTTGGTTTACTGGAACTAGATTTCTTATACAGGGTTGATTGGAAAATTGTACCAAACCCAGAAGCACTGGTTGATTACTATAATGGCCTGGTTGAGAGAGCAGATGGCTACGTGATCGAGAGTGACTCGAGCTCTATAGATGAGGATGACGACGACGATGAAGATAGTAATGACTTGGACGGGTCAAGATCCAGCCCAGATGACAAGGCTGAGATCTCGCCAGAATCCACAACAGATACGAAGTGGAAGGCGTGGATGGATGACGTATCTACGATTAAGGACGAGCCTCTTGAGGAAAAGTCCCTTCATTCAGAAGGGAGCTCCTCTTGAACTAAAAGGAGCTGTTTATGAGGCGGAGGACGACTTATACCCACTTCGATTTTCTTTGGTAGCATAAGGAGGATATTGGCGTTTTGTTATTGGGGGAACTTCATACCAAGGATGGTCAGATTCAAGATAATCAGTGATCCATAGATGAGAAGCGATTTTTAGGGAGGGCAGGACATCATGGGGGATTCAAGGCCTCACGTGACCAAGAATACAGCTGAATTCAATGGCTTGTGTATAATTCTCAGCATATCCGCTTGTTTTTGTTCTTCACCAAAAGTTGGCACGAGTTCAACTGTAAGGATCTAGCGTATTAAGATCGGGAGCCGAGCTCTCTGTTTTCTAGAATCATAAATATTTTTGGCCATCAAGATAACAATTACATCGTTGCAACAAATTCACAGGTTGCAGCATCTCAGCCTTGTCATGCCAGAAAAACACCTGACGAGGATCTTCGGGAAGGCTGACCCATCTCACATCTCTTGGCCCCATGCCTGGCATCCGGCTTGACAACAGCCCAACCTCATCACCATCAACCTCAGCACAACAAGTATGAGGTTCCTCGGCGTCCTTGTCGCAATTTGCGTCCCTGTATTAGCAATAAGCTCCGAGTTAATAGATAGCACAACCGTCTACATCCAACCACTTACATCCAAATCCGCACCTCTGTCCCTCGCCGAAATCAAATTCAACCCCTCCACCCTCTCCTCCGAGATCCTCTCCTACGAATCCCCTCTTTTCGAAGACGAAGATCTCTCCTCCAAGCTCCTGCGTGTCGGAATCTACGATCCTGCCACCGCAACATGGAAGTCCTCGACATCGACTACGTCCGTGGAGACGTTTGCGAAGGGGTATGCGCCAACGATTGTCTTGAACTTGGATGCGCAAGGTGGTGTCATTGGGGTTAGCTGTAAGAGTAGCAGTGTCGATGCGGGACAGACGAGGGATTTTGGACCGAAGGTTAAGGTGGTCAAGATGAGGGAGGGAGCGAAGCCGTTTTTGAATCGGCCGGTGGTGTTGAATCCCGAGGGGAAGGTCGAGGAGATACCGACGGAGAAGACTCTTTTGCAGAAGTATTGGTGGGGTAAGTTCTTCTTTCTTGGGCGGCTTTTGAGTTTGTGGAAGTGTCGTACTGACTTTAGATGCAGTGATTGCTGGTGGTATTATCATCATGCTCACGACCGGTGGTGGGGAATAAGTGTACCGACGTTGTATTTTAGAATGGTAATGGATGAACATATATCTCTTGAATTGTGGATTTAAGATATGGGAGTATGTTTTGCTTCTGTATGCGAATTTTCCTAATGCTCTGAACCTCTGGCAGTGTCAGCATTTCGTCATGTCTGTTCGATTGATATTTTCCGTTCATAAACTCCAGTGATCAATTCTACTTAGGGTTGATAGGAAAATTCTTCTGCTCAAGCTGAACAGGCTGATACTTCCCAAGAACGTTTTCCAAATTCAAGTGATGTATGTGGTCATTTGCTGAGAGCTGCAAGTTGTTCTCCTCATGGTATTCTGATTTTTGGACGTTCATATGTTGTCCATAAAAAGGGCATGTTGTAACTAGGTATACTTGCGTATGCAGTAAGTGCTAATGAGATTTGTCTGCTAGAGCTGTCTGTTATTTCTTGATAGTGTTTCCCTTATATCATTTGTCAAGCGGCTTCTCCAGTCGTATCGTTTACAGCAGCGTTGGACTCGGATTCCGGCAACAATCTCCTCAGCTACCGAGGCAACAACGCGTACCGTCCAATATGTCTAAGTAGACAGGCGAGCACATTGGACCAAAGTAATGGTGCCAAAGCAGCTTCTTCCCTTTGATAATCACCATTCGAATTGGCTGGTGTTGCTCACAGATCCGGCTGTTTGGCTAGAGTGGTTGTACATGATTGTGCTATTGTTGCACACCATGTGGATATTGTGAGATGTTTCACTCATTACATAGAATATCCTCCAAGCTTCATAACTGATTTTCTTGATCCCTTTCCCTTCTCTTCTCTTTCCCATAAATCTTGGAGGCAGAAGTGACGGTCCAATCAAAGCGCCGCCCTGAATAGGCTGTGGACCGTGCTTTCCAAGGGCGGCTGCAGCCTTCGCGTCCTTGCAAAAGTAAGCGCGATCTCGCGATTTCAGCTTCCTCTCGCCCCTGCAAATCGAATAACCGTCAACTCACCAACCCAAGTACAATCACAACTACACCACAAACTCCTCAACACTTAGAAACCGTCTCAAAATGGCTGACCAGTCTGGATCTGCAAACACCTCCATCGCCGATAAGGGAAAGGGCAAAGGCGCTGCTGAGCCTGAGAATGATACCACCATGGAGGTTGATGACAGCTCCAGCGACGAGGACGTCGAAGTTGATGAGGTGAGTGGCTTATCCATTCAGAATACAGCGCATTTTGGACTAACACTTCAAGCAGGATGATGTAGTTGGTAAGGCATCCCTGCGAGCCAATCTGAATATTGCCTAACAAGCCACAGAGGAGCAAGACGACGAGATGGCAGCTATCGACAGAACCAACATCATTGAGTCTGGCCGCCGCACTCGTGGTGTTAAGATCGACTACGCCAAGGCAGCCGAGGAGATGAAGGCTGCTGGTGAGATGGACGAGGACTCCGATGATGATGGAGACTTCGAGGAGCCTCCACAGGACTCCGATGCTGAGATGAAGGACAAGTAGAGGTGTGTGTTGAAGATACGTGGGTAATTGGGCGGTAGACGATTGGATTTACTGGACTGTTGGCATACGACCCCCTGCAACAGAACCCTTGGCCGGCAATACTTGCGGTTTTGTTGTACTTGCATGTTTGCTGGTTCTCGGGCTTATTCGATCAGCGACGTCCTCTGCCCTCGACTTCGACTTGGCATCGGTTCACTTTCTCCTCATCGCTAGACCGACAAAAGTTTTCCTACAACATTGATTGCATTACGAGGGCATATGATATGACGATTGGGCTGATTTGGTAGAGCGACGACAACATGCGTCATGCATATGAATGGATGGGTGGAGCGTTAAACCCGCGCATGCTCTTTGTTTGTATCACTTTCATAAAATCATAAAGAAAATGAGCACATCGTAGCGAAGACGCTGTGAATGCAACTAACTCGTCGTGAGCCCCATGAGTTGATCAGCAGCGCGACTTGATCATTAAGTGAAAATCGAATATGCTGAGACCAAATAAGGCTGAAAAATCATTTCTGCACATATTAATCTTTCAAGCACTGGAAAAAACTTTAGATGCATAAATCTGTAACGAACATTCTTCAAGACCCCTGAAAGCGGAAATAACAGCAATTTCGTGATCCCATTTTCAACTACCACCAAGTTCGAGGTCGAATGACCGGGTGGCTTGAAAGAACACATTTCGCAACTTCGCCCCATCCTCTTGAATTGTTGCGCTGCGATTCCTAGAGCACAGCAAACAATGGCTTCAAGGTTAGTACTTTATCAACCTGTGTCTAATGCTTTGCGACTCAAACAAGCATTCTTGCATTACTCCTCTGGGCACGGCTGAAGGGCGCCCAAAAGGGGATGTATCGAACGCCTTCTTCAACAGCCTTTTGCGCCCCTGCCACCAGCATAAATTTACTACAGCTGCACACGGGGTTTTCTTCTATCCATCACTCTGTGTACTATTTTTTACTGACAACTTTCGCTTCCTACAGCAGATTTGGACCTTCTTCTTTACACCAGCGCGATCCGAGGAGCGCGCTCTTCGAAGGCTATAACGGCGGCGGCGGAAGCAGTAATGGGAACGCGAGAGGTAATGGAAGTGTGAGCCCGAATCGCTATGCTGGTGGTGGATATGGTTACTCGGGTGGAAATGGCAATGGGAGTGCTGGGAGTTTGGGGGTAGAGCAGCCTGGGTACAGACCTGCGACGCCGAATAAAAGGTTGGTCTTCTGCATTTCTTGTGCTGCAGGTCTCGGAGGTTTTGAGAAGATGGTAGACCGCAGAAGGAGTCACACTTACGAGATGGAGCAGGGCCGGGAAGTGGGCGTTGGAGTGCATTTGGACATGGTATGAATGAGAACATGCTGACTGGGAGATCACAGAGGCCAATACAGCGATGCAGTCTTGAATGAATTAGAAAGCCAGAATGATGGACAAGTGGAAGGCATAATGGGCAAAGTACGACAACTGAAAGATGTATGTCCCGCCATTCACTCGTAACTGGAGCATTTCGACTAATACTTCCCAGATGACGATAGCCATTGGAGACGAGATCCGCGAATCCTCAGCTCTTGCCGAGAAAATGAATGATTCTTTCGATGGCACCAGGCTCAAGTTGAAGGGGACCATGAACCGTATGCTTGTTATGGCTGAGAGAACTGGTGTTGGATGGAAGGTGTGGTTGGCCTTCTTTGCGGCTGTGGGTTTCTTGTTTTTCTGGGTTTGGATTTAGAGCGGCGGAAATTAAAGAAGTCTGCTCTGCACGGAAACATGTGTATATTCATTCCGGCCTGACAGAGACAGTGGTCTATTTTTGCATGGAGGTTCGGCGTCTGGGCTATCATAGGGTATGGGAGTGTATTTTAGAGGAAGCGATTTATTGGAATGCTGGGCTGCGCGCTGGCTGTTAATACATATTTGAATCTTCTGCTTGGGTATCTAATTTGTTTTTTTCTCATGGGCTTGTGGGTGTTAGCTACATGCTAAACCTTTCATACAAGCTTTGTGCTGCTCTCTGCTGGTCCCTAAGGCGAATTCAAGGATAGCTTTCCTTCAACGATCTTGAAGGCTTTCTAAGAAGATCGTCCTCTCCTGTTGCGGAATCCGGATAGTCGTCGAGGGCTGCTTCCCAGCTGACTACTTCCCGACATCAGCATACTCAAATCCATGCTGTTCTGTGTCCCATCACTCCTGACCATACTAGAGGCGGCAGCGCGTTGTGGCAACTGACTGTCATCCCCACTCTCCTCCTCACTGCTTGACAGCTCTTCCTCCGTGTCAGTATGCTCGTATCCATCGACTGAAGCCTCCGGAATATCATCGTCCAGGTCACCGTCCATATTCATGTCCAGATCGTGCTGTTGATCGTCATGCTCATGCACCAAATCTTCTTCTTGCAACAAGTCCTCTCCTCCCTCGTCCTCGTCCCCAACCGAGCCCTGATCCCCAAACCTTGTCTGACGTACTTCATCTCCCCGAATTAAAGCCTCTCTGTAGACATCATCTGGTAATCGTGAAGCTAGGACATTCCTCGGTACATCTTCCACGTCATTCTCCTCATCCCCTTCGCTAGACTCCGAATCCGAATCTAACAGCCTCGTTACATCGGCATCCGGTACCTCATCGTCCAGATCTCTTGCTTCCTCCATTTCGCCATCCATACCTTCCCCCTGTAACAGGTCATCTACACCTTCAGCAGCTTCTGCCTCGGCTAGTTCCTGTGCTAGGGCTTCGCGCCGCAGAGCTTCCTGATGTTCCTCCATTTCGCGCTTCTCCTCGCGCTGTTGGTGAAGAGATTTCTGGATTCCCGGGGGCTTGATCCAGCTGCTGCCATAGTTCTGTATGTTGATCTTGCGACGCTCCATGTACTCTTCATCGTGTCGGAGGCGGGAGAGAGGTCTTCGGTGTGTGGGCAGATGGCGTCTAGACGGTTGGTGCGTAGTTGTATGGTCATGCGGATTGGATGGTGAGGGTTGGTCGGCGAAAGCTGATGGGTTGGGGCTTGTGGACGAGGTATACCATAATGAATAGGACTATTTCTGTCAGTTACTATTGCTGAAGCCCCTGCCTGGGGGAGTATTGTCGGACAGCTACAGGACTCGTCCCATGTCAGGATGTGGTAGTTGGGAGAACAGGACCAACGTACATCCTGCGGTGCTAAACTTGGTAGAGAAAACATTTTGCGATCTGGAGTATTTCAAGGAGCTGCTAAGTATACGGTCACGCAACGTTGTTGACATTGCAACGAAAGCTCAGGGCACGGACTTCGTTCCCAGGCGAGGCAACGCTAAACTTTAATCATACGTACCCCTCTCCCGCTTCTCAAGTTCTCAGCCTTCCTCAATAATCCCCTCGGTAAGGTAAGGTAGGAACAACGAATTACTCATTCGAGATTCACAACTTGGTCTGCATGTAGTAAGAATTACTAGAAGGGTAATTTGTTCCGCTAAGAGTCTACCCCAGGGTTTATCCTAGTCACCCTCTGCTACCAAACAAGTTCCTTTGTTCAATTGTATTTTGGGAACAATCATGCATGGGAGCAATGGGGAATTCCACCTGCATTAAGTTTATGAATACTCCTCATGCTGACCAGTATCTCCTCACTTGATCCGATCTTCGGGTCCAAGGGGCGATGAGGTAGCTGGATGTCCGAGGAACTTTCTTTTCATGAGATATCGTTTCGCACGTTCAGCCGCCTAAGCAACCGAAAACTCTGAAGCGATGAGAAGAATTCTGCGACTGTCTCCAAATTCTGACCGCCTTTTAAGTCTGTCTGGCTTTCTCGCCTGGTGTTGGGTAGAACGGGTCAGGAGTCAGGACTTGTCCATCTGCTGATCCCGATTGCGCCCGGGTTCAAAGTCGACGTGTTCCAAGAAATTCCGGCATCACGAGCACAAGTGCACAGAATTCCAACCTCGATCCACCACCCCATGCAGCGCAGCTCCTGCGTGGGGCATGTCGACAGGGGTGGAAGAGCATGCAGCATGCGTGGCAGGGACCCCAAACCCCTCCAAGATGCCTGTTCCAATCTGTTTATCCTCGGGCGCTGATTGGAGCATACGAGGTTTCTATGTCTCTCTCATGTGTCATTCTCACTACGTACCACCCGGCTGCGGGGACCCCTGGCTGGAAGGCTGTCCAATGGCGTATGCTGATAAGTATAAAATCTTCCCTTTCCATCTGCAAAATAATGTTCCGCTTCAGCTCCCGGCACCTCTTTTAGTTTGCTGTAAGCTACTGTACTGTACTGTACTAGCAAGCTTAGCTGCAGTCCTGCTGTCCCTCGGCGAGCTTGATGCTTGGTGGTTTCAGCGGGCCAGTTACGACGGCCCATCTGCCCGTCTCAATGAGCCCCCCGTGTGAGGATTGGCCTATCAGCAATCTCGGTATGTAATAAGGTTGACGCTGCTCGTACTGGTCAACGGCGATATCGGCTTGCAGCAAGAAGAAAGTTTTTTTCGCGGTCTCGTCGACGATGCTGCAGGATGAGGCTACGCTTCCCACATTCTATTTGCTGAACCAATGTACATCTTGCATTATTATTTGAGTGAGTACTCGGCAGCCTGAGCAGCACGACATATGCAGCTCGAGCTGCAGCCTGGCAAGACGCTCGAGCTTTTCTGGCTCGATGTGTGGGGGGGGGGGGGGGGGGGGGGGGGGGGGGGGTGTTGTTAAACATCCAGGAAGCTACATACAGTAGCTGCGAGCCTCGAGGAAAGACAAGTGCTTCCGAGGATGCGAAGGGTGGGAAGAGGAGATGATACCTGACTGTTCTCGGCTATATCTTCACAGATGAGCAACTTCGAACTAATGGGAGAGCTAGAGGCAGCTTGGAGAGTGGAACATGTCACCATCTTGTTGATCCCCGCTTGTGAGGGCCGGTACAGGACCTTTGGAGGGTGGATGGCAGATGGCATGTTCAACTTATGGACGACGTGGCGGAGGAGGGAGTTGGAAAAAGATCACCGTGTTCATCACGGTTGTTAGCACTTTTACAGGGCTCGCAGGGGCAGAGCTTGAATAGCTTCGTTACAGTAGATGGCAGTACAGTACTAGTAGTCTCACATCTGGTAACATAGTTGGAGTAGGGTTGCAACATGAGATGCACTTTGTCAACTGTGCTGGAGATGTGTCCCAGGAAGTCAGATTGTTGCGGCCCCCGGGAAAGAGAGGGAGAGGGAGCAAAAAATTAAGAGCAAACACCTAGCCCAGGATCCGAAGCATTTGATGACCTTTCCATTGGATGAAGTTTTCCAGAGTCCTGACTCCTGGCCCCCCTGCTCGTCAGATCTGGATGAGACGAGACGAGACGTCCGTCCGGTGCAGGCCGAACGAACCTTTCACTTCCACTTTCGTACTGTACCATCACTAGCTCAGAACCCCTCATTAAATTCACCTCCACCAACGAAACCACGCCAGCCAAATCCCGTGGGAGCAATAAAAACCCTCCCTCCTCCCAATTCTTCCATTCCTCCCTCCCCGACTTCATTCCAACTGCCCCCAACCCCCCAAAGCGGTGTTGTGTTGTCCAGTCGAGCTGTGATTCCATACAATTGTGAGTAGCATTATTTATTTACCTTACCTGCCTTACCTTCCTTTCTCCCCTGCTTGTCTCCCCCTCACTCTACCTCACCTACCGTCCGGGACCCGCCAATCGCCTGTTATCGTGTATCGTGGGCCAAATCCCAGTGGGCATCAGCATCATCATGCATGCAGCCATTCTGAGCTGTCCAGCAGATAGTGAGGTTTATCTTATCAAGCTGGTGCGCGGGGGCGCAATTGAGTATAAATTGGGAGGAGACCAACGCCAAATTAACAGAGCCGGCCATTCCAAGTCCGCCTGGCAACGCAGCAGAGTAAAAAAAGCACAAGCCGGTCCTGACGCAACCGATCGGCAAAGTCACCGCGCTACTCGAGCTACAGCAGCCATCCATTCCTCTCCAAAACTCTCCTTCTTGTTCCTTTCATTTTCCTGCTCGATTTTCCCATTCGAAACGCACAACATTAATCTGAACTAAAAGACATAACACTACATTACTTCGCCTATTATTTTACTGATCTGCTTTTGCCCCTACAGACAAACAATTAGTCGCACAGCAGCCCGCGCAATACAAAGAAAGGCTAAAACACCATTACAAACTTGAACACCCTCGAAGTCGCCGCAACTTTGCCTGCTATGGCAAAAGTCGACGATTTCAACGACAGACAAACCCAGATTGACGCGGAAAACGAACCGTACCATCAATATGAGTACCAGACAGAGGAGAATGAATCGTGGGCAGGAGCTCTGCCGGTGAAGCAGTGAGTTGGGTCGTTCCCGATATCCGGGATGATGAGACTGATGAACTGCTTAGGGGATTGTATGATCCAGGACTGGAGAAAGATGCTTGTGGTGTCGGGTTTGCCTGGTACGAATGCCCCAATCCACCAACCAGCCAGCGGACGGCACAACTAACCAGGTTACAGTCACATAAAGGGCAAGGCGAGCCACAAGATTGTCAGCGATGGTATGCCCCTACATCTATACTGCACAGCATTATGCTAATACTTTGTGTTCACCAGCGCGGAATTTGTTGTGTAACATGACCCATCGTGGTGCAGTGGGATCAGATGCGCGAGATGGAGATGGAGCAGGTGTCATGACTTCGATTCCCCACAAATTCTTCATTAAGAATTTCGAACGCGAAACGGATATCAAGCTTCCTCCTTTGGGGCAATACGCTGTGGGAAATCTTTTCTTCAAACCAGACGAGGAGACGTTGCATGAATCAAAGAGACAATTGGAGGAGATCTCAGAGTCACTGGGGTTGAGGGTATTGGGATGGCGAGAGCCTCCTAAAGATTCTACTCTTCTTGGTCCCGCTGCTGCTTCTCGTGAGCCTATCATTTTGCAGCCGTTCGTTGTGCTAGCATCTGCATATGGTTATGGCAATTCGCCAGAGACCACCGACCCTGATCATTTTGATGAGAAATACTTCGAAAGACAACTTTACGTGCTCCGAAAGCGTGCGACCCATACCATTGGTCTGCACAACTGGTTCTATTTGTGCTCATTGTCTAACAAGAATATTGTTTACAAGGGCCAACTTGCGCCTGTGCAAGTTTACCAGTACTACTATGATCTGGTTAATGCCGATTACGAAGCCCATTTCGCTCTCGTGCATTCTCGTTTTTCTACCAACACGTTCCCATCTTGGGATCGTGCTCAGCCATTGAGATGGGCTGCTCACAATGGTATGAAACGATTTGTAAACCCAGTTGCAGTACGTGGACTAACAGCTAACCAGGTGAAATTAATACATTGCGAGGGAATAAGAACTGGATGCGAGCTCGCGAGGGTGTCATGCAGTCAGATATTTTTGGTGACGAGCTTGAATCGCTCTACCCAATCGTTGAAGACGGTGGCTCTGATTCAGCCGCTTTTGACAACGTTCTCGAATTGTTGACCGTCAACGGCGTTCTCTCCCTTCCAGAAGCTGTCATGCTTATGGTCCCAGAAGCCTGGGAGGACAACTCCGCAATGGATCCTGCCAAGGCTGCTTTTTACGAATGGGCAGCTTGCCAGATGGAGCCATGGGATGGACCCGCTCTCTTCACATTCGCAGATGGAAGATACTGCGGTGCAAACCTGGACAGAAATGGTCTTCGCCCTTGCAGATACTATGTGATGGACGATGATAGGATTATCTGTGCCTCAGAAGTCGGTACTATTCACGTGGATCCCGAGCGTGTAATCCTCAAGGGTCGACTGCAGCCTGGAAAAATGTTGCTCGTCGATACTCTTGCTGGACGTATCATTGACGACAGTGAACTCAAGAGCACCGTCTCTACGCGCCACGACTTCAGAGCATGGCTGCAAAAGGAATTGTTGAACCTACCGAAGGTTCATGAAGACCTCGTCAAGAACGGCTCGGTCGACTTGGCCCCAAAGCCAGATGCTTCTACAATTCAGGAAGACCCTATGCTGAGAGCATTCGGGTACTCCTTCGAGCAAGTTAGTTTGCTCCTAGGTCCCATGGCTTCCGACGAAAAGGAAGCACTCGGTTCCATGGGTAACGATGCTCCACTTGCCTGCCTTGCACAAGCTCCTCGCCTGCTGTACGAGTATTTCCGCCAACTCTTCGCCCAAGTCACCAACCCTCCGATCGATCCCATTCGTGAGGCTATTGTCATGTCGCTGCAATGCTATGTTGGACCCCAAGGCAACTTGCTCGAGATGGACTCTTCTCAGTGCGGTAGACTACTTCTTCCCACTCCCGTTCTCTCGATACCCGAGTTCAATGCACTCAAAAACATCAACAAGTTGAACTCTGGATGGACCGTCAAAGTTATTGACTTGACGTTCCCCAAGTCTGAGGGAGTTGAGGGTTACATCAGGCACCTGGACGAAATTTGCGAGCAAGCTACCGCAGCAATCAATAACAAGGACCGGATTATCATTCTCTCTGATCGTGCCACATCTGCCGATCGTGTTCCAGTCTCTGCACTCCTCGCATCTGGAATGGTACACCACCACTTGGTTAATAACAAGTGGAGATCTCTTGCTGCGCTCGTCGTCGAGACCGCCGAAGCACGTGAGGTCCACCACATGTGTGTCCTCGTTGGTTACGGCGCTGACGCCATCAATCCATACCTGGCCATGGAGTGTATCATCAAGCTGAACCGTGAGGGTCTTATCCGAAAGAAACTCACCGACGATGAACTTATTCGCAACTACAAGTACTCTGCCGATGGTGGTATCCTAAAGGTCATGAGTAAAATGGGCATCTCCACCTTGGCAAGTTATAAGGGTGCGCAGATTTTCGAGGCACTCGGTGTAGATGACACTGTTGTTGACCGCTGCTTCAAGGGAACGGCCACCCGAATCAAGGGTATCACGTTTGAGCTCATAGCTGAGGACGCGTTCAGATTTCATGAGAAGGGTTTCCCATCCCGATATACAGTCAGTGTTCCAGGTCTTGTCGAGTCAGGCGAGTACCATTGGCGCGATGGTGGAGAGCCTCACATCAACGACCCGACCTCCATCGCCAACATCCAAGATGCAGTCCGCACAAAGAACGACAAGTCCTACGAGGCGTACTCACTTTCCGAATACGAGCAGATCAAGTCTTGTACCCTTCGAGGTCTTCTTGACTTCAAATTTGACGAGTGCGCTCCAGTACCCATTGATCAAGTCGAGCCATGGACAGAAATCGTGCGAAGATTCTGCACAGGTGCCATGTCCTATGGATCCATTTCCATGGAGTCACACTCTACCCTTGCTGTTGCCATGAACCGTCTTGGCGGAAAGTCCAACACTGGAGAAGGTGGTGAAGACCCAGAGCGGTCCGAGAGAATGCCGAACGGCGATACCATGCGCTCTGCTATTAAGCAAGTCGCTTCCGGACGATTCGGCGTTACTTCCAACTACCTCGCCGATTCCGATGAGCTTCAGATCAAGATGGCACAAGGTGCCAAGCCTGGAGAAGGTGGTGAGCTTCCCGGCCATAAGGTGTCGAAGTCCATTGCTCGCACTCGTCACTCTACCCCTGGTGTCGGTCTCATTTCCCCACCTCCACATCACGACATTTATAGTATCGAAGATTTGAAGCAATTGATCTATGATCTGAAGTGCTCTAACCCTCGTGCTCGAGTATCCGTCAAGCTTGTTTCCGAAACTGGTGTTGGAATTGTCGCTTCTGGTGTCGCTAAGGCAAAGGCTGATCACATTTTGATCTCGGGTCACGATGGCGGAACTGGTGCCTCTCGCTGGACCGGTATCAAGTATGCTGGGCTTCCGTGGGAGCTTGGTCTTGCTGAGACACATCAGACTTTGGTGTTGAACGACCTACGTGGTCGTGTTGTTGTCCAGACCGATGGTCAACTCCGTACTGGACGTGATGTCGCCATTGCTTGTTTGCTTGGTGCCGAAGAGTGGGGCTTTGCTACCACTCCCCTCATCGCCATGGGATGTATCATGATGAGAAAATGCCACCTGGTACGTTCTGGCGAACTACTGAATGATATTCGATGTGCTAATATTCTTACAGAACACCTGCCCTGTGGGTATCGCCACCCAAGATCCTGAGCTCCGAAAGAAGTTCAAGGGTACCCCGGAGCATGTCATCAACTTCTTTTACTACATTGCAAACGAATTGCGAGCCATCATGGCCAAGCTTGGCTTCAGAACCATTAACGAGATGGTTGGACACGCTGAGAAGCTGAGAGTTCGTGAGGATCTCCGCACACCAAAGACTCAGAACATCGACTTGTCCTTGATTCTTACCCCCGCTCACAAGTTGCGACCTGGTGTTGCCACATTCAATGTCCGCAAGCAGGATCATCGCCTCTATGTCAGACTTGACAATAAACTGATCTCTGAGGCCGAATTGACACTCGATAAAGGACTTCCGTCTCGAATTGAGTGCGATGTTGTCAACACTGATCGTGCCATGGGTACTTCCCTGTCCTATCAAATCTCCAAGCGTTATGGAGAAGATGGTCTGCCTATGGACACTGTCCATGTCAACATCAAGGGTTCTGCCGGCCAGTCCTTCGGTGCATTCCTTGCACCAGGTGTTACCCTGGAGCTGGAGGGAGACTCAAACGATTATGTCGGCAAGGGACTTTCGGGAGGACGCCTCATCATCTACCCGCCCCGCGCTGCTGTGTTCAAAGCTGAGGAGAACGTCCTCATCGGCAACGTCTGTCTGTATGGTGCTACCAGTGGAACTTGTTTCTTCCGTGGTGTTGCTGCAGAGCGTTTTGCAGTCCGTAACTCCGGTGCTATAGCTGTTGTTGAAGGTGTTGGTGACCACGGATGCGAATACATGACTGGAGGTCGTGTGCTCATTCTTGGAAGCACTGGTCGCAACTTTGCTGCTGGTATGTCCGGTGGAATCGCTTACATTCTTGATATCCAACAAGACTTCATGTCCAAGCTCAACCCTGAGATGGTTGAGGCTTCAGGAATCGATGATCCTGCCGAAATCGCCTACGTTCGCGGCTTGATCGAGGATCACCACCATTATACCGGTTCTGAGCTCGCTGCCCGTATCCTTCTCGACTTCAACCGAGCACTTCCTCGCTTCGTAAAGGTTCTTCCAGTCGATTACAAGCGAGTTCTTGCTGAAGAGGCTGCCAAGGCTGCCGAAGCCAAGCGTGCAGAGTTCCAGATGCCAAATATTCCCGGTCTGCCTGTCCGTGAACACGAGAAGAACATGAAGGAGAAGGCCAAGCACGAGAAGTCCAGCCTTCAAGATATCGAGGAGACCGTTGGTGATGCAGCGGTGGAGAAGAAGAGATCTCTTGTCTTGGATAAGACGAAGGGTTTCATGAAGTACCAGCGTCGCTCTGAGAAGTACCGCTCAGCCAAGACCAGAACTCGCGATTGGGCCGAGTTGTCCAAGCGTCTCGACGAAGATGAGCTCAAATACCAAGCTGCTCGCTGCATGGACTGCGGTGTTCCTTTCTGTCAGTCTGACTCTGGCTGCCCAATCTCCAACATTATCCCCAAATGGAACGAGTTGGTTTTTCAAAATCAGTGGAGAGATGCTCTCAACCGTCTTATCATGACAAATAACTTCCCCGAATTCACTGGACGTGTTTGTCCGGCTCCTTGTGAAGGCGCCTGCGTCCTCGGTATCAACGAAGACCCTGTCGGTATCAAGTCTATCGAGTGTGCGATCATTGATCGAGGCTTCGACATGGGATGGATGGTTCCTCAGCCACCAAAGGTCCGCACCGGCAAGACTGTTGCTATTATTGGATCTGGACCAGCTGGTCTCGCTTGCGCTGATCAACTCAACAAAGCCGGCCACACGGTTACTCTCTACGAGCGAGCTGATCGTCTTGGTGGGCTTCTCATGTACGGCATTCCCAATATGAAGCTTGACAAGAAGATTGTCAAGCGCCGTACCGATTTCATGGCTGCTGAAGGTGTCGTATTCAAGACAGGAGTCGCCATCGGAGACCAGATCACCCTCAGCGACCTTAAGGCTGAGAATGACGCGGTGGTCATTGCTACTGGTGCCACAGTTGCTCGTGATCTTCCCATCAAAAACCGAAATCTCGAGGGTATCCACTTCGCCATGCAGTTCCTCCATAAGAACACGAAGTCTCTTCTCGACTCTGAGCTTCAAGATGGCGAGTATATCTCAGCCAAGGGAAAGAATGTTGTGGTCATTGGTGGTGGTGATACTGGAAATGACTGTATCGGTACTTCCGTCCGTCATGGTGCTAAGTCAGTTACCAACTTCGAGTTGCTGCCACAGCCACCTAACGAGCGCGCTCGTGACAACCCATGGCCACAATGGCCCAGAATTTACCGTGTAGATTACGGCCATACTGAGGTCAAGCAACACATGGGCCACGATCCTCGTGAATTCTGTGTCATGTCAGAGGACTTTGTCGATGATGGCGAAGGTAAGGTTAAGGGCATCAATACCATTCGGGTTGAGTGGACCAAGTCTGCAACTGGCGGATGGGACATGAAAAAGATTGAGGGCTCGCAACAATTCTTCCCTGCCGAGCTTGTTCTTCTGTCCATGGGCTTTTTGGGTCCCGAGGACCGTGTTCTTGGTGATGAAGTCGAGAAAGATGCTCGCAAGAACGTCAAGACTCCGCCTGGCAAGTACCATACCAACGTGGAAGGTGTCTTTGCTGCCGGTGATTGCCGTCGTGGACAGTCCCTCATTGTTTGGTAAGTCTCCACCATAATTGACAATGAACCGATACTGATCATTTACTTAGGGGCATCAACGAAGGTCGTCAATCTGCACGCGAGGTCGATCTCTACCTGGAAGGTTCCACCAGTCTTCCTGTCACTGGGGGTATCGTCAAGCGAACGGCGCAGGAGATTTTTGGCAAAGACCATGCAAAGGAGGTCCAAGGTCGCGCTGAGCGTGCACCTACTCAGGTTACTGCAGCAGCATCTTAAACGAGTATTGGATATGACATCAAGGAAAAAACTGGTGACGACGTTTCTCATAGCCACACGAAGTTGCTTGTGTAGGAGGGAAAGGGAAAAGCATTTGGAGAAAAAGGAGGCTTTTAAGCTTCTTTTGCTACAATATGATACCACATGAGCATGCACGGTTACTTGAAAGGGGAAGATGCCTTCGTATGTGTACCTCGTCTTCTCATCTTATGCCTTTTACGATATGAGCGATCTTTTGGAGACGGGAAATATTGGCTATGCGAGATGATGGGAGTTTACTTTTGGCTTGTATTGCGGATTGGATTGGGACGCGTCGCATTATTTCTTGGCTGCATTGTACATAGGCAATACAAAGGATCGTACATACCTCATGAGTCTGATTGTGATTATTCTTGCAAGCTGATTCCTCCTGAACGAGCCGTATACAGCATTCTCACATCTATGGCACCCTAGATCTAAATAGGTAGCTTTACCTTGATAGAGACAAATATCATTTCCTGGCTTTGTATCCTCATGTGACTTTGAGGACAGCGCTTCTGTTCATGACCCAGGCGTGAATCCTGACCCTCGAATGCTTCATTCATTCCATGGCATCGCTTCGAATGTCAACAATCGGGGCCGAAGTGGGGTGGAAAAAGAAACTTTCAAACATGCATCGTCCCGCTTCACATAGCCCTACAATTGTCACTTATCAGCGAATGGCAACCTTCTAACAGCGCACGTTGCGCGGGTCTCTTGGAGCTATTCGTGATCCCTGTTAGCAGGGGCATTTGGGACAGAAGCTTGGCTATCTGTGCTCTCCGGCAGGAAATTATGTTGAACTTAGCAGATGCGAGAAAAGACCAGTCTTTTTGTTCTTTGGACGTTGTATCTGCCAATTGACAAGGCGTCTTTGATACCAAAGCTCAATTGTCCTGGAAAGGGTAGTTTACAGTTGCTTCCTGTTTCCGCACCACACCAGCTCAGCAAGTACCGAGGGGAGGACCTAACAGGACTGTCGGCTTGTACCGCTAACTCAATCCATCCAAGCCCAAAGCCCACGCCCGTCACTTCGAAGCTCTAGCCAACTTCCTTTCGAACTTCAGCAACCCCTCAACCGACAATTCTGCTCAACAACTTCCCCTCAAGATGCGTTTTGGCAAGAAGCTGCGGAACACGGCCTATCCGAAATGGAAGGGCCAGTACATGGACTATGCAAAGCTGAAGGCCATGCTACGTGAGAACGAAGAGGACGACTCGAAATGGACGGAAACCGACGAGAACAAATTCTGCGACGAGATTCTGAACGTGCAACTCGAGAAAGTCGCTGCCTTCCAGCAGGAGACTTTCAAGAGTCTCGAGCAACGAGCCAATGCCTGCGCGGACAAGCTGAAGGATTTAGTTCCTGAGGACGGCAAGGCGAAGGGCGACATTACGACCGGCCGATTCAAGGAGATTGAGACCGAGCTGGACGAGATAATCAATGAGACGAAGGAGCTGAAGAAGTATAGTAATATCAATTATACTGCGTTCTTAAAGATCGTCAAGAAGCATGATCGGAAGAGGGGCAATAATTACAAGATTCGACCGATGATGCTGATGAGCCTGTCCAAGAGACCATTTAATACCGAGTCTGGATATTCGCCGTTGTTGAATAAGCTGTCAATCATGTATTATGCAGTGAGACAGCAGCTGGATGAGACGGAGGCTACGCCGGCAACTTCGGCGTCAGAGGCCCAATCGCAGATACAGAATGGGGAGAGGTACACTGCCTACAAGTGTAAGCTTCCCCTGCTTATGTGAACGTCCCATTGCTGACCTCTTATAGTCTGGGTGCACCCTGATAATCTCCTCGAGGTCAAGACCTATATCCTCCGACGACTTCCAGTCCTGGTGTACAGTGAACAATCTGCGAAGGATCTTGAGAACCAAGGCGACCCAACGCTCAACTCGCTCTACTTCGATAATCCAGAGTTCTCTCTGTACAACCAAAAGGTCGACCGTCAAGTCGATGCCTCGTCACTTCGAATCCGCTGGTTTGGACAGTTCAAATCTGGCCCCGAATTTGTTATTGAGAAGAAGATGATTCACGAAAATGGAACCAGCGAGGAGCGGAAGTTTGCGATCAAGGAGAAATACATACAAGCGTTCATCAGGGGAGAGTACAAGATGGAGAAGGCCGTTGCGAAAATGGAACGCCAGGGGCAGCCAGCAGCCAAGATTCAAGAGTTCAAGGATACTGTTGTGGATATTCAGAAATTCATTATCGAAAAAGAGTTGCAGCCAGTACTCCGAGCCAACTACACTCGAACGGCTTTCCAGAAGCCTCTGGATGACAAGGTCAGGATATCGATCGACACGTGCCTGGCTTTCATCAGAGAGGATGCTATCGATCCAGACCGGCCATGTAGGAATCCCGAGAATTGGCACAGACTTGACATCGACGAGGGAGCTATGACTTACCCATTCACAAATGTCAACAAGGGTGAGATCTCGAGGTTTCCATATTCTATCCTGGAGATCAAGGTCAAGGAGGAGGTCGCTAAGAAGCATCCCCAATGGGTTGAGGATCTGATGGCATCCCATCTCGTACATAAGGCACCTCGATTCTCAAAGTTTGTTCACGGAGTGGCATCATTATTCGAAGATAATGTCAACAATCTTCCTTTCTGGCTCAGTGAACTCGAAACGGACATTCGAAGAGATCCTCAAGCTGCCTTTGAGGAAGAAGAAGAAAGGAAGGCGAAGAGAAGAGAGAATGAGCAGGTGGTCGGCAGCTTGCTCGGAGCTACACCCAAGGCATCATCTAGCTTCAGAGCTGCTGTTAGTTCACCACTAGGCAAATCCTACATGGCAGAGCGCATGGCCGCTGAGGAGAGAGCTGGTAAAAGGTCCGACTTCAGCAGCAGGAGTAAGTCTCAGAACGACAACAGCATCGGCGAGGAGGGCGAGGATGAAGAAGGAGAGTCTAGTAATGCAGGTGCTTATGGTACCATGTCCTCTATCTTCCCCTCTTTCTCGCTCTCGCGATACGCCCAGTCACGACGAGAGCGGAACGTCATCCTCCCGCCTGGGGTGACGAAACCCAAACAATTGATCAAAGATTCCGGACCCTTGCAAGTCGAACCCAAGGTCTGGCTCGCCAACGAGAGAACCTTCCTCAAATGGCAACATATCTGTGTCCTCCTTGGAGTCCTAGCTGTCTCTCTGTATAACACAGCCGGCAAGAACAGGGTTGCCGAGATATTTGGATTCATTTATTTGGCCATTGCAATCTTTGCCGGTATCTGGGGCACTGTGATGCACCGAGTTCGACGGAATATGATTGTAGAGAGAAGTGGCAAGGATTTCGATAACATGATTGGACCTATGGTGGTCAGCTTTGCCTTGATGATGTCCCTCATTTTGAACTTCTACTTCCAGGTAAGTGATACAGCAGAATTCTCGCCGCTATGCTAACAATTTTTAGTATCATGCTGCAATGGAGAGGTTGAATGAGCCTGTGCATGGAAATGTTACTATTACGACCGCGGCACCGCTAAGAACGGATGTGAAGATTGAGTTGTTATAACCTGGCGACGTGCACAGATTTTTGGATCTTGGAACGCAAAATAGAAAGGGTACATAGTAGTTATTGTTGGTGAGGTAATTGGTAAATATGGGGCATAGCGGAGAGGTGGCTGTATAGGTAGTTGTAGTTTCGCTACCAATTCCAAATCTAGGTATTCATGCTCGACTACTACCACTAGGTATGATGAAATGGAGATTTTCCGTACCAAAGCTTGGAATCAAGAATACCCCTGTGCGGATCTCTTGGCCCGTGCACGTTCTACGAGGCTGATCGGATCTGAGACCGATGCGGTGGCATACGGCACAGGTGAGATGAACGGTCAATCACTCAACAACCGCAAAATCGAGGTTAAGCAAACGATGCCGAAACTCTCTCAGTTTTTGACACTTCCCAACCTTCACTCTTCTCGCATTTTCTGAGGATATGAAGATCCACACTCACAACCGCGCCCTGTCTCTAGGCTGCAGAAGGAACTGAGACAGCAAATATTCGTACTCAGCCTCGCTCTGCTACGCGGCAAGACAGACAGCGACCCTCGACAAAACTAAAACACCGCACACCACACACGATTCCTAACTTTCTAAACATGATTTGTGGCCTGCATGATACACCATGAGCGAAGCCAAACGAAAGATCCTCGGCCTTTTCAGAAGTCGTAGTACTTCAGGCCTGCCTTCGGAGTCGAGAAACGTACCCCTCACTTTCCTCCCCACGTCATCGACACTTGATGGAGTTCTTCTAACACTATAAATAACAGGACAAAGAACGAGACCGCGTTAAGGATAGGGATAGAGAAAGAGACAAGGACCGTAACGAACATCGTCACCGCCGCGAGCGCGACCCCAATCGACATACGCATTCCCACCATCATCACGATCACGATCACGACCGCTCCCACAGCTCCCAGAGTCGACGTGCGAAATCAGAACATGGCAGCAGCCATCGACGGGCATCTGGCCCACCACCCCCGACCTCAAGCTCTCTCCGCGCGAGTCCTATTCCTGCTCCCCAACCATTGAGCGAATGGCCGCCTCCAGGATTCACACGCCACGATGCGTTGTCGCAAGGCAAAGCTATGGAGCTTATTGCCTCGGGTGTACCTGTCTTCAAAGGTGTGAGGCATTCAATACCACATGCTGCGGAAGAATACTATAATCTCTACGTGACGTGCCAGGGGAATGGTGGGGTGGGCAGTGATGTCGGACAGGTGTACACGGATGCTTTTGCTGCGAACTCATTGAGACTTCAGGGCTTGGAAAAGGCTACGAGTCCTTGGGAAACGTTGGAACAGCCGAGTATGGCTTTCTGTAATGGCGTCAGACCAGGAACAATTACCCTGAATCATTGGGCTAGTCTTTCTGGGAAGATGAACCCGCCGATCGAACTTCGCGATCCTGGAGTTGTACCTCGAGAAGTTGAACTTTCTGTAATTCTTGAACGGCTCATCTATCTCGAAGGAGGATTCGAAGAAGATTATGAGGGGCTGATGTACAAGAATTTATATTCGAACCTCCTCCGCGATCCAGACCGGATCCTAGCACCTCACAAAGCCATGGAAAAGCAGATCTCAGACCTGATAGTCGTGCTGTCAAGAAGGGATTGGATCGATTTCAGCAGGCCAGAGAACCAAGTAGTGGCAAAGTTCTTTGCCAATGCTACGTACACGGAACAAGGACGGTATAAGCTGTTCTTTCATCAATTGCTGCTGAGCATGGAGTTGTATTTACGCATCCATTCGAAACAACACGCCGAGTTTGCAAAGGAGAAATTGTTGAGCCAGTTGCCTCCCTGTATTAGGTGGGATTTGGCGCTGGTGAGGAGGTGGAGAGAGTGTATGAGCATTCATAAGTTTTCGACGGGAGAGAATCCCCAACAGAGTAAGTCTTACCAGTACACAGCAATGACCTTCTTTGGAGGAAGTTAGCTGATTTAGAATGTGAAAAGTTCGATTTCAGCTTCGCATGAAGAAAGTACAGGTTAAAGCGCTGCGGAAGTTTGCCAGAGCGATGAAATGGCCGAATCTCGCCAAAGTAGATGAAGTGCTCAAAGAACGGGATGTGGACGACGTTGCTCTCGAAGATAGATCCTCGGATGCTATGTCATACTTTACTGGAATGATTCTGCCTGGATGTACCATGCCATGTAAGCACACCCCGTTGACTCCTGATTTGAAAGTCTTCAAGCTGTCTAGGGACAATCCCAAGCAATGTTGACATCGCTGACATCTGTGAAACTAGGGCTTATCATGAACTCACTGATCGATTGTGACAGCGACGCAGGTGGTAATGCTTTAGCAGCACTTACCCACATGCATCCACACAGCGGGTTTCAGTACCGGAGCCATACATACTGGTCAGCGACATCAATTGTTGGCAAAGTGTTAGCTCCCACTTGCCGAGAGATAGGGGGCTGGATCGGGCCAGCAAGGCCAGCACCGGATCTTGCTAGAATACAGATAGCCAGGATTCGGCAGCGCAGACCGAAACAACGTCTCACTATTAGCGACATTGAGAGCATGACCGAGCGGTCTGACTGTCTCGGTCCTCCGTCCGAGAAATACCCTGTCTCTGAGTACCAACTGCTCCTTCCCGACCACGACCCGTATTCGATTGTGAACACCATTCGGATCGAAAAACTCGCTCTGAAACCAATCAACACAACACCTACGCCCTCATCACCCCAACACTCTCGATCATTATCCAAAGATACCACTAAAGATTCTGGAAAGCCATTAACATACGACGCGGCCGTCCAATTCGCCATCGATGGTAAATCATGGCCCCTCCGCCTCTCTTACGACGTCTCCTTCATCTCCGCATACCCATGTTCCCATGGGCCACATCCTCTCTTCTTCGATTACGTCTATCAAGCCATAAAAATTGACGAACTACTCGCAATTAGAGACTGGGGCTGTTTGAATATGAACATTAATCCTGGCAGTAGTGGTAGCAGCCCATCACGGGCAGGAGAATTAGGAGACAAGAAAGCAGGCGAGGAAGAAGATGAAGAGAAAGTCCTTGTGGTGGAAGCGTTTGGTGTTAAGGATAATGAGGTTCTAGCGAGGGCGTGGTGTAGTCATTGGGGGCTGAGTGCTGTTGTTGCGGATGTGGAGAGGACTTGGTGAGTTGTTCTTCAAGCGGTCTCCTTGTTACTCTGAACGCAAGCTAACAAGTTGTATAGCATGGCATGCGCTATCCGTGAAGCGTACGCGGCTTGCCTTAACGTTGTTATTCTTGTTGATGGAGAGAGCTACGAGAGTGATTCTTGATTGATTGTTGTGCGGCCTTGGGTTATTTCTCGGCTCGCTTCGCTTGGTGATAGATAGGGGTTGTTGGAGATGGGAAGGGAGGAAGGATATGGCTCGATGATACTTATGAAATATGATGCGATGATTGATGCTTATGACAAGGTTTCGGTCTGTGAGAAAAGGGGACGGGAATTCAACGGGTGGAAAGGAGCATGGCGTAGAATGGTTAGGAAAGGAAATATACCAGGCGTTCCGCTTTGAAGCTTAGCAATTGATTGAATGCATGATCCTGTTGACAAAGTGCAAGCATGCTAAAAATCGCCATTGAGTGAGACAACTCTGAAGATAAGTAACCGCGAATGTTCTCATAGCAACACTACAGGGACAGTCTCTGCTAAGCACTGGAACGCTTTGCAATGCACCTCCTAGAGACAACCACGACGTAATCAAATCAAAAGTTGGTGCAAGTGCTAAAGTCTGGTCACCATAATAGATGGGTGTTTACAATCCACAGTGGGAAATTCGAAAACTTGATTTCCTAACACTGATACCCGAAATCAAGCTTTTTAAAGCCTATCAATAGCAATTTGTGACTCACTCACTCACCCATTTGTTCACTTTGCCTCTTCTCGTTCAAGATATCTGGCGATAGTGGACATAGAACACGCAAATACCGGAGATTATATTATTGCCGAAATCTCCCAACATTCTTAGCGAATCAGCTTCAGAAACCAACCCAAATTCAAATAATTGCCCATCTGTTAAATCAGCCAGACCTGGCTTGGCCTTAAAAAGTGCCGTTGTGGCACTAATACGGCTGGGTTCCCGAGGTGTAAAATTGTACATCTGATTGGCTCACTGCCAGATGTACCGGGGTGGTTGGTTAAACATCATAGGGGTTTCAAATGACGTTGATGGGAATGCTTAATGGCCGTTGGACTGCCAGGCGCGGGGAGGAGGGGGGAAAGGGGGACATAATGTATAAGAATAAGGGCCGGCGCTCTCTATCCTCACCGTAAACTATATCTTTCAAACAAAGCATCAATCTCTTACGCCTACATACCAAATCAGATTCAGAGCCTACAGAGAATCAATTGACAAAATGACGAGAGTTCTTCTCACAGGTAAGGTTTTCCAACTCCAACATGAAAATTACCCCTCCATCACCCCACTATCGCCCGCAGAACTCATCTCAACATCACACAGAAATACGAGAATACTAATAAATTTGACAGGTGGAAGCGGTTTCATCGCCGCGCATGTCCTGGATATTCTACTCAAGAATGGACACACAGTTATCACCACTGTCCGGTCACAAGCCAAAGCCGACAAAATCAAATCTGCCCATCCGGACGCTGGAGATAAGCTCTCCTTTAAGATCGTAGAGGATATTGCGGTTGAGGGAGCTTTTGATGAGGCCGTCAAGATTGATGGACTGGAGGCTGTTATTCGTAAGTACAAGATTCATCCTCAGCTGTCTTGATAATTTCCAAGGACGCGTATCGTCCTGTTTTCAAAATACCTTTCGAGAATGGGCAATCTCTAACTTCCACAGATACCGCCTCCCCCTTCCATTTCAACGTAACAGACACCAAAAAGGACCTCCTAGATCCAGCCATCAACGGAACAAAAGGCGTCCTCTCCGCCATCAAAAAGAATGCCCCCACGGTGAAACGCGTCGTCATAACCTCCTCCTTCGCCAGCATCGTCGACGCCGGCAAGGGCACCGCACCAGGCTACGTCTACAGCGAAAAAGACTGGAACCCAGTGACTGAAGACCAAGCCGGCAAGGACCCCAGCACCGGCTACCGTGCGTCCAAGACCTTCGCCGAGAAAGCAGCCTGGGACTTCCAGGAGAAGGAGAAGCCTAACTTCACCATCGCGACCCTGTGTCCGCCTCTTGTGCTGGGTCCGATCGTGCATTACCTAAATGATCTTTCTGCGCTCAATACTTCCAACCAGAGAGTTAGGAATCTCATCACAGGCCAGAATAAGGAGTCTATCCCCGATACGGGCGTCTTCCTCTGGACGGATGTGCGCGACCTAGCTCTTGGACACGTGAAAGCTATGGAACTGCCCGAGGCGGGTGGCAAGCGGTTCTTCTTCACGGCGGGGTATTTCTCGAATAAGGAGATTGCGGAGATTATCAGGAAGAACTTCCCGGAGTATAAGGATGAGCTGCCGGCTGAGGGAGTGAAGGGTGGGGATTATCCTGAGGGGGGTGTGTATGGATTTGATAATAAGAGGGCAAAGGAGGTGTTGGGTATTAAGTTTAGAGGGTTGGAAGAGAGTATTGTGGATTTGGTGAAGAGTTTGAAGGATGTTGGTGCATAGAGGGAGGAGGAAGGGCTGTTGGTGTAGATGTAGATGTTGGGTTGTCAGAACATTATCCTGAGGTGAAATAGACTACTCGCTCTTGACAAGACATATATGCTGAGCAATTGAACTTCCAGGGATGACTCGTAAGCCTGTTAATACACCAACATGTTGCATGTTTACTTAAGTTTGCGAAACACAACCTTCAAGACGTGAACTAGTGAATGGAGATACCAGAACCTTTTAAGATCTCTGCCGCTCGTGCTTGCTAATTCGAAGTTCAGAACTTGCAGCAATCAGCAATTTTATATCTTTGTAAAGTAATCTTACAGAGCAATTACCAATTCCTATACGTTATTCCGAAGATAGGAAAGGAAATGATAATTGACATCCACTTCTAAGGTCGAGGGCTCGATTACGGTTCTATGAGCATGAAGGATTCCAGCGCTTCGGGCTAATCATCGAAGCTGGGCAGTACCTCAATCAGACTTGTGGCGTTTGCAATGAAGAGCGGTCAACATCGAGATTGGAGAGAGAATGCAGGAGGCAATCGTGACAAGCAATCATCACTGAAAGTAAGTGGAAATTGACCAGCTAATGACCACCAGGGGACGATGTATCACTGTAGACGCGCATCCGATCCGCCATGAATCGGAGAGTCTCTTGTTAGATAATTAACATCAATAGAAAATCCGTCAATTAATTTTTATCCCCATCCTAATGCAACCGGTTCTATCATACAAATGCTACTCCTCCATATTCTAGAGACAGCGAGAAACAACATACGAGAAGAAGAAAATGTGTGCTCAGCAAGGACTGATGGTATCTACAGCATGACATCAGAGCGCTCAGCAGAATCTCCCAAACGCCAGCGCTCAAATGAGAGGATATATGAATGGTGGTGCCAATATGTACTTAGTCCATTTATTACTGTTGAAATGCGTTTCCAGCTCGGCGTCTGCCAATAGTCTTGTAGCTTCCTCCGGCTTCCATGACATCAAATCGATTCATTCCCATGGCCTTGAGGTCTGTCATGCCAGAGAAGTAGAAGCCGACGATGACGACGAGGTAGCTGAGGAGGAGGATGGAACCCTTGAAATAGTTACTCTTTCCTTCGCCGTACATATAGCTGAGGAGGAAGACACAGAGAATGACCGTAACCATATCCCATTGTGGGAATATGAGGCTGAACGTGTATTCAGGTCCGATGAGGGTACTGGCGTTGATGGCACTGAAAAGGACTAAGGCTGGAATCTGAAGCAAGCAAACCTGAAGGGCATAGGCTGATCCGATTTCCATGGACAAGGCAATGTTACCATTCATGGCGAACGATATGGCGTTCTGCTCAGCGTTAGAGATGAAGCAATGTTGAGATAGAGCAAACTTACCAAGAACTCCGTGGTGTTCGGAACAAGGGCGAACAAAGTTATTCCCAAGAATTTCTCGTCGATTGCAACATTGACCAGAACAACATCGACAGTATTCACCAGAATCTCAGCAATAAGTGCGTAAAGAACAGTGGCTCCACAGAGAATGATTGAACTTTTGACTCTGCTCCAGTTCGGCGCATCATGCCCGCCTCCTGCATGAGCTTCATGTGGATTAGGATGTTCAATGTCCTGGACAACACCAGTCCTCAGCGCAGGAGGTCTGTTCAAAGATGCCGAAGTCGGCAGGTTAGCTAGGGTAGAAGTTCGTCGAGGTGCCTTTGTAGCATTCTTCGCTGCAATTGTAGCAGCCGTTGCTGCCATTTCAGCAACCTCGCGGACCAAATTAGAGTTGTGTGCCTCGGAGAATCCAGGGATTTGAACATCAGATCTGGCACTTCCTGCACCACTGCTTTTGGGAGGCGGGATATGCGGCGTCGGTGCCGAACCGTTGGCTCCAGAGGCTGCTGGTTCGTTGACTGAGTTGTTTCGGCTTCCTTCGCGTGGTCCAAGGCCAACCTGCTTCAGTGACTGTCCAAGAATACGCTTATACAATTGGGAGTCGCGTATTTCTGCTCCATGGGTTTCAGCTGAGCTGCTGTTCTGGGTGCTGCCATGTCTCTGAAGTCGTCCATGATTGGGAACACCAACTGGCTGCTGCTGGCCAGCTGTATGTTGACCTTCTTGAAACTTTTTCTCGTCTATTTCGTTGTTCCAGATAACTGCTGCATGTGTCCGTAGAGTAAACCACAATCCGATGATATACGACAGGAACAGCAGGACGGCTGCAAACCAGCAGTAAGGTCGGACAGCTTCGAGGTAAAACCGATCATCTAGCGCGGGGACTTGAGAGAAATAGCACCGACGACAGTCTCGACTTGGCGAATTATCATTGTTATCGACGCAGCTCAGGCAGTTAAGCTCGTGCTTAAAGCATGGTTAGTTACTGCAGTGTCAAGGAATCTGATTTACTTACCGTTCCATATATTTGATAGAACAGTGTTGGACCAAACGCAGCGATGACTGCGAACAGGAGCATTGTGGAGGTAACACCAGCTGACTTGGCGTTGAACCTCTGAGTCTTCCGCTTGATTGCTCCGAAACACATCGAAAGTCCTGGAAGGAATAGAATACCAGCGAAAATGCTTCCAATGATACTTCCTTCAACGAGTTGACCCTTTCCTTGCTTCAGGGCTACACAGTAAAGGAACACCTCTACAATTGTTGAGAAAAATGCGTTGATGGCGGCACCAAGACCCATCGAAGACTGAGCAGAAATAGAGGCGACTGCTTGGCCAATAAAGTACGCCAACGGAATGATGGAGGCCAGAGCTGCCGTAAAGAGGAATGGAGGTCCAGTGATCGTCAAATGTTCCCAGTGGAGAGTCTCCACAAGGACCCAATAGTCGAAAATCACGAAAAGTACCACGCCCATGAGATTGATCAAGAAGATATTAGTTCCGTCAACAGTATATTTCCAGTACTTTGTTCCCACAGCACGGTAGGTGCAGAGTAGAATGGACGAGTGTGGAATAGCACCGCGGGAGTAATCAGAGTCAGACTCAAATGAGAGTGCCAATGGATGCCGTCGTAGGTGGGAGAACAAAAGCATGGTAACTTTGCCCATTGGAATCCAGAAGACAAGGAACCAACATATGCCAGAGACGAGGAACAAGGTCGGAGTAATGAGGCCGTAGAAGAACAGAAAGAAGATGACACGGCCAGTATTCCACTCGCCTCTGCCGAAAAGTCTGCGCTTCAGAGGCCGTTCCGAGCTCTCTCTTGCAGATCGCCTTCTTGAACGTCCGAGAAGACTATCATTCTCGCTTGCGAGAGAGTCGATGCTCCTTCGTGAGCGACCGACTATAGAGCGATTACCTTGTGGGCCGAAGAAAAGTCGACCATCCTCAATATCACCACTCTGCCATTGCTCATACTCCGTAATGCTCCGCCCTTCGCCCTCGTCTTCCTCAGCATAAGCTTCGTCCTGTTCTAGCCGAACGAATTTGCCAAAAGGGTAGAATAGATAGCCAGAAACGCCCCATAGGACACGGCCGTACTCAATTGCACTGGGTGCGGCACCAAAGATGAAACAGACTACAGCTCCGACGAAAGCTATCAGAGCAAGCCACCAGCCGAACCACACCGTCCAAAGGATATTGAAGAACAGAAGCCACTTGCTGACTCTACCTCCCGGAGAAGAGTGGATGTCACCCTCGGCGGTCTTTTGTACCGATCTATTCTTTTTATACAGCGCGGGCTTCCAAATACGAATACCGAAAGGATGGGTTTCGTTGATGGCTTCCTGGCGATCTTTCAACGTGAAGCTCTCTGCGTCGCTCAAGTCGTCGTCTTCATCTTCATCTGGGGTAATGTCGTCCACATCTCGAACCGTGCCCTCCCCGCCAAAATCGCTCGTACTTTCTTCCAGTGTTGCATCCCCAGCTGCACTTACGGTCTCTGCTTCGGCTACAGCTTCAGCCTCTTCCTCTCCACCACGGGAAGAGTCAACCCTTGGGAGAGTAGGTTGGGCTGTTGGTCGGCGCCGCACGGTTGATGGTTGATGTCTGAGAGACCCGAATCCAGTAGCACTGTGTCGACTTGTGGCTAAGTCATCCTCTATTTCTGTCACGTCATCATCCACCGAGAATTCTTGTCCACGGTGTGGTGCTTGTACATTGGAGGAAGCTCGACGGGGCATTCCGGGTTTCTTTGGTCGTTGTCCTCCTCGACCTCGTTCTGGACCTAGCATGGGTGACCGGATGGGTTGGATAGACCGAGATGTCTCCAAGGTTTGTGGTTGCGGTCGTTCGCCTGTCTGTGAAGACTCGCTCGCTCGGTGCTCTGAATTATGAGTAGCGGACGGTTGTAGAATGGATCCTTGAAGCAAATTAGTCTTGAGACTGTATAAAATTGTGAAAATAAGCTCCACTGGCTCATCCGATGCTAAAAATGTCTGCTGCATACCATATGACTGTGGTTCTGGTCGTCGTCTGATTGTATCTGTGGACTGAAAGCTTTCAGAGAGTCGCTCGGTTGATGCAGACTCTACTCTGGAGAGAGGATGGCGAATGTCGGTCGGGGAAGTAGGAGTTGACATATCGAAAGGATTCTGGATATCTCTCAGAGCACCCGGAGTGTTGTTGTCTCTGCCAGACATGTTGCAGTCGTTTCGAGGCAAATCCGGAGTCTTGTATTATGGCATCAATAAACGGAATCGGGAACTGCAAGCAGTAAGCCCGATATACTCGTGCTGTAGACCGCTGGTGAGCTATCCCTTGATCGCAAAGTGGGAGGAAGTCCGGAAAGCATTCGACAAGACAAAGACGCGCAAAGGAAGGCGCCAATGGAATGGGAGAGTTATCTCAATGTGCAGAGAGTATGAGTGGCAATGGGTACACGGAAGAGAATCGCAGATTGGATTTTGTCTTGTCTTGTCTTGTCTTGTCTTGTCTTAGATACACCACCGCATCGGACAGCAGCAGATGATATCCCACGAGGTGTTTGCGGAGGATACTGCTCTGTGGTGGGTGCATACGTTTGCTGCAGCTTGCATGCCGGCTGACCATTCAGCACAGAGCCAACAGCTGCCATCTGAAGCGCGCTTTCCACGCCCCAAGCCAAGCCCAAGCTTGTTTTCTTCTGCCCGCGGGAGGAAGGGAGCGGAGACTGGTGGACCCCTGGTCTTGGCCAATTAGACGTACTGCACGTGATTACAAGGGTTAACGCAATTGCTGCCTCAGGCTAATTTGAGCCGAACCTTGCGGCCTCAGCCTTCCCGCGACGCGGTCGATGGTGCCTGTCCTGGCCTGGCCTGCCTGCGCTGGAGCTCGGTATGAAAGTTAGGGTCGCAGAGGCAAGAACATCAACAAGCAACCCTGAGCTTCATCTTCAACCTACCACACCCGTTGTCCATCTGCATACTACCGTTATCTCCAGTATCAGAGCACCATATCTGCCACCATGGCGCTCGATACCTATTTCCACAATAAGATCGAGGGGATGAAGCTGGAGATCATTCAGGGTCAAGCGGTATTACGGAGATTGGAAGCTCAGAGAAATGACTACAATTCAAGAGGTATATTCTTTCATAATCACCGCGGTACTTCTGGAGCTGATTCTCAATAGTACGACTCCTGCGAGAGGAGCTTGGATTATTACAGCAGCCTGGATCATACGTCGGTGAGGTCGTGAAGGTTATGGGAACGAAGAAGGTATTGGTCAAGGTGCACCCAGAAGGCAAATATGGTATGGCTGTCAAAACGGGCGAGGGTACGAGTGTATTCAAGCTAACAGTTACTCAGTTGTCGATATATCCGATAATGTCGACATTACCAAGCTCACCGTCGGAAAGCGGGTTACACTGCTCTCTGATTCGTACAAACTCGAAAAGATGCTTCCCTCATCCGTCGATCCCCTGGTATCCCTCATGATGGTAGAGAAGGTTCCCGACAGTACATACGATATGATTGGAGGTCTAGATCAACAAATTAAGGAGATCAAGGAGGTTATCGAGCTGGGTCTAAAGCATCCCGAACTTTTCGAATCCCTTGGTATTGCGCAACCCAAGGGCGTCCTTCTGTACGGTCCACCCGGAACTGGAAAGACCCTGTTAGCAAGAGCTGTGGCGCATCATACCGACTGCAAGTTCATCAGAGTGTCAGGTTCAGAGTTGGTCCAGAAATACATCGGAGAAGGCTCAAGGATGGTCCGAGAGCTGTTCGTTATGGCCAGAGAGCATGCCCCATCTATCATCTTCATGGATGAAATCGATTCTATCGGATCATCTCGGGTGGAAGGTTCATCCGGTGGCGACTCGGAGGTTCAGCGTACGATGTTGGAACTCCTGAATCAACTGGATGGTTTTGAGCCAACGAAGAACATCAAGGTCATCATGGCTACGAATCGACTGGACATTCTGGACCCTGCACTTCTCCGACCCGGACGTATTGACCGAAAGATCGAGTTCCCACCGCCAACTGTCGAGGCCAGAGCAGATATTCTCCGAATTCATAGCCGAAGCATGAACTTGACCCGTGGTATCAACTTGACCAAGATTGCGGAGAAGATGAATGGGTGTTCAGGGGCAGAACTAAAGGGTGTGTGCACGGAAGCAGGCATGTATGCTTTAAGAGAGAGGCGTGTCCATGTTACACAGGAAGACTTCGATCTTGCCACAGCAAAGGTCTTGAACAAGCACGATGACACAGCCATTAGTCTAGGCAAGCTCTGGAAGTGAACGACAGGGTTTTTCATCAGGCAAACATGTAAAAATAATTGATACCTTAACTGCTTTTACTGCTTCTGTGAAAGAGTTGAAGTATTTCTATGTTGATCAATCTGGGGTGACGCTCCGCTGGCCCTCCGGGGGCCACTGCCGTGGAGGCCGAGCTGCGGCAAATGCAACGATGTTTGGAGAATCAGACACTGTCTGACAAAAGGAATGCATCGCCTATGCTTTGTAATTGCTAGTGCCCATGAATGATGCATATGTGGATACGTACACACTATAATGCTAAAGCAAGCCAGCTAAGAACGTACATATGATTTTGCAACGTAGGAATGAAAACAGCTAGATATGAAAGAGGTCCGCCAGTTCCGTAACAATAGTCACCACCCATCTTCGAAGCACCATCTTTTCTCATCGACTCTTGATAATACTTCAAATCTCAGCGATGAGCCGCCCTCACTCATCCTCCTCATCATCATTCTGCTCCAAGTACCATCCCTTAGGTCTGTTCTTCTTACCGACCTTCTGTCTCCTGTCACTACGTGAGTCTCGGACGTGCTCCTTCAGCTGCGCCGTGGTGAGCTTGTGACTCTTGGACTTGAGATGCTTTTTCAGAGCTCTCTTGGAAGTGAACTTTGTTGTGAACTTGCAGTCCGCAACGAGGGGACAGTCTTGCTCTGGAATAGGGTCGCTGTGTGCCTTCTCTCGATGATTCCTCAGTGCAAGCTTCGTATCGTAGAGGACGTCGGGCTGATCTGGGCACTGTTCACAAGCAATTGGTCGATAATCGTGGACGTCGTGAACATGAGCCTTCATAGTCTCCTCGTTTTTGAAACTTTTACCGCAGTTCTTACGTGGACATGGGACTGGTCTCTCTCGTGCCTGTCCATTGCAATTGACTTCGTGTTCTTCGACGTTATGTTCCGAGATGCTGCTATATCCGCAGCCATGCGGGCACGGGTACATCCAAGGTGTGGCTACATCTCGGCTGTTGCCACAAAGCGTGTACTTCTTCAGATCCTCTGGGTCATTTCGGTTGAATCTGGAGCTGGATAGCGTTGACTGATAGAGATTGATCTGCGAGAAGAAACGAACAAAATCGTCGCCGCTGAATTGTTCGATGTGAGCAAGCTGCACGCCTTGCAATGGAGCCAAGAATGTTGATACAGAGGCAGTAGCTGAAGCAGATTGGAACTCCAGTGCAAGGGTATCTTGTAGCACAAGGTCGATCTCGTCAGCCGTGTCATCTCCGACGCTGTCGGAGATCTTTGAATCATCGTCGCTGCTGTTCTCTCCCCGGTCGAGAAAGACAGCATCTGTGAGACTTTCCAAACTCGTATGGGGAGCGATGTCAAGCGTTCGAAGTCCAACCTCGATCGAACTATCAATGTCGACATCGTCGGTGTCATTAGTCGAAGAGGACGCAACTGTCGGAGCCAGTGTTGATTTCTTCTTTGCATGGGAGCCTTTGGTTCCGCCAACATTGGCTTCAGACGCTGTCTGAAGTCGCAGAGGGTTGTCCTTGGCAACGTCACGCCACTTCTGCTCCCTCTCCTTCTTCATCCGCGCTCCAGCCGTCTTGCGTTGCATGCGGTCGTTGAGATCCATGCCATTCTCCGTCATATACTCAGATATCTCTCTGGTACTGAACTTTCGAAGCCATTCCTTGGATGGGCCCTCGTCCGCAAACGCAGGAGCCATTCGATCAGCACGCTCGGCCTCGGATCGCTGGTTATACGAGGACACCTCAAGCGGTCCGACATAGTCTCTGGTTGTGCCCATATTGTAGGACGTGTTGCTATGATTTGCAAGCATAGCGACGCCGACAGTTGGTGCTCCAACCAATGCCTTCTTGGCGTAGGCATGATCCCGTAGTGCACCTCGGCGCAGAGCCCTGGTGTCGATACGGTCCTCCAACATACCGGTGAGATGGGCGATCTCTTTCAGAGAGTGGCGAACTTGCTCTTGTCCGGCTGGCTTGTCCAGAACAAGAAATGGTGAAAATCCCTTACTGAACTGTGAGAAAACCGGGGCGTCAGGCTGAGTCCATTGAATAGTACCATCAGCGCGTGCAGCAGCACCTCTCAAAACACCGTCCAAGGTTGGAGAGTAGACGTAGCCCAAGCGTAGTGCAAGAATGAGGAGGAGCTTGACACAGCAGACGGTGCTGTGCGAAGTGTTGGACAGAGGGTCACAGTAGATTGGCTGGTCTGCGTTCCGAACATCCCTGCCATGCAAAGTCAGTAGGGTTCATGGCACTCTTGAAGGGTCATTTTGCTTACTTGAAGCCCTTGGTAAATCTCAGCATGAAGGTTCCTCTCAAGTCAATAACCCTCGGCATGCCTCGATCAGAAGATTCATCCAGCTTCAGGGTGATGTCCTTCCAGCACAAGCACTCGAAACCTTCATAGAGCTGGGTGCGGGTAATGTCGCCAGATCTTGAACTCAAGGCGCTCTGTGTGACAATGCTTGCGATCTTGGACAGGACTATATCCCATGAGTAGGTACCCTCAGCCATCACACGCTTGAACCAGCCTTGACCCATCCTCAAGAGCGTCATGAAAGAGAGCCACTGCTTTCTGTACCAAGTTCCGCGGACGAGCTTTCCTTTAGTAACGAGCTGTTGCAGATGGACCTCAATGCGGGTGAGGTGATGCTTGGTATAGGACTCGAGGAGGTTCTCGTGACGAAACATAAGAAGCTTGATGAGCCGCGACAGCAGAGCTCGGACGACGGAGAGGGAGATTGAGGGCTTTCCAGCAATAGTAGACTTGGAGTTCCGAATCATGGTATCAATATATTGGAAGATTCGTTCTCCTGACGGACACTCCTTGACTCTGATTGAAGTTAGTTGAGAAACGCTCGACGAGGGCGGGCAGTACTTACGGATGTCCAATCGTTTGACAGTACGCGTCCCAAGAGATGAGAACGGCGTCGTGAAGTGATCGAGTACCAGGGGCGCCGTGTGCAAACTTCAGAGTTCTCGAGGCTTTCTTTGACTCCCGACGATCAATAAGCTGGTTGCGAAGGATAGCCTCGGCGATGCCGTGGCCTGTCTTACGCTTCTTCGCAGGCTGATCATCGCCCGACACCTCGAAATCGGATGAATTAAAGACGGCAGCGTCGCCCATAGTAGCAACTGAGGTCAGACAGCGTCTGACAGTAGACCTCGAGGGGTTGATGAGGAAGAGTTGATCGACGCAGAAGATAGGAGGGGACAAATTTACAAGAAACGAGAGTGAGGTTGATGGTTGTGAAGAAGAAGAGAAGAGAGGAAGATGAAGTGGGAAGAGATGAATCAAATACTTTTAGGAAGGTACTGCCAGCTCCTTCCAAAAGTGCATCTCCGCTGGCTTCCCGAAACAGAAAGAGTAAGTGCGTTCGCGAGGCAGGTAGGTCGGTAGTATGTAACTTCCCTCCAAAGCCCATACAAATCGATTTGACGCAACGACTCGACTCCTTTCAAGTCCACTTGCTTCACTCACTTCTTGAGCTCATCGACAGTCAATGGTCTGCCACGATTCGGATAATAGAGATCTCTCATACTTCAGGCAATAATTGCCAAGCTGCTCCAAATACATTTTGTGATGCAAAAAGTCAGACCTTGTCTGACTGGTTGCATCCAAAAGGTACAGAGTACCTGTACCGAGTATCTAGGTGTTGAAGATTGAAGCACGATGTTTGCGCGCTTCTGATGACCGCCTTATAAACCACCTCGGGTAGGCACTGTTCGCATACATAAAATACAACCTTAAAAGTTTAATCTTAGCGACGCTTTATTTAGTTGCTAAGGACTTCCTCGCGATGCTTAGTAACGCCCCGTCAGGGTGACGGCCTCCACGGCAGTGGCCCCCGGAGGGCCAGCGGAGCGTCATAGAAGGGCGGCGCGCACAGGGTTCAGTCGCCTTCGGCTCCTTCCTCGCGACGCTTCGCGTAAGATACAGCGCTTGTCGGTCGCCTTCGGCTCCCTCCTCGCGTAGTTTGCCGAAGAAAACCGTGGATGTAAGGACGACAAAGAAGTGTCTCTTGGCAAATTGTGGAAGTAGAGCGCCTGGAGAGAAGGATTGAGATAATACGAATTGTACAACATTGCGAGCAAAATATCAGATCCTGGTGAATGAATTGAATGTTGACCTCGAGACGAGGCTTGGCGAGGCTTGGCATCAAATATGATGCACGGCAAGTTTGCCGACAGCAGTGAAAACGTCCATCATGGGGGCTTTGAGAAGCCGCAAATCGATGAGACTTTAATGCACAATGCTTTGCAAAGTCTTCTGCCAATTTTGAAACATTCAGAGCTGTTTTAAGATCTACACCATGACTTCCCCAAGTGTTACTTAGACCCTGCTTATTCAGGGATGCGCCCCAGTTATGGTGGCGGACAGATTGGAGCTTGGAGAAGGTGGGGGCAAAGGAAAAGGGTCCACCGGTGACGTGCAAGCTCGAGGATCGGAGCTCCTAACAAAAACACTGTTGAGCTCGAGAAACTTTCTGCATTCTTCATCTCAACAAGCTGGATTAATGTCATAGAAGCCCCCAATAATCATCATCACAAGCAGGCAATTTTAACACGATTTTCTGTGTTCCTGTCGTCAGTAATCTGGCTCTTTTCATTGGATCGCATCTAGGTCCGTCAACCCCTCCTTCTCCTCTTCCCGTCTGGTCTGTACCCCGCGCTCATACCATGCTCAACAAATTGGAGGCATGGTTCAGCACGGATTTGGCAGGCAACCAACCCAATTGAAGAGCAGAGAAGCTCTAGCTGACACGGACAGCAATAGCCAGTATTAATCGATAGTCAGCTTCCGACGTAATCCAAGATGGCCCAGATCCCATTCCGTCAAAACTTCAGGAAGCCCTCGAGGCAGGCCTCGATGGAGTAAGCATTTCATTACATTACATTACATTGTACCTACCTTCGACAATGCTAAACAAAATTAGTCCTCACAACGATCTGAACCCTCACATTGACCACTACATCGGCATTGATGTAGGGACTGGCAGTGCCAGGGCTTGTATCATTGATGCTTCTGGTGACATTAAAGCTTGTACGTAGCCTATTTTCCAGAGCTTTCCCAGGCTGACTTCTCTGAAGTGGCAACAGAGAACATTGGGCTCTGGCAGCCAGAGACCGGATACTATGAGCAGTCTACAACAGATATTTGGCGATGTATTTGTACCTGTGTCCAGCGGGCACTGAGCCAGCACAACATTGACCCTACAACCATCCGCGGAATCGGCTTTGATGCCACTTGCTCTCTGGCAGTGTTTTCCAACGACACCGACGAACCTATGCCAGTCACTGGTCCCAACTTCGCTAACGATGGTAATGATCGCAACGTCATTCTCTGGCTGGACCACAGACCCGTCGAGGAGGCAGCCAAGATCAATGCCACAGGACACAATCTCCTTCGTTATGTAGGAGGTAAAATGAGTATTGAAATGGAGATACCGAAGGTTCTTTGGCTTAAAAACCATATGCCGCCCGAGATGTTTGATCGTTGCAAGTTCTACGATTTGGCAGATGCGTTGACACATTTGGCCACTGGTAATGAGATCAGGAGCTTCTGCAGCACTGTGTGCAAGCAAGGCTATGTGCCTGTCGGGGTGGACGGTAGTGTAAAGGGGTGGCAAGAGGACTTCTACGAGACAATTGGATTGGGCGATCTGGCTAAAGACAACTTCAAGCGCATGGGTGGAGTTGATGGGGTGGTGAGCCTTTTCATATTCCTTGTTTCCACTACCGAGTAACACACTAACTTCGACAGAATGGAAAATATATGAGTGCTGGAGAACTCGTCGGAACGCTTAGCGAGAAGGCTGGTCACGAGCTTGGTCTCCCAGCTGGAATTGCTGTTGGCAGTGGCGTCATTGACGCATATGCTGGTTGGGTTGGAACAGTCGGGGCCAAAGTCAATCTTGGCTCTGACCAGCTTGATACCGACGTCCCTAAGAACGATATTTCACAAGCATTCAGTCGTCTTGCGGCTGTAGCTGGGACCTCAACTTGTCATCTGGCTATGTCTAAGGACCCCGTCTTCGTCGAAGGTGTCTGGGGACCCTACAGAGATGTCCTCCTACCTGGTTTCTGGATGGCCGAGGGAGGTCAATCAGCTACTGGTGAACTCCTTCGCCACGTTCTTGAAACTCACCCGGCATACAATGAGACCATGTCAATGGCCGAGTCCTTCAATACCAGCATCTATGACTACCTGAACTCTCACCTGGAAGAAATGCAAGAGAAGATATCTGCTCCATCAGTCTCCTACCTGGGCCGCCACTTCTTCTTCTATGGCGACCTCTGGGGCAATCGCTCTCCAATCGCAGACCCAAACATGACCGGCTCCGTCATCGGCCTCACCAACGACCGCAGCATGGACGGCCTCGCCCTCTACTACTACGCCACCATGGAATTCATCGCCATGCAGACCCGCCAGATCGTCGAGACCATGAACGAGTCCGGACACACCCTCACCAGCATCTTCATGTCTGGATCCCAATGCCAAAACAAGATCCTCATGGAGCTCATGGCTACAACCTGCAGTATGCCAGTCCTCATCCCACGATACGTCCACGCTGCTGTCGTTCACGGCGCGGCTATGCTTGGTGCAAAGGCAGCGAGCGCCGATAAGGAGGGCAATACCGAGGCGCTGTGGAGTATCATGGATCGTATGAGCAAGCCTGGAAAGGTCGTTAAGCCGGGCAAGAATGCGAATGAGAAGAAGCTGCTCGATGCTAAGTACAAGGTTTTCTTGGAGCAGTGCAAGACTCAGCAAGTTTACAGAGCGAGCGTTGATGAGGCTGTGGAGGGCTGGACTGCATAGTTCTTCGGAGCGACGTTTGAGGTGCACATGGGAATGTAAAAACTTAGACTACATAGAATTTTGGAATTCAGGTACTTCGCAATTGTACAGGACATTCATTTTTTTGAAGTCACCATGGAGTGAGGAAAAATTTAGTCCTTTTACCACCATCTCAGCACGCTTATCGTCAAATTTTGGCAGGGAAGCGTCTCTGTGAGTGATACAGTGTCATATCAGGTAACACTCAACAGTCACTGCGCAGCAATGAGAGCTGGACATCGTATCCCATCCTTCTATGAAGGAATCTTTATGCCCAAGTACCTGCCACATTGCACTTCGCAGCAATGCCTAAGAATCCGCCTCCAACCCTTTCCCTGAGCGAGAGGCGACACCGCACCACAACAGGTTCACCGTGGCCAAAGCTCCAATCACCCAACGTCAATGCCAACCCGTTGACTTGCTTGTAGCATTACGTTGCCATTTGTATCATGACCGCAGTCGCTATATTTACCCTTCCTGAGCCATACCGGAGTTCTTCTAAGCTGTTCAATTGCTTTGCGCAGTCGGGTCTTTCTCAGAGTCTTTGATACCAAGGCGAGCATCTGAATCAAAGCACCAGACGAAATACCCCTTGGGACTAAACAAGACGACAAAACGGTCATCCCCCTTCAAAATCCGTGGCGGAATAACTTCCTCGGAACGGTGCCGTGAATCAAAGTCATTCTCGACCTCATTACGTGCCGCGCGAGTAAAATCTTGGCTTACGACCCAGTGGAAAGCTGTCTTTCGCTGTTGAAACTGGGCAGATAACTCTGCCCGATGTACAACAGTCTGGCCCTCCTGTTCTTCTTTGTACCAGGATATTTCGCTGGCCTGTTTGTTGGGGCTAGGGACGTGGTGTACAGCGGTGACGAGGAGATCTGTCTCTCCTAAAAGCAAGCTTATCAGCACTGACTGATCAGAAACCCATGTAGAGTGTCTCCCTTTTCCCGGAGGACTCTCCGCTGCTATGTCTGAGCGGTAGACTGGGCTTAAGGTCATATTTCGCCAGATCAGGGATTCCGTCCTCGGTTCATTCCAGCCTGGATCTATGTTATGCCATGGCCGGTAGTAGTTGTGACACTGGAATTGCTTTGTTTCCATGTCAAATGAGAGAAGGGCGCTTTCACTTTCGAGCAAATTACCTTTAGATCCGGTCTGTTCGCGCTCGATTTCAACAAGTGTGTCATGGACAAACAAATTGTCTTCGTCCACGTGCAAATTGGCAGATAATTGACCATCTCGTTTGGGAACAAGCTCTTGAAACCCAGCGAATTCTGAAATCCCAATGGAAGTATCCTGTAAGGCGCTGATTTGAGGTTCTAGGCCATGTAGGTTGCAAATGACAGTACGCTGATATGCCGTATGCCTGGATTTGGGTTTGAAGTCTTCGTACTCGTAGAAATCAAATTGTGATACTTGAGTGCCCGAGTCCGGAAAGCGACTGGAACGTTTATAGGTATAGGAATAAATGAAAAAAATATCTAGTACAAATCCATGAAATATTAGCTGCAGGCATAAAAGACCAAGTTTGCCCCATCGGCGGCGCACACCACACTTGTTCTGCCATTCCTTATAATGAAGGAGATGATATCTTGGAAGTGGAAGGAATTTACCTCGCCTGTAAGGATGGAATACCACAATTGATCCTAGGAGGTTCATCCTATTCAGGTTCGTAGTCCATGGCAGGGTCACTATTGACAATGGATTTTTAGGTCTCCCGATTTCCCAGATGTATACCTCCCCATGACGAAGTACAATCCCTACACGGTTGTGACGAGCAGTAATCTTTGCAATAGCGTTCGGCAATTGTTGTATCTGTGGTTCATTTTGAGATGTAGAAAAAGGTAATTCCAGCTGCCATGCGTAGATCGTTCGCCTATGTGATTCGTGGAAGTTAGCAGAATCCCCTGACATGTTTCGTAAATCCGTCTTGGTTGGAGCAATAGTGCCAGTCTCTACCTCCGAAATTTAGGAAATCGAGGCCGACGTAATCAAGTATTGATAGCTGACGATGATGGTGGAATGAATCAAAACCTTACTGATTTCCCGACACTGCCACAATGCACTCGTCTGAGAGCAGCCATTGATTAAATAATTCTCGCTGCGGAAGTGCAAATCGATCTGTGAACTCGCCGCAGATGTTTTTCACTACCAGCATTTGGTCGAGACTCAAGTAAGATATCCTTCCATTACAGTACTGCGGCGAACCCCACTGCTCTGTTGCCGGCGTTTCCGTGTAGTAGTACACTGAAGTAGATGCATATTGACCGCGGACTCGTCGCAACCTTTGCTTAACGATATTATCAAGCCAGATCTTGAGATTCTTAGCAGCGATCAATTTCCTGTCATCATCCTCCAGCCCACTAAGTTCTTCTGTGTAGAGTTCGTGCTTTTCGGTGAAGTGCCGCTTAACGATCTCCGCAGAAGTTTGCACGCTCGAGAACTTTCTACTCCAGTTAAGCCGCACAAGTCGCAGGTTCATGGAATCCTCAAGGCTGATATAGTCTAGAATCTTGTGGTGTAATTCTGCAGGTATTTTCTCTGGCAATCCTTGTGTGCTCATGGCATTAAGCCGAAGTCGAATGTCGACGGTCTCTGAATGTGTCAATTGTGAGATAAGGGCACCTAGTCTAGAGCCCGGTCAGTCCCATCAGACAGACATAGTTGCATGATGAGATGGAACAGAAAGTCACAGGAGGATTGCATGTGCTATTGGAAATGGTGACAGAATTTGCTGTGCTGAGGTAGAAGACACCCATATATAGTAAACAGCACCCGGGGCTACAGCCTTTTGTATCCGCAACATGTAATTCTCGACGAGAGGAAATCAAGTGGCGCGTGACCAAAGAATCGAAGATGAAGGGCAGGTAAACAAAACAATACAATGTTTCGGGGTCCTACAATGACCCAAACGAGTGTTAAATTCAACAGCAACACAACACAAAAGGCACCTGACTGATATTGCCGTCCCTTCGATCGAGTGATCACTATCGGTACTTGCCGCTGGGCAATATACCTTCATGTAACAGACAGGAAAGTATGGTCTTCACAGCTTGCGTTGAGTCCTCGTATTTCCTTGTCAGTGAAGCTACAAAACCACCAGGAAAATCCAAACACATAAAGAGAACGGTTGGCCTACGCTAACTTCCGATTGCCTTCTTGTAAAGTCCCATCAGGATTCTTCAGAGAAGCGAGAGCATCGACGAGCACCTGTGCCGCCGCCATCATGGATAGAACTGTTTGTAGCACGCAAACGCAACTCGGGTCAACAATAGGCACGGACCTAACATCCAAACATCGGTCGTCTCTCGGAGATTTCTTCGTCTGTTCGTTCTTGGTCCGGGACGGCCGTTTAATCAGTCAACAGTCCAGAGACCTGGTAAATCGGGTAAGGTATTTATTGACCGTCATCGGCTGTGCGATGAAGCAAGCGGAGATGTGTCGACGCGCTTACATTCCATCATTTAGGGAAATATGTGAGAAGGTGGCTAGAACCTGGAAGGGTTTCGAGAACAAGCTTGGACGGTTTCAAGTGCGGTAGCTAGGGTACGGTACGAGTAGGTGACGAAAAGTCAGATCTGGCGAGTCTTCGAGACGAGATTGATGCAGGAGCAATGCACGCACTGCGGTTTGGGGTCCCGGTCCTTTTGCATATCTGTATGAGGAAGGAAGGAAGGAAGGAAGGAAGAAGATGTACGTTCTATTGGTTTGGTGTGAGTTTGAGTGGTTGTCAGTGACATACATACGCAGTACATTACATGCACGCAAGGAGGAAGAGGAAGAGGAAGATGGAAGTGGACGTGGACGTCGGGAGTCTTGAGAGGTGCAGCTGGGTGGAGGCGACGACGGCACAGCACAGTGTGGCGGCCAGGATTACAGTACAGTACAGTACAGTAAAATGCACCTTTGCAAGAAAACTTAGCGAGGCTGGCGGCGAGGCTGAGAAATCCTTCGCTTCGGCTTTGGTATCCTCAATCACTTCTACTACTACAGTAATCTAATTTCAAACTTGAATGGATATCTTCATCACAAAGTTAATCCCTTTAAACCCAGACGAGTTTAAGGTTGCAGTAAATCACATCATTCTTCAAGCTACAGTAGAGTAGAAGCTTATGCACTTCCCAAGTACAGTAGTACATACAGTAAGGCTGCCGGCCGGACCTTGCCCATCTCGTCTTTTGACTTTTCCTCAGTCATGGGAAGCTTGAGATGCTGCACGCGCCTTGAGATTATTATCGATTTCGGAGCTTTGTTCCAGATATTCTGGTCCAAAGACGTCATATCAGCCTTGATCGTATTGAAGGTTCAGCTCATGCATGCAGGGCCGAGTGGCGGCAAGGCTGGGTCTTCAATCAAGTGGACGTCCAAAGCATTTCGGAACATATTATCGCCACCTAAACACGAACAATATCATTAGTCGTACGATAGTTCTGTTTGGAAGAGTACTCGAGTAGGGTGCCTGTTTCTCCTATCACCTCAAAGAGCCTCTATCCAACAGCAGGTCTATCGAACGCGGCCAGCAGATTTCACCCCATGGCGGACCCTGCCTGCACACAAGGCTGCAGATCCCCCAACGCCTTGAACCTGTCCACTGGAATTCATTTATGGATGATACCCAGGTGGCACATCCATAGCAGCCGTCGTATATGATTGAGCTCGCCTCGCCTCTTGTCAGGCCTATCGGCACGGATCGCGCGTCTCGTTGGCTTTTCAGCAGCTGAAACTTTCCCCCACCATCTGCGCCATCCAATAGCTTCGAGAATGAAGGAAGGCCATGAACTCTGCTGCTGCTGAACGGCAAGCTGGCGCTGGAAATCGGCCCCTGTAATCCTACTCCACTTCCATTCTCGTCCCGGTCCTGGGGAGCAGACGACCAACCGAGCCGAGGGGTCCAAGGGGCTTGAGGCCAAGCCAGTCGATAGATTGGAGGAGGAAAGACAACAAGAGCCACTCGAGCTTTGCCTGCAGGTCGATTGCAGATATGTATTGCTCTCGATGCCTCGTGTAGAGCCATTTCAGGCGAACCAGGATTCGTGCTCCGAGCATCGCGGGCTGTTCCTGGAGATTTATTGCTTCCTCAGAGCCATAGATCATCAGCTTGTCATGCCATCCCCTATTTTGGGGACTCTGCAAATAATGAATCCTGCAGGACGTCTGGCAGAGGACGTGTGATTTGGTGTTTCACATGCAACCGGAACACTGTACTTTAGGGCGTTGTAGGGGTCAGATATCCCCTCCACACCTCCGAGGACAGCAACGCTCAGGCAGGGCTCGGTCCTCTCATATCCTCTTCTCGAAGTTTATCCGCATTACAGTATTTGTTCTTCTGCGTCTGCCAAAGAACACTTTGCAACGACCCGGAGTGGGGATCACAGCCATCTTGTGGCAGAAAGCAGTACTCTAGAAGAACACTGGACAACTGGATCGGAAACACTCTCTCCGTAAACTGACCTAGTCTCGTGGTGCCTGTAGGTTGCATACAGTACCTACCTCCTCCTTGAGAAAAGACAAAGAAGTGAGAGGCAGCGTAGTGAGGGTCCTGTTCCCTGCATACCCTTTGCGGTTCTGTTGTCGCTGTCCTCCACGAACATATCCTATGGGAGACTTGGGGCCAGGTTTTGATCCATTATCACCTGCAGGTCGGGCCACTGCATGGGCAGCAAGTAGTAAACAGTTGATCGAATGTACTTGAGGCGTTCGCCACGTACAAATCATCATATCATATCATACCTACCTATCTATCTTGTCGTACTCCGTCCAGTACCTATATCTCGACATCTGCCCCTTTTCAGCAAAGGGATCTTAGTCCGGGCCATACTTGAGTCCAAGCTCCCACTTTCGTTCCGGGTAGGTTGAGCCTGGAACGCACACTTAACCCACCGCGCCCACTTCCCTAGCCTAGTCCAACCCGATTCACAACCAGCTTCCATCATCTCTTACCTCACCCTCACCCTCGCCCTCCAGTCGCTCAACAACCTCGTTACTGACGACTACCTCCGTGCAAGAAAATCTAATGTTGAAGTCGCAATCGCAGTCCCAATCGCAATCGCAATCCCATTCGCAATCACCTCGCTTCAACGCATCCGTCGCATCGTGCGAGGCTGAGTGTCGCGGGCACCTGCATTGAAAGCTTCCACGCAGACAAAGAAAGCCTCCCTCTCATCATCATACCTAGAGCGCCATTAACCGTCCTCCGAACTGGATGCGATGAGGTGCGTTCTCTCCCCCGATTAAATCTTTGGGGCCTTTGCAATACTGCCAGCTATGCCATTTTGCGCTGAAGCTAACCATCCATTCTAGGTGACGACAAGTATGGCACAAGAGCGAGCGCAACGAAGTCCATTCATGAGCGAGACAGATCAACAAAGTAGAACTGTACCAATTCTCCAGCAACCCCCGACTCTAGTCACTTCTGCCCCATCTCTAATGGACATGGAGGTGACACCGACGAGTACCACAGCCATGAATCCCCCCCCAGCTCGAACAAGTCCAGATGATATGGAGACAAACGGAGGCTTACACGACCAAGGAATGGGAGATCAGCCGCAGAGTGGCAGTCTTGGGCCTCCCAATGCTGCAGCGGCTGCCCAGCAACCCAAAGTGGTTCAAACTGCATTCATTCACAAGCTTTATAAGTCCGTATGCCCTCGGAGCTGTATACAGTGGGCCCGTATTAATGATTTCATAGTATGTTGGAGGATCAATCGATCCAACATCTTATAAGCTGGTCCAACAGCGCCGAATCGTTCGTTATGTCACCATCTAACGACTTCTCAAAAGTTCTTTCGTAAGTTCTTATCATATAGTTCCAGAATGCTGGCTCATATCCTATTAGACAGTATTTCAAGCACACGAATATCTCGTCATTTGTCCGACAGCTAAACATGTATGGCTTTCACAAAGGTTCGTTGATAATTTTATTCTATGCGAACGACTGCTGATAAATTCACAGTCAGTGACGTATTTCATACGGGCAGTCCAGATAGCCCGCTCTGGGAATTCAAGCACGGTGGAAATAGCTTCAAACGTGGGGACCTCGTGGGACTACGAGAGATCAAGCGGCGAGCGTCGAGACATGCATTAGTCCACAGAGACTCGTACTCTGCTCCAAAACCTCAGCTTTCTCAACCAGGAACACCAGCAGAGCCGATACACGCTATGCAAGAATCTGCCGACACAAGACTGACGAACGTTGAACATACATTATACGAGATGCATGCGAGGCTGCAAAGAAGCGAGGATAATTCGCAATTCATGCACGTCAGAAATCAGGTGGTTATGGAAGCTTTATCGCGGTCACTCCAGGTATGTCCACCAGTGGATCCCAACATGCTACTACGCCACAAAGACTATCTTGGCCCTTCTAGAATGTGGCTAATTTCCCCAGATAAACCATGACATGTCAAGAGCGATACTCTCATTGACGCCGAATCCGGATTCTCCTCTTTATCGAGATGGTCAGCACAGTCAGATCCCTTTTCTCTCGCTTACTAATGTCAAATAGTCGTCAACATGCAGGGAGAGATACAACGACAGATTGAAGTCATTCGATCGTTGGATGAGCCACCAGAGCCTCCATTTTCGGGAAGTCGGCCCTACTTCTCCAACCTCTCACTTGACCCCCCTTCGCCTCGCCAGGTACCGCAAGACGATCCACGTCGAGCACCTATGATGGGCAGCGTACCTCCTCCACGCCAGAACTTCTACCGCCCACCAGTTCCATCCCATCTCTCCATTACTCCTCGCAGATATGGCTCAATTGGGGCAGCCACCACCTCTCAATCTTCACCAAGCTCCTTGCGATCCCAAGTTCCACCACCACCTCCACCTCCCCATCCTCTTGCAACGGTTGCATCTCCACCAACAAACCTTCCTCGCAGACACACTTCGGCAGACATTCGAAACGTACAAGGGTGGCAAGCCAATCAATCTCCCTTTGCCTCTGGTCAATCTTCCGCTCTGTGGCCGTCATCCCCTAAGAGGGGCCCTACACAGCTTTCAGAAGAGCAACATATCCGAGATAGTTTCAGCTCTTACTCGCTTACGACGGCCTCCTCCCAAGGCCGGACCGAGGGCTCTCGCCCCGCTACGCCACCTTATTCGAATGGTAACACCTCCGATCATCTGAATAGCTGGTCATGGGGAAGTGGACGAGACAAAGGCCCAACGAGTCTTTTCAGCAATAATTCCGGCCCGCCTACCAGGAGAGGTAGCATGGCCCATATTCTCAACCCGGCCGAGACAGCCGAGCGGGAAGAAGAGCACGAAGAGGAGCTGAGAGACGAAGACCGGAAGCGGAAACGAGTACAATAAATGACTTTTGAATTATCAAAAATGGTCCATTTCATGTCGGATTCAACGATTTACGCTTTTCTCTGTCCATCGACACCATCATGATCACTAGGGCATGGCATGACAGGACGGAGGCACTAATCATTTTCTTGTACATCGATCATAACAACATGGGGTTTACGAAGGCAGCATAGGTACACTTGTTCTTGCATAAGGGAGGAAAGGCTTCATCCATCTATCCACCCATAGACCAACTTCTCACTTCCTTGGACAGGACGGGGTAACTTGGCATGGTAATGAGATGAAACGAAGTGGGAGCGTCTGACTGCCGTCGTATTAATGGAAATGGCAACGGCAGCGACCACGCTGTGGTTCAAACATGTATTATGAGAGACTGGGGGCTGATAGGCCTCAACAACGATTAGGTTTCATGCATGCTTGGGGTTATAAGGGCATCGAGAGTATTGGAATATTCTATCGATCTATCTCTCTGGACCGGGTTGGACTGGTTCTGCACTGGGTCGGATTGGATTGGATAAAATGAGATGGGATGAAATAGGATTGGTTTGACGGGATAACGTATTCCAAAAAAAAATGATTGCATGCATTATGTATGATGAGGTTCATCCCCTGGCTCTAGCATCATGAAGAATGTCAATCTATCGTTCTGTCTGTGGCCTGCCGCCTCTGATCTTGGCTTGTTTTTTGACAGTCTGATCGGCAGGGACCTACAGCCTCCACAGCGAATATCGACGAAAACAGGGGGGCTAAACAGGGGGGTAGAGACAGCTCTGAGGTGAGAGTCGAAACTCTCGCCTTTAGATACTGCTTTGTTTTCCTGAGAGGTTTTCAGGGTCTACGGCGTTCCTATCACTCTTTATTAAAGAAACAGATACATCAGATAGTATATTTTCAATCGTTATAGATACACAAAGAGGAAATAGTCACGAATCAGTGCTAAGTTGCGAGCAAAAGGAATAATAAGAAACAGATCTGAAAATGTTCGATCTTGACTGTGGAGGCTGTATTGGCAATAGTGAGGTTTATGAGCGGCTGAGTAGCGTCAATCCACCAGTGGGTGCCGCCATATTACTCTATTATCGAAAAAGAAATATTGAGCGCTAAATCTCGTCATTATGGCATCAATTTCGCGTGTCTGTCCAGCGTTTCAAAAGCAAAAGAAAGCATACAAAAGAATATTTTCAACCCCTCTCCAACCCCGCCAATGCTTCATCAACCCCGCTCTTCAACTCCACAACAACGGCCCAAACCGCCTTCGCCCTCTCTTCCCTCGCCGCCACATCCCCAAACACAGCTCTTAGCCGATCCTCATGCCAGCGCACCTTTTCCATCTTCAGCTGACTCCTCAGGCCCATCAGATCCTTTATCTGGCTCTCTCGCGGCCCGGACGCATAGAATGCGAGTCTGTCAGGTGAGAGTGGTGACTTTAGTGGATGGGGTTCGAGGTATGGAGTCAGGTTGAAGGCGTGGCAGAAGAAGATGTGCGTTGCCCAGGCTGGGGAGGTGGAAGGTGTTGGAGTGGACGAGGATGAGGCGGTGCTTGAGAGGACAGGGTAGGGTACGGTGATAGGACGAGCGATAGCTGTGGAGCTGGAGGGTGCGTTTGGAGGCCGAGAGAGGATCGATTCCCAGCGTTTGTTGTACTCTTCGAGCTGAAGTTTAGCCTTCCTTTTCACAGCTTTCTCCTCATGTATGCCATGGTTCTCTTCGAAGCTGACTGGTGAGTCGTGCTGATCGGTATGGAAGTTGTGATGCCAATGGCATTGGGATTCATTACCTTCGAAACGTCGGAACTGTTCATCTTCCTCCTCCAAAGAGAGGTGATCCATATCCAGTCCTACATCTATGCCATCGAGATGTCCCATCTCGTTCCGGATCGCCTCAAGACGCTCTAACAATAACCGTCTATAAGTCTTCAAACGATCGAGCTCGTCCATGACCATGATATTGAAGTCAAACTTGGCATCCCAATACTGCATTCTTGTGGCCTCCAGGAAGCGTATCAACGGGCCTTGGAGCTCCTCAAGCACCGAGAGCTCACGCATAATCTGTCCATGTTCTGCATTAAGATCATTGAGATGCTGCTTGTTCACTCCAACTCGAGCCAATAAGTCAGGGAAGGTAGTGGTAGTTCGCTTCCATCCTACAGCAAAGTAATGACAATCGCTCCGGGCCGTAGGAAAGTCGTTACCCGATGTGAAGTTCGATCCTGACCAAGGAGAGTATCTCAACGACATCTCAACGAGTGAAGTAAGCAAAGACATCATTCGTGTGTTGTTGAAAGACATAGATTCGTTCTGTTCCAGATTCGTCAATTGCGTCGTGGCGGGGAAAAGGGTCCGAGCTGGTGCTGTCCGTGTTCGAAACTCAAAATTGAGTCCCTCGTCATGGAAGTTGGGCAAGAAATTTGATATCCCGACGAACTTCTTTTCGACTTCATGCTAGGGGACCAGCAGCGGATGGGCGGCAGCTCGGATTCTGGCATCAAATGTCTCTGTGAGAAAAGGAGGTGCATTAAAGGAGTACTCGATCTGTCGGGCACAGTCGATGTCTGCTTCGTTAATCTTGGACTCCTGTGCCTGGCCCCTGCTTTGTTGCTGCTGATGATATTCACATTTGAAATCATATAATCCTTCGTCTGGGGATAGATCTTGTCTTGTCGAAGTCTGATTTGGCTTTGTTGACTCAGGGCTGACGTCTCGCTTCGAGCCCCTATTTGGCTCAAAGACCCCTGTCGATGCCCCTGACCAACGTGGAGACGATGTCAATCCACCGTAATGTGATGTATCGACTTCAGCATTTTGTAGCAATATGTCAAATTCTTCCGCTGTGGTACCATTCACACTACACATCTCCACTGCCTTCTCTTTGCCCTTGCCCTTCTCTCTGACCTTGCTGTTATTTGTGCTCGCCAGCGGATCCCTCCTTCGCCCCTCATCGTTTTCGCGATTCGTTTTACCACCCCACATGGCTTCTACCTCTACCATAGCTCCTGCCTTCCTATTCTCCCTCTTCACAAATGGAAGTCGGTTTCCGCCACTAGGATACGGGTAGCTACTCCCTTGCTTCAACTTCTTCCCATCAGTGTTGTATCTTGGTCTTGGACTCGGGAACCAACGACGACCTTCTTTGGTGCGGTTCTGGTGGCGTTGCTTGTGTGCAGTAGAATTGTACGTGTTGGGAACTTCGGTTACGGGTGAATATGAAGTAGTAGAGGTTGATGAGGAAGAAGCGAAGAAATGCTGTTCTGGTAGCTGCTTAACAGCGGCTGACGACGACGACGACGACACGGTCCTTGGCGTTAGTCTCTGGGTGGTATTTGAGGACGACATGTTAAATTTTCTTATAATTTAGGCCACCTTTCAAGTATTCGTAGCCGCGGGTCTGGTATAAAGTTACGAAGGAGGGAGGAACGATGAACGCGAGGGGTTTCTTGCCAACCTTGAAAATCCGCTCATCATGCCAACGCAGCTGCAAAGCAGGCGTCCAGATTTGTGTTTCACACAACAGCCTCTCTTTTGCCTAAAGTAAACAAACACGTCAGTTGATGCCTTTAGCTACTATCAATCCGCATAGAGAGCGGCAACCTGCATGATCAAAGGACCGAGAGAGCTGCTTGCTAAGCCTCGTGCTCTCGTTGTCAATACGAGACTCTTGGCGCTCTCGGTGAGGACGGTGGATGAGTGGGGTTTCGTGTGACAGCATGGGGAAAAAAATCTAGTCGGATGGAACACGGGAGCGGGAGTGTGTCGTGAGATGGAATACACGCAGCGGGTAGACAAACATGTGGTGCACTGGACGAGAACTGGGCACAAAGTTGAATAAATCAGGCATGCCGGCGAGCCGTTTTAGTCATGGAGACACGAAAAGTGTTGCGAAGTCCTGTTTCCAATGCTATTTGCAGCGCAACGAGGTCATCACGTTTTGAGATGTGAAGATTCCTGCTACCGTTCTGTACCACGATTGCTGGATTGTATCAAATATCCAGACCGTTTTAGCTCATCCAATGGGCAGCTTTCAGTACCACTTCCAACAGTTGATTAGGAATACTCAAGAACGGACAATGGCCCGCCTTCACACTCCAAGTCATAGGCTCAGCACCCAGCTGTCCTGCCATCTGCTGCTGTATCGATAATGGCAATGCATTATCTTCGGTGCAAAATATATATGCACAGGATATACCCTTACTCCATGGTTCAAACGTGGATGGGGTTGCGAAGACACTTGTTGAAGAGTGTGACATATGCTCCATAGCGATGGCTGCTTGGTGGGCGGACATGTCTTTGAAAGCTATATTTTGCATCATAGACGCTATGGCTGTAGTTTTGTCTCCCTAAATTGGGTCGTTATTTGAGTGATTCTCACATGTAGTACCAGATTACTCCAAAACTGCCTAAGATCTGCTTACCTGCACATTCATCCACGGCAAAGGCTTTCCCCCAAGCATATCCAGCAGACTGTTCCCTCTCGGAATCATGAAAGCACTCATATAAACCACTAACTTTACACCCCCCCTCTTTCCATTCTGCTCTCGCTCGGCAGTACTAAATCCTTCAACCGCACAGCTCCCTACAACGCCACCGTATGAATGACATATCAACAAAATCTCCTTGTCATCTTCAAGTCATTTGCCAAGCACTGCCCGGGTAGCTGCTACATCGTCGGTGAGTCCTGGGAGAGGAGACCTCGTCCCACCAACAGATGGATAAGAGACAACTTCTGTAGCGTAGCCGGCCTTCTGTAGTTGAGCCGCAAAGCTTGAGAAGCCAGTAGCGAGTTGCCATGCACCAGGTGCAATGATGATGGTACACACGGGTAAGGACATGATCCGGATTTATGTTGGTTGGGCTTGGCAAGCCTCGGCTAATAAAGGGGGGGGGTAAATGAATGTGAAAGGTTGCCTTCTGCTTAATATGCTGCAGAACTCTTGAGGAATATGTTGAGAATGCGTCTCGTCGTCTGATGAAGATTTTACGTACCCCACAATTGAAGCCCTTGACAGAGGAGATGAAACTATCTTAAGGTTTAAGATGTGGGTTCGAGGTGGATCACAGTGGGTGTTGACTGGAAGCGACGTTTCGGCAGCTGTATCGGGTCATGGATAGAGTCTTCGATATGGCACCGTATCGAGAGCATATGTAAAAGACAGTTGAAACGAGAGTTCCTACTATCACGGTCCTCGAGAAGCTTATCACTTTCGAAAGATCGACGTACCGGGGTCAACCCCGCGAAACCGATTCAAGCGAAACCTTCTTGTTGGTGAGCGGGTATAGTAGAAGGCATTTCCCCGAGTTCTTTCTTGCGAGCGGTGTAAGTGATCGCCAGCCTCGCTGTATTCTGTATACGCTGGGCTTGAATCGCGTGAAATTAAAGTCAGCAGCCATGTCAATCTGATTATGTTGGAAGGCTCCGGCATTGTTTTGAAGAAAGCTTCTGTGGTCACCAACGCATCATTGGTGGCAAAAGGGGAAAGGCACTTACCCAACGCTTGGGCAATCAGCGAGCCGTTCAGAGATGGCTCACAGTTTGCGGTGCCATGAAAGATCTTCATGCTCTCACACATGTGTGGCCGGGACCTTATATTCTTGAGTACTACCATTTTTCCGTTTCTGCTGACTCTTATTCACCGGGACGTTCCACACACGTTCCAGTCGTTCGTGAAGCCTAGCAAAGACCAGCGTTGTTTCAAAATCTCGGCTCAAGGGCTTTTTTGACGGAGGGCCTATCAAGAAAGACATTGAAATAAGAATTAGGTTTACGTTGAGCAGTAGGCGTCCCATCAGCGTTGGGCAACGGCCGTGCCCTACAAAAATCCTGTTCGAAGATAGAGCGTCCTTCCCAACTCAATAGAATGTTCCAAAACCCACGTGCTTAGTACTTATAATTCGAATTACCCAGCGTATTGTAAAAATTGCAGCGCATGAAGATCAAACTGGGTTTTCGTCTTTGCGATTTTGGAAGTCGTCGTTCAGCTCGACGATATGAGCACAGCAATCGATCCGGGCTTTCCTGCCTTCTTAAAGGCATCGATGGAGCTAGCCGCTTCACAGAACCTGAAGGAGAGCGTGGCAAGGGAAATACTGATTACGAGTCTAGTATTTCTCAGCCTTGCAGTGGTTTTCGTAGCCTTGAGGTTTTGGTCGAGGTTCGCACGAGATGCTACTTTAGCCGTGGACGATTGGTTAGTGCTGATCGCCCTGGTTTTACTTGGAGTGGAGTTCGGTGGTCTCGTTCTTAGTATGTTGGTCCGAACCAAGCTGTGACGATGGAGACTCATACTGGTAGTGATCAATCACGGACTCGGTCGACACCGGGGTGCCTTGGAACAATCAGATGCCGAGCTGCAATCGAAAGTAAGCAGGTTCAAAGACAGTTCATTCTGATCTATAGAAGCTGATATGGCAGCAGTTTTTCCTTCTTGTTGAAGTTGCGTATGTTATCGACATCACCGTTACGAAACTGTCGATCCTTTCGATGTACTACCGAGTATTCCCAGTCAGAAGCATGAAGATTGGCGGTTGCATAATTGGCGGCATTACAAGTCTTTGGACCATAACGATTTTATTCGTTACTGGTTTCCAGTGCATGCCCCTGGAGAAGTTCTGGAGGCCATGGGTTGCTGGCCGATGCTTTGATACTAAGATCATAACCTTTGGGCTTTCGATCCCTAACATCATTACGGATATCGCGATTCTGACCTTGCCGTTACCACAAATTGTAAGCATCGAGTTCAGGTACTAGGATACATGTTCATGGGGTACTGACTTTCAAAGTGGCGTATGAACGCCGATATTCGCCAGAAATCCTTGCTTTCTGCAGTCTTCCTCCTAGGAAGCCTTGCAACCGCAACGAGTGTCTATCGCCTAGTTGTATCTTTCATGGGACTTGACATACGTGATATTCCATGTATGTTGCTCCAGAATCCACCTTTGGTTTGATCTAATCTCAAAAACTCAGATACTATATCATCGCCTTGCATCTGGAGTATGATAGATCTGAGTAGTGGCATTATGTCGGCTTGCTTACCCACCATGGTTAGTTACACCTTCGGCATCAATGTACAGACAGGATCAGGAGTCGCAAGCTGATATGTCCACCAGTACCCGCTATTGAGACAGATCATAGCGAACATCAGAAAATCGAGACCTACCGGGCTGAAGAAGAAGACGTGTTTTAGTCTTCGGACAATCGATGAAAGCAAGAGATGCTCACCGTTGTCTCGTTCTCTGGAGGCAGTGGACTCACACGAGCTTGATGGACAGAGCAAATTTCAGATACCGGCTGTTAGATCGAAGAGAATGGAATCAGAGGATATCGAAGTGCAGAAGCTTCGAGTAATGCGGCTTGTAAAATAATGGAAGAATGGACACAACCCCTTGGAATCAAGCATCCTGTCAGCGCGGACATAGTGGACATCCAGGAAAGAATATGACCCCATGCTCATACTGTATGCATTTTCTGTTCATTCGTAAGTGGATTGAGTTAGCTTATGCTGCCATGACATTGCCGCTCGCTGGAAGGGTCTGAGATGCCACGGTTCATTGACACCCACCGGAAATCCTTCGCGGGTGTGTGCCCCATGAATGATTCATTCAAGTTCAAAATGCACAAGCCTTGGCCTTCTCTTCTCTCACCTTCTTCATTTGGTCCTTGCGTCTTCGCATTAAATGAAGCTCACTCTTCACTAAGAATGTGGAGTTAGTCAATTTATGTGCAATTTAGCTACTTCTTCGCACGAGGATGCTGAGCTGAAGAGCATGGTCCCGTGAAAATTTCTTGGATGATACTGTCTTTGTAGGAGTGGATAAATTGACCTGACTGGCCTTCGTAAGTGTCAAAATCTGGCACCTAAGAGGCTCGTCATGTCGGCCTGCGAGACAAGCAGTGTCGGACTTACTTATCCAACCTGCTGCTTTGGCCAATTTGGCTCAATTGTCTTTCATTGTTAAAGCATCGAGGCGTTGGTCCCGTACATGGCAGAATTTGCCGAATTCTTTCCAAAGAACGTGAGGATGTGCGAACAGGCATCCATATTGTTTCTTGCATCTACAATTTGTCAATTCGTGCATAATTTGCGCACTGCTCACCGATGTGTGATAACGAGACTCTCCTCCCCGGGCGGGTATTGCTGAGATAGCATCATCCTAGTGCTCACTTGCCATTCGTTAAAAAATATTCATTGGCCTGGATCCTGTGGCCTTTTTGGAGCTGTAACTGGAATAGAATGGTTGTGATACAGTGTTGGATAGGGAATGTTTGATTATGTACTTGAATCAGTCTCTTGAATAAAACAAGTTCTCCGGAGTTCCTTCTATCCAGACAAAGTCTGTCGCATCCTTCCTATATCGTCCATTTCCGATGCATATGCAGTACTGTTTTTGTTGATTTTGGGTGAACTAAGATTTGGTGCGTTGTATGTAAAATTGATGAGTGGTGGGCGTGGACGCAACAGGAAGATCTGGTGATGCACTCCTGGGCGTAATATCACGGCCCGCTGTCTGAACCAAAAACCTGGCTTGGGCTGCTGGAAAATACACAAGCTTTCATTGAGTAAGGCTTTCGACACTCTTTCGGATTGATGGTCGTCCCCTCGAGCCGAGCTTGTCGAAGCGTATTTTGCCAGTAATCTTTGCTTGTCTTGTGGACAAGAATATGTGAGGCGGCTGCGAAGCAGCTCCGAATCCTCATGATTAAGAGTTCCACCGACAGCTACAAGACAGTCGCTCACTTCATTTTTTGTCTGGTCAAGACTTGCAATTATTCCTAAGCTGGTTTCTTGCATCCTTGCAAAGACTTTTGGGCTAGCATTTCCCAAAAATAGCACGCATCAGCTAAGGCATGTCTCTTACATTTGAGGTTCTCTCGGCGCTTACAAAGTGGAAAGTTCGAGGAAATTACACGCATAGTTCGGTCTAAGAAACCCTTAGCGGAAGAGTATCTCGGTGAAGGTATACGTCACTGTGTTGCAAGTGTCACAACATCGCTTCCGTGAATCGATGTCGCATCAGCCTCATTCACGCCCGAGATGGAGGATGACAGGAGGCGCAGTGTGGTTTACTGCGTAGTAAATCACCTGCAGAGTGGTGTCCGCAGATATGCTACTAATTGCGAGGATGTTCGAATGTTGTCGCAGTGTTGGGTATCATCGGGCTGCTAAAACAGCAAGCCTAGTGGCCCAATCGAAGTCTCTCCGCAAGGCTGAGAGGCGTACGATGACTGCCTATGCATTGCCTTACGAATTCGGAAGGAGAGGGATGAAACCTACGATAATGCAACGTGGGCTATCTACCCTACAGCCACGATGGTGAACCAGCAGGGAGTTAAAGCAGAGAGTACGTGAAAGAAAGAACCTGGTCATATCAGAGAGGGAGAGTTGAGCGATTTTGCTTGTAGATTATGGAGAAGAGGAACTCCTGTATATACAGAAAAAGGTGCACCATGTCAATGAACCCATGGAGAGATGTACATAAGAATAGGAGAGCTAGGTCCAGCGTTGTTGAGATGGAGGTTCGGCGATAATATTGAGCTTCAAGATCCTAACTCGAAGAAGCTAGAACCCCCATGTAAGCGAAGTCGAAATCTTGCTTCCCAACCTCCGCCTTCTTCTGCAGCGATTCAACTCGTGAGCCTTGAAACCTATCACAAGACATCCTACAGAAGTCTGTGGGGGTCATCAAAGCCTCAATATACAACAAAAATGTGCTCTCAGCCCCAACTGCCGGATCGCCTGTCTTGGAATACGAGCGAGTTCTTGGCATGGTAGCCGTATTTATGTTTAGGACATCCTCCCTTTCCACACAAATTCGTTATCATTCGTCATTCTTGGGCAATATGATTTCTTTTGCAGTCCTGTCGGGTGCTCTTTCAATCACAAATGGAACTCTTTCTTTAGGTCGATTTGCCTTGAAGTTTAAAGACGTCGATTCCGACACGAGGACATGTGTTCTCCTTCTCAAACGTGTCAACAAAGACATCGCTGCCGCCGAAGAACTCTGCAAGCTTCTTGATTCCAAGAAGATCTGGCGAAGCACACAATTCAAGCGAGTAGTAGATATTATCAGCGATACGAGACAAGCCTCATTAGAGCTTCCAAAGCTCATACAAGTTTCCAAAATGAAGCCGCTGACGGTCAAAAATCGCATCCGCTGGGTTATGATGGATAAAGAATCATTTTTGAACCGAGAAAGGAGGCTAAACTATTGTCATCAATCTTGTATGTATAGGTTTCATGATGTTCTGAAACTGTTGTGCACCCTTTGCTGACTCTGGCGAAGTACTTCAAATCATCGGTACAATGGAGCACGCGCTGTTCACCTGGAATCCACCATCGTCCACAGACATTACCTCAGCAAAGAACCACAGTCGATGGCAAGAACCAAGTCAGAAAATCTTTCATCAGGGTGAGTAGGCTCTTGAAATGATTCTCCGTTACGCCCGCTAAAATCTGTAGCCCAAGCACTAGTGGTCCAAACTCGAAGCGCCAAGACTTACAAGTCTTCCAAACCAGACGCTCTTCCCGCACATCTCTCCTGGCGAATGTTGCCTCTTCTTCCGATGGATTATTACTCAACAGCCCCCGAAAATGAACGATGTCTTGGAGATAGGCGGCAGACTCACCCTTTTAACACCTTTGACTGTGGAGGCTCTTGTCCTGCTGGGACTGCCAGGCTTGGATGGCTTCCAGCTGGTTTTGACTCTTGCTGCTCAGGGCTTGAATGTTGTTGCTCTGGGCCTTGAGGTTTGGGACTTTGCAGCTCCGCAAATTTCCTGACTTCTTTCAATATTTCCGAGACCGCAACTGTGCCGTCGTAGTCACCACGCCGAGTTCGCCTAGGACCATGCTTGTCTTCAGGATCTTTCGTATCCATTTGAATAAGGGCAGGAAACAAAACAATCACAACGATTTTACCCTCTTTATCAAATACCTGATGGTCCGGCTGGGTTTTCCCCTCCTTGCTGCGTCGGTCTCGAGATCTGAGGTCTCGTCTGGATGCGTTCCAATCAAACTTCCAACGGGATGGGGACGCAAAGATCATCTCTCCAACAATTCCAGCTTTTTCTACGACGCTTCGCAGACTCTCCAGTCTCTCTGCGTTATCTTTCGCTGGGTCGGAGAAAAACATAATGATTTCATCAATAGCTTTTGCCAGTCGATCGATTCGAGCACTTTGATAGCTTGTTGGCCGCTTCTGTATTTTCGGGAGAAGGTGTGCAGTTACTGCGCGCCATTGTGTGAACGCCGTTTCTTCGTCTACGTTTTCTGTCAGGATGACGGCTAAAAGACAAAACTTGGAAACATACCATCTGTCAATTTGACTTGTGGATCTCCGAAGCCAAAGTCATTGATACACTTCCGAATAGTCAGCGCTTATTACTGCTGAATTAGAACCCAGAAGACAGGTTTTGAGATCCGAAGACATGTCTATTAGACCACAGATAACAAGTTCTATACATACTCCAACGGCTCCTGGTGAGAGCAGGGTGTGAGATTTGTGGCCGAAGAAGCTGATATTCTTCAATACCATATGAGAGAGGAAGAAATTCAAAGCAGAGCGCCGAGTCCGAACGTCACAGAGCAGGTGTGATATTTCGATGCTCGACAATAACGGCAGCCTTTCTCTTTCTTTCAACAGAGCTTTCTCGATGTCTTCAGGTGAGCGCTGGATCTGCCGCTCGTGATAATAATCCCTAACATGGTCGCTGATTGCTAGTTGCAGCGCCCCAGCTTCTCGACTTATCTTCTCATCATCAGGAGCATCGCTTGTGTAGTCCTCAAACGTGAATATCACACTCTTTGTCTTATCCGATCGCTGCAAATGCTTTGGCGTTGATGTTGTATTTCCCATACTGGAAGCTCCAGCGAGTTTGTCTCAATTCCTTCGGGCGCCCCGTGTCTTACATCCCACTCCTCCAGCCTCAGTTCCTTAGTTCATGCACTGCGATGATCGTAGGGCACTCTGTGTCTCTCGCAAGAAGTTCAAAAGAGGTTGGCGGTTCCTCAGTCTCGTCTGCACCTGGCGCCGTGCTTATGCGGTGGCTGCCGGTGGCTGCCGGTGGCTTGCATCAAGGGAGCAGGTGACTAGGTCGACGCTACGATGTCGTGATACATCGCCAGCAAGTCACTTCCTACAGTGCTAGTTGCCTTTTTGCAACCTAAATGCGGCCGGTGTATCAAAAAGGTCGCGTTTTGTCTCTCCCTTTCTCTGCCCGTAAACTGAACTACGATCTGCGAAGATCCTCGCATGAATGTTTTGGCGCTTGGAATCAACCCGACATTCTAGAACACTAGGGACGAACTAGTCCACGGCAGTTGATGGCACTGTAACTTGAGTTTACAGGCACCCAAGCATGAGATAGATGCCTGACGTATGCATTGTGATAGATAGTATGCTCCAGCTAGTACGTGAACATCGAAGAATGCTCCCTGTGCAGATCCGAAATGAAGTGCAGCAAGACAGAACTATTGATGAAGATGCAGGTTTGAGACAAGGAGTAGTCGATTACTCACATCAACAGGACAGGACTATCATGCAGACATCGGGAGGAATTGTGGGCAGGGCTGGGATTACAAATTTTGGGCACATTTGGCCAGGCAGAAGATAAAGAGGGCTTATGCTAATTTATACGACCGTTGCTCATATCAGCAAGCAGACTATGGCACACTTAAATTGTCCATCGCGATGTGGCATCTTGATAGTAATCTCGATAATAAAAGTATCCTTCTCGAAGCGGGTGGCTGAGCCGGGGAAATCTCTGTCCAAACGGTGCCAAGAATTGCACGCGTAAGTACTATTGAGAGGTCGAAATAGAGTTAACACAAAGATTTTGTCCTTGATGGAAATTCCATTTGATTTGATCCAGCGTATCCTGGAGACAGCATGGGGACTCTGGCGGTTGCCACGAGAGGAGCTCCCACACGGCTCACACTCACTCGTCGATATGTCAGCATGCTTCAGTCCTTTAGTCGACGGATGCGGCGATACGCAGTCGCTTGTCGATGTGACGCCTCAAACCGGTTTTAGCCAGGATACATCGAGATAGTGCTGGGACTGCTGTCACATCGAAGTAGAGTTTCGCAAGCTCAAGTACAGTAGTGTTTGAGGTTCCAGGGAGAACAATAAGCATCGCACTCGAAACCGCGTATCCCAGTCGAGGAAATTCCACCCGCCATACTGGCCCTGCTAGGCCGGCAATCCCAGCGGGCCCTCTGGTAAGTTACGCGTACCTTGTCCGCCAAGCAGACTAGCAACTTTTGACTTTATCCCAGGCCTTCGTCTACGCTTTGCATTTTAATGATATTATTCTGCACGTATCCTCGCTCGACTTTGACGCAGCAGCCTTTTTGCATGCAGACTGCTGCTTTTTTTCACCGCAAAGCACAAGAAAGAAAAGAAGGAAAGAAAGTAGAGCGCAGGCATCGCATCGCATCGCGGTGCAGAGCAGAGCATCATGGACGGCACACTTTCAGCTCACTGGTCGGAGCAGTCGGCCAATTCTCAGACCCAGTCGGAATCTCCAGAACGAGAGGATCAACACGATGGAGCCTCGCCCTCCGTGGGACCCGAAGTCGCGAAACTGTCATGTGACAATTGTCGAAAACGAAAAGTCCGTACAGGGGATTCTTTTGACAGGCTAGAGCTTATATTGACAATTACAGGTAAAATGTAATCGTCGATTACCGGTGTGTTCTCTGTGCGAGAAGCTGAGGCATCATTGCGTGTACTCAAATGCACGCAAGCGGCCGCAACGGAGGACGTAGGTTCCTTCCCGTGCCTGAGCAGTTACAGAAGCTCACATGTCATTTAGGAGGTATTCTGAGCTTGAAGAAAGGTTGCAGCACATGGAGAAAGTGTTAGTGGAGGGCAAACCGGGAAAAGAGGGCATCGACGCGCGATCCCGTTCTCTACCAAGCAGTCTGCACCATGGCTCAAGATCGCCCGAGGGAGAGAGTCGTCCATATCCAGGAGACTTGATCATTTCTCGGCCTCGAGTTGTTGATCCCAGATTCTCGTGGAATATACCCGAGAAGGGCTTGATCGAACCACTCGACATTGGTTTTCAAGCTCCAAGTCCAGGCCCCGATGCCGATGAAGATCCCGCAAGCTATATTTGTGGTCAGTCCACCCCTGTTTCTGTCCAACTTCTTTACTGAAATAATAGGTTCGTTACCGATCTTCTCAGCTCGGGGCGTTCAGTGGATAGACCAATTGTTAGGGGACTGTAGCTTCAGCACGATGGTCAAGGGAATACGACGACCTGAAGGCGGCGTGAGTCAAAATCTGGGCTTACTGACCCCACCAGCAAATCTATTACCCAGCCACAAGCTTGCAGATTCATGTGTACGAGGTATGTTGCCGCTGGAATTCGGTCTGTTTCGCTCTAAGAATGCATGTAGGATTCTTCGCAACATTGAATAGTGAATCACCCTTATTTCAAGAAGAGATGATAGCTTCGTATTTAAACTGTCACCATGGCGGTAACCAGATCTTAAAGGTCGGATACATCGCAGCCATCAACATCATCGTGTACGATTTTTCGTTCCTATCTGGGCAGCACAATCTAACATCCTCATAGTGCATTTCAAAGGTTCCGGTGCTACCCAATCAGGTACAAAGCCGACCCTGATATCCACCTCGGGAACGCTCTAGCACTTCTGCCTCGCTTGATCATCGAAGGTCCCAGCATATTAAATGTTGGTGCAGTGATGTGTATAGTGAGGAAAATGCTCCAAGACTTCTAGGCTTCAACTGACCTCGAACAAGGCTTTATACTTCATCTTCGCGTCTGAGTGTGAAAGAGCAGCAAGCATTCTTGGCATCGCCGTACAGATGATGATTACTGCTGGCTACAATGTAGCAAAGAGTGGATCTGATCCCGAGCATCTTTTCCAACAACGACTTTTCTGGCAAGCATACATCATGTCGAGCGATGCATCCGTATATCTCGGCAAGGCCCCAGGTGTGTGGGATTCCATAGTATCCAACCTGCCAGAGAGAAATCCAGCAGATGGGCGTGCGAACTTGGCTTTTCAAGATGGTTCGACTTTGAATGTCCTCTACCAGCGCGTCACTTTAGCAAAAATCCAGGGTAAAGTGTGGTCGATGCTATATTCACCAAGCGCAATGGATATGCCTCATCACCAAATCTACGATCACGCCATTGAATTGGACCATGAGTTGGAAATATGGAGGTTGAGTATGCCGAGTATCTCGAGCGAGGTATTGTATGATGGCAATGAAAGCCGGTCGATCTACCTCACTCTGCTACATCTGAGATATTACCAGCTTGTCATAAATATCCATTCTGTGTTGTTCATCCGAGCGTCGAGTCCAGATCCTCGGGTCAGGAAGATGAGGGCTACGCCAAGCGTCGCCAAGTGCGTTCAGGCAGCGCGAGATGCTGTATCGTTGTTGGGCCACTTCAACAAAGACCATCCATTCATGGGGTGAGTATCCCCATCGTGGTATTCTGCATACTGGGTGACTGACATTGTGTTATTAGCCTTCTGGCGCCACACTTAGCTTGGTGCTGCGATGTTCTTTGTGTTCATGTGCTACAGAACAAGCAGACAGCAGGTGTCTATCAAGACATCGCCCGATTGGAGAAAGTTGCCAAAACATTCGAGAAGTTCACGGCTGAATACGGCAACAAAGTTCAGTCACAAGTCGCAAATATGCTATATTTTGTAGCAGCCTACGGCGTGCGAAGTTCCAAGACAGTCATACAACAGCCAGCTGAAGATTGGTATGATAATACCTACGCCCCGGCTCCTGTCTCGGAAGCTCCTCAGTACACTACTCCACCTGTAGCCACTGGCTTGTTTGCGCATCAGGCTGGTGATTTCCCGATCAATTATGACGGGTCCCAGGGTACTCCTCAATATATGAATGACGGAGGAGAATTCATGGAGCCTGCTCCTTGGAACGGGATAGGCTTCGACACCGAATCTCAAGCAGGCATGTCGTTCTTTATTCATTCATGAGATCTGGGTATTGCTTTTTAGAGCATTGATTTAGCATGGAGTTCGCGCTTTAAACGGGTTGGCGCTTTGGACGGTCAAGATGTGCAAAAGGCGTTGGCTGTATAATCATCTCATTCCTAAGTCTGCATTCGCCAGATTTACGTACAACAGCTTTGGGACGGAAAATTGGGCGGAAATCTCCAGGGTGGGATTGCTGAGTGTCGAGTACTTGTTGTCTCTCCTCCGGTGATTGGCTCCAAGGTCTTACCTGAGCTCGAAACACCAACTTTCATCTAGTAGATCATAATAGACCATTGGTCGGATGGAAAAACGTGTTTGATCCAAATCGTCGCCACACTTTGAGTTCAAGCATGGGCGTTTCAGCGAATTATAGAAGAATCTAGACCGCGTGCTCATGACTTTATCCTAGAGCTTAATCTCTATCCAGATTCTGCCTGATTCGTTATGTCTTGCTCCCCCCCAAAGCACACTTGTGGCTCAGGTCGGGCCATGTAGATCGATCTCAAGTCGTCTCTGTACAGTACTTGGCACATTGTCAACCTAAAATAAAGTCGAGAAGAGATGGTTCACCGGATTGGTAGCCTCCGAAAGGCTAATTGGCCATGCAGTCAGTGTTTGTGGACGAAGGGCCTTAAGCGAGCCTCTCCCAAATCCAAACTCGGGTCGAATTGCCACCCCTTGGTAATTTACCTCGGCTAGCTGGATTGGGACAAAAGATGCGGGCATTGACACAGTAATATTGTATTGATCCACTGCAAGTCGATGGGAATGGTAAATTTACTGGGGTTCGGGTTCTGACGGCCGTGTTGGGAAGTAAGGTAAGTTGCCTACTAGTTGGGAACGCTGGGCCAAAGTCATTGTTGGTTTTTATGATACCCATTCAACCCTGTCAAACTTTGTTAGCTTGGAGGGAGGCAGGAATCGAACCACATTGTTAAATGATTTGGTTTATCAATCCTCGGATCTGATAATCCTATCCGAGTCGTCAATTTCCTTTGTAACACTTGATCTTCTCGCAACGCCAAATCTGGCAAGAAGCGTCCAGTCTCGTCATCCCTTACTCTCCATGCCCAAACCCCCATGGAGCAATAAATGTCCGATCACCATTACGGATCTTGAACTTGTTCGTGAATGAAACCTGATTCCAGTCCCTACCACACTTCTTTCGTGGCGATTCCCATTGTTTGAAGCAGTACCAGTCCGTTGTGTACTTCAACGAAATTCTTCTCTGCGGCCGCATTTCCCCGGATTTTTCTTTCAAGTCAGGAGTTGACTTAGCACTCGAATCGCCGGTTATTGAGAGTCTCTGAACCGCTTCAGCAGCCTCCGCTGCTTCAGATGATTGCACATCGACATCAGTATCAAACGATGCTTTCTCGAACAGCTCAACGGCACGTGATAGCATGGCAAGAGGTTCCTCTTTCTGCCCGAAGTTTTCTACTACGAGGCCGACTTCGAAGAGAGCACGAGCTTCGTGACGATAGAAAGTATCTCTGTCTTTCTCTTCGTCCATTTCCAAGGCTGTGTCTTTGTAGCAAGCCACCGCTGCTTCAAACGATTTTGTCATATCCTCGGCCCGGCCCATAGCCTCGTAACAAAGGCCGAAAGCTCGCTGCAATTCGAACAGCCTCAAAGCCTGCGCGTTGTCGACTTTCTGCATGCAGCTGAGGCTCGGTCGAGTGCCCTTGTGTGAAGCTGCATCGTTGATGGCTAGTTTGAACAAACTGACGGCTTGTGTATAGTTGCCTTCGACGACGTGTGCAAATCCTACGTGGCGAGCGAGGCTCATTTAGCTGGTTTTACTTTTGATCGCCTGATTGTACGAGGCAATAGCGGCCTGAACATTGCCTTGGCCTAAGTATGCATTTCCGATGTCAAGGTAAGCCCAATCGTCTTGGGTAAGACGAGCAAATGTGCCGATTTGGTCAATTGCTTCCATCCAGTTTCGGCGACACCTGTATTAGATCCATCAGCAGTGACCTCAACAGCTCTGCATCATTTACGAAACAACAATGGGAGCATTTGCTGGATTTTGAAGCAAAACGAGCAGTTCTTTGAAACTCACATGTGCGCATATCCCAGCTCTTTGTGATATTCTGCGGCATTGCTCGGATCGCTCTCTATCCCAACCCCAAGAATAAAATCCACAGGTTGGAAGATGCAACGGTCCGTCAATTCCAAAGCTATACGACGAATTTGCTTGCCGTATTCCTCAACATTATCGGGATCGATTGTCATCGCACTATGGAAGGTCTGGAACTGGAGTTGTCTTGCTCCTCCACGTGCATAAACCTCTGCGAGCTCTTTTGTGAAGTAGTTGCAAGCACTCGGGTGCTTCTTGATAGCTTCCTTGTAGAGGTCCGCCATGGCATTTCCATTTCCAGATTTCTCACGGATTTTGACCATCGCATCCCAATATTGATGTGCGGCATCATCAGGCACATGGGCAGCTCCGGTCTTCCACGCTTCAATTGCACCTTCGGTATCACCTGATTCTTCCTTGCTTTCCGCAATAAGCTTCCAGTGGTCGAATGCAGCCGAGAGAGGCAAATTAGTGTCGACTTTCATGGCTTCGACGTAAAATCTGATTGCATCTTCCTTCCTTCCATTCTGCTCAAAGTATTTACCAAGCCCTTCCTGCAGATGCCAACACTCTGGCCATTTATCGATTGCGTTGTGGAAGTTCCGAATACAGTGATCCGATCCTGCCGCGAATTCTCCGAATGCGTGGTTGCCGCATTGGACTCCAATGCTTCCGTTATAGTTTGCAGCATCAGCCATTTCCTTGAGCTGTTCAAGAGTAATCTTGTGTCGATACCCAGGGATAAATGCTCAGCTCATGTATTTTCGCCAAATCAAAATAGGGACAGCGGACCTGCAGACGTTGCAACTTCTATCGCCTGGTTAAAATAAGGCGCCAATGCCCAGGCAGACACTGGGCCATCGACCAATTGAGGAGGTTGAATTATAGAGCTGAGGGCTTGAGAATGCTTATTATAACTTTAAAGGACAAGAAATGCTTATTCTAATGACCACAGTCATGAACGCGGTAAAGATTTAGGACTTAAAACGTTGGGTATTGGGCAGTCTATTAGTCAGTCAGTCATGTGAATGATGAAAGTTTGGATATTGTTATTCTGCATGACCGATAGACAGTTGACGAAATCGAAAGAAGGATAAAAATGAAAGATAAGTTGATTCCAATAATTGCATTTCACTACAAGAACACACCAACTTGCGGCCTTAGCCAGCAAAAAGTGCCGCAGGCGTTCTTCCCTTCAAATAAAGGCAGAAGTAGCAAGCTTCCACGAAGCAAGTCTATCATCAGTGGCAGTAACTCCTAGACAACCCATGTAAGCCTCGAATCCTGCTTGACTACCTGTCTGTAGAGCTGGACGTATGGATGCGCATTGTGTTGTGAGGAACCACGCAGCGCTCGCCCAGCTATACTGATCGGGCAGCACGAGCGCCCGGATGGCATTGAGCTTATCGTCACTCAGTCCATCAACAGTGCTCGCTGTGGTTATGGCATTCAATTTGTCGGCCAACTCAGGTATCGACCGTGCGTAGAGTAGAACAAAGTTAGGCATGAACATAGCCCGTGTGCCTTGCCCCGGACGCCCAGGGAAATGATTGGTGTTAAACTTGAAGTTTCCGCTCTCAAAGGCGATGACCGAGAGAACGGCAGCGATTTCGGGAACCGAGAAGATCTCGTACTTCGACATGGCAGCGATAAGGAAGGGTGCGGCTTGAACATTCGTTGCACACTCATCAGGAGCAGTCGCACCGGCGCATGTGTTGGATGTCGGGGCGATCTGGAGGAGCTGGTCCACTGCTTGTCCAGCTCGAGGTGTGAGGTTTGTATAAGATCTGGGCAAGACCGAGGCACAGGCAATGCTCGCAAGCATGGCCACTTTGAAGAGAAGCATTTTTGGTGATTTTCCTTTGCTTGGGTGGGTAGTGGATGAGGATGGTCTTTTCCGAAGTGGAATGGCGACCGATCTGCACCTTTTTGGTGTTGTTGTGTTTGGATGTGGGAGTGAAGTAGGAATGTGTCGAGATATTTGTATGTGTCAATGACAATGGATCTATTATTCCTCCTCTGCTGAATGAACAGGCAGTACTGGTGTATTACGAGGACGTATTAAGAATAGTTTGCTTGCTTGTTTGAGAATGGAAATTTTGGTGGTGAACAAAGGAGTGACTGTAAGAAACAGGACAAAGAGTGAGTCGTGTTCTAAGATTGTATTGTAGCGAGCGTTAGAGCAACCAACTGACCCTGAATGAACCTGTTGATTGATGGGAAGCAGTCAACGAGTCACTTGAAGTAGAGAGACAAGCTCTGGTGCGAGAGGAGGAGCCCCTGGCATCCCCTTCTTACCTTCCATTGCCAACGGGAAAACATCGTGAAGTGCAAGATGACGGTGGCCAATGCAGAGCAGGAAGTGGGTAATGGCTGAGGAACAGTCAAGCATCGCGGGGTCGCCGTGAGACAGTTCATCCAATGGTTATTTCCAGAGCGAGCTGTCAAGGAGGTTGAAGCTTTTTGACGTTTCAAAGTCATTCGCTTAATGTTCCGCTAGCCACAGCCCGAAGCCTCGCCTCAGTGGCGTGCGAGCGTGGCTAGGGTCGCTCGCGTGGGCTTTCTTTGGGTTGTTTGACCGTGGAAAAGGGGCTGGGCATTGATTGGCTTTCATGGGCTCCAGGCGACGACACCCTCCAACATTTACATCAGTATCAGCATCAGCATCAGCATCAGCGATGCCATTCAATTCAAAAGGAGACGCTCTGTGAGGGAATACCTTGTTGAAAGTCTGGATATCTGACAATGCGGCACATGCCCGCGGGGGGTTGGCTCCCTGACAGGTGTGAATCGAGTCGACGGGGTGTAAAGCCTAAGCTCCGGGTATATGTATGCTTCTGTGGAGCAAGACCTCCTTTCATTGCTGAGATACAAATCACGTAAAAAGCGATGAAAATCGACAACTGAGAGGAATCGTCTATTTCCCACCACAATGCGGCGCGCAGAGAATTCGCGCCTCCTAGCCGCGGACCAGCTGGCTCTACGGCTCTCTCAGTTTCGTCTCCAGCATGACAGTGTTACCAATTCCTGATGGGTAAACTTTGACCAGCTCTAGACCTACTTCATCAAACATCTCGTTAAACTCTTTCAATGTCTTTTCCCGTCCACTAATTGTCAACAATGAGAAGTCCAGCCAGTACAGCTCCATCGACCCGCCAACATCGACCATCTCCGGAACAAGCATGTCGCAGATGATAAGTCGGGAGTTTGGACCCATCGCTGGCACGATATTCCTCAGAATGTCAAGACAGGCCGGAATGTAGAAGACGTGAAGCAAGCGTCGGAGGAAGTAAACGTGAGCATCTGCAGAAGTCAGTTTGTGCTCCAGCATGATTGTTTGTCAACGAACTTTTGACAGGCTGTGGAGTGAAAAGGTCGTGTACAGTAGGTGTGATACCAGGAAGCTCTTCTGCCTTGAGAGATTTGATGACGATTGGTAGATCTTGAAGGATGACGGGCGCTCCGAAGAACTTCGGACACTTGGTCTCAATAGCCAGCATGGCATGACCTTTCCCACTTCCAATATCAACGATGAATGGCCGTTCGGGCTCTTTTTCTACCTGCTCCTTCAGTGAAGCAAATGGAAACATCCCCAGGACTGGCATGTTCTTCTCCATCTAATTTCCAACGACATTAGCAACTTTCCATGTCCTGTGAGTTTCGTGTAATTGAGACGTTCTGTGACTCTAGATGCAAGTCTCTTTACATTTCCACGATTCCTACTTGGCGTACTTACCTGCTGCAAGGTATTGTTCCAAATCACCCGCTGCTCCTCATCCTCGTTCAGAACTTCATAGCTTATAAATCAGTCAGTTATATTTCATAAGATGCCTAGCCAATCACACGCAACTAGCTGAACAAGACTGCCTAAAATTATTTCTAACAGAATTTAGCCGAGCACTTACTATGTCAATCCCTCCTTTCCAGCAGCATATGCAAATGGCGACTTCTTGCTATCATACAAGTCGGGCAGTGCGTGCGTTTTGAGATACTCCGGCAGTTTAATCCATGTCCGGTTGAAGTCCATGCAAAGCGAGAAGAATGCTCCAAGAGCTTGTGGCTGCAGAATCATGGAAAGCATATTTTGTTGGTACACATCTGGGGCTGTCTCGGTCCCAATGCCATTCACCAGGATCATTCTCATTGCCCGAGTGATGACTGATATGTCAACCTTAACAGCTGTTGCTAAGTCTTCTGCGCTGATTGATCCCTCCAGGGGAAGTCGTCCGAAGGCACCGATTTGGGTCAAGGTAGACAGTGCAGCCGTTACGGCGATACTCTCAGCCCATCGTGTCACAGTGTCGTACGGCTCCTCGAGCTGTGTACGTACATTGTTGGTATGCTTAAGGAGGGCGAGGTGCTCGGCAGGCGTCGGATTGATCTTGATACTCTTAAGTGCTGCAACCAATTTCTCTGCTTCAATGAGCGCTTTGCTGATAGGATTCGACATACTGGGACGAGTGCTGGGAGAGCTTAGAACGAGTAACGGAGTCTACCAGAAATAGCTTTTTGTTGGTAGAACCAGGAAGGAAGAGTCCTTCCGACTCACAATTTGGAGGTTTTTACGACCGGGTGCAGGTAGTGACGGTGCATAGAGGAAATGGGCCGATTGCCTCACCTTATCATTGTTGGTGAATAGGTGTCTTTACGAGATCGAGGGAATCGAAAAGATAATGCTCCATGTTCCAGCTTCAAGTGGTGTCGCTTATTGTTGTGTGGGGATACAAGCCCAATGTATTCCCAAATCCCCTTGGCACTTCCCCCTTTTCTGCTTTTAGCGAGAATTGGCGAATAAGACGACTTCTGATTGGCACAGATCCTATAATCGCAGTTCAGATGCAGATGTGCAGCGACGGCATGGAGGGCTTCCTCATCTGCCAGCCAAGGTCACCGCAATGCATATGCGGACTTCGAGCCTGATACGATTTAGCCGCCCGGACATAGCTAACGAACAGGCACATCATCAGAATGGTGAAAGCTTCCCTACTATTTACTCAATGCTAGAAGTGTGTCTATATAAATCCGGTAGTCCTAAAACTACTTAGAATTATTGGACGTACCTTCCGAGGCCCCGTGTGTTTAAGCATTTGGCCATTTGAAGTCGTCAACGCACATCTCCACGCCATGGCAGATTCTACATCTGAGCCTCAAGACAATATAATTCAGGTTGACGACGTATGTGATTCGTCTATAAATCACCGGAGCTATCTGGCGGACACGACCTATAGATTAAAATTTTGCGGAACCATTGTTTCAGTTCGCACGCGATGCTAATATCCTTCATAGACTCCGGTACCGGACTTCGAGGATGAGGTATTGCACACCCACATCCAAGGTTTACTTCTGGAGGTATGCTGAATCCGAGTCAAGGCGAACGGAAGTGAAGCTGGAAGTAGTCTGACGTCTATCACTTCTTCCATTTTGCGAGGTAAAGTTGACGAGGGAGGGAGGACCTATGCAGTCTATGGCAAAGAAGGTACACACACACATGCCACCACGTTTGGCAAATGTGCTGAAACCTCAGTCTAGAATATGGATTTCCGATGGACGAGCCTGAACTGGACCGGATTGATATGTGCCACGCCAAATACTATGCGCTCTTGAACAAGAAGCGCTTCCTAGCACCCATTCCACCCAAACCCCAGAAAATACTGGATCTGGGCTGCGGAACCGGTAAATGTCTTAAACTTCTGTTTTATCAATATGTGGGTCTAATGATTGTAGGAATATGGTGTATCGATGTGGCACACGACTTTCCGTCGGCTGAAGTCGTTGGTATTGACATTGCACCAACTCAACCAACATGGCAAGCCCTTTACCCGGGTGAGCCCACGCTGGCTAACAAGAACAGGGTGCCCGCAAATTGTCGCTTTGAGCTCGACGACATGGAGCAACCGTGGACTTGGAATGAAAACGCCTTTGATTTCATCTTCAGTCGTGATCTCATAGCTGCGGTTCGCGACTTTCCCAAGTTGATTGACCAATGCTACACGTGTGTCAAGTCTTGAGGCCATCAAGGCATGCGTCTGTGCTGATATGCTCCAGTCATCTAAAACCAGGCGGATACCTGGAGTTCCAGTGTGTCACTGGAACCCTCCAAAGTGACGATGACAGTGTTTATAAAGATTCGGCATTGCAGAAATTTTCCGATAGCATAAGCCTTGCCGGTGAAGCATTTGGGACGAAAGTCGATGACCCTATGCGATGGAAAGGGTGTACGTTTCGCTTACTTCACTCATGGTTGTCTTTCATTCTTGCCTGCTTCATGATTAGACGCTGATCCATAGCCGGACGAATCAGGGTTCGAAGAACGCGGCTTTGAGGACATCTCTGAAAGGATTATTAAGCTTCCTATAAATACTTGGCCCAAGGACAAACGACTGAAACTTTTAGGAGCTTGGGAAATGGAGAACCTGTTGAGTAGTCTCGAAGGCATGGTGATGCGAATTTTCCAGAAATCACTTGGCTGGACAGCAGAATAAGTGCTGGTATTTCTGGTCGATGTCCGAAGGGACATAAGAACCGAAACCTTCACGGGTATTGGCCATTGTGAGTCTCCCCATCCGCTTGTCGGGCTCGTACACTTGGCTAAGCGAGAAGCTATGTCGTCTCTGGGCGAAAACCACTATCTGATGTCGGAAAGGAAGGGTAGAATCGTTTGCCTGGAACGAAAAACAAAGTGTATGGTGGTGGGAGTTGTTAGGGCGAGAAGTGGCATTCGCTCCCTATCCGCGATGCATGCCAGGCCCTCAAATGAAAATATAACAATGATATCACTGTGAACATTTGCAGACCTTCAGCTAGAATGGATTCGAAAGTACTACAAGAATAAGTTGAGTACCCTAGGGGAAAAAACATGGTTCGTCAAACGTAGATCAGATATCCACTATGAACCATCCGCAATGCCGTTGATTCTGGGGATGTTTATCTGCCTATCATCTCTCAACTCATCGACTGGCTCTTCACCTGCATCCTTCTTCTTCAAAACACAATCGTCTTTAAAGCTCTTCAATAACCATACGCAAGATATGAGGGCCAATAATTTTGAGCACTAGCCTCAATTCTCGGTATTGAAAATAAGAAACATGATGTAGCATGAAAATTGTAGTGAAGAACAGAGAAGAGAACAAGTTGTATGCCACAGAAACAACATCGATAACGTAATGTGAGTTCAACGTCGCAGAATTGTATAGGTTATTGGCTCGAGATTGCTTTGGTTCCGGCTGTGATGTTTGAACAGGACATTGGTGGAGAAGCTCCGTCGCAAAGCGGAATATAGCGTTCGAATTGAATGGGACCCCGACTTTTACACATTTAGTTCGGCAATGAAAGAGTAAGGCGAGATGTCAGACGAAGTAAGCCCATCATTTATTGCAAAGACGGGTGGATGTCTCAAAGAAGTCAAGAATGGGAAGGGGATACTTTGGCCCATGTCGCCTAACCTACTGTAACAGACGCGAGAGACGCGATACTATATAGCAATATCAGTAACTAGTATTAATCCGCATATTAAGCGAGCCTTACTAAAAGTTGTATCCAACCCCTTATTCTAGCCCCCTTATATTAGAACTACTTTTAATTACTTAATAATAACACGTTTAAAATACTTAAAACTTTCGGAATATTAAAGTTAATATACCTTAAGGTTATAGCTCTAAACGTTTATAAAGTCTGCTGCTAGATATAAGTATAGAATTAAAGCAGGTATATAAATCTAATAGTAACTCTTTAGAGGTATTCTCTTCTTCCTAACTACTAATTTCTTGTAAATTAATATCTAGAAAGTGTCTTAAAGCTAATACTATTACTAAAAAGTAATTAGAGGATATAATAAAAGACGCTAAAAACCTAGAATAAGATAATAATCTATTTACTAAACTAGGAGATAAGGTAGAGTTTTCTTTAACCTCTTAACTTAAAGGTAAAGATAAAGAATATACTATTAAGATATCTAGCTCTCTCTTACTAAGCTAAAAGAAGCTATTTAACTCTTCTATAAACTTTAAAGACTAATTAGTAGTTATATAAATTATAACTCTAGAGCTAGATAGATAGGATAAGCTTTTAATATCTTTTTATAATAATATTAACTCTTAAGATAAGTAGACCTTTATTAAAATATAACTTAAGGTTTATAAGAAAGTAATAAAGCCTTAGGAAAATACTAAGGAGTTATAAGGCGTAGATAAACTTAAAGCTTAGCTATGAGTTATAATAAGTAGAGATTTAAAGAAAAGTGGAATATATATTAAGTTAGTAAATAAGGACGATCTATGTGAATTTCAAGTATCTTTACGCTTATTTAACTACTAAAGAGCTAAATAGGCGTCTATTATTTTAATTAAAGCTCTATAGTAAACTTTTAATTAAGAGAGGATTCCTAAGCTAGTCTTATAAGAAGCTAAGGGAAAAGTTAAAAGTAAAGCTTATATAGTTAATTTTCACTATACGCTATTACTAGAGCCTTTAAGTGATACTCCTCTAAGGAATAATAACGATTTCTAGTCTAAAGCTTTTCTAGAGGTAGAAGAGCTCTTAAATACGATTACTAGTAAGCTACTTAAGGTAAAGCGTTAAGCTAAGGCTAAAGCCTTTTTATATACCTTAACTTATAAATCGATTTTCTATATAAACTACTACTCTAAATTACGCTATAATAATAGAAGAGGCTATTATTATATACTTAAGAGCAGAGGTATATATTATATAGTCTTAATCGCTGAATAGGATAAATAGGTATACGTAATTACCTTATAAATCCCTAGAGTAGATATAAATACCCCTCTACTAGCGTAGATTATAAAATACTAGAATAGTAAATATATAACGAATTTTAAATTATCTAAAAGTCGTAAGTCTGATTAAAAGAAAAAGGAAATTATATTAAAATCAGATATAGGTAATAGTAGCTTAATATACTTAACTATTAATATACTCGTAGTAATACTAGCTCTATAGCCCCTATCGCTACTTGTATATCCCTAGGCTTCTTAAGGATACTAGTAATATAGCCTTAGTAGAGCTATCTATATTATAGGTACCTCTCCTCCTTCTTAATTAGTAGTGCTATCCTTATAAAAGTAAGGTTCTAGTAATATCCGGAATATAGTTTTTTCGTTTTTACTATTCTAGCTAAGCCTAAAAAGGGAAGATAAAATAGTAGCTTTTAAAGATTACCTTATTAAAAATAAGGCTTTCCCTGCTTATTAGCTATTAATTTAAACTACTTTTAAGAAGTTTAAAAACGCTAATATTCTTTCTATTAATTAACTTTATAATAAAGAGTTAATTATGTTAAGTAGTATTAAAGCTAGTATAGTAGATTTTATTTCTAAGTAGGTCTCTAAGTTTAAGCTTAAATATAAGAAGAGATTAAAAGTATAAGAGGAAGCTAAAGCTACTAGAAAGTTACTAGACTTTAGAAATATTAGGAATAGTAGTAATATATATTAGTAAATAAGCGAGTTAAGTAAGGAATAAGATACTGATTTTTTAAATAACTACTAAGTATTTTTATATAAGATAAGCTTAAGAAGTACTCTTTTTAATAGTATCTATTTATTCTATAAAGTTAGTTATATTATATATTAGTAATTACTTAGGAATTTAATATTTTTATATCCCAGAAGTTATATAACTATAATATTTATATATCTATATATTTAAATAATATTATAGCTTTAACTATCTGCAGTAGCTAAAAGCGAATATTATATAAAATTAAGTATAATTATCTTATACTTGTAATAGCACGGTTTAGCGTTAGCTAGCACGTGAGCGAAATAACTACGGATCAGGTGATAACCTCTCTATTAGCGCGAATATTAAGCTGAGGAGCTCTCGATTCCGTGGAGGGCGCTCGAGCTTATATAGATAAATTCCCCGGGCTATTCCCGATTAGGCCTAATTACACTTGACGTAAAACTTAACGTAAACTCCTATAGTAGCGTAGAGCTATTTCCCTTTGCGTATAACTAAGTGGGTAACTGTCGGTAAACCTCTTCAGAGTTAACTGAGCTCTACTGAGTCTTACTGAGCTTTGCCGAGCTCTAGACTCTTCTTAATCGGGTATAGTAAAGAAGTAGTTATTACTACCTTTATATCACCTCCCCCTTTGAAAAAATCGAGTTATAAGCTTAAAAGCGTAATAAAACGATTAAAAAAACAAAGTAGAAGTGATTATTATATATTAGAGATTAAAAGTAAGTAAAAAGAGGTATAAAACTAAACTAATAAGCAGATAAAATAAAGCACTTTTTTAACGCTAGCAGTGTTATAACTATAAATAGTATATATTCACCAGATATTCCTAGACTACTTGTTCCTTATTAGGGTTAGCCTTTCGCTAAGCCTTTTCTATTTGTATTATAATATAGGCGATTTCGACGAGTTTTCAGTTCCAGGCTTATACGTAGGTTATAATACGCTCTCTATCAGGTTTTAAGCCTTATAGCTTATAATTCGACTTATAAGCGTCTAGCGTTAAGAGCTTTTCGTTAAATACCTAATAAAAGGGGTTTACTACACTGTCTGGTTTAGCGAAGAATCGAGCTATAGGCTTAGTAAGGTGAAGTAAATACGCTGGTAACAAGGAAGCTAATTCGCTAGCTTCTAAAGCTTGTTACGGCGTAAGCTATAGAGCAGGGAATCTAGGCTCTAGTTTATTAATATTAGTTAAATCGTCGACTGGGGTTATAGCTATAATAGGCTGTTCTAGCTAATCTTTGGCCTCTGATTCGCTTATAAGATTATTACTTATAAAAGTAAAATTGTCGTTTTGTAATAGAGTGTTAAAGGCGAGCTTTGATTAGCTAAGAGGTCTTCCGCCGTTGATTTTATAATAGTCGTATATAGCTTTAGCTGAATTACCGAAGCTATTTATGTTGTACTACGTGTTATCAGGGGGGTAATCTCTCTACTCCACTTAATATTATATCGTATCGTTATAATAACGATAAGCTAGTATACGAACTAGCTCGTATTCGTTTTCGTTATATTCTACGTTATCTATAGCGTCGGTGATATTTGATTTGTTATCGGCTCGCTTATACGCTTTCTATAATCGAGAGGGGTTAATAATAGAGTAGATTTTTATCGAAGGAGGTAATTCTAACTCGTAGGCGTAGCCTACTTATTATATAACCTTATAAGGACCTCGCTTAATAAAGTCTAGCTTTTTTAAGGGCTGTATTAACTTGAGGTTTTCCGTATATAACTATATGTGATCTCCTATAGTAAAATCGATGTCTTGTCTTAAACGATTCGTATACTCTCTTTGAGAGGCCTGCGCTTTGCTTATATATACTTTCGCACGCTCTATTATATTATATATACGCCGTGAGGTGTTTATTGCGTTACTCCTTTGAGTACGTTTGTATTACGTAACTATATTATTATCTCTGGTACGCTGCGTATTAGCGTTGAACGGTGGTAGAGCTAAGCGAGGTTCGTCGTTAGATCCGGGTCCTAGAATTAACGCGGGAATTGCTGTGTTTTAGTATGGAATTAACGCCTATATAGAATCCGGTAACCTAATATCGCTCCTATTATATAATATAGAGCTATTTCCCTTTATACTTTAGTTACCCTTTTACACGGTAGAGCTACCTTTTAGCTCCTGTACCGGTGTATAACTAGTACTACTTAGCGTAAGATCTGGTCTAGATATTTATTTACCTTGATATTCCTTACTTAAGTATTGAATAGTTGACTTTAACACTTAACGATTATTCGAGCTAGCGTTATTACTAGCGCCTGAATTTAAGGACTTTAATAGAGTTTTAGATCTAGTTATAGCGGCTATATTGTTTTTTCTAATATTATTAGCGGCTTCGCTAGATAATTACTCCTAATTAAAGGATATCTTAGGCTTATAGCTATTAAGTACTTTATAAGGACTTAGCTACCTTAAGCTAGTGTGCGGTAATATTAACTGCGCGTAGTCTAATAAGGGTAGTATTTCAGACTAGTTATCTTAATAGTGATTTAAGAACACTTATAGTTGCTGTTTTAAGTAGCGATTATAGTTCTCTGTTTAATTGTCGGTTTACGGGTGATACGCTATAGAAAGCTTTAATTTAGTTCCTAATAAGCGATATAGCTCTTACTAATATTTAGAAACGAATTAAGAGCCTTTATCGCTTATAATTATATCCGGGGCGCTATAGTATTAATAGATATATTTTATAAATAACACAGCTATTTACTTAGCGTTTATTCGTCTATTACAAGTAATAGAAATCGATTGCTTTGTAAAACGGTCTATAACTACTATTACGTAGTTGTAGCTGTGTCGATCCTTTAGTAGCTCTGTAAAATCTATACTAATATCGCGCTAAGGCTTCTTAGGAATCGGTAAAGGTTATAATAACCCCGGTGTTTTATCTGTCGATTTTTTAGTCCTTTAATAATCGTAGCACCTATTAACG